TATTTTATTTATAAAAGTTTATATATATAATAATAAAATATTTTAAAAATATTTAATATTATATATATTTTTTATAAGTTTACTTTTATAATAAAATATATAATAATATTAAATATAAGTTATTAAGTTTTATTAAATAAAAATAAATTAGTTTTTATTAAATTTAATAAACTTTTAATTTATAATAAATTTATATATTATTATTAGCTTTTAAATTATAAATATATTTTAATTTTTATTATAAAAGCTTTTTATTTAATTATACTTTTTGATTATTTTATATTTAAAAAATTATAATATAAAAGTTATTAAATATTATAATAGTATTTTTATTTTATTATTACTTTTTTAAAAAAATATTTTTAAATTCTTTATAAGTAAAAGTAATATTTTAAATAGTTATTAATTAACTAATTATTATTATAATTTTAATTATATTTATAAATATATTAATTTTTATAAAACTTAAGCTAATATATTTTATATATTTTTAAGTTTATATTAAATTTATTTATAAAAGTATTATATTTATATATAATATTTATTATAATAAAAAAGTATATTAATTATAATATTAATATACTTAAGAAAAATAATAATTATTTTATTATAATTATATACTTTTTATATTTAAGCTTAATTAAAGTTATTATTAAGCTTTTATTAAGCCTAGGTTAAGTTTATATTAAGCTTATTAATATATTTTATTTTAGATTATTTAAGTATAACTTAAATTTATAATAAAAAAAATTTTTATATTATAATATAATATTTTATAATAATAAATATTATAAATTAAATATAAATTAATTAATTAATTACTTATAAGCTAATTATAATTTAATATTAACTTTTAAAAAACTAATAAAAGTTAATTATTAGCTTTAGTTAAGTTTATAAAAATAACTTATTATATAAAAATATTTAATTTATATTTATTAAATAACTTAAATAATTAATTATTAATAATATAATAATATTAAATATAAGTTATATTTTATTTATTAATTATATAATTATATAATATATTTAATAATAAATATTTTATTTTATTTACTAATATAAATATATATATTTATTTCTTAAGAATTCTTTTACTTTATAAATAATAACCTAAGATTTAAAAACTAAATTATTATAATATATAAATATACTTAAGTTAAAATAACTTAATTAAATTTATTATAATTAAGGTTTAGTATATTAGTTTTTATATATTTATTTATATTTATAAAATTATTTTAAAAATAGAAATAAAATAAATAAAAAATAATTATTTTTATAAACTATTTTAATAATTTAATTTTAAAATAATTTAATAAAAACTTATTTTTATTTACTTAATATATTTTATTAATTTTTTTATTTATATTATTAAAGAATATAATATTTAATATATATAAAAAAATATTTTTATTTTTAATTTAAAAATACTAAAACTTTTATTACTTTTATTTAATAATAATATTTTATAAAAAACTCTAATATATTTTATAATATTCTTAATATTATATATATTATTAAAATTTATTTCTAATATAATTATATAAGTTTAAAAATTTATAATAACTAATATAATAAAAGATTATACTTAGCTTTTAGTTTAATAACTAAATAAATAAAAATATTTAAAAAATATTATATTTAGCTTTATTAGGTTATATTTCCTGTTATATAAATATTATAACTTTACTATAGCTTATTATTTATAGTATAAATAATTATAAGTATAAATTTTATATTTTAAATTAGTTTTTAAAAATAAATATTATATATAATTATTATTTTATTATACTTAATAAATTCCTTTATATAAACCTGTAATATAAAACTTTTTATTTTTATTTTCCTATTATAGTTAATATTTATTAAATGGTTTAATTTATTATATTTTAGTAGTATACTATATATAGGTTGGAATTAATTTCTCCCTACTATAGTTTACTTACCAGGTACTCTTAAGCTAGGAAATCATTAACCTTCATTTTCTTATCTAAACCAAACATTGCCTAAACATTTGATCACCCATCATTTTCACTTTTCCCCCGATACAACCATGCGTTATCTTATATCCCATTATCAGCTATGGCACTGGAACTCGAAGGGCTAATTGCGCGTTTGTTGCTGGTTGTCTCATGCGCTGGTGAACAGGGTATGTTCAGTGACTACAACACCGAGGTCCTAATACCCAGGCGCCTATTCAAGATTCTCGTGTAGCATGCTTTTACAATGTCCAGCTCTTCGCATATGCCTTTGCTAACGTTTGTTATCCAGGCCTTTCAACATCGCAATTCATCGATGCCGCAAAATTGGCACTCTCTCCGCCGGATAACACGACGTCTCTTCAAAGAGACAGAAGGCTTCAAGACCCAATATTCATATTATCGGACTATGGAGTCGGCACAATTTGGAGATGGCTAGTCCAACGGACAGACATATCAATTGGCCCTCAGAGGAAATATAACCATCTAATGTTTGAAGAAGTATTGGCGCTAGAAGAACTCGGCAAGGATGGATATAACAACCGGCATGGGCCAGCCCGCCAAAACGCGCACGACAGTCATTTAACTTCACTAGAACGCAGTGCTCAAGACGATATCCGGATTTACGTCTCGCAGGAAACAATGTGGGAGGCGATTACTGGGCATGCAGTGGATTACAAGCGTGTCCCTCGTTCCGAATGGCTTCTGCTTCTCGGAATCGCCTCAACAAAAGCGCAGGGCATACTGCAAGGTGACCTTGGCCGTCTGGTTGATCAGGATAAACGCTCAGTGCCAAAGCGAACGGATGCGCTGGTCAAGAAAGGATACATTACGAAACGAACAACTCTTGTTCGGGGAACAAAAACCAGCAAAATGTGGTTGAAGCTATTTTCTCCCCCACTCCCAAAAGACAGGAGTGCGACTGCGGAACCGGAGGCAGAAATGAACCTATCGCGCCAAGTCCTTGCCGCCAACCTTGATGCCGTTCCTTGGCACACGAGATGGACTGGGGAATCTGTCGACTATACAGCTTTAGCAACCACCATAATGGCCATTTGTAAGGAATGGGATGTCTTACGCATGCAGGATTTGAAATCAAAATTGGGTGTCCTTGGCATGCGATGGCAGATGAAAGTTGTTTCCAAAGTCTGCCGTTTCTTGAATGCGCGAGACGCAATTAGGTATGTGGCGGCAAAGCTGAACAACAAAGTCTTCAATGATTGTGTCCGATTCAATCGAGGCCTCACGCCCAAAGACTGGTCCATATTTTTGGCAACTGGGAAGCGAGCTGGTAAGCTCCCTAGGACAACCGAAATACACAACCAAGATGGCCACGATGGCGCCGGTTCACTTCTGGGCCAGCTTGCCTCCTCGAAATGCCTAGGTGTCGCTCCACCATGGTCGGCAGATCAACCGCTTGCACTTATCATTGCAAAAAGCATAATGGCATGCGGAGAGGCAGGATTGACGAACCCGGATGTATACGGGCTAACCCTAGGTGCATCCTTTACACGTTTCTTATCTTCGTTGACCACATGCATTTCCACGACAAACATTCAACCTGTTCAGCTACAGTACCTACAAGTAAGGAGTGAGCACTCCAGAGCTGGAAAAGTCGCATCATATAGGTACTCCATGTCAACTACCCTACCGGCTCTACCCGATACTATGTCGGCCGGTAGTGATCAGCACGAGCGACAGACCAGACAAACCCGCACTCCCGTATCGTATGGTTTCCCCCAGGCAGCACACCCCATCGGAAGTTCAAAGCTGGCCATCCTAACGCAATCCAACTTGTCCCAAAGGAGACAGAGGGGTAGGCCTCGAAAGATGAGATCAGAACATCCGGCCGATACGGATACTGATCGTAACAATATCCCACAGACGCCGGATGTCAGCAACGAGGATCTTAGTCGTCCAGAAGAAGACAGCCAACTCTGTACAAGAGACTCAATGATCATCAAGTTGAGATTACCACAAGAGACGCTGAAGGGAGTAGTGAATCTATCTTCTATATGGGATGCGCCCACTCAAGAAATCTCCCTCCAACACTCAAAACTGCCATCAACAGAAGCAGGGAAAGGGGAATGCCAGTCAATGGAAGGCGACTTAGACTTACCGGCGCCGGATATAATTACATCACAGCCTTCTGATTCGACTATTCCTATAGAATCCTCTCAGTCTGCGGGACGGGGCCGGGGACGGGGACGGGGCGGAGGCCGAGGCCGAGGCTCTGGTCGCCCTGGTAACTTAGAAGTTGAGTCTTCCAACAATGACACAGGCACAAGTAAAAGATGGAAGTGCGATAACTGTGGCAAAACCTGGAAAAATGACATTGGCCTTAAATATCATCTCGAGCGGTCCCAAACCTCTTGTAATCCATCTTATTCCCCCTTCAATCTTGATGGACTTCACCGAGAGATGAAGTCTTCCCTTCGATCCGCGAAAACAGCTGAATCATCTGAGAGAGTCAGTAAACTGCCCGCTCGATCAACTCGCGGCTCACGGTATAATGAACCAACTAAGACGACCGACGAAGAAGAGAGAGCGAAAAGAGGAAAGAGGGAACATGAACACGGCGCCGCAAGGGTCTCACAATCCAACGTTTCACAAAAAAAAACTAATGATGAGGAGAGTAGATATTCACGAGGTGTGGTATCAGCGACTACTCTGAGCCATATCAGCGAGATTTACGCAATGAATCGACCGTCTAGTGATCAACCTAGATCGCAGCATAAAAATATGTTGAATATATCCTCTCTTCCCCAGGAACAGACTACTCTTATGCGAGTTGATATAAGTCAATCAAATCAAGTACTTGATCTAAAGAATCGCAAATATGATGCCAATCAGCTAGAAAATCTCTCTACTACTCTCACATGGCCCAACCCAACCCAACCAGGCCTGTATGCAGGTTTTATGCCATCTGTTGGCGAACCAGATCTTCAAGATAACTCTGGCGAAAGCTCCAAGGCTGCTGACCTAGTGCATATTACAGAGAAGGCAGAGGTAGGATTGGCAACAAATACGACAACTCGCGAACCTGCACCTGTCCACCTGGAGAAGGAGGTTCCTAAAAAGAAGGTTTCTAGAAATGAAATAACTGATCATATCTCTACTCTGTTGATGGAGATGCTCATCGAGCGGGAAGGTGTCCTCCCTGGAGGACACTCGCTTTGGCGTGCTCTCGCTGCCGTTTGGAATACCAGATACCCTGAGAAGCCGATACCGAAGACAAAAGATTATCAGTGGGCCCTGAGCCGTATGCTCAAAGATAAAGCAGTTTTGGAGCATTGGCATGGATTCCAAGACCACAGCGGTCTATTCTCTAAATGCCAAATCTTGACACTACCGCATCTTGATGCATTCTCCCCTGAGACCTTGGCTGTTGTCGATAGTATTAAGTTGCGACATCCACAGCCTTTCATACCTGCGCAATCTCAACCACTAAGCAGCGATACTGGACCAGGAGAGAAGAAGGAGAATCGCCGAGGACGCCGCGTGCTTGCTGGCGAAGTTGCGCAGCTGGATGCTCCGGTTTATGCGGCTCAGGCTTCAGCCAAAAAGCGCCACGGAATTATGAGCGACACGAGTAGTCCAAATAAGCGAAGAAAAACCGTACAAACCAGTATAAAAAGCCAAGCTTTTACGTCTACACCAATGCCGGCAGACGAGAAATATCGAGTAAGATGGGCGTCAAACAGCCTGTTATCTAACAGAACTAATTTCCCCAAATTGGACACTGCTCGTTTGAACCACGGAGCCAAAGTTCAATTTCTAGCTCCAAATCGATTTCTGGAAGATGATTGGTGTGTGGACGGCTACCGAGTACCAGGAAAGATAACACAACCTTTCCCATTTATTGATTTGGAAACTACTCAACAGCAGCCCACTTCAGCAGCGAAGTCTACTATTGCCGAGCCTGTGCAGTGTATTGCGGGAAAAGATGGAACTTGGCCATACCTTGACCTGCAGTTCTTTGAAGAAAAGGCTATCAACTCGAATTTCACTATGTTTGGATGGATGCCTGATATAGGGTGGTTTCAATGGGCTGATTGGGCCCAAAGTCTTGAGAAACGAATTTCCGGAAATGATACTGGAACAGCCCATGATATGTTTAGGGCTAGTTTACTGGACTGTTTTAGTGTAGAGGTGGCTCAAACAGAACAGTTCGTAAACGCTTTGCCGCTGGCTGCCGGCCCGCATAACATATTCATCAATCTTTCAGTCGGACTTGAACATGGAATACCACCAATGGATTTAAGATGGCAATCTCATGAGCATCTGAACCCTCAGTCAATTAGCAAATCTATTCACTCCTCAAGATCGCTGCCCTCAAGCGATGACAGCGACTCTGATTTTGATTTAGATGCATTTGATCCAAAGCATCCACAGCAGCTCTTAGGCGCTACTGATGCAAATCAGTCGAAGGTTAAGCGAGTGTCTTTGATAACTCGCCCGCTCACTTCAATATTCCAAAGAGAAGCGTATGCATCAGATGAGCTGAGAGGAATAGGGGCGGCGGATAGCCCGCTGACCAACCAAGAAGACCTCTTGACTGCTTTCATTGTCGTCCGTGTCTTACTAGGAGGTGCAGACAAAGCAATCGACTGGGGTATATTGCTCCACATCTTCCCAAACACCCGGCTTGCCAGCTTGCGCAAATTCTGGGCAACGGCATGCAAAGAGCAGAGACCGCACATTAAGAAACTTACGCGAGATGTCCAGGAACGGTTGATTGAAAGCTTTGAAAGCCAGGAGCTCCCTATGATTGACTTTGAAGCCCCAGTGCATTATGACTGGCGGACACTTATTAAGTGGGCAACAAGAATATCTCGCCAGAGGAACTATCATATCCCCCACACAAGAGAACTTCTTTCTAATCGGTTCTCGCTGATCACTACCACATCAGCTGAGGAGGATTGGGGCGAGAGATTTTTCCACGCTCAATCCTCGATCTTTTCGCGGTTCGAGGCAGTTACATCAGAACCCGGCGCACTTCGTGTTGATGGCATCTTCGATCAAGGCAATGATGGTAGCAATGTTCAGAATTTGGACATTGCCAGATCTTGGATTAAATCACTTTGCTGCACTAGCGAAGCGAAATACTCCGTGCGAAAAATCAAAGACAAATTCCTCACGTTATCTGGAGACGGCGCAGAACGAAGCTCGCTGCTTCTCAAAGAAGCCATTGTTCAACTCACGACCCAAAGGGTTATATGCAGGAGCAAAAAGACACCACTTGGAGGGCGACCTTACAGGTTAAGTGAGTGGTATTTGTCAACGCTCACTAGAGTGGCACAGCGCTCAAAATACCAAGATGCAGCTGCTTTCAAAACGCAAATGGATGGCATATTCCGCACGGGAGGAATTTTCGAGATATCGTACACCCTGAACGATGGTTCCATGATGGCACTGACGAATTTGAATGCTGCGGGAAAAATCAAACTGGTACCTCTAGATATACCAAACATCCCTTTTGGATTTGAGCCAGGTAACTATGAAAGCCGGAAGTATCCGAAGTCCTACTATCATTTTCGACTCCGCGCAAAACCCACAAACTTGTACCAGTACAACGAGGATATCGCTGTGCTACAAGCCGTGGCGCGGGAGAATTTGCCCAGCACCACGATGAAAGGAGAAATTCCACAGTGGGTTGATTTTTTTGGGAAATACGATACTAGGCGGTGGTGTGATATCCTCGGAGCTTTTTGTTTTACTTATGCTACGAAAGGCCCCATGGCGGCTAAGGATGTATGCAACTCTCTGAGTCCTATTCTAGATGAGTTTGAAGCACGGCTCATTATAGAATGGGGCATAAAAACCAATGTTTTGGAGGAGGTTATGGATGGATCCTCTGTAACTGTAGGAGAGTGGTGGTGGCTGGCTGTACCATGGCAATTTGATCGGTAACGAGAGTAGGGCCGCCAGCAGAAAAAGAAGCGTTCAGGGAGCATAAGCTTTCACGCTGTGCCGGAGTTAATCTCATGTCTTTTCTATGCTGAGCGTTAATAGCATTTCATCTAGGCTACCCCTCAATTTTGAAGATAATCAACGTCGAATGAAGATATTGAAATTAGATGCCACCAGTGCCATAAAGTGACGTAGATATTATATTCCACATGTCTGCCTTGTCACAGATTTCCATGCCGAATATTACTGACCGGTTATATATACGACTAGCTGAAGGGGAGAATGAACGCCCCAGCCCGAGCAAAACATTCGTTATACACCGAGTAATACCTTCAAAACAATGGCAACTAGCAAGATAACTAAGGCTACAATCACCCGATCTATCCATAAAGGTACTGCTTCTGCTCCTGTTCCCGTGGGGCTAGCGGTGGAAGGGGGTTGCCGATTTCTGATACCCAGTATCGGAGCTGGTGGATGCGTTGAGAAGCCATCGGCGACGTTTGGCGTTGTCTGAACAAACCCTTCTGCCAGCTCAGCTTCGGATTGCTCAGTTAGTGGTGGCTCACCACCCTGAGCAAGCTCAGAAGAGTTTTCTGATCGGCGGGTTGACGTTGATTGGTCATTCTTAGCTGCCTCAAGCTCATCCCTCCAGCCCATATTTAATTCGGTAGGAACTGATATCTCTTGACACAGAGAAGTGGTTTCTTTACACCGATCTTCGCATTCAGCGATGATATCCGCATTGGACTTGGCACATACAGCGCACTTGAAAGAAACTGATTCCTGGGCCAGCCGGCGGCGAACCGCCTCAGTAGTCTCCATGCCACCTAGCTGGCCTTGCACATCTGTCTCCATGAAGCTGCGGAGCCTATGTCAATATCTCATGTCAGTTAGTTATGCAAAGCAGAGACAAGCATTTGGTAGAGCGCAGATTTCATACGCGACAAGAGCGGTCCGAATGCCCCAAGCCGGCTGCCACGTTTCTTCATGATGGCCACTTATGCTGAGACAGATTTCACGGTTGGCCTCAAAGCGGCCATTTGGGGTAGAGAATCGAAAGCTTGGAGGCCGGAGAGGATATGCGGGAGGTAGGATTATTCGACCATGGTAGACACCTTGGCTATATGCGGAGTTCGGGGGTCCTCGAAGAGTAAAATGCCATTCAAAGAGGTCCGACTCTAATGGCTCCGCGGTATAATCAGGAGACGGTGTATTTGAGAGCTCTGCAGCCTCGCGGACTGGAAGAGGTTTGAGTTAGTGCTTCTACAGAAGAAAAGGGAATCCAGTGGCCAACTTGCGCTGTCTTCACTGCATGCGACCAGATATTGGGAGGAATAGACTAACGTATGCGCCGAATAGTGGGGGATTTAGTGTTAGTGTACGATGCAGCTCCCGTGGACGTCGCCATAGGTTCAAGGGTCAGAGGAATGGAATGGAATGGAATCTTGTTAGTATAGCGCAAGGAGTTGAGCCTAGAAAATGGACGGTGACAGGTGCGTTGGAAAGTTATAGTATGTCACGATAGGATTAGGAAAGCGGTTCATATAGAGAGAAGTGATGGCCTGGGTAAAAAAAAAACAGATGGCATTTAGGAAGCTGGTTCTCAAGATAGGTAGGTACACCTGTCTGCGATTATAGTTAGCTGCAAAGTATTAGAATACTAAAATAGGTATAAGTAAATAAGTAAATAAATAAGTAAATAAATAAATAAATAAATAAATAAATAAATAAATAAATAAATAAATAAATAAATAAATAAATAAATAAATAAATAAATAAATAAATAAATAAATAAATAAATAAATAAATAAATAAATAAATAAATAAATAAATAAATAAATAAATAAATAAATAAATAAATAAATAAATAAATAAATAAATAAATAAATAAATAAATAAATAAATAAATAAATAAATAAATAAATAAATAAATAAATAAATAAATAAATAAATAAATAAATAAATAAATAAATAAATAAATAAATAAATAAATAAATAAATAAATAAATAAATAAATAAATAAATAAATAAATAAATAAATAAATAAATAAATAAATAAATAAATAAATAAATAAATAAATAAATAAATAAATAAATAAATAAATAAATAAATAAATAAATAAATTAATAAATTAAATAAGAATAACTAAAAAATCAAAATTTAAGGAAATAAAATCAAATATAAGTAATAAAATAAAGCAAATAAATTATAATATGATAAGCATAAACATGGTATATAATATATTTATAACCTAACTACCATGTTTAATGTTCTGGTGGGGCTATTCGTGTGCGACAAGCTACTCCACGCTGTCCCGCCAGCTCAGACTGCTAGCTGTCCTTCTGCTGGATGTGCTCTGTGCGTGTAAACGTGTTCAGATTTCGAGCGACGGTTGCCAATCTGAACAGACCATTCGAATTCCCACCGCTCAAGAACCTCACCCTCGTGGGAACACCACTGCGAATTGCCACAACAACAATCATCTCTGTCAACAGAATCGGCTGAGCGTCCAACGACTCAGCTCGACTACCAATGGACTACGAAGCTGTCAAAGAACAATGGAGCGAAGTGGAAGATCGTGATGGCGTTCGCCTCAGCTGGAATGTCTTTCCAAGCTCCCGAATGGTAATTCACTCGCCATGTACAAACCTTGCACAAGCTGATAGATCAACAGGAAGCTTCAAGGCTGGTTGTGCCGATAGGCGCCTTATTCACCCCATTGAAAGAGAAGCCAGATACGCCTCTGCTGCAGTTCGAGCCCGTCACATGCAAGCAGCCTTGTCGCTCGGTCCTCAACCCATTCTGGTAAACTTTCCGTGGCCGATCAGCTCTTTTCGTTGTTTTGCGCATGCTCCCTAACTAACCATTATGTTAGTCAAGTGGATGTTCGTGCTCGTGTATGGATCTGCCCATTCTGCTTGTCAAGAAACCAGCTTCCGCCGCATTACAAAGACATCACCGCAAATGCGATCCCACCAGAATTGCACCCTGCGAACACTACAATCGAATACAGGCTATCAAGACCTGCGACTGCACCGCCTCTGTTCCTATATGTTGTTGATTTATGCCAGGAGGAAGATAGTCTGGTAGCCCTGAAAGAGTCCCTCGTAATGAGCCTCAGCCTGCTTCCAGAAAATGCGCTAGTTGGGCTCATTACGTATGGTACAATGGTGCGTTTATCTCTACTCTCATATGCAGACGATTGTTCACCGTATCTAGGCTCAAGTCCACGAGATTGGCTATGAGGGCTGCGCCAAGTCCTATGTCTTCCGTGGAAGTAAAGACTACTCTGCCAAGACTGTTCAGGAGATGCTCGGCCTGACATCGCATGGACCAAGACCTGGAGTGCCACCACAGGCTGGCCGCCAGATGAACGTTGGATCCACGTCAAGATTCCTGTTGCCGGTCCAGCAGGCTGAGTTCCAACTTACTAAAGTTCTGGAGTCTCTACAAAAAGATCCCTGGCCCACCGCCAGCGACCGGAGAAGTTTACGCTGTACTGGTGTTGCTTTGAGTGTTGCCATTGGCCTAATGGAGTCAACGTTTCAAAACTCTGGTGGTCGTATAATGCTGTTCGCTGGCGGACCCGCAACCGAAGGGCCTGGTATGGTTGTTGGTCCAGAACTAAGGGAGCCGATTCGTTCTCATCACGATATCGACCGCGACAACGCCAAGTATTACAAGAAGGCACTGAAGGTAAGACTGAGTAGATGAAAAACATAACGGGATGCGTACTAACATCAGTGATAGTTTTACGATAACTTGGCCAAGCGTACTGCTCACAATGGCCACATCATAGATATATTTGCAGGCTGTCTTGACCAAGTTGGTCTGCTTGAAATGAAGGGGCTTTGTAACTCAACGGGCGGCCATATGATTCTCACTGACAGTTTCACATCTTCAATGTTTAAACAGTCATTTGTGCGCATTTTTGAGAAAGATGGCGACGATAACCTCCTGATGGGCTTCAACGCGGTCCTTGAAGTCCTGACAACTAAGGAGCTCAAGGTTACCGGGCTGATTGGTCACGCAGTGTCCCTCAATAAAAAATCAGTGTCTGTTGGTGAGACGGAGTGTGGTATGGGCAACACCTGCTCATGGAAAATGTGTGGCATCGATCCTAATTCTAGCTATGGTATTTATTTCGAAGTTGCAAACCAAGGGCCGACAACTCATCAGCAGGCACCTCAAAAGGGAATGATGCAGTTTCTAACATATTACCAACACTCCTCGGGCCAATTCCACCTTCGCGTGACGACTATTGCTCGGAACTTGAGCGGCCCTGCTGGAGATCCAGCCATTGCGCAGTCCTTTGACCAAGAAGCAGCAGCTGTGCTGATGTCACGGATAGCTGTATTCAAGGCTGAGGTTGATGATGGGCCGGATGTACTCCGCTGGGTGGATAGGATGTTAATCCGGCTTTGCTCAAGATTTGCAGACTATCGAAAGGATGACCCGACTTCGTTCCGCTTGGAGAAGAACTTCACACTGTATCCTCAATTCATGTTCCATCTTCGCAGGAGCCAGTTCCTGCAAGTCTTCAACAACTCGCCTGATGAGACTGCATTTTACCGCCACGTGTTGAACCACGAAGACGTTAGCAATTCCCTCGTCATGATCCAACCAACTCTGGACTCATACACCTTTGATCAGGACGGTGGTCAGCCTGTTCTGCTTGACTCTGCGTCCATTCAGCCAACCCATATCCTTTTACTGGATACCTTTTTCCACATTCTCATTTTTCATGGTGAGACGATTGCCGAGTGGAGAAAGGCTGGCTACCAGGAGCAGGAAGGCTATGAGAATTTTGCCGCTTTATTAGAACAGCCAAAAGAAGACGCTAGGGTGAGTGCGAGGGGGGGAGAGAGAAAAAGAAGAAGAATAAAACTTGGTTCAGAAGTAACTAATGGTGCTGTATAGGATCTTATCACGGACCGGTTCCCCCTCCCCAGATTCATTATTTGCGATGCAGGTGGCTCTCAGGCGAGATTCCTGCTGTCCAAACTAAATCCATCAACGACTCATACGACAGGAGCATACGGTGGCGTTGGTGCAACCTCTGCCCAAACCATTTTCACTGATGATGTGTCTCTGCAGACATTTATGGACCATTTGATGAAGTAAGCAATACATACAAAGAAGACTAAGATGTCGAAAATTATACTGATAATGGTGATAGGTTGGCTGTTAGCGGCACGAACTAAAATGTATAATAGATGGGTTATTACAGATAGTAGTAAAATCACGGAGACTTGCTGGCTATGTGGAGAATCAACTCAAAATGAAGTATCACCTTTTTTGGGGACCCCAAGCACAATCCTGTGTAACTTAAATCTAATGGTTAATAATACATACAGTACAACTATTTGCGGCATACTTACGTATATACTGTACTTACTATGTACTACATATGTACCGATGTGATGGAGTATGTACTGTATGTATATACGTAGAAATCATTTTGTATGAATTGGCTACTCTCTATGTATAGCTCAGCGTTGTGCACATTTATGTAGAGGAGAGTCAGAAAGAGAGTTTTGTTGGTTTCAGTTGGAGCTAGCGCATTGGCTTGAAGCTGAAGCGGAGCCGAGAACAATATATGAACCCAAAGATAATACTAAGGCGCCGACATTCTAGAAAAGACAAACAGTAGCAAACAATGGCACAACGTATTTTGTCACCACAAACATAATATCTAGTACCTTGGTATATAAGTATATGCTCAATGCGACAATGCGATGTTAAAAATTCTGCAGGCTCTGGGCCGATTTGGCTAGTTACCAGTTGCGCTCAGCTCAACGTGACGACTTGCCCTTGGTATCCAGTAAAGTGGCTACATGGCTGACGCTTCCGTAGAACAATGCTAAAGAACAATGCTTATGCTTGATAATGATCTGGAAAGAGGTTTCCAATCTCGAGGTGCGTCTACGCCGGCCAGGCAGGGATAAAAAGGTTCGGTGATGCGCTGCAAGAAGACTATCTCATCAACCACAGCATCTTCACACTTCCAACACTCAAACATCTAATTCCAATCTCTTTACAAAGCTTTTACGCTTTCACCACACTCTAAACAACACAATGGCTTCCGAGGGCGTTCAATCCTTTTCCGCCGTCCAGGCTAAGAAGGGCCAGTCTCCGCAGAACTCTCCCGCCACGTCTCAGTTTATCGGCTACCTTGGCTGCACCATCATGTAAACAAACCAAACAAAACAACAGAAAAAAAAAAAAAACAGAAAAAAAAAACAGGCGGAGCCCAACAGACAACTTACACTCGTCGCTGCAAATTTCCTTGAGCAGTTTTCCCGCGGCATCTCATGGCAAGCTCTCAACTCGGATTTTTCTCCGCCAATTTCTCTTGCAACAATTATAATATTTTCAGGCCTCTTATCCAGCAATTTGCGATATTTGGCTTTTTCTGCTCCAATCGTCTCTGGGGAGTTATGATGGCATGACTAGATGAGACACTGTTGAGCTGGTACTCAGGATTATGAGAAGGACGGACATGGGGATATTTAAAGTCATCATGCATGCTTCTACATCAGAGAGCTATGCAGTACATAAGACCACCTTCTGAATATAAATGTTTTCCCTTATTATTTAGCAGAAAGTGTCTCTTGCCTTGATTAGTGACTTGTCTGTCATCCGCCCCTGGCTATGAATACCTACTTGGTATTGTATACTGCCTACGCCTAAGAAACGGAATTGTTTTTCTTTTCTTTTCTTCTTTTCTTAATATCCAGCGACATCCAACATGCAGCTTTAGCCTTTGTTGTTCCCAGTCAACCCACGATAGACGAAAACTCGGTGTGAAAGTAGCTCTTTTTACATACTTGTACTCGTCACAGCCATCACCAACGTTGATTTACAACCCCACGATGCTGCCTCAATCGTACTAGGCAGTTTACAGCAGCAAGGGACCCCAGTCCAAACTCGGGCCCCTGCATCGCTAATCCCTGCCAAGCGCGTGAACTCAGCTGTGGTAATTCCTGTAACATCATCCATAGCAGGTACGCGAGCGCAACCTGCTTGCTGCGATCATCATCGGCGTCATCACCGCCGTCACCATCACCACCGCCATCTCCATCACCATCACCGCCAACACCAACCATCGTCACCATCACCACGCGCCAACAAGACCGACGCTGCCCTTCTGAATAGCCCCACTGAGCCAAGGCTACCAGCATCAGACATCGCCTTCATCCAAATCGAAGCCAATTGCGGTCGGCCGGCATCAAGAGAAGAGCTTTTGCGCTCCAGTCCTCGGTAGGTTGCGCGACGCCTTCTGCAGCGCCGTCTTCCTTTGTCTCACAGCACACAAGACACAAGCACCATGGCACACGTTGATTCCGATTGCGCGAGAGGCAAGGCTTCGAGGCACAAGTGACGGAAACTTGCGCCTTGTTGAAGGCTGGAAGTGAACATCAGATGCAAATTCAGGCGCCGAGCTCTTCTTCAGGCGGACTGGTTGAATCAGTGACAGTCTCGCATCCTCAGCTCTCTTGTCATCCTGTCTGTTGGTTCTCACATAGCAAACAGTAAGTGGTACGCAGCGATGGAACTTCTACCAGCGAACCGTGTCTTCTACATCTTATGCCGCCAAGCCGAAACCACTGCAAAACGAGCAAGCTTGGCGGTATATTGCTCCTGAGCATGATGATGCCGTGACGCTCCTAGGACAGCAGCTTAGAATGATTTCTGCTTGTATTGTGACTGGACAACCTGAATTGCAACAGCTGCGACCCTACAGATCACCTCACTAGATACTTTCTGGCGGCCTGACACCTTTCTTCCTCCGCTCATCTCTCCTCCTCTCGCGCATATTTTGTTTATACGTTTGTTCAATGTGGAATCTTTACTGACAAAGTGGCTGGCCTTCAGGCATCTCTATCTGCATACACAATTTTGGGGATATATTCTCTAGCGCCTGCAACAGCTTTCGTCGACTGCTGCTTATCAAGATTGACCCCTTCTCAGTTCTCAGACACTGTACATTGATCAATAATTGCCCAAGCCATACTTTTTTGTTATATATTCATCATACTATCGCATAAAAGAGGCGCTGTAGCTATCATTGCTGCTCTTCTGCTCCTGCCATTTCATTAAACCTTATCATCAAATGATAACCCGAATCATCGACATCTTCGGACTCAACTGAACAGGCAGAGATATTGTTCTTCCATGGCGTCATCAGAGGTGGACCAAAAGTATCTGGGGCGATTAGCCAGGGCAGTCGAAAATGACAACACCATACTCTCATCAACTCTCTTCAAGATCTTGGGCCTCTCGCTTAGGCTTTCTGAGAAGCTCGTCGAGGTGAAGAAGCAGCGCAAGCCAGATGCCACCCTCCACGAAAACATCATGCGCATCCTTTGGCTAGCGCGTGAAGGCCTCAAAATGCTGCAAGAATATGTCATTCCTTTCGTCAGCAACTGCGTCGAGTTAAAGGTTTTGGCCTATAAGCTACGCGCCAGCTTCCACCACATCTTTGTCCTGTTTCGAAACCAGCCTCGCGTATCCAATATGCCGGGCTGGGATCCCGATGCTGTGTCCGCTGAACGAGAGAAAGACATCATTAGCGCAGACGACTATGAACAAACAATGCGACATACTCTAGAGGGGGGTCCCGTCGGCCCTCCTCCTGGTTTTGAAGCTCCTGTTTCGGCCCTCTCTCTCTCTTTCCTGCTGCCTGCCAAGGACTACCTGCCCACAGCCCACCAGTATTTCGAAGAAGCTGCGCAATTGGCTGATAGACTGCTCTGGGGCTCTCACTCTCTGCGCTTATCTGTTAAGACGGAATACGCCGCGTTTCTCTACGAATGTGTCCATGACGCCAATGGCAGCCGCAGTCTGGCGAGAAACACGATCAATGAGGTATATGAAGCTACTGAAGGCATGGATGACGACATGTTTCGGGATGCGTGTGAATTGGTCACCGTTTTGGGCAAGATGATGAAGCGTGGCCTTGGATCTAGCAACACGCTTCACAGCAAAGCCCAAGCGCCACACTCTGTCCATTCTGCTGAGGCTACTCCTCCCATCGGCATGGAAAATCCAATATAGTCTGTAATAGGTGTGGTGATGAGAGCGAGCGGGCTTGAATCCAAACCCCCTTGTCGAGCACGACAGGGTTATGCCATTCTGATGTCTTGATCAGGTTGGCCGAGCTCATTTACGAAACGACTTCTCATGTGTATTTTATTTTCTCCCAGTGTACTCCTCCTTCAGCGTGCAGAGAGCATAGCCGCTAATCGACAAAGCAAACAGCATATTGATAGCTAATCTTGGTATACATATATCCCTGTATTTAGTTAGTGTTTAGGTGTTTTCCCCCCTCTTCTCTTGAACTACCATCTCTCCAGCTAACACAGCTGATTATGATACGCCTTAGGCATTCTTCCGGTATATAACGGAAACAATTCGTATCCAACGATCGGTGATGTTATGATATAACCGTATAAAACCTCCCAAGGCTGGCTCCCTTGCAGCGTCCTCACATGGCTTATTGGCATCAATCAATAATGGCGAAAGCTGAGCTTTGCTCATTAATACATGTTCATGTATATAACTTGGCACAGCTGCTAAGGCTTTATGTCCCTGTTGGCCTGGCCACCGTCCCTCCCTTCCGGCGTCTCGCAGGCATATTCATCAGCGATTCATGGCTGATCTCATTGATTCCCGAGATCTTGTGCCCGCTCAATTGTGCCAGCTTAATAACATTCCCAAATGCAAAGGCGACGGACGACTCCCCAATTTTGACACCGGGCCCCGGTTCGCAGACAATCATTTGCCCTGGGTCTTGGTCACTAGGGAAAAGAGGCGTGACCTCGTCTATATCTTGCCGGTCACCAGACGCCGCTCTCCATAGCTCCCAGCAGTTGAAAGCCCCGACTTCCTGACTCTTTGCGTTCGGTAAGCGGTTCCGCACATTCGAGATGGCTTGCTGCTGTCGATTCCTTGGCTCGGTACGGGGCCGGCGACGGAGCCCAATTGCACTTCCATCATGCAGAACTCTCCAAACGCCGGGCTTGTCTATGCGTTTCTTTGTTTGTACAGCTTCAGACCAACCGCACCACCCGCTAATAGCTCGATCAACACCATAATTCTGCAGAAAGATAGCGTCATCGTCCTCATGAGGTATAAACGTGTGTAGGATACCGTCGCCAGAGTCCAGCGCCTGGTAGCTGAGTGTGAAAGATTTGAGCCCTATTGATATGGCGTTCGATGCCCGATGATAGGAAAAAGCACAGTCGAGCGAACGCGGGCGCAAGTTCTCCGTGGGAAAGCTCCAAGCAGTGGATCCATCATTCAGGTTTATGAGATGAACATCCGACTTTGACGATGCAAGAAAGTAAGGTAGGGGCGAAAGAGGTACAACTTGGTGTATTTCATCGCCCGCAATCTTTCCCGTATAAATTGTGGGATCCCCCCACGACAATCCAATTCTTTCTACAATATGTATATCTCCACTTCGAGATGTTGCGATGAGGAAAACACTGGGTCTTTGGTGCTCGCCAGCTGTAGGATAGAAATAAAGCCTCGTTGGTCAGCCCTGACTTTAAGCCTGCGCTTCAAAAATGGGATGAACGGACGCTCGACTCACCTGTACTTAGAAGTTGGCGGGCACAAGTTAGCCCGGAGCAAAGTGTGAACTCGCTGCTTTCTCCTGACGTCGGCTCAAGATCTACGACGGTTCCATTCTTCCATACTATAACGGGCTTTGGGATGTCTAATGATGAATTCGGCTCTAAAAAGAAAGCAGTAGGCTTCTGGTTGAAGGTTTCTATAGCCACAATAGGGCCCCGCACGTTGGTTGCAATGCTCCAAAAGGTGACAGCATCCGACGACAGAATTGCCAGCCAGTCCGAGTCTTCGTTAATGGCAATCGAAAGCACGGGAAATTTTATACCGATATCTCTTTCCGGGTCAGAGATTGTGTAGCATCGATTCTCATTGTTGAGATCCCAGAGACAGATTTTACGGTCCAAGCCAACAGACACAACGTATCCCCCAGAGGAATATGCGAGTATGGCTATATCAAGGCTATGCCCTCCAGATAGTGTGACAACCTCTAGGCTCGTCTCCTCGCTAGGATCGCTGAGCCCTTCTCGCTTCGCCTTGTCATCTGGTAAGAGATAGGTTGTAAGTCGGCGAAGCAGATAGACTACAAGGAAGTCGATGAAAACGAGCGCAGTGAGCTGATGATTGATAAAGTCGAGTACTGCCGGGGATAGAATGGACTCTTTCATCCGAGGTACTCGATTGGACCCCTTTTTTACAAAAACCAGAGGCTCATAGACTCTGGCTATGTAGCTATAGGCTGAAGGGTTTATGATGCGAATGATCTCGTGAGCTGCATCGTGGTCTTGCAGCAGTAGCCAAGACGTAGGACTCCTGGCTTGATGGATTTCCTTGAGGAGAGACGTCTTTGAAGGAGATGAGATGCCGGGCTCTAGACTTTTGCCGCCGTATAGCTGGGATAGCCGCCGCGAAATATCCCCATCGCCAAAAAAATGGGATTGGGCGATGAATACGAAGCCCAGGACGACAATTGTTCCAGCAACTCTCGTTGACAATGCAATTTTCCCTTCGAGTATGCGCTTCACCCAGGAGGAATTGCGCTTCTGGCTCGAAATGCGATTACGACGCATGGACTCTTTTGCGAGAGCATCCCCAAGCTCCATCCGACGCACATCAACACTGAGAACAGAAAGGAAGAAGGTAGATAGATAAAACGTATCCAGTACAATTGCAACAGCCGCAAAGATGCAGAACTCGGAGACGCCCGGTGAGACAACGCATGATAAGGCTACTAGAATCGCGCAGTTTTGGATAGAGGTTGCCAAGGCAGCAGGCGCAATCTCGCCAAAAGCATACCCTATTCTGTTGCTCGTACTGTCTTCCGAAGGGGTGCGAATCAAGGCATTCATCAGTCGAAGGACATGCTCCAGGCTCATGATGAGCACTATCAAGGGGTATGCGGCTCGCGGAATACGGGAAAGGTCGAGGTTCAGAAAAGCGCAGACAGTGAGGCTGGACACGATCGAGAGGAATATCTGGGCAATGACGGTGATTATAAGGCCAACCTTGGACTTGATTGCGCGAAGCTTTGTTAGATTTATAAGGAAGTACAAGAGGGCGACGGCATAGGCGACGGCAAAAATGATGGAATCCTGCGCAGTGATCGGTCTGAATTTGAACTCATAGAGCTGGCTGCCTGAGACTTGACCATTGGCAGGATACATGTCCCACTTGTCACCTACCTTGGAGGGCAAAGATGGCGCAATCTGTTCCCACTGGTGACCAACGGGCGACGCACTTCGGTATAAGAGCGTGATGACGAGGGCATCGGCGGCTAGCAAACGGCGATCTTCAAATCGCTTGCCACTAAAAACAATGGAGTGCCGTAAGGTGATGTTTGCCGGCGTGGACTGGTTCTTCCTGTCGTTGACCGTTGCCAGAATATCGTCGTCGGCCAGGATGCGTTCGCGGGAGCAGTTCCAGTACAGCAGGGGCGATTGAAATGCCCACGACTGGTCGGTCAGGCCATTGACGACGTGGAGGGCATCGCGCTGGGCTGGCGATAAGAGAGCATTGGGGTCGTCGGGAGGAGGCAAGCCAGAATACCTGGCAGGGCCAAAGTCTTTCGTCGTGCCTAGAAGCTCGTCCTGCAGCTCGAGAGCCGACAGGAGGACATCCGGGCTCAGGGCCTGCATGTAGCTCGAATGGATCCAGATGGAGCGCATGGTGATGTCGGGCACGATGGCCGCGTCGTAGCGGAGAGGCTGGGCGGCGGTCCATACATGATGAGGGAGGTTTGAGGCTGCGATGATGAAGTCGGTGGTGTACAGGAACGGCACCGGGTAGATCAGCAGGGAGGCAACGCCGGCCGAGGCCAGCAGCGTCCGGATGGCATTGCGAGACGCATTTCGGCCGTAGCGAGCAACAGCCCGCCGGAATGGGTGAGACGGTGCGAGGACAGGAGCCTCTGTTGTTCTATGGCGCAGATATCCATGGTCAACACTCAGCTTGGGATGGGATGGGATTGGAGGTGGATGGCGCTATCTAGAGCAAGAGTAGCGAGGGAATGGGATCGAGCGTGTCCTCACCCTCGCAGCGGATAGAGCAGGTACCAGATCATCTGGATCTCGGCATCGATTGAACTGCTGGTTGCGCGATGAGGTGGTGCGAGAAGCCTCCGCAGCTCAAGACCGAACGACCGATTGGCGCGGCAGCTGTCAGGTGGCCCCAGTATATAGACATGATCGGAGATCTGGGCCTCGATCCTAACGCGATTTGGCCGTACCTACTTTAGTATTGCCGTGGCCAGGTCTCAGCTTTGCAGAAATGCCCCCATACTGTGAGCATGTGGTACGAAGTATGTGGTACATAGTAAACAGCTTAAGCTACTGAATCAACGGCGGCTAACCACCTCACAGTGGCACCAAACCATTAAAGAGACAGATACTACTAATAACACAGAATATATACAGGCATATCATACTCGACCATTGAGCACGTGTGCGATTGCTAACTCTTCATCCATTTCCGCTTTGACCGCTGCTCTTGAGATTAAACAGTACAGTAAGCCTTACAAGTATATTCTGCGTAGATGCAAAAGTAAAAGTGCGGAGAATGCTCGCAGCGTTGCAGGGTACCCCTGTATTTTCCTCGCCGCAGCGACGCCGTAGGTCCAGCGCCGCTTTCTTGACGGCTTCACCCAACCACAGTCGGCGGACATGCGACTGCGATCTGCGAGGGCTACAGCAATGGCAGAGTGAACAGACCGCCAGCCGAGGGAAATCCAAGCACTGGCCAGACTCGCTTCATCTTCCTAGACGCCTCTTCAAATACCGATACACCGACACCCGCTGTTTAGCGACGCCGACACCGCCCAGGTCGAGGGGCAGATTGAGCGGCTGCCTCAGCCAATCTCGAACAGCGACAGCGATTTCATCTTCCGCGTCCACCCACGCATCACGCATCACGCATCCACGCATCCACGCACCAATGGGATCGGAGGCAGACTCTACACAGGGCGGCAGCCAAGCAGCGGCTGCTCCCAATCCCTTCAATTTCCAGACGCAGGTGATATCGACAACCCCTGTCAAATCGGTTCGTTACACATGCCTACACAACGTATCGAGATGCGCGCTTGTTCCCTCAAACTGACCGCTCCAACGACAGAACGTCGGCCAGCGTCGCGGGCACCGGTATAAGCATAGCAGCGTGTCGGCCCAGCATCAAATCTTCCAAGAGCCGCCTCCAAGACCGCCTCCCGTCCTCCCCGCATCGCTCCCCACGCCCACCTTAAAAGAGGCCTGGAAGAGCTTACAACGAGACCAGCGCATGCGTCTCTACTGGGGCCTGTGCCATGTCGCCATTGCCATGTTCATATTCTACAGGTCGGGGGGCTCTCTTGCTGCCATGGCCTTGTCTCACCTCGTCTTCTTCGACGCGGGCAGCGCTGCTGTTTGCGTGGTGGTCGACGTGCTAGGCAATTTCGAAGTGTGGCGTCGCAGCAGCATTAGACACCCCTTTGGCCTTGAACGAGCAGAGATCCTTGCGGGCTTCGCTATGTCTATTTTCCTCCTGTTTGGAGGGTTCGACCTGCTCTCACACAATCTAAAACACATCCTCGAGTCGGTTGGAGACCACGAGGCTCACCACGAACATGAACATGCTCACGACCATGTCTCCTCCAACTCTCTTGATCTTGTGTCAGCTGCTGCAATTGCGAGTACACTTGTGTCCGCTTACGGGTTGAAAAATCATGCTCGGATTGCCAAGGTCATGAGAGTTTCATATCTGGCTACCCTGCCCAGCATACTCTCCAACCCTTTCCACTTTTTCACCCTCTTCTTCTCCGCCCTAATTGCTTTGTTGCCCTTGCTATCTATTTCCTTGTACGACTGGCTCGACCGGCTGATCTGCGCCGTTATTTCTCTTGCAATGTTCAGTTTGGGCATGCGTGTTGCTGTTGCCCAGGGACTAATGCTCCTCATGTCTTATGGCGGCAACAGAGGCGATGTTGGTGTCACAGCCGTTCTCCGTGAAATCGAATCCGAATCAGGTATTGCTCGCATAGACGGTGCCCAATTCTGGCAAGTCCACTATGGCTTGTGCATGGCCAACTTGAAAGTCATCATTACGAATGGATATGATGAACTGGCACTGGGAAAGCTGCGCAATCGGATATCAACTTTGATACAGAATAGATTAGGGGAAGGCTATGGCAACGGAGGCAATGTGAGGTGGGAAGTGACTCTAGAAACGACTGTTGATGCTACGATTTGAAAGATTATTGCATGGTGAATCCACTGAGTTATACTCTGCAAACGAAATGGTTGAGTTGCGTCGACGCATATACATATACATATATACATATTTGATAAATCAATAGACTGTAATTCAGATCTAATCCTAAAACTCTTTCCTTTTCCCTCTTTCTTTTCCTTTTCTCATTGCGTAACTGTCATTCATGTCTTCATAGGGGATGGTCATAGCGCTTTATACACGGGAACGTAAACAAAGGGACTTTGCAGATGAAGAGTAAACATGACTTAGTGGAGAACTATCATCACCACACATCCAACCTCATATAGCCGAACATGGTATACAATAGCTAACATGTGCAGAATGCCTGCAATCTGGGTCTTGTGATGATTGGCTCAGAAGAGCCCCCATCGTCCACGGTCCTTGTTAGCTCCTCCTCTTCTTGAATTCGTTCCATGGTCTCTGTCTCTTCCTTCTAATTGCCGGAGACTATCCATTTTCTCGAGGACCAATTCCAATAGCTCTTTCCTCCGGATGACATCGAGGTGGCGACGGATCTTAGGATCTTCCTTGGCGAACTTCTCAACCTCCTCTGCGGATAGATGCCGTCCGAGACGAAGATCTAGCTCTCGTGGGAAATTGTAGTAAAACTCTGACAGTAATTCTACGTTGAGGAAGAGAACAGCTGTGGAAGCCAACTTTGTAGCTGCGGCGTCCAAAAAGACTTCCGGGCAATAATATTTGTTTTTAGGATTGTTGCACTGCTTCGATTTGACGGCCAGCATTCGCATCTTGATAAGGTCGGCTCTGTCTCGAAGAAAGATAGCCTCTCTCCCTATAATCGATGTTAGCATCATGAACAACCTATGCATATGACTCCTCGGAAACTGACCTTTACTCAGGAGGGCAGCGCTAAAGCCGCCCGCGCCGCTTCGCCCATCGCCCTCTACAACGATGTCACCCTTTCGCGCCTTGTCCACAAAGGCCATTACTTCCTTTAGCTTCCTGCGGCCCCCGACAGCTGGCTCCAAGCTGGCCAGAGCAGCCTCGCAATCTTGCAACTCCTTCTTGAGAACAGTGCCAACGTGCTCGCGGCCTTGATTCCACTCTCTTTCATCGACCTCAATGTCAAACTTGAAGGGTTTGATGCAGTTTTCAACCTGATCACTGGTGCTGTAGAATCTTTCGTTGAGAATGGTTGATGCGGCATCAGTGATGGCTTTCTTGGCGAAAGGATGGCTCACAAAACTCGAGTTTGTCAGCAATTTATCAACATGGGCTTGGAGAGATGCCGCGATGACCGTGGTTGCCAAGCGCCCAACTCCTAGCTTCGTAAGAGCCGAAGTCGAAGCATCTAGCTGACGACGCCAGTAAAGAGAATCGGGATCGGACTTGGGGAGGTCAGCGAGGTTGTCGAGGTCCAACTTCGCCTGCGCCAAATCTGTCACTGGCTTGTTCCAGTAACGCGCGGCTAGCAGGTCCAGTACTTTCTGATCAAGAGCACTCTTCAAAACCTCATGCATTTCTGGGCGCCCAAATTCTTCGGTAAACTGTTTAAACGAATGCTTGAAAGCATCGAGGCTTTCGGCAAGGTAGGATTCCGCAGAGAGAGGGCGATCGTTGTACTGAACTTTGAATTCATAGGTTGCCTCTTCCAGTTCCTGTCTAATGGCATCGCTTGTGCTCTGCAAGCTAGATGACATGGTCTGTTCCAGCACACGCATTAATGTCTTTCGAAGATTCAATGTGCCCACATTGACGCCTGCGTCTGGCCCAAACTCAAGAGGATGCGATGAAAAGTAGGAATTTTCATTCTTGGAGATCGCTGCAAGTAGATCTGAAGAACCCATCTTGAACAAGCCTTGTGAGAGCGGTGCCTTTGTCACAACTCCGACGTAACCCAGCCGTAGAGGATATTGTGTATCGTTAAGAATGTTGGCACCGCGGGAAGGATCTACCAAATCCATCTTGGTAATGACTCCAATAGTTCGTTCGCCTCGGGGATCGACTCTCCGCGACGCTCTAAGGGCTGCCGAGTTTGCTAAATCGACATCCGCAGCAGATATGGCGAGAATCACGTTGGGTGGTTGGATGTATTTGTCACATAACTCAGATATCTTCTGCTTCAGCTGCAAGGGTTGGTTCTGTCCCACAACCTGGATGTAGCCGGGGAGATCGATGAGAGAAAGGTCAGGAACGTTGCGCGAATATATCGTCAAGTGAATGGGGTCGTCTGAGACACATTCTGCGTCCGAAACAGCCAAGTTTAGCTCTGTCAAAGTTCGCTGGATCGAAGAAAAGTCGGAGATTTTGCGTAAACCGAGGTCTGGAAACTCTCCATATTCCTCAACCGACTCGGGTGTGTTGACCAGGGTCAATTCAATCGGTCTGCGAGTAACCATATTGCTTCCCTTTGGTAAAAATTCGTGGCCCACGATGGCTTCCAACACTGAGCTCTTTCCAGACGATTGCGAACCAATGACAACGATGGATGGCAGAGTGAGAGAGCTGGACTGGCCGACCTTTTGCAGTATGCTCCGAATCTCAATCATCTTTTTCGTTAATACCATCATCTGATCATCCTTGGAGGCTTGTAATGGATCTCGCGAATCGTCGTTTTCAGTTTTCTCGTAACCAACAGCGGCAGCTGAAGCACCCACGGCAGCAGCAGCGCCGACTTTACTGTGTTTAGGATCGCCATTAGGTCCCCCTGAGCCGCCAGAGCCGGTTTCCTCATTCTTTCCTAGCATGTTCTTCAACCAATCGGGGGCCTCTAGTCGTTCTTTCGTGCTTTCCCAGCCTTGGCGTGTTTGATCCGCGACATCTTTGGCAGATCCGTATAGGCTGGATGCCGTACCGCTCACTGTGTCAAAAGTTGTGCTGAAGAGTGAGATGGCATAATTGCCAGCCTCTGCAATCAGTCAGCCAACATCGCTCGTAAGGCATGATTGGAGATGAAAGTCACATACGTGTGGCCTGATACTGAACCCAAGCAAAGCCACCAATGGCCAAGCCGCCAAACAAGGCAGGGACTCTGGCAAACTTGACCACCAATTTGGGCAAAAGCCGGACAAAAGACGCATTTCGAGCAATGACCAGGTTGTGGATAGAGTTGCCCCCATACCACATGCGTTTTCTAGTTTCTCGAATCGAGGCATCTGCTCGGAGTAGCCCTCCAGTTGGAAATCGGTGTAAGTGGCGGACGGCTGCGGTGGAGGTATTTCGCGCCGCTACAGGCCGCAGACCAGCTGCGAGGAACCGGCCGCTCATCGTGGTCGGGCTCTTCCAGTCTGGGCAATTGTTCTATTGACGACCATGTGGCCTCGCACCACGCCTGGAAGAGAGTCGAGAAGTTATAGTGATGTTGGAGCAGTGATAGAGGGCATGGCGGCGCCGCATTGATCCCAATATATGGTAGGTACCTAATGCGCTGGGCGTTGAAACCAGCCCACCTCTTATCGCCACGTGATGGCGTTATCGGCGCAACTCTCCGACAAAATTTCTGGATTGCTCGAGAGTCTGGCAGAACGCTTGGGATTCATCTGCGTGATTGGCGTTTCCTCAGCATCATGGCGATTCAAAAAAAGCACGGCAAAGGCCGTCTTGATAAGTGGTACAAGCTTGCCAAAGAAAAAGGTTACCGTGCCCGTGCTGCATTCAAGTTAATCCAATTGAACAAGAAGTATGGCTTCTTGGAGAAGAGCAAAGTCCTGCTGGATCTTTGCGCCGCGCCTGGAGTAAGTTGCTTCTTGTTTTCACCATATTCGATTTGACTTGATTTTCCTCTTCTTTTTCTTCAGCTTTCTTTTCCTCACGGTCATGCTAATGATACTCTAGTCATGGTGTCAAGTTGCTGCAGAGGTTATGCCTGTTAATAGTTTGATTGTTGGCGTCGACTTGGCGCCCATCAAGCCTATTCCCAGAGTCATTACTTTCCAGAGCGATATTACTACAGAAAAGTGTCGCGCTACCATCCGACAACACCTCAAGACATGGAAAGCGGACACAGTTTTACACGATGGTGCCCCGAACGTCGGTACCGCGTGGGCTCAAGACTCTTTCAACCAAGCAGAACTTGCGCTGCAGTCCATGAAGCTGGCGACCGAGTTTCTCGTGGAGGGAGGCACGTTCGTGACCAAGGTTTTCAGATCGAAAGATTATAACCCATTGCTATGGGTCCTGAACCAGCTATTCACAAAGGTCGAAGCCACTAAGCCCCCGTCGTCTCGAAATGTCTCGGCCGAAATCTTCGTCGTCTGCCGCGGATACAAAGCGCCAAAGCACATGGACCCTCGGTTCTTGGATCCAAGATCGGTTTTTGCAGAGCTATCCGGCGCTGCTCCAAACAACGAAGCCAAGGTCTATAACCCAGAAGTGAAGAAGCGAAAGCGTGACGGTTATGAGGAAGGCGATTGGACTCAGTTCAAGGAAGTATCCGCCAGCGCCTTCATCCAGACGAACGATCCGATCGCAATTCTTGGTTCCTCCAATAAAATCTCCTTTGCTCAAGCGCCCAATGGCGACATTGCGCTGGCCGCTTTGGATAAACATCCTGAAACAACCCCAGAGATCCGACAGTGTTGTGACGATCTGAAGGTTCTCGGGCGAAAAGAATTCAAATTGCTTCTCAAATGGAGATTAAGAGTGCGAGAGATTTTCGGCCTCTCAACAAAAAAGTCGACGGCCCCTGAAGTCTCCGAGGAGGTGGTTGGAGTGGAATCAATGGATGAAGAGCTGCGAATCCAAGAAGAATTACAAGCTATGAAAGACTCGGAGAATTCCAAGAAGAAGCGAGAGAAGCGCAAAGAGAACGAGAAAAAGCGCCGAGAAATCATCAGAATGCAGTTGAACATGATGGCGCCCATGGATATTGGAATGGAAGAATCAGGACCACAAGGAGAAGGAGCCATGTTCTCCTTGAAGCGCATGGACAAGACAAATGGTATGAACCGCTTCACTCGGGGTAAAATGGCCGTAGTGTCAAACTCGAAAGATTCCAATCCAGACGAGACGCTGGCAGCTACCGCAGATCCAGTTGAAAGCGACAGCGAGGAAGATGATTTGGAGAAAGATCTTGATGCTATGTATGAACAATACAGAGAGCGGAAACTAGAGACGGACACCAAGTATCGTGCGAAAAAGGTGAGAAAGGAACATGGTGATGATGAGTGGGAAGGCCTTTCAGCGGATGAGAAGGCAGAGAGTGACGCAAGCGAATTTGAAGAGGAGGATGACACATCTGATGACGACGACGACGAATCTGGGCCTGCGGCCGGACTCTTGACGGACTTGGATGGCAGCGCAGAGGAAATCCAGGATGGACTATCAAAAAGAGCGGCTGCTTTCTTCAACCAAGATATCTTCAAAGAGATAACTGAAGGGTCACTGCTGGGGGAAAATGATGCGACAGTTCAAGCATCTGGTACGAAGACACGTCAACAGACTCTACCCACAGAGAAAGCAACGCAGTCTGTAACCCTAAACGGTGTCGCGAGTGACGACGACGAATCAATGGATGACAACGGATTCGAAGTCGTTAGAGCGGAGAACGATGACTGGGAAGAAGCAGACAAACGACGATCGGATGGAAGACTTGGTAAGTTTTTTTTTTTGCACCGCTATTCCTATCGTTAAAAACGGTACCACAGAAATAAATTAATGAAGCTAACTTGGATAGACATCGATATTATCACGGCCGAAGCAATGACGCTTGCGCATCAGCTTGCCACGGGACAGAAGACAACCCATGATGCTATCGACGATGGGTTCAACAAGCGTGCTTTCCGAGATAGAGATGGCCTGCCGGATTGGTTTATGGATGATGAAGGCAAACATGACAAGCCTCAAAAGCCAATTACGAAGGCCGCCGCGATGGCGATCAAGGAAAAGCTGAGAGCCTTCAACGCCCGACCAATCAAGAAAGTGCGAGAAGCAAAGGCTCGAAAGAAGTTCAAGACAGCCCAGAGATTCGAGAAACTGAAGAAGAAGTCAGACATGCTTGCGGCTGATGAAGGCATGACGGAGAAGGAGAAGGCGGAGAGCATCTCTAAACTCATCAGCAAAGCTGGAAAACAGAAGCCTCGACAGCCCGCCAAGCTCGTCGTTGCCAAGGGATTGAACAGGGGTATCCAGGGCAGACCCAAGGGTGTAAAGGGGCGATACAGAATTGTTGATGCTAGAATGAAGAAGGAGCTGAGAGCGCAAAAGAGGATCGCAAAGAGGAAGAAGTAAAAGAGGCCGCGTTTGGCCGTATATATTAGCTCGGCTCCGCGGGAGAAACTCTAGACTCAAAGCGTTGATTCATCTGTTCGAGACATAGACTGCTTGATGGTTCCAAGTTCCCGAAGGAACGAAGTCATTGGATACAAGGGACCGCTAAATTCCATATCATACCTAATATAGAAGTTAGAGAGTTAGAGCGCAATGTGTGTATAACTCGCAAACACATGTATATATATGTGTCTTTGAGACTTACCAATAGTTGATAGCTAAAACAAATCCTTCACCACCGCTGATACACGACTGCTTGACTTTATGATACCTTGGATGAGGATTAGCAAGAAGAAGAGCAATCTATATATATGATACACACAAGGTCTGCTTTTTTGCGTTCATAGGATTGGGGGAAGACGATTTGCCAATGGGTTATGACCGGTTTACTCACCACATAGCTGGAAGATATAACATATCTCCAGGGTTCAGCGTCACACGAAGGGGCTTCGCCAAAGCAGACACGTGTGTAGAATTCCTTTCAGCATCGTCCGGGTCCCATGTCGCCAACGGCACCGGCTGAGAATCAGGATCGAGACGAAGAGCGAAGCCGTCGCCTTGTCGGATATACGTCGCGGGGAGAACAGGCCTCTCATTAACGCAAGCATGAAAAAGCGGAGGTAGCAAGACAAAGTGTTTCCTGCCCACGATCTGCACAAAGATGTTTTCAAAATTGTCCTTGTGCAAAGCCGTAGTAGACCTTGAGTTTCCAATCCATAGATTGATGGCGTCTGGTTCTTTTTCAAGAGCTATGCGCGCAAAGGGAATGTCTTTTTGGGCATCGGAATATAGAGCTAGATATTCGTCTCGGAGATTATCGTTTTCTTATCACAAACCCTGTCAGCTAATAATTCGACTGAAGCGGTAGAAATAGCATGTTGGGGGACAGTCTGCAACTCACGAGTTTGGGCATATCTCACTTCGGAGTCGCTTGGAGAATCTGGGTCTGTCTCTTGCTGAGTGACATATGCAAAGAAGTCGCTGAATCGCTGAATCTCTTCATGAGGCTTTGAAATGACGGTTGCCTGATGTTCGGCAGAGAATGTTGGCGCATCGGCATTGCTATGATGCGAAGTTACTTATACATTCATGCCGTAGGATTTTTGTCTTCTGATATCCATTCTTCGAAAGAAAATCAAGAGCTTCGTTCTTACCCGAAAGGAGTGACGGCAACGTTGACAGATTGACCGTCGAGCGCTGATTTTAGATAGCTCGAGTTCCATTTTTGAGTCGCTTTCCAGTGCGAGGCTCCTCCTCGTATCACAAAAGGCGTGTTGCGAGCCACGTAGCGCATGAACTCCAGTGGACTTGGCTCTGAAAACAGCTCCTCCACACTGTGAGAATTGAGTTCATTGTAAGTGTCCATTAAATTCTTCAATGAGTCGTCCAGGTCTGGTGCAGCCATCTTGCATGTCCTGGAGCTTGGCAATTTGCCGGTGTCCGAAACATATACTGGAAAAGCTCAAAGTTGGAGAAGCAGAAAGCGTATAAGCCAACTGCTATATCCCTGCATTACGATCAGACATCTAGCCCTTTTACGAAGCAGTCTGAAAGAAATATTTCGTTGGAGAATGCGCGTTTCTGGAATTATGTAATAAGTATGCAATTAATGAAAATTATAGTTTGTTTTCAACTGCAGTAGCGCTTTAATTCGTCCTTTGTACGCATTGATTAATATTTCTACATTATAAGTCTATTATGCTTGGTTTTTGTGTTAAACTAGGTAGCGAGTTAGCTTATTTTTCCTCTTCGTTTTGAAGGAGAGACTTTTTCTTACTATAGAACCTCAAACTCCTTGAATCGCTCTAGGTGGGTGTCGCTGCGGCGGTATGGCTCTAGAAGCCTGTTAATCTTGGCCTGTCTACGGCGAGTAGTTTTGGTTGCAAGGCTCGTGACAGCCTCAGAACTCTGGAATTCGGGGTCGAACACCAAGAGTTGGACATGTCCATCCTTCAGCTTCTCCAAGCCAACAATCGTAACAGAGTGGCCTTGCAGTCGGCCCATTAGTCAAACGAGCAAATGTGAACTTGTTGTGGTGGGCTTCTTACTGGGTCGCTGTAGATATATAGGTGGGAGCTGAGTAGATCGGACCTTGTGGGTTAGACAGTCTGCCGCGCCCTGTTGGAAATAATATTCAATTGCTTGTAGTAGGCGGCCTGCAGCATTGACGTCTTGCTCGTTGGAGGTTCTAAAGGCTTGCACAGAACAACTGCACCATGGTTAGGCTCATGGAAATATCAGTTATATACTCGAACAAACTTACGGGAATCCCATGCTGGAAAAAAGAGCTTGAGCCTAGGATGAAGTATGAGCATGAGTAGACCGAACGGGGCAACCATCGAGAAAGTCCATACCTCAGGTGTCCCGATGAATTTGCGCGTCCCCCTGATCCCCCCAGTCTCAATGCGTCCTCTGACGTTGTACCCGCGATCCCATGCTGTCTCAATGAAATCTTGTATGTCAAAGATGCTTGGGATATCGTCCCCAAACTGCTTCCACCCCTCAGTCTGGGTTCCGATGATGTGCGCAGCAAGAACTTGTATGTTGCGATAGCCGCAAAAACCACCTAAATTAGCAATTGATAGATTAGCATCTGCACTCTCCTCTCTGTAGAGTCTGTTATACACGGAAATTCTTTGGCTACCTTCTCTCCTGACCTTTGCTACGTGTAAGGCATCTGGATGGCATAGATAGGCATATTCAGTGGGTGCGCTCAACTCAAGCAAGTGTTTTAGAGCTGGTATCACGCCTGCAACGCATCGTTAGTAACTTTGGTGTGTAATGGAGCTGCTTAAAAGAGTCTTACCGCTTGCCCGGACGGCTCCTTTCTTTTCCAGCAGTTTAATTAGCCATACCGGCATCTCCTCTTCGTGAGCATATTTTCCAAGTTGCAGTTTCTAGCTCATATCTCCTTATTAGTCATAATTCTGAAGTGAGCGTTTTTACATATAGACCAACCCCAAGTCTTGATGATTGCGGCGTCCCTTGATGGCTATTTGACGAGTCTGAAGAATCCAGTGACTTTTCAATTATTCCTCGAACAGCGGACGCCTTCTTGGTGCGCAGTGCATGTCCCGGGAGAAGCCGTTTCAATGCTGGCCGGAAGACGCCACGCTTGGGTTGCCCCGGAATCAACAATGCTGGAAATGACCGTCCAGATCGCGACGTCGAGCCCGTTCTCTGGCGCTCAATGGAGCTGCTGGCTCGAGACTCGGGCGCATCATCCGATGCTCTCGAAATCTCATGTCGTTCGACAATCGCCATGACTTTATCGACAACGAGGTCCGGGGCGTCGTGGAGAGGCTGCAGTGTCATGACAGTGACATCGTCTCAAGCACTAGATGCACAGCCCGAGACAACCAGCGTAGAATCAACTAGAAGTCGCGAACAGGAGAGCATTAACCAAAAGAGAAAGAAAGAAAGAAGGCTTCAGGCGTCCTCCCCCCGTCGGTATGGCGCAGCAGGAGGGAATTGCTCTTTGAAAGCTGATTTCATCTTTGTCTCAGCCAGGGTCCGGCCGCCGACACCGAAATGGTGCCTGATACCGCAAGCACGGCTCGCGTGACGTGCGGCGTGTACCTGGATGCGAGACGCTGCCGGGTACTGATACTTGTGGAGTCGCCGAACTTACAGGCGTCCTTGGCGCTACGCAGCCCAGAGCCCTGCTGTGCGCCTGTAAAACATGTTAGCGGCATGTTCAGCGCATCATGCCTGCAACTTGCAAAATATGAGAAAGCCGAAACGAGCATCAGTGAGATGAGTTCTTTCATGCAGATCATATATGATGAGCTGAAAGCAGTATTTTGGTGCCCTCCAAGCTCTCTTGGCGCGCGGCACATTATCTGGGTTGGTATCCATCTGATACTAAGATACCTACCACCACCACTCAGGTAGCCCGCAAAAAAAGAATCCAGCTACAACCATTTGAACTGAGACACACACCAAACCGCTGCCAAATTGTTCATTTCCCTCAGCATAGCATATCACTCACACGCAAAATGGCCCCCCCGATTCACTTCATCACCGGCAACGCCAATAAGCTCAGAGAAGTCAAAGCCATCTTGGAGCCGAGCATCGAGATCCGCAGCCAGTCGCTGGACCTTGAGGAAATCCAAGGAACCATTGAAGAGGTTGCCAACTCCAAATGCCGCCGAGCTGCAGATTTAGTATGGCCATCTTTCTCTGATTTTAGACGCAAGAAAAGAAAGGAAAAGAAAATTAAAGAAAAGAAAAGCGAATGCTAACATGGCAAACTTCATCGAGGTCAACGGCCCAGTGCTTGTAGAGGACACAGCGCTTTGTTTCAACGCCTTGAAGGGACTGCCTGGGCCTTACATGTGAGCTAAGCTATCCGACACATTGAGGGAGATCTAAGTGGACTTGGAAACTCATATACGCCCTGCACTATAGCAAATGGTTCCTCGATAGCCTCGGACACCAGGGCTTGAACAACCTTTTGGCAGCCTACGAGGATAAATCCGCCGAGGCAGTGTGTACTTTTGCGTACTCCCCTGGGCCTGGGCGCGATCCCATCATCTTCCAAGGACGTACACCAGTAAGTTGAATCGGACGCCTGATTAAAAGACACCATTCTGACATATGCCTCCTCCTAGGGTCGGATTGTACCTGCTCGAGGCCCTTCTAATTTTGGTAAGACATCGATCCAGTCAAGCGTCTTCTCCAGGGCATGACATGACATGTGTACTAATGGCGCCTCTGTTAGGATGGGACCCGGTCTTTGAATTTGAAGGGAAGACGTAAGTCGCTTATCCACTGCTTTTAACCGGTGATCGTGATCGTGATCTAACCTTATTGCTCAGCTACGCCGAGATGGAATCTGCTGAGAAGAACAAAATATCGCACCGCGGGCGTGCACTTAAGAAGCTTCAAGCATGGTTTGAGGCTCAGCAAGAGACACCGTCATCATAACGCACAGCAATCACCAAGATAGATAACTCGCAATTGAACAAGTCTGGATACATGACTGGCCCCTTCTGACTGATTTCTACTCAACGTATTCCTTTGTCCAACGGATGATGCGCCCCACTCCACACGGAGTGCGGGAACACGAACAGCAAACATCATGCCAAGTTGTGGATTATACTCATCATGCTACCGCTTGTGCTAGGAAGTAAGTATTGATTTCGTTCATGTTATTTCTCCGTGCGTACATCGTACAAGTCATGACTGACCTGTCTTATTGGAGGCGAGCAGTCCGACTGTAGTACAAGTACGAGTAACTGTGACTGCTTTTTATGTAAGTAAGCAGCCGACTCGTCACCCAAGCTCCCGACTGGCAAAGCAGCTCGGGAATCTCATGCAAAGTTGCAGTACCTAGCGGCCCCCTCCATGTAGGTACCGGGTCGTACTAACTGACTTGGTAGCTGAATCCTACATGCAGGGATGGGATAGTTCAAAGGACAATGGCCGGCAATCTGCTAAAGCCGGCAAACGGCTGGTGTCGCTCGTTGCCTCGCCACGGCTCGCCCATTCCGTCGACCTTGTGGGGGTGCTTTCAGCTCGGATGGCTCAGGCCCCCCGGTCTGTCCCTGCTCATCTCATTCTCCGTCGACAGGGGGTGCTGCTGCGGGCTTCAATAAAGCCGATCAAGCCACCAACATCTGATGACACCAACTGATCTGATCGTGGACTTTGCTACATCGGTTCACCATCGAAATGTCTTAGATTTATCTTGGCCAGCCGCGAGCGCCGCGAGCCCAGCACCCCCGACCTCCTCTCTCATGCTTTTCTTATCATACGTCTCTGGTGAAGGAAGTGAAACATTCGCCCGGCCATTACGCACCGGAGGCTGGGCTTCTTGCCTATGCTGTCGAATATGAACCAATATCCGCTGTCCGATTGATAGCAGCGTGTTATATCGAAGCTCTGAGACCTCGTCATGGGCCTGGCCTGCCTGGCGGTTACACCGGCTGTGCTTGGCTCGACCCTGCTTCTGAATCTTCTTGGGTCTACCTTCTGAATGGATGACGGTACTCCACTTCAAAGTCCGTTCACGCTGTAGCTTTGGAGCTCTTTCGCTGGTTCCCATGGTGGTCTCTCTTTCACTCGCGATCCACATCCACCCTGTCTCTGGGAAAATCGTTGTCTAGCTCCACATCTGTTTAACATTGCCGTGATACAGAGAAGACTTTAGCCATCACATGTGTTGGCATCACTCACATGATGCGTGCTACCAACTTTATATTCCCCGAGCTCCCCCTCTCTTCCTCGCTGGTCAATGTCTCTATACACTTGGTATCACCATATATATATATATATATATATATATATATTTAAGCTGGAGACTTCTTCGCTGCTCTCATACCTTTGTTATTTGCTCACTGCCAAGATCAGAGAAGAGACAAAGAAGAGAGCGAGCCAGAGACACAAGGCAGAAAAGCAACACTTCTTCTAAACCTTTCATTTACCCCCCCTCTTTCCACATTTGGCTTCACTGCAGCGGAGCTGCAAGCGGCAAAGCGTGTAAGTTTAGATCCCGTGCATTGGGCCATCTTTCTAGCAGGCCCATCATGAGATTCTGGGGCGACCTCTTCGGCAATCTATGGAGACTAAGATTTTGATGCAGCCATCTCATGTGGATCTAGATTGGGGTGTCCTGTGTTGGCATTTGCCCCTGAAAAAGCAGACTGATCACAACCGGCTAACTTCCGGTGCCAACAAGCAGAAACTACGCCAGCTACGAACGGCCATAGCGTTTGGTGGCCACCATGTCGTTTCATCATGTAAGTTCACTTGTACCCTATTTCTATTTGGCTTGAATATATCTTGCTCCAGCTACTTTCAAGATGAAGCAAGAAAGCTCACATCTTCTATTTAGCCCTTCCAAGAAGCACAGTTTGACCTTTTCGACTGGTATCCCGCATATCAGGCCTGTGCCTCTTTTTTCCTCCAGCGTGGCCAGCATTCAAGTGAAGTTCAAGCTGTTGCTGCCATCATCAACATCCGATTACCATTCCAACAAACCCCAACCTCCTCCGCACCATCTTTTGGTTCCGCTACATCTGCGCTTGGTCTTCCTGCCCCCAACACAAACATCTCTCTAGTGCCCTACGTTCGCCGTCTAGTCGCTACCGGATTCGACACCGCCGCCATCCTGCATGGCTTCTTCGGTGATTCCTGGGATGCTGGCATCGGCTCCATACACCAGAACGAGCGAAGAAACTACCTCTTCGCAGCCAAGAGCGAGACTTGGTTGAGAGTCAAGACCAGCTACGACTTGGAGAATGGCCAGACGGTGCCCTTCCTCCGCACCCTCCAAGGCGTCACTGAGGAAGAGATACAGGCGGCCGAGGCGAATTGGAGCGAGTGGCTCGCCATGCAAGATTGGATGCTGGGACCTCGTGCTCTTTCTGACAACGGTCCTCATCATGTTAATTTGAATTGACCAGAAGACAAGCTCGGGGGTGTTTTCAGTATGCATAACCAGCATCAGCCCATGGCAGCTTAATGGCTATTATAGTACGAGACATACAGAGTTTACTTCTTTGACGTTATTAATTGGGATTGGGATACGCATAATAAAGAAGAGTAGCGACATTCTGGGCCTAATAAGACTTTGTTGTTTTACACTGTTCCGCCTCAATTGGGGCGATTTCAATCATGTTTGGCAAAGCCTAACACCTTGCCCAAAATAGCAGAGATGAATAGTATAGCTAGCAGTGTCCCCTTTATTCCATGTTGCTGGCATAATTTGTTTTCCCTTCGCCTTATCAAAAATAATTTTTTTCTTCTTCTCTCTTTGTCTTTCCTTTTTTTTTGGCCTTCCCATGCCTTGAGAAACTCCAAGTACTATATGTACAACACCCTCTCTGGCCTATTCTTTTATCACCAACCAAACAAAGAAGTGCTGGAGGCGAACATTGGATATAAGCTAGCCTCCATATTAATCACGGTCCCTTGCCTGAATTTTCGCCCCTCCAAAGTCATGATAATTCCACGACTGCCAGGGAAAAGTCACTGTCCCCAATGAATCCGCACGCAAAAAGTTCACGTTCCTTTTTTTCATGTGTCATGGTTGTATCCCTAAGTGTCGCATTAAGCCGTTAATCCTAAGGCACCTTTGTTGCTTTTCTCTTCCGAGTAAAATCAAATAAAAACACTCTCGTCCGTTTACCATTCCCGCATTATGCCACCACAAAGTTGAAGTGCGATGGCAGACAGCACAACAAATAAGATAGAGAAAACAATGGTTGAAGAAAAATAAATAATCAAAATAACGTATTAAGCTTTGAGCCAATTGCTTGACTTGCGTGCGCTGTCCACCTTAAGCCGGCTTTATGGATGAAAATCGACATGTCATCGCTTATCGTCATAGTAGTATTAGGATCGACCAAATAATACCTTGGAAGGCAAGGCAGGTATCAGTTGAGGAAACCTTTGCACGCTGCTGTACCACATAAGCAGGGAATACGATCCAGACTGCCGATTTCCCGCTCGAATTTGTAGTCGTAGGTTAATTCTTCATCTAAAATATAGTTGTTAGCTTGACTGAAGACAGACTGTTGAAAAACATAGGCATCACACTTACTCATAGCAATATCGCGAAGTGCATAAATGACAATTCGCTTGCTGCCTTCAACTTTGATAATCTTGGCAGTACAGTTTGGCATGCAGCTATGGTTGATGAATCGCGCAATGCCTCCCTTTTTCGTAGCATCGATAACTGTGTTGTCATCAATTCGGAAGAGATAGCTACTGCCAATGCCGCTCTTGAGGTAGCGGTTCTCCCGAATCTCCGCAATCTGCTGTCGAACTTCTTCACCCACGTACTCGATAATCATGTCGTCTTTATTGATGTTCTCCATGGCGTATAGGCCCCAGTTATGAATGGCAGAGCGGGCAAACTTGACAGGCTTCTTCCGCTTCTTAAGCTGGTTGAATTTGAACACGTCCGAGTCCTGCCCGAGAGTCTTCTTCTGATCATTAAGATCTGCAACGTATCGTCGATTGGTGGCGCGGTTGGCTCGGGAATTGCCTTTAGAAATGAGCTTCTCAGCAGCCAGTTTAGCAGCTTCATTCGCCGCAGCAGTGGCATCTCTCCCCGTCTTCTTGGAATTGGCCTCTCGCTCCTCTCTGGCCTTTTGCACCTTGATGTGATGGGGCAGATACTTCGACTTCTCCGAGTTCAAGATTTTATTGGCTCCTTCAGTTCGCGCACAGCCACTTGCATTCGACACATAATAGCCTTCAATGCGGATTGGGCCACGCTGAACGCTATCGGCTGTATTGAGTTCCCGGACGCGGTTTCGTTTCCAAAGCCATAGCTCTGGATTGCCAATCTCCTCCGTCTGGAATCTCTTGAGCAGCCTACTGAGATCCGGAACGTCCTTGGGGCCCAGCGATAAGGAAGTCAAAGATGCAATGTCGGGCCTGAATCCGTCAGGGAGTGTTGCCGCCGTCGTCATTGGCTTGGTCGCGAAAAGCTTTTCATCATATTTCTCGATTACGACATCGGCCTCTGGTATATCCTCAGTCGTGGGTTTCGCTTTGTCTGCAGCTTCATCCGCATCGGAGAGTTGAGATTCCACTTCTAACTGTTTCTTTGTTGTCTCTCGTTCCTGGAGCAGCTGTTTCATAGACTTTTGTTTGGATTTGACTGATTTCGTCTTGGACGGCTTTTCGGACGGTGTCTCGATGAGTGCAGTTGAATCTTCCCGCTCTCCACCAGCCGCCTCCAGTTCCAGACCAGTGTCGTCCGAGTCCTCGACTACTTTGAATTCCGCATCGATCTGATCGATTTTGACACCAAATAACTCCTCATCGGATTTTTTCTGTCTTTTGAAGGCAGCCTCGATCGAAACCTCCAGTTTTCGCTTCTTTATATGCGCACTATCGATAGCAAGACTAGCCTCCGTCATAGAGTCATCTTCGCCGGGACCCCAGGAAGCAAAATCATCTTTGGAAGCCTCGTCATCAGTGCTCATGCGGCTCCGTGGGCGTGATTCCAAGTGACTTGTATCTCGCGCTGCCAGTACTCTTGCATCCGTATCATCATCGGATTCAAAATCGCTATCCAGACTTTTGAGACGGTGATGTAATGATCGAAAGGCTGCGCGTGCTGCTGAGGCGCGCTTCCGCGCAAAAGGATCGACAAAGGTGCTACGATGTGCAAGGCCTTTTGTTTTGCTTTTGCGAATCCTCGGAAGAGCCTTGGGCTCCAAGCGGCCAGTTCGACGTTCGATAGGGTCTGCCCGAGAGTTGGGCGTCCCCAATTTAGGGCTGACACTGCCGCTATCGAAAGCATCTTCTTCTATTTCCACAGGATCAATATTAAGCTTCCGTCTCTTGGCAACGTGCTTGGCTGGATCGAGAAAATCGGCTAACGCAGGAGCTGCGATTTGCGTGCGAATATGCCTGATGAGATGTTCCGTCATTTCGCGCCGAACTACCTCCATGGCGGCGAGTACAGGGTCAAAGTTTTTGGCCCTCTGCCTCTTTTCTTCTTCGAGATCCGCCTCTTCTTCTCGGCGCCTCCTTTCCTGCTCGGCCTTGTCCGGTCGCTGATCTTTTCTCGGTGCTCGCTCGGGGCTGGGGCTCGATCTCGGGGCGGAGTCGATATAAGCTGACCGTGGCAAGCAGAGCTGCATAGCCATGTTGTAGTTGAAGAATTCGGTGTGATTAACAGCTCGAAAACATCGTTCTGCTTCGCTACGCCCAGTGTATGAATTTCGAAAAACAATGTAGAACCCTGTCTTATCGAGGCGGATGTCTTCGAATCCATAATTCTTTAATCGCTTCTTCATATGTGGTACTATGCTGGGTAAAGTAGGCACGCTTTCACTCCCTACAAATATATATGGGTCATTGGACAGCTGGGAGCCGATGATTTGAGATTCGACGATTCCGTGAGGGCGAGCCTGCGTTGTTGCTGCTGCTGCTGCTGCTGGCGCTGGTACTTGAGCTGGCTGGGTAGCAACCTGGGGTATAGGCGCTGGAGGAGGGGCCCTCTGGGACGCAGGACCTTTGGGTGCCGTCGGCGGCGGCCGCACAAAGCCAGGGGCAGTCGCTGATTTAGGTCCAGTTGGAGGGGGCTTTGATCGAGCCGACTCATTAGCCAGCTTCTCTCTCTCCCTTTTCAAGACTTCTTCCAGCATGCGCCGACTCTTCCGGCCTTCGGGGTCGTATTCAACCTTGACAAGATCGGCATCAACTTTGATTCCTCGAGTACGGACGGCGCGTCGCGCAGCATCAATAGCAGATACCCGTGGGCGATCTGGGCGCTTGGAGTCGCGATATCGTATGGTCGCAAAACCAAGATAGCTGCCCGTATCTGGGTGCATCTTGTTGCTGCTCTCTGCAATTTCTCCAAAGGCAGCAAAGATGGCAATCACTTTGTTGAAAGACACCAAAGGGTTGTATCTGGTAACAAGGACTTGTGTGGGAGGGCCGGGGCCAATGGATGTTTTTGGGTCATAAGGGTACGGCTTGAGGTTCTCTGGAGCATGCCGTAGGCGTGCTTTGGGCAAATAATAGTCTGTGTTGATGTATGCTAACCTATCTCCTGCCTTTGTTAGGCGAGGGTCCGCAGGGGGGGCGTCATCTTCCTATTCCAACAATTAGCCGTCAACGCTTTAAAAAAATGACGCCCCCCCTCCCTCCCCTCTGCAGCGGAAGTAATCTGTTATTATACATACCAAGCCAAACTCCTTGTAAACTGGTTTTGCGTTCTTATTCACATTTTTCTTGCGAAGTCGATCGAGGAGCGGGTCATAGGTGCATTTGATGCCCTTGATCGAAAGCAAAGGATCTCGAGCTGGGGGCCGTTCAATTGAAGAGGTGCCGTTTTGCTGTAGGCGTTGGCCAACGGGCATGGTATGGTCCATGGCCCGTTCGACGACTGAGGGCGTAGACATGTTTGATTTCGCAAGCGCGTGGGTAGAGGAAGGCGAATCTGTGGAAGTGAAGGGAGTCGCATTCATAGAGGGCGGCCCGGCAGACGTGGCTGTCGCAACTGGCAACGCGGAAGCGCTGAACAGTGAAGAGGATGAGCTAGCATGTGAACTTGCTGAGCCTCCCGTACTAGGCATATCCCCAGGCGACGATCCGTTATCGTCGGCATGTGGCTGCGTGGGATCTGATGAGGAGGAACTGTTTTGGCAGGGTCGAGCGAGATCATTCGTATCGGCATCTGTCATGACGGCTGATTCTTGCGCTGTATCAACTGCCTGGACGCCCCGCTTCGACCGCTCTCGGTCGGCACGTCCCTGGACTTCAGTCTTAAACTTCGGGGCGTTGGGGAAGAATTGCGCGAAGCTCACGCCTGGTGGCGGCCGAGTCATCGTGTCGATGAGCTCCTGCTATCTCATGCACCGTGGCGTAATCATGATACCTCGCTCTGTGACTGGGAGGGTTTACCATGCATAACTTCTGCCAGAGCTGGACGACAGGCGGTTTCTGTGGTACGCGCTAGAGCGCCGTCCACGCGACCTGGAGAACTGCAAAATTGAGCTTCTCGGTAGGCGGCGTGCGCTGCGTCGCAGAGAGGGGAAACGCAGGGAGAAGCCGGCAGAAGAGGCAAACGTCGTTCGCGACCACAGCGCGATGGCCGACAAGCTTGAGAACCCGGAGTGGGCGGCTGGAATCTGGGAGGTGCTTTGGCGAAGAGGTGAGGTTGGACGTCTTTGGCTCTGAGTTTAAAAGGGACAATGCAATGAGGATCCTCGTTTTCGCTGTAGTCAGCATGTGGGTTTGCTCAAGTTGCGGTCCGCGCTTGGAATGGCGGGCTGCGGCGCTACGATAATCCGCGCTTCAGCGGGGCATTTGAGTGAAGTCGTCACTGCGCTTGGTGTATAACCTCTTTATATGGATACGCGCTACTACCACTACTAACCTCTACCACTACCTACGTCCTACCACGGCACCTCCGACTCATCTGGTATATCGGCACTGTTCCATGTAAACTCTTCCGTCTCGCTTTCGTTGCGCTTTATCGCCTTCTCTAGTGCACTTTTCACTTCCTTCTCCAGCTGCTTCTCCGCGCGCGACACGCCGTCGTCGTCCACCGGATTATAGAAATGCTCATAGTAGCCCTTTAGTAGATTTTCTTTATTTAGCCCCTTCAAACTAAGGCCGTTGCTTGGGAAGATGTCGGACTGGTAGGGTAGAGGTCGAGGGTTGGGAGGAGCGTATTCAGGTTCGTCTTGGTAGGGGTCGTGCCCGTCTCTAGCCGGGAAGAGCAACCTCTTTGGCGCTGGCTCGGCCTGTCTTTGTCTCTGCTTTTGTCTCCTTTTTTGAATTGTGGCCTTCTTTGTCTCTGACTTCTCGATCCCTTTTGCGGCGCCCTTACCACCGATCCCATGGCCCTCGTCGTTTTTGGCTTTGGCGTTTGTTGTCTTGTTCCCCAATGGCGCTCGAATCCGAGGTCCTATTTGATGAGTTAGAATTCGCTTGATACTTATATCGCCTGGCTAGAAATACGCACCGGTTGGGGTTAGTAGCGGTGTCTTGCCAATAAATTTTGCATTTTCTCCGAGCTTAGTCGTTCCCAAGATTGTCTTTTTGGTTGTAAGGCCTGTCAGTGCGTTCTCATTGCCTCGCTGCAGATATCGCATGCCCGGCGTCTTGGGCTGCTGCTGCTGCTGCTGCTGCTTGGAGGTGCCCTGGTGACTGAGCACCTGATTCTCTTGTTCTCGACGGGTGGAGAGCATGGCAATATGTGGCCAACCCTTATTGGTATGTATGTTCTTCTTTCAAGGTCGCAAATCTCTAGGACGTAATCACGATTCTGTGGAGCAATTTCAGAAGGAGAATGATTGGGTAGTGCTGCGGCATGACCAGGTTCGAAATCGTGGACCGAGAATGAATGGCGCACGTATTGATAGTCTCTGCGCTTGTTCAGTGGACCGTTGGCTGGGCAACTGAGGACGGTGCTTGGATTCGAGGCAGGTAAAGCGCAAACTACCTAATACTAAAGTAGTAGTACTAGCCCAAGTCTGCAAGATATTACATAATAAAGCTTAACCAGGCACCTTTGTCGGCAACGATAAAGAAAAAGAATAGCTCCATGCAGATAGCCTGCAAGGTTCTCCAAAATATAGACGACGGTGAAATTAGTACTACTAGCAGTAGTATCGAGAAAGTGGCTAATTTCGCATTGTATATTGAGAGGCGGCCTTGATTTTACTGCACTCTGGAAATGCTATCTTCACACGCTCAGCATGTGTCTAACTTACAGTATGAATGCAACTTTTGCTAGTAATTCTACTATCTTAGTACGGCATGGTACTCTTTACCCTTTGTGTTAGTTTGCATTGTCATTTGACCTGTCAAGTACTGCCTGGGTGAGATGCGTCACGAGAGATACCAGTCGGGCGCCTTGCATGGGTCAAAGTCACCGTTCTCCTTGTTTGCATTTACTGGGCAAGGAGAGGCGATGACGATGATGTAGGCTTGCTTTGTAAAGCACAATCTTTGTAGGGGGGGGGGGGCTTTGTTCTTTGTTCGCGCACTGCCCAAGAGCTGCTGGGTACTTGGCAGGTACAGTGCGCGGCCTAGCTCGCGGTCCAGGTCCCGGCTCAGCAGTGCTAAGGCGGCCGGTGTTATTGCAGTACCAGGTCTCTCAAAGGCCTGCGGGGCACTGCCGCCCACTGAAGAAGGCATCCGAACAGGCGGCATCGAGGGGCATCAAGGACACTCTCCTTTACCCCACCCCCTTTCCAGGACCATTCGACATTCTACATATTACGCCTCGAGCCCTCTCCAGACTTTCTTCCAACTTTGTTAAACAAGCAACCTAAGTTAGCTGCATCTTTCACACATCAAAATGGATCGCATCAAGGAGGTAAACTTGCACTTCACGAAGCCTCCTTGCAGGAAAGCTACACCGACCGGACAGAGGCTAACAGGATGAGCTAGAAAATGAACTCGCTCCGCTTGGAGGCTGACGAAGCTGTCGCCAAGGTCGAGGAACTCCAGGCCAGAGTCAAGACTCTTGAGCAGGAAAACCTGGCAAAGGAGCAAGAGATTACCTCGCTGCAACACAACAACGGCCTCCTCCAGTCCGAGGTCGAGAAGCTGGAGACCGCCATCACGGACTTCAAGAAGATCGCCGACGAGGGACAGGAGTCTGGAACCCAAAAGGAGACACTGCAGCGACGACTCCAGCTGCTAGAAGACGAGGCTGAGGAGGCCGACAAGACTCTCCGCGAGGCCAACGAGAAGTATGTTGGCTGCCATACATTCTGCGACCCTTCGACATCTTTCCATGACCCGTCCTCCTGTAATACCTATTGAGCTAGTCGCTAACAGTTTCATCACAGGCTTCGACAAACTGATGTCAAGGCCGGACATTTCGAGCGCAAGGTCCAGGCCCTCGAGAATGAGCGCGATCAGTGGGAGCAGAAATACGAAGAAATGGCAAAGAAACACGCGGATCTGCAGAAGGAGCTGGAGGAGCTCCAGAACGAGATTGGAAACATTTAATTGTACAGTACTTTCTTAGCCAGCACACCTTTTTGTCGCCCCACACCACGGTTGTGCGGTTGGACCCTTGTAGGAACCACCAAGGAACATAGTAGGATGGAGGCGTGTTGATAGACAAGATTCGAATGTCACAAGGAAGCGCATTTTTAGCAGCAGCAGCATTTCAACAATTACGTGTTTCGTCGCCCTGTCCTTTTTCCTCTCCCTGTCCTTCTCTCTTTCGGCTCGGGGTATCTATAGATTGCTGCTGAAGCTGGCAACTAATGTTGTGTCTTTAAAGTCTTCATTTCGATTTGCGCTCACTGGCTTTTGCACTCTTCTTTGCCTTTTGCTTCCTCCCTGCCAGCTGCCTTTCTATCTTTGACTCATAACGGAACTTTTGCTTCTTCTTCTTGGGTCGTACTGGACCCTTTTTTGCTGACTTGTCGTCCTGGTCAGCCTTATCTGCTTCCCCGTCTTTGTCTTCCTCCGCCTTTTCCTGCGGCTTTGCTGGTCTTTCCAGGCCATCCCGTGATATTGACACTGATTCGACGGTGACTGTTGTATATCGATCTTCGTCTATGTATTCTTCTTCGTGGTCAACAATGTCCAGATTCGGCCGGTCTGGAAATCCGTCCCATTCGCCCTCGTTGGCGTTTTCATCTGATTGTTGCTCGGAGGCGTCATCCTCGATCGCTCCAGATTCCCGGAGCAGCTTATTGACGTGCTCAACATGCTCCTCGACTTCTTTCATGCGTTCATCCCGAAGCTATTGGCAAAACATATAATTAGATCAAATAGTCAGAGGCGAATCGGCGGCTTTCCAAGTATCAATTACCTGTTTTCTTGTTCTTATTCTCTCCTCCCGTGCCTTTTTAGCGGCCTCTTCTTGCGCTTGTTTGATACGCTGCTGTTTCCGCTTGTGAAAGCCAGTCAGATATTCGTTTCGTGCGTCGAAGTCGAAAGAGACTTGTTCGACGCCATATTTGCGCTTCCTGCTCGGCGGGGGCAGGGGGCTTTTCTTCGGCCTCGGCTTTGCAAACATTGTTCCTGTGATGCCGATTCTTGCTGCGGCTTTGGCACCGTCGCTAATTGTAAAATTTACTGGTCCCTTGGGAAAAAAGATTTAACTGCACCAGCTACTTTTAGGAGTGCTGCAGGGTGTATTGCCCACTTAGTATTAGCGCATTCCATAATAATGGGCTGTCTCCCAATCTAGAGACCTGCGAGGGATCCGCATTAGCCTTGCCGGTTTTTGCAATAAACGCGATAGCTGCATACGTAATCGGAGGATGATGTAGCGCGCTGTCGCATCCCCGAAGCTCCAAGTCTCGGCCCTTAATCTGCAACCCAGACTTTCTGCAGGCCAGCATCACAACTCACGAACCGGCCATGCATTTCCAGACGATTGCGAGCCTTTTGGCGCTGTCTGGTGCAGCAAACGCCTTTCGCGACTCTTCGCCTTGGATCCTTTTATCAACCTCTCCGTAAGGGCAGCCACCGATAACCTCTTCTGGATGGGAGACGGAGACACTGACAAGTTTCCAGCTTTGCCAAAGCTCCCAGCGCGAATCAGATCCAATCGAGCTCTTCAGTACTGAGCTTTGCGAAAGATGTGCTGTCGACATGCCCGACCGACCGATATCTCATTGTTTCTCAGCCCGGCCTGAACGCCGCTGACCTGCGACGGTCTACTGGCTGTGCCATGCCACACCTTTGCCAAGCCGTCGAGGACAGCCGAATCAACGGCAAAGCCATTGTCTCCGAGGTCGTTGGAGATTTGGCGGGTGCTAATTTATCAGAATTCATCAAATCTGCGTGTGCCAAGAAGGATAAGACGGTTACCGTAGACGACGTCCGCTTGGCAGCCTTGTCTGTAGAGGACAGAACTAGATCATTTTCTGATAACGGTATGCCGTGCTGGGAACGCAATGATTGATCTCTTCCGTGGCTAACGCGAGAGTAGATGATGCACTGGCACGAAGCCTTGCAAAGGCAAATGCAGACAACAGCTACACAATCGTCGTTTTTTCCACGCCACATGAGCCAACTTACGAGCCCGATTTCGTAGACCCCGTTCGCATGGACCTGAAGAGACACGTTCAGAGCGCACAGCTGCAAAAGCGAGACAACAAGACTGACTGGGACAAGCTTCCCCTTTTCGAGAAGTACCAGTTCTTCACTCCCGGTATGGAGCAAGCTACATCAATCCGTTCCTACAGAGACTAATAGGAGATATAGGTATTTTTATGGCCCTCATCACCGCCATTGTTCTGCTTTCTATTCTCGGCGTTGGAATCAAAGCCCTTGGTAGCCTTGAAGTTTCATATGGTGCATTTGAGAAAGACATGGGCCCTGCCGCACAGAAGAAGAATCAGTAATGATAATGCACTGCGCACCCAGCAAGATATCATGTAGCGAGTCTGTGCTTTAAGGATCCTGTAACAGTATTTTTTTTTCTTTCTCTTTAATTTAGAATGTGGGAAATGCATTGCTTTTCATGTGTATCATATCGAATAATATGCTTTGGTACTTTGTCCTATGTCGAGACAATGTGACATAAGTACCTAGGTAGATTGCATCGTGCGAAGTATGACTCTCTTTCCCCCCCCCCATCCAGCCTCCCTCAGCCGTATGGGATGACCAAACAAACGCCTAGACTCCTATCATTCCGAAAATCCTCGAGTTCTAATTTTCATGCTCTCATGCTTGACTACTTTTAACTATTGCAAATTGTCAGCCTAGGCGATATTGAAACCTTTTTAGCTGCACACATGTATACTTACACCAGGTGGCTTGGCAGCAGGAAATTCGCAATGCCTTCCTTCACAGCATATTGATGCCCGCAGTTGGCGCAGACCAGCTTTCCCTCGGATATCTGAGTCTCCAGTAACAAGTGGTGAAGATCCCGCATCGTCTTCTCATCAGCCTGCAGCTCTTCCAGTGTAGGGGCTTGCTCAGGCAACGCAGGAAAGCCCAGCTGTTGGAAATAGCAAAGAATTCGAGTCAGCTCATACGGTCCACTGAGTAGCCAGTCATACATTGACCTGTGAGGATGAAATGTTTCAGAAAAGGGAAAACGTCCACCTACCTCTGATGATGTCGTGCGGAGGGCTGTCCAGTCCAGACGTGGCAGCACGTTGATTAGCATATCCGGGTTGAGCTCGATCTCATCCTGCACAAGCTCTGCATCCTGAGGGTGTAAAGGATACGAGTTGGACGATGACTTGCAGGCCTTGACGGCGCACGTAAGGAAGTTGAGACTGAGAACCTTCATTTTTTCTTTCTTGTGTCTTTATTTTTTCCCTGCTTCGTTTTTTTCCTCTCTTTTTCCGTTATAGTTGAATGCGTTCTTGTTGAATATGTGGTGAGCGACTGGCTCTTAAAAAAAAAAAAATTGCCCGCGATGCACATTTCCTAAAGCGGACCTCTCAACTACCAAACTAGTAGTAGTTGCGCGACCCACGTGACAGCATGTTGGTGTTATGCTCAGCAACTCTACTTTTCAGCAAGAATAAAATCCTGTCTGATGAATTGATGAGAGTTTCTACGAGATGGCAACTTCAAAATGCCCTTGTAACCATAATCTGGCATTTTATTCATACGGCTCTCATATTTTACTATATCAAGATCGCGCCTTTGAATAACGCTCGCTGCGGGCGTTCTTCAGGCGAAGTGCGAGACCAACGCCGCCAACAGCAACGGCTCCAATGGCCAGCACATAGCCCGTTCCAAATCCACCAGATGTCTTGACAACCGTCGCAGCTGCGTCGAAATCTTCGGAAGCTCCAGCAGCCCAGCCAGCCGTACCGTAAAGCTCTGAAATGGAAGACCAAACTCATCAGCACGTCCGTGACGGAAATTGGATTGATTGATTGATTGAAGAGTTGGAGTGACGATGTAAAGATATGGTAAAGATATTAGAGCTCGACATGAATACCTTCGGGAGGGACCTCCAGCTCGCCGCTCTTGGCAATCTTGACTTCCACCTTGGGACGGTCGGAGGCGGTGGGAGTCATTTCAATCTTCTCAACGACATCATAGCCCTCGAGAACTTCGCCAAAGACGACGTGTCGGCCGTCGAGCCATCTATTGTAAATTGTGTGTTAGATTCCAATCATTGCCTTGCCATTGGCCTTAAGGGGACAAAACGAGCAGGCTTACGAAGTAACAACAGTGGTGATGAAGAACTGGGAGCCGTTGGTGTCAGGTCCAGCGTTGGCCATAGACAGGAGACCCTTCTTGGTGTGCTTCAGCTTGAAGTTTTCATCCTTGAACCTGTCGCCGTAGACTAAAGACGCCAATGTTAATCAACCAAATCCATCCAAAAACAACACCTCGTCCAAGAAGGACTTACTCGACTTGCCACCAGTGCCATCGCCCTTGGTGAAGTCACCACCCTGGATCATGAATTGCTTGATAACACGGTGGAAGGTGGAGCCCTCATAGCCAAAACCCTTCTCGCCAGTAGCAAGAGCTCGGAAGTTCTCAGCGGTCTCGGGGACAGTCTTTCCGTAGAGGCCCATGACGATACGGCCGAGCTTCACATCGCCTTGCTCAATGTCGAAGTAGACCTTGTGGGTGATCTTGGGGCCCTTGACAGCCTCGGCCGTGCGGGCAAAGAACAGCAGTCCCACCACCAGGACAATGGCGGTGGTAAACAGCCGCCTGAAGCTAAACATGATGACTGCTCAATTCGGTGATATCGAGTCGTGGATATCGAGGAAACAGGAATCAGTCCGGCGGCAGGGCGCTGGGAGATGGACACATATACTTGTACCTTACAGCTCGGTCCGTTTCAGGTCCTTCCCCGCCGCCCTTGCAAACATCAGTGGCTGCAGTTGCGTCTTCAAGCCCCACAGGATCCCTTGGCCTGCCTGATGCGGCACGCAACTCAGACACCCACGCGCCAGGTTTAACCAGCATTTACCCGGCTAGCCGCGAATCTTTCAACCAAGCCGCTACAGAGAGATTTCGTGATCGCTCAGAAGAAGAGCGAGGGCGGCGCATTGCGGTGTTGTTCTTTTCGACGTTGATTTGATTTCGACATAGACATTCAAAATGGTACAAATTGGCCTTTTTATAACAGCCTCATGGAAAAGGTCATCGGGCTTACTTTTCTATCTCTAGGTCTTCCTATTAGGAGTCAGCTTCCACGAGGGACAGCTCGTCAAGGTACAACAGACCTCACGAACCGACCGATTTCCTTACGAGTCTCCTTCTTTAATGTACGATTCTAACAATTAAACAAACAGAAAGCCCTCGAGTCCTTCTACGCCCTTGGACCGACTACCTCTGCCCGCATCATGGCCAAGTACTCGATTCACAACCTCGCCAAAGTCGGCTCGCTGGCGCCCAGGACAGTGACCTCGCTTACAGCCGAATTATCACAAATGACAATAGAGACGGACGCAAGAAGACAGGTACAAGAAAACATCAGAAGGTTGAAGGATATCGGATCGTACAGAGGTAGACGGCATGCCATGGGTCTGCCAGCCCGTGGTCAACGAACAAGAACACAGACTGCGACGGCCAACAAGCTCAACAGAGTTGATCGTAGGGCTTAGACCCATATCTAACTGAACTGGACTTGGAAAATTCAAAAGGAGGAGGCTGTGTGCCGAGTTTCGGAGGACGCAAAGGAGTTTGCACTTTACGACCATAAGGGTGGGAAAATGTTCAAAAAGGAAGTAGCCTACAGGTTTTAGGCTTTGTATATTATGTGTACATGAACATAATAAAAAGCACGAATAGATGCTACATACGAGTATATCTACTACAGATCTAGAATTCATCTTCCAAGATTGGGGCGCCGTCAGCTTTCATCTGGGCTGATACTGCATCCACTTCCTTCCAGACCCGAATGACATTTCCACCGACAACCTTTGCGGCGTCTGCCTCGCTGACTCCTCGTCGCAAGAGCTCAGCGATCAGAGCGGGATATTTGGTAACGTCCTCGAGTCCTTCAGGCACCCTGTCAATTCCATCAAAGTCGGACCCAATGCCAACGTGATCATAGCCGATGAGATCTCCGATATATGTAATGTGATCGGCGACCTTTTCCAGCGTAGCGTTCTCAGTGTCTTCAGTAGGAACGCCATTCTCGTTGCCTTCGTCGAAGCAGGAGATGAATCCAGGGTAAATGTTGACCAACACCACGGAATTGCGCTTCTTCACCAGCTGCAGGACATGGTCTTTGACGTTGCGCGGGTGAGGGCAGATGCTAAAGGCCGAGCTGTGCGAGAAGATGACGGGTGCTTTGGATCCTTCCCAGTCATCTTTTCCGCCGAGGGTATCAATCATTGTATCCTCGCTATATACGCGCAAAGACATCAAGAGTTAGCAAGTGAACACCTAGATGGCTAAATGGACTGGAATCTCCCTACCTGACATGAGAAAGATCGACAATCATGCCAATGCGATTCATCTCGTGGACCAATTTTCGTCCGTCGGGGCTGACGCCGCCCCAAACTGGGGTTGCCTTCTTGAATGGATTGCTCTGCAGAGCGGCATCCGCATACTTGTTGTGGCAGTTGTGTGTCAACGTTGCGTATCTCACACCAAGATCGCGAAACAGGCGCAGGTTGCTAGGCTGGTTGGCGATCTGGTGCAGACCCTCCACGCCCAGGGGCGAAACCAGCTTTCCTCTTCGGAAGGCCTTGAAGGCATCGGCGCCGTCGACATCATGGGCAAAGTCTTCGGGGTAAGCCGCGAAGAGCCTCTTCATGGTATCGATTGCCTGCAACGTGAACTGAAGACCTGCCATAGAAAAGAATTATCAACAACCTGCGCGGGGACAAGGCGAAATGTAAATGAAACCTTACTGGCAGCATAATTCTCATCCGAAAAGTCCGTTCCATTGTCTGGGCATGGAGCGAAGACGCTCCAGAACGCACCACCCGAGCGACCAGTTCTTAGCCGCGCGAGGTCAAGGTGGCCGCTGAGCGTTCCATTTTCAAACGCGCCGGCAAAATCATCGCTCTCGATGTGGTTATCAAAAACGCCGCGGAGGAAGACGGCGAAGTCGACGTGTCCATCTAAGTTGAAAGCGCAGCGTTCGTTAGTCTAGGCGTACAACTTCTGATGCGCATAGCGGATTTCTTACCAATCAGGGGAGTTGTCGTGAGAACTCTCTGCGCCCTCTTATCGACCGTGAGAGTCTTGGAGCAATCGTTGGCGATTCGCTGATAGTGCTGGAAAGCTGGCTTATAAAGCATGCCGATGGTGCCCAGGGCCAGGGAGACGGCGACAGCTATCCGCTTGAAGTTTGGCTTGCGTGGCTCTCCATGCCCGCGACCATAATAGGCGTCCGCGCCCGAGATGGGCAGGTCCATGTACGATTTGCCAGTTCTTGGATTCATCGCGGCGTTGTGAGGCGGCTTTCGAGAAGAGGAAAAAGGAACAAGAGGTTTCATGATCACGGAGTTTATACGGTTGACCAGCACGCCATCTTCCCTATTCGGCGCTACAAAAGGACCTCTGGGTGACACTATCTGGTACACTATCTGGTGGCCGGCAGGGGACCAGATAATGAATCCCGTAGACATGCACCGCGTAGGTTTCTCATAAGCATTTTCCTGTTTGCGACATGATGTTGATTTCGAAGTCTACTAGTAGAACATGTCAGAGTTTCTAGCATATCCTTTATTTCTTGGCAAACTTTTTGGGCTGTCATTGTATTCAGCGCTGCAACGGGGGTTCTAGTCGCGGAGGCGACGGCGCGTTTTGGACGGCTATCTTGCCGAGGCCTGCTTGCTAGCACCAGGGTCACTGTAGATAACGCGGGGGTATACGTAGCCCATTAGTAGCAGTTAAGATACTTTCGTGCTGCCCTGCCGCTCAGCTTGAGGATCTATTGAACGATATATTGTTTATAGATCTCTGTTTCTCATCATCAGCTTCTCGAAGTAATATGTAAGATCGAACTAATGTTGTAAATCGAATCCGGGATGCTATTTGTAGGTAGGTAGTTCTAATTGGTTCGCAGCGCCTGAGATGCTGAGTTGCCCAGTTGCGTTAGCACAGTTTTCTTCCACAGCGCCATAACGTGGCGAAGTAGTCAGTACGACAAACAATGCTGTGTCGACCTCGCTTAAGCAAGTAGCAGATACTAAGACTACATTCGATTCGACGCCTCTTTGCGGAGAATACAGAGCAATCGTGCTCCGCCGTGAGGCTGAGCGCCAAGGCATACAGACACCAGACCCGACGGCATGTACGCGCACCCACTAATACGGAGCTGCAAAGCAAGGTACTAAGCGCTACCAGTCACCGCAGTCTATATACGAGGAGATGGGCGGAGAACCGAACAAGACAAGCTCCTTTATGCAGCTACTCGTGGTATTTGTGTTTGGTAGAGGCCGGAAACTCTTTCCTTTCCTCACCGATCCTAACATTGCTATAAGTACAGGTAAGTTGTTGTGCTAGATGCCTGGATTAGCGGTGGCCGACCCGCCTGGTCCCTAATATAGCACAATATTCAACTTCGTCGCTGACTGATAGCTGAAACGAGGCACTTTTAACTTCAAATTGTCCCTCTAAGCTGACTAGCGGCACATGTTTTGACAAGTGCCACACATGCACAAGCCATCGCAAATTGTGGTGCGCAAAGCAGACCCAAGCTGAGTGAGGCCTGCCTTTGTTGCAACCCCGGTTGATGAAATGTGACGAGACAAAGAAAATCGTTTATACATGGGGTCTACGGAGCAGGAGGAATCTTCGTATTTCTGGCAATCCGACATCTTCAGCAGCTGGTCTGGTCCGTGCCTCGTCAACGATGCCGAGATGATGATGCGTCCCTTTATCAAAGCGTACCTAGGTAAGCACATGAAACCAGGAGCTTCGCACAACATCTGCAGAGCGCCAGCAGGGTATATCATGCACAATGCCGGTACATGCCAAGCAGGTACTGCATTCTATTCTCTTCTATTCGTAGTGCTATGCTCCCTAGAGGTGCAGGAGAGAGAGCGAGTTGTTAGTACTGCATACAGATAGCATGACTACATGCGTGCTATTAATAAAGTCGCTGCTGGTTGGTCGGCCTCAGGAAAACGGTCTGCGAAGCGCCGCTTCTTTGGAGTTCTTTGTCTACAGGTATGCCAGTGGTTCGCCAGCACAGTCAGCGCCAAAGAAGCTGCTAGGCCCGCCAGAGAGAAACGGCGATTCGAAGACGAGAGGCCGGGTACCTGATAAACGCGTACCCTGTGCGCGGGCGGCAATAGGGGATGCCAGACAACGGCCCGCCAAACGCCTAACAGCCCGCCACATCGGGCAATGTACAGCGCATTTCTGCATTTCTCCTGGCAGCGCCCCTCACCAGCACCCTGCACCACCCTGCACCACCCTGCACCACCAGCTCGTATGCGCTAACCGCAGCCTGCAGACTCAGAGGCACCAGGCGCTGTACCTGGTGGTGCTAGTGCCATAGGTCTCCTGCCATGGCGGTTTCTCCTAGGCCTAGTCCGATCCCTGGCTGCTGGAGGGCCTCTTCCATGTGAGCCTCTCACCTGCTCCAACCAACTCCAGTCGACATTTAACGTCTGCTCACTGCGGAGCACAGCGCCTTTCCTCTCCTTATTTTCGAGCCTTCTGCGAAGCTCTCCTCCAGCCTTAGCCCTCGTCTTTGTTCTATTCCCCCGGCTTGGATCCTTCTTTTCTTGCTGCTTTCGCCAGGCCTCTTTTCTTTCAATTTTGACAGGCGACCGCTTCAATTCTTGTGGCAGACTTGCGCCTCCTTCTTCGACGCCCCTATTACTTGCGAGCGACGACGTCTTTTTTTTTTTCTTTCTCTTACCGCATAGACGCTTCTGAGTGTTACGATATAAGAGCTGCGTGAAGGTTTTCTTTCTCTTCGTACCTGCTCGCCAGCGAAGAGAGCTAAACCCCCTCCTCGGCAGCCCCACGACGTTACGACGCACCTACCGCATGATACCACGAGTCGACGCTTAAACAACGAATAGATAACGATGCCTGGATTCGCCGATTCTTTCTGGTCGAATGATTATGCTGCTGGTATTTCCCCCTTCTCTCGGCTCCCCACAGCTTCTTCATGCGACCGCCATTTTCTAACAGCAACCAGGACTTGGCGTCCTTTTCAGCAAGCTGCAGCAGGGTGTGGTGGAAGACCGCCAGGTGCTCACCATAGCTCGGCTGCGCGCTGAGGCCGAGGAGGCATATGGACAGCGCTTGAGTGACATTGCGCCGGCCGCAGATAAATTGTCTGGTGGCTTTGGTCGAGACGATGGCGCTACAGTTCGCAAGGTTGGTCTTTCAATCTAGTCCATGTCGCGACGATTTGCATTCGCTGGACTAGGGTTTCGCTAATTCTCACGGTGTGAAGGCTTACGATGGGATGCGAACGGAGATGCAAGAAGCCTCCCAAAGCCACATTCGAATTGCTCAAAACATTCGCGATCTAGTTGTCAACCCTTTTTCCAGATGGTGCGATGCTCACGAGACTCGTATTCAGGACTCTCAAGACGTCCTTCAGCTACGAATCAAGGCGCACGACAAACAGGCCGAAGTTGTCAAGAAGCTCCGATCGAATTATTTCAACAAGTGCCGACTGGTGGAAGATCTGGAAGAGGAAAATAAGCTTGCCTTCCAGGATCCAGAGTCCAGCCCCAAGCAGGCCCAGCCGAACCCGGCGATCCCCGAGATCAAGGTTCAGCCTCACAAGGAAGAGGAGCCTCAAAATGAAGAGGTTTATGAGATTGGCGACGACGTCTATCAGACCGAGCAGATGAAGAAGATTCTGTCCAACATGCTGTCGACAATTAAGATGGGAGAAACAAAGGTCCCTATCCTGGGTACCTATCTCAACACCTCGGCCGGCTCAGATATCGTCGAGTACCTCCAGCGAAGCATGGGCACGACAAGCGTCAGCTATGCCGAGAGAATTGGACAAGACCTCATCTCCAACGGCATGCTGCGCCTGATTGGAAATGTTGGAAATACGTTTGCCAACTCTTCCAAAATGTTTTATCAATGGAGACCCAAGGCTTTCCAACTTGCGGGCATCCCTGAGAAGAAGCAACAGCTGGGCCGAACCTTCTCCATGCCCACTACGGGCTCCGATGCTGGCGACTCACCTGTTGTTGGAACCGTGAGCGAATACTTGTCCAATTGGAATGTGCTCAACAATTCTCGTCCTGGCGAGACTCCTCCCCAGCGGCTGCAGCGTGAGGCAAGAGAAGCCGATGACAAGTACAAGGCTAGTGTGAAGAAGCTCGACGACCTTCGTTGCGAGCTGGAAGAACTCATCTTCCTGCACCTCAAGTTCCTTGAGCGCTGTGAGCTGGATAGGCTAAAGGCCATCAAGACCGTCATCCTCGACTTTACTGGGACCATTGGCAATGTGATCCCCAGCCTGCAGTCCTCTGTCGACAAGATGATGCTTTTCCAGGAGACCGTGCAGCCCCTGGGCGATCTGCGATACCTCATGGAGAATTACCGTACCGGTAGTTTCATTCCAAAGGTCATCGTTTATGAGAATTACTACAACAAGGTTGACGAACAGACTTTTGGTGTTGACTTGGAGGCGCGCGCGAGGGCGGATAAGAAACGTGTTCCCATCATCATCACCACCATTCTGACCTATCTCGACAACCATTATCCTGACTTGGAAGGCGATGAAGCAAGGCGCGGAGTGTGGCTATTGGATGTACCTCTTGCCCAGACTCACAAACTGCGCGTAAAGATCAACGACGGCAAACCGGTGCCCCCAGAGGTGTTTGACGAATTTGACATTCCCACCGTTGCAAGCCTTCTCAAGCTTTATCTGCTCGAGCTTCCTGGTAAGCAGGCTTAGCTTTATTTGTCAATCGAGAACTCCCCATGTACTAACAGCTCATTTTCCTTGTCATAGATTCTCTGGTTTCTACTCACGTCTACGAAATTGTCCGAACTATTTACACCACCCCGGCTACCGATTCAACCGAAGCCTCTCGTGTTGCCGTACTCCAACAAACCCTTTCACAGCTTCGATTGACCAACATTGCTACTCTGGATGCCTGCATGAACCATTTTACTCGCCTTATCGATCTTACTTCGGCTGATGAAGAATACGTTGCGGCGCTAGCTGCTCACCTGGCACCGTGCATTCTTCGCCCGCGAACAGAAACTTCTCTTACAATGGAAGAGAAGCACGCCAGCCGACTTGTCCGCGACCTCTTTGCCCACAAAGACGCTATTTTCACCGAGCTTAAGCGCATGTCGACCCTCAACCACTCCATCTCCGTCACGACAAACCGTCCTCGGGCAATCAGCACCGATGAAAGCAACAGGAAAGCCTTGATGGAGGAGCGGAACAGGGCTCTGCTGGAGAAGGCCAGCGCTTCACGAAGCCGCGCCACCAGCCCTGCGCCTGGCCCTCGAGGCCATCGACGAGAGCGGAGCAGCGGAGGCCCCGAGACTCGCTTTCCCATCCAGACCAGCCCGACGACCGCCTCTGACCGCCACCGCAGTAGTCTAGGAAGCTTGAATGCCATCAAGCGCTCCAGCTTGGAAGTTCCCGGGCCGGATGGCAGCACCAGCCCTCCCGATGCTACAAACGGATCTCCTCTCAAGTCTGAAATCGATGGCGAACAACCAGTCTTGGATAAGCGTGACAGCCTGGGCAGAGGCGCTGCAGCCAAATTTGGACCGAGGCTTCCTATAGCTCCATCATCACAAGCACAAGACTCCTCTCGTGGCGTAACTCTAGAGGACAGGCCCATGGAAGACTAGTAATCTCCAGTCATGACCAGGTGTTCGCTGGAGCTCCTTTTTCTTTGCATTTATGGCTTTACGCACAGTGACGAAATGTTTTGTGCTTCATGTTTGTTTGTGGGTGGACCAGGGCCAAATGACAAGATATGGCTCCCTTTTTTTTCTTTTTTTGTCGTGAGAGAAGGAAAAAATAAAAAAGTTTGGTATGCAGGAAAGGTAGATAGATAGATGCGTTGGCTGGATCCGGAGTAAAGGGAGGTATATTATGTATGGGAGAGGGACTGAGATGCCATATATGTGCTACACTATCTTGATTTTTTTTGTCTCCTTTTTCTCTTCATCTTTCTTACCTGTTTTTGATCTTCTTTTTGGAAATATTCTTCTTACAACTTTTATTGCTTCCACATGTGTTCATCGGTGACATAAAGTGAGATGGGAAAACAAGAGTGACAAATAATATATGGTGCTTCAACTGCTCTGTTTAATGAAAGCCAAAGCTCCCTCCTTTTTCTTCTATGTAAATCGCCTACATATTTACGAAATTTGTTGCCTCATCGAGAGAAGAAGACAGAGTCTCCTACTTCTATACTACTTGTTATAGAAAAGCGCTATGCAAAGTCCCATCTTCAGCCTGCAGCTTCGGCCTCTACAACGACAGGAGCCTTCTTCTTTTTCTTCTTCGGAGCAACCTTCACCGGAGCGCCGCCCAGCGTATCTGCAGCTGTGCCACTAGGCTCACCACCTTCTGACGTCTGTGCTTTCTTCTTCTTCTTGGGCTTGACCTTCGTTGCGGCCTCCCCATCCTCTCCTTCTGCCGTCTTCTTCGACACGGCCTTCTTCTTCTTCTTTATGACTACGCCTTGCACGTCCGCCCCCTGAGCCATCTGGATCCTTTCATTAGCGCGCTGCATCTCCAGCCGTAGACGTTCCACCTCCTTCACGGCCTGCTGCATCTCCGCCTCTTCCCGCTGCTGCCTCTCGTAGTCAAATCCTTTAGAGCCATCGCCTTCTTCTAGGCTAAAGGATCCAATAGTGCTGGAATCGACCTGTAAGAGGGAATGCTGCTTTGATTTCTTGGTTTTTGCCTTGGTAAGGGTACTAGAACCATTCTCCGAGTCGTTCTGTCGCCCTGTGCCGCTTTCACTCCCCTCTATCGTTTCATCTGCAGCCACGAGTACTCTCTGCCGTGGCCGTGGCTGCGGTCGAGTTGGCGCAGTGAGAGAGCTACCGCCAATTTTCTCAAGGTCTAGCTGCATGACAGGGATCGAATCAATATCCAAATCGGGCCCATTGTTGTTCTGGAGAATGTTATGAATGGGTGTTGATGTCCTGAGGATGTTATCGCTCGGGATATAAAAGGGGTCGTCCTTGTTCTTTTCCATCCTGTCTGCTTTCCTTTTCGCGAGAATGTCGGCGTCCAGGTAGCTCTCTTCACTGAGTTGTTGATAGGAACTTGCCATGTCGTCATCTGGATCAGCTAGTCGGCTAATGGCTGGTGCTGAAGATGATATGCTCGAAGGCGGTGGTCGCTGATGATAGTAAACCTCAAAATCATCAGCCTCCTCAGACTGGAGTGTAATGATGTCAGTCTGGAATAAAAGTCGGTTCAGGTCGCCGTGTATTGGTTCATCTAGATCCAAGCCCTCAAGAAGGGGCACGTTTTTCTGTGCATTAACCGCAACAGCGTTGAGCTCCCAGCCATTGAACAAGGACGGAATAGCTTGGGTTAGAAGTAAAGGTGGTTCCTGGTCGTTTTCATCTGTAGATGCGGGCTGTCCTGAAGCAGCTTCTGCGGTCAGCTTGAGTAATTCTATGTATTCTACCGCTCGCTCTTGTACTTCCAGATTCGGGTGGAGAGCAAGCGGTTCTAATACGTCTAATATGCGTGCTAGAAGGAGCGCTATCCTTGATTTCCTTTCCGAGGTCCAAGGCTCGTGTTCACTGCCCGCGATGGATGAGAACACTTTGGCTGCGGCGTGGAGGGCTACCGCTGATATCTCTGGCTTCCCGATTCTTGGGATGGCCTGAAGAAGCCCGTTGAGACTGTCATCTGGTATGGCCAGCTGAACAGAGTACTCGCCGATTATCCATATAGCAGACTTTAAAGCCCCCGAAGTAAGCGGATGTCCAGCCGGATTGTCGGAAAGCAGCTGATCGAGAATGATATCAGCCGCTCTGACAGCAGTGGCCCTCATTGCTCTCACTTTAACGGCAACATTGCGTAGCGCGTCTCCTATCTTTTCAGAAACGTCGACTTGTTGCCGTATCGGCAGTGCCGCTCCTGTGTTTGCGTCAAATGTTCGAGGGACAGGCGCCATACGAACAAGCTGCGTTAGGACGTCAATATACCAATCAAAGTCCAGTACGCTCGAATAGTTGTCTTTGGAGCACATGAAGAGAATTCTTTCGATAATGTCTATTCGGTAGTCGTCAGGGAGAAGGACAGTTTGAGTTTCTTGGACAGTTGGCGCTATGATTGCGGTTTGTGATTCATCATCTGATTCGGTCTCTGGCGTAAGGGCTGAGCTTCCTGGGAGGCGCCGATCCTTAGACGGCGACGACGACTTAAGCTGCTTCATCAAGCGGCTCACAACAAGGACCAAGTTGTCGCTGGTAACCATGCCCTTTACAAGATTAAGAGCTTGAACACGGATCGTGATGTCTGAGCTATCAATGCACTCCAAGATGACATCTTCTTGCTGAGAGACTAGATGTGGATGTGTAAGAACAATCTTGTTGAAAGCCAAGAGGGCAACATATTTTACTTGATATTTGTGTTAGCAGACACGAAACTAAGGAAGCAAAAAGGAGAAACACAGAGTTGGGTCGTGATAACTTACAGTTAGCGTCGCCGTTTACCATAACCATTCCTCGCAGCTTATTGACACACAATGTTGCGATTTCATCTGCTCCCGCGACATCATCTGTGTTGTCCAAGATGCCTCCCTGGATGATGCCGTTTATACACTCGTATAATAACGACATTGCGGGAGTGGTTCGAATTATGTTTGTAAGAGGAGGCAGTAATTTTCGAACAAGACGAGGCTCAAGAGGTGTTAAAGTTGCAAACTGATCCAAGGGTTAGTCAAACACAAGTAGAGCCCAAAAGATAGCAAAGAAACAAACCAGCTTGATGAGTTTGATAGCCATCCAGTTATTGCCTCCATCCACCAACAGCTCAAAGAGCCGTGGTGCCAGAGGAAGAAAATCTTGAGGTCGCCGCCAGCCGAGTTCACAAACAACATTTACAATAGCAGCCGTTACACTCGGATCTTCGTCCGGGTCCATCAGTCGATCTTTGATCTTTGGCCAAGCGGCACGCAGAGCTTCGGGGTACACAAGAGCGAGTCGGTATAATGTGACCAGCGTCTTCTTGCGTATGTTGGAATGGCTATGGTTCAAGCGTGGTAGTAAGTCGGCGAGGGTTGAGAGCGCTAGAGAGGGGGTAATGACGTGGGGAAGCGCTGCAATCGGAAGAGATATGATTGTTGGTGTGGTGGCAGCCAAGTCCTAACGAACGGAAAGAAGAGTCAGCCATCAACACTAGGTCATTATCCATGTCGTGGAGAGAAGGATGTCATGTGAAAGACACATGCGCACCTTTTTCAGAAGATTGGTCGCCAGCATGAGAACTTCAGTATCCTGCCGAAAGCTTTGCACAGCGCCCAGGTATCCCACCCTCTTCTGGTGATACTTGGGTGAGGACATGACCTCGAGGACATGAAACGAGGCCCATGACATATCGTGGCCAAACATTTCCAGGTATATGAGCTTGAGAAGAGCCGTGGCCTTGAGGTCTAAACACGGAGAAGAAAGATTAACATATCAGCATTGTTGGAGTCGTCGTCGTCGCGTAAGAGAGAAAGAGAGAGAGAGAGAGAGAGAGAGAGATCACCAACCCATATCCTGGCTGCGAACCTCCGCGCGGCACTCCTTGAGGGTTTTCTGGATGTATTCCTTCTCATTGCCCTTGTGGTTGCGCAGACCTCGGATGAGGTCGTATAGAGACTTCTCGAACCTGTAGAATTCCAGCCATCAGCGCCCTTGATCCTCAATGTATTCTCGCCAAAAGAGGCAGCTTTGTATCGTTTACATGTTGACGGCGAATTGCCCCACGTGGGGCCTGCGCAAGCAATAGCGGAAGACGACTGCGAGAAGCGATTATCGAGGAGCGACTATCGAGGAGCAGGAGGAGGAGGTCCGTCAAGGCGCGATGAATGCGTGTAGCAGCTGCAGAGCCAGCCAGCTCATCCTGTTATCGGCCGGTTGCTGAGTTGCGAGCTGGGAACTGGAGCTTTAGACGCTGGCGGCGAACTGGTTAGGCGACCGCTAAGAGGTACGTATATGGGTAGATGGCGTTAGCAAAAAGCAGCTGGCGGCGTCGCTCTTTCAGCGGGAGAGCATGACGGAATTACCGCCGAAACTTCGGTAGCTAGACGGGCCGGTGGAAAGCCCGTGTGACGTCTTGTCCAATTATTTGCGCCGATTGAAGAGATGGAAGCCATTTTTAGATTCTTGATGCGACAACAAGCCGAGTCAACTTTTAACCCTATCCTATTTTCTTTTGTCTTTCTCTCTCCTTTCTTCTTTTTTTTCTGCCCGCCCTTTTTAACATTGTTTCCCCGTCAACACACCATGTCATTGATTCTGTAGATACTCCCCGACTCTACCTAATTCCTATCATTTCTCAAAAGGCGCATCGCAGCGTCGCATCCCAGCAATGGCCGCCCGAACCGCCACTCAACGGCTCCCACTCCGACCATCAGCCTCTGTACTACTACGCCCAGCGAGAACCTTTCCTCCAATCCCTCGCCGCGCCTTCATCTCCCTGCCCGGCAACCCTCAGCAGAGCCTCGTCGCCACTCGCACTCTCCCCTACCGTCACGAACCCCTCTACGAGCTGATCGCAGACGTCGACTCCTACTCGGCCTTTGTGCCGTACTGCTCGCAGTCCAAAGTCACCAAATGGTCCGCGCCAGACTCTTCAGGCCGCAGCTGGCCTACGCTCGCCGACTTGCAGGTCGGCTGGGGCGGCTTTGACGAGACCTTTACCAGCCGCTTGCTTTGCGTTCCTGGCGTCTCCGTCGAGGCTCGCAGCGGCGGTTCTGCTTTAGGTGGCCCTGCGCAAGATGCGTCCGCCGTCTTCAAGACTCTCGAGACCGTATGGTATTTGACGCCAATTGCTCGCCAGTCCGCAACGCCCTCAACCGAGGTTAAACTCACTATCAAATACCAATTCGTCAACCCGCTATATGCCGCGCTCAGCGCTGCCGTATCCGATAAAATTGCGGCCCTCATGATTGAAGCCTTTGAGAAGCGAGTTCACTACAAGTTGGGAGCTCAGCAGCGTCTCTAGCATACAGATTAGCTACAGACTCTTCTGGGCGACTCATGAATAACGACACAAGACATAGAGCATATCGGCAAAGTGAAAAGGCAAAGTGGATAGATGTAAACCGCTTATATATACTGGATAGATAGAACTCCCTCAACTCACGACAGCTAATCATCCCCGTTTGAACAAACCCAACAACTTCCCATTGAAACAGAATAGAGTAAAAATGAAATGAACTAGCGAAAAAAAAGAAGAAAAGAGGGCAAAGTAGATCTTGTCTTCATCAAAACGTAGCCCTCCCCATCTAACCCACACCAATTGCTCCTTAATATTTGAATTTCACCCGCCCAAGTACGCCAAACATCCCCCGCCTTCGATGACAAAGCCAGCAGGTATGGGAGACGGTGTAAGTCTGCGCCGCCACCCTGGATTCGACTTGCCTTCTCCCTCCTCGTGCAAACCCATGCCGTTGAAAGGTTGAGCCCAAGATGACCGCAGATAGGCAGAACAGGAGGGGAATCTTTCGCTCAAAACATGGTAAGCAGACCAAAAACACTAGAAAAGAAAAAAAAAATTCGCTCATATAGATGGCATAAAACGTATCGAAGCATCCAATTTTTGGAACATAAAGGGTCGTAGATAATCGTATAGTAATGTAATTATTTTTTGCTTGATGTCCTATCCCGGATATTAGTCACAGAATCCATACTGTACAGTGAGTGAGTGCTGTTTCCACTTACTTCTTCTTGGCAGGGGCCTTTCCAGATAAGAAATTGAGCATGGAAGTGTTTTGCTTGCTGCTGGAGCTGCTCTTCTTCTTTTGCTGTGGCGCCGCGTTCACGATCTTAATATTGGGAGATATACCTGGTGGCCCCCGCGGAGGTGGAGGTATCCCGCCGTTCCATCCAGGAGGTGGAGGCGGCATTGACATCCCTGGAATATGAGGCCGTGGTCGGTTGAGCGGTGGAATTCCAATCGGCGGCGGGGGAGGACCATGACCATCAGGCCTATTCGACATCGGTGGCATTCCCGGAGGCAGTTTGGGACCACCGACAGGCGGTGCTTTGTCGAGGGGCCACATGGTCATGGTGATGGCCCAATCTGGCTCAATGACCTTTTCCCAAACGGACGGGAGGATGATGTCGCCATTGGGACCAATCAGGTCATAGTGGCCTTCTTGGACATGCGGTCCTAAAACGTCGACTTGCAGGAACGCCTGCTTGATTAACTCTTCCATTCCCTGCCAGGTGTTGCATAGATGAAAGGGGAAGCTAAACTTTCGGCCAACCGCATCCTTGAACTTTATGGGAGCTAGCTCTGCTTTTTTGGCAGCCTCGTCTGCTTTCTTGTTGGCTTCCTCAATGGCCGCTTTAGTCTCCGCCTGGATTCTCTTTTTCAGCTCCTCGGCCTCCGCCTTGGCGATGGCGGCAGCTTCAGCAGCCCTTTGCGCAGCAGCCTCTTCTGCCGCTATCCGGGCCCGGTGCTCAGCTTCGGCTTTGGCCTTGGCCTCTTCGTGTATAAGTCGGAGCCTCTCGGCCTCCTCGGCCTCTCTCTTCGCCGCCGCGGCCTTTGCCTCAGCATCCGCCCTGAGCGCAGCCTCAACGCGGAGTCTAGCCTCTTCCTCGATTCTGGCAGCTTCTTCAGCAGCTTTCTTTGCGGCGGCGGCTTTGGCCTCATTCTCAGCCTTAATCGCCGCTTGGAGGCGAAGGCGTGTTTGCTCCTCGATCCGAGCAGCTTCCTCGGCCGCTTTCTGCTCAGCAGCTGCCTTAGCAGCGGTTTCCGCCCTCAAAGCGGCCTCGAAACGAAGTCGGGCTGCTTCTTCGGCTCGAGCTCGGTCTTCTTGTTCTCTCCTTCTCCGCTCTTCAGCAGCCTTCATCTCCGCTTCATACTTGAGCCTCGTCGTCTCCTCTAAACGAGCCCTAGTTTCAGCCTCTACTCGTCTTCTCTCCTCTTCAGCTTTCTTCTCAGCCTCGAGTCTCTCACGAGCGGTGCGCTCGGCCTCTGCCCTGGCTCGCTCGATCTCTCTCTTGGCTTCCTCAGCTTGTAACCGCACCTCCTCCATCTTCTTAGCAAGGGCTTCTTCAGCATCTTTGCGGATCTTATCCTCAATTTCCTTTTGTCTCGCAATCTCCTTTTCCTTCTCCTGCGCGGCCTTGAAATCAGCCAGCTCTTTCTGAAGACGCTCCTTCTCAGGATCGGGTGGCGGGGGTGGAGCTGGTGAGGGCTCTTTCGGAGCCGGAGCCGGGGATGCAGGGGCGGCGGCCTCAGTTGGTGGCGGCGCTGGTGCCGGGGGATACGGATGCATGTGAGGCGGCATGCCGTTGTAGTGGGCCCCGTGCGGCCCGTAATTATAGCCCGGCGGAGGAGGTGCGCCATAAGGCATCATGTCATACATGTGCCTCTGCTCGCCCCCATAGTAGCTACCAGTGCTTGAGCCGTTGGGTGAGAAGGGATTTCCGCCGTATTGGCCATAGGGAGCCATCTGGTTCATCTGATTGGCGCCATTGTAACCCATGTACGGCACTACATGGTTTTGCTGCTGGGCGGGATAAGCTGGATGACCGCGGCCGTAGTAGCCGTTGCGACCAGCGGCATGTTGCTGGTGCTGGCCATAATGGCCATAGTGGCCATTACGGCCGTACTCCTCGGAGGGATCCACGCTGGGCGGTGCGGCGGCCGGTGCGTAAGACTGCACCTGTTGATGGTGGGAAGCGTCCTGCCTAGCGGGAGGTCGCTGGCGCCGTGCGGTGGCCGTTTCGGAGGCTCGGGTGTGCAGCCTTGGTCTGTCGTAGGTTGTCGATGCAGAATCAGAGGGATCAATGTCCTCGTCGTCGTAGTCTTCCTCTTCCGTGTACTCTTCTTCACTTGAGTACTCTGGCTCTGGGCGCTGCTTATACCGTCTGTCGTAGACGTTCCGAGAAGGGGGCTGCACGTGTCGATAACTACCAAGCAATACAAGTCAATAACAGCAAACGGAGGATGCCAGCTTCTGGCCGGAGCGCAGCAAGGTTGAACGCGGTACTGACGTAGACATAACAGGCAACTTGGGGCAAGATTGGCCTCTTACTCACCGCGTCCCGCACAGAACTGGCGGGCGATCGGACGAGCGTTTGTCCCAAGGTGAACTTGGGAGGGATGGTGGGGGAGAAGAGGTTGGGTTGCGTTGGGGCGCGCGGTGGCCGAAATAAAGAGCAGCCAGCCCAAGCAAGTCCGGTCAGACAGCCCGAAATGGCAGTAGGAAATGTCCGAGAGCAAGCTGCAACGTGGCGAAGAGCTCGAAATCCAGGCAGCTCGAGGGCTGGTCACGCAATGACAGGCAAACAGTGACAAGCGTGAGAGGCCAAGCAAATCCTGTTCAGCTAGAGGAGACAAAGGCGCAGTCCTGGTTGGCGAGGGATGAGGTGAGAGTGTGACGGGAGACGGGAGACGTCGAATGGCGCGTACAGATGCCGGGCAACCAGATGACAGCAAAATTAAAATAAAATAAAAAGAGACTAATAGGGCGATACAAGATGGTAGGGTCGCAGCAAATTAGTGCTCCCTGAGGAGGGGGAAGAGTAAGAAGGTGAGGACGATAAGGCGCTCCGTGGCGGGAGGGGGTTTCGGGTCTTATGAGTCCAACGAAGAAGAAAAAAATCGAGAAAAATAAGAGGAGCAGGAGAAAGAAGTCAGAGGCCGGCAGACAAATTGTGCGAGTGGTGTGTCAGACGCAACGGCCAAGGCGGCGAATGGGCTGGCGACTGAGAGCCCAAGAGTCGAGCCTCGACGGGTCTGCGGGTGATCGGCGGTGAGGGGATACTCAGATCTTGGTTGGAGAAGCTGCACGATTGAAGAACAAAAAGGAAAAAAAAAAAGTGAGGTGAGGTGAGAAGAGTGTGGGATGTGCGTGTTTCTGTGCGCTTGCGTGCAGATGCCGGTATCGACAACAGGACGAGGCAGAGCGGCTGTGCTACCCACTCAATGAAGGCGATGCCTGCAGCTGGTGCATGGGGTTGAGGGTGGAAATGGGCGGGAATCGGTTGAGGAGGGGCGTATTAGACGCCGAGGAGGAGAATAACAAACGAGGGCCCCATAAGTGCGAAGGGAGGCCAAAGGGCGAGACCCAGCGCATCTTAGTCCGGGTGGAGAGATTTTTCGCACCTGCAATGAACAACGCAGAAGCATTGATTGAACTTTGTCTACTGGGCTCAGCGGGACGGCTCGGGGCTTCTAGCAGTGGCCTAGCATCCAATCGCTGAGGGCCTTGCAAGGCATAGACCGCCACAGGGGACCTACGAGGCTTGGGGCTAAGAGCTTATATGGGCCTCAGCTGTGTCCAGTGTTTCTGTCGTTGGACTTTGAGGATTGTGCAGTGAAGAACCTTTCGATACTAGGCAGGGCTTCAAGTCAGCGAACAGCTTAGAAAATAAAAGAAAGTGCTGTTTCAGCCATGTGCATCTTAAGTGGTGGTCTAGGCTGTGGCTTGGCGGCTTGTGTTGGCAAAAGTTTTGCAAGGTAGAGTCGGCAAGGTAGCAGCGATGCTGTACCCAATCGGGAAATCATTACTACTGAATCATACCTGATGCCAGCATCGTGGGCTGTGCGAAGCTGGGTACCAATATCGCCAGACCATATCAGCGGCCACGGACGAAATTTCTTCTGCAAAGCCCTGTTTCTCTGTCCCCGAGCCATGATTCGAGGGCAGTGACAAAAGACCTATTACTACCGGGTCTCAAGTGCCCAAAACAGGGCCGTGCAGACGTCTTCCTCGGCTGTTCAGCTTGCGGTGGGTGAGATATGAGCTGTGGTGTTACCCTTCTGCGGTGCGTCTATGAGCTGGCCGGCTCTCATTTGTGTGCGTATGACTTGTTTCTTTTCTCTTCGAGAAGCACAAGGACATGGGGCAGGTTTGGCTTGGACAAGCAAATTTACCCAGCTACGCCAGGTTCTCGCTCCTCCGGCTGCTGATGACATGTACATGCAATGCACTTGGGTGGCGAGGGTTTGGTCAGCGTTTTATGAGCTATTGACTACCTGCCTGAGTGCTGGCAATCCAGTGATGAGCGAACGGCATCAATATACCCAGATGGATCAGCAGCTGGAGCATTCCTCAGTCGAAGGAGCTCACCGACAGGTGAAGCGCACTGTTCTCGCAGATTGCTCAAATCTCAGCTGCTTTCCGCTCTCCTGCATATTCTAGCTGCAATTGTTGTAGCATATGATAGCTGACAGCCGACGGCGCGGTCAACCGCTTCGAAGCAGAATCCATCAAGCTCATTGGTGCCGCCCTGTGCCGCATATGTGAGATGAGCAGCACACACAACCGAGTGACCAACGGACGCGACACTATGCGCTGGAGGGAGCATTATCGATTACGAGCACATGCATGTACAGGCCTTTTCGCTTATGTCGGCCGACTGGGGCTCTGTAGACTCGATGCTGCAGATATCCTGAGCCTTGAGCAATGTAACATGATACGTGTTCCTGGCGGTGGTGAATCAGGTCAAACTGGGTGGGAGTTGACGGCAGTCAGTTGCTTAAGCGACTTCTTCTTCTTCACAGCCTAAATTCATGTGCCAGCAGAAGCCACCGCAGGCCTTTGGCGCAGGCTCTGGCCATCGTCCCAAAGCAACGCATGATTATATACACACCATACTCCATAGCATGAGAGGGGGCTCGTGCTTAGATGAAGCATCAATGCTTGACAGCCAACACCTGAAGAGATATCACATCGATCGATATCAAACAAAGCCTCGTATCCACCACTGCACACTATTACCTACAACTCCGGGTACTACGCACCAGCATCTGCCGCCACTCACTCTCCACCGATCCCTCAAGAATAAATCCCTGGCCAAGTGTGGGTTTTGCCATGGCTTTGATCCGGAGTCACAAGGATTAATTTTTCCCACGCTGCGGAGCCCAAAGCAAACCCACAATTGACGCCCAACCAGCACCCATTTTTTACTCATGCCTTGGAGCAGCGCTGCACGAGTTGCATGAACCGAGCAGGCAGCAAAGGGAAGCCTAGAATATCAGGACAGTTTTGGATGGAAGAAGAACAAGGCGAAAAGAAAAGGCGTCCGGAAAACTGGCAACCCCTGCTTCTTGGGCAGTCTTCAGACGAGATCCGCTCACAAGCCTTGTTAGGTATTTCCAGCGGCGCCACCTCAGCGACTTGTACAGACATGCATTGGATGTAATGTGCCTTGGGATCCGTACAAGCAACCGCTGGATGCTGTCAGCCAATCCGCAGCCAGCATCAGGAGCTTTGTTTTAGTCCCGTTTCTGCAACGGTGAGGCTACATGAAATGCACCCTTGACATGTGCGCTGTCGTTACTCTTCTGGCAGCTTGCAGCACACATCGTCTACCCGATGCATGATTCCGTACAAGGGCTCTCTTTGCTCCGAAAGCAGATGAGGCGGCAGCAGCGCGGCAGAGCCCGAGCCACTTGAAGGTCGACACGGGATGCTTGGTATGCGCATGCTGTGAGACAGGCGGATGAATCAACCGGTAGTACTGCCTGTATTCCGTCAGGTTACCTACCCGAGTGCTACAAGAGAGCATACTGTATATATGATCGATAGTATCCGCTTACCTATCAAGTACTGGCATGGAGCACATATGCCGAGTAGGGAGGGTAGGTCTTCAACTTGGCTTGCCCTCCCTCTATGTGAAAAGAATAGTGTTACTGTCAAACCTGGCATCGGTGTTTACTACCAGGCAGTGCTACACCCGGCACTCGTACGATGACGACGGCTTTGATTCACTGACTTCATCCAAAGGAAAAGTGGTCTCACATATTAATTGTTTTTGCCACAAAACTACTTGCCCTTTATGTTCATTATGCCCATTGTTTTAACAGCCCTCAATGGCTCCACGATAGCCACTCCACGTGTCGGGTATCCTCTTCCCAGCCCCCCTGCTTGCATGCATGGCGCCCATGAAGCGATTGGAACGCCCACCCGCCTCGTCTCGGAAGCACTGTCGTTCCGCTGACCAAGTATGTGATTTCTCAAAGAATGAAAGACATAACATAAACAAAGGTCTCTGGATATTTGAAACCTTGGAGCTTATGCATAAAAGCGATGCAAGGCACAGACTCGCCGTTGCTCGGAAGCCTTTGTTATCTTGGCTCAACCTCAGTTTTAGGAATTTCATCGCACAACCTTTTGTGAAGAGTCTGAAAGATAGGCACGGGCGGCCGCAACCTCCCCGGCGTCGTATCCTTGCCACTGAGGAGCCTTGGCGTCGTAGTTTCGCACAATGTCGCCCAGTTTTTTCGTTGCGGCCAAGTTGAGCTTCTCAATTGTCGATGTCTCTGGTAGAGTGACTTCATCTGACTCTGAGGATTTCTTCGCTTTGGAATCTCTATTAAGGAGCTTATCAGTGACCTAGGATGAAGTGTTAGCAGGTCTAACTTGATGATATACTACAACAAGCTTCCTTACTCGTTTCAGCCCATAGTAGCCTCGTAAATAGTCGTCAGACAGTTCAACGCTTCTGCAAAAGCGCTTTAAGCTCTCGGCAAGATAGCTTTGAGAGTTTCCTTCACTGCCAGACTCAGCAGCCATCAAGAGTATTTCGCCAAGACGGGCATGAAGCTATAACAAGAAAGAAACTATCAGCATCTGGCTATTCAAGTCGATAAAAGGCTCTGTGGACGCAGCTTACATTCCACGCATTGGGTGCAATTACAAGTGCCTCTTCTTGGGCATAGATGGCTTGACCGTAAAGCCCTTGGGACAGATATAAATCTGCCAGCTCTATCCAAGCCTCGGCGTCGTTGGATGCGAAATCTAGAAATTGTACTAAAGCTTCAATTGATTCGGCAATTTTCCCCATCGTACGTAAGAGTGCAATCCTTCTTTTTGCGATTGGCTGTTCATGTTAGCGTAAACCATGGTTCGTGGCATGTGTGTATTAGCTTGGTGCTCACTGCGTTGGTGTTGTCTTCCGCCAGGATCGCCTCGTATTCTTTCAACACCTTCTCAAGTTCGCTGTGATTTGTTGCCTCGGCTTCTTTGACTAAGCCCTCGAGAGCTGCAATGCGCTCGTCGCTCGCGCCGAATCGAACCACCAATCGTTCAAGGCATTGGTGGGCAGTAGTGTTATCACCAGTGCGCAAACAGGCCAGCAGAAGATTCTCGTATATTGTCCATATCTTTGAGTCCTCGGGTGGGGAAAATAATGACAGCAGTGGCGATGCAGAGTAGGAGGCTGGATTCTTTCGTAAGAACTCTGGAGCTTGTTGAGCGACTTGTAGGGCTTCGGCGTGGGAGAGGCTGGCATGTGGTTGAAGCAGCAGCGACGGCATGGCGACGGTATTGGAGGCGACAACGCAATGCGAAATGTATGTAATTTGATGCTTTTTCTAGGTCAATCCTGTAACGTGCTGCCTTGGGGGCGCTATATGATCGGCAAAGGCTATGAATGGATATGCTGCGTTGCTGGTGAGCTGGGAGCGATAGCTGCGGTTAAGTTAGTAACAGATGTTCCCCATGATGCTATCGCGCTGCTATAGACGGCATGCTCTATGCCACGTTCCCCACCCGTCGACATACTACTACTTGGTAGTCTACGGAAAGCTACAAATTCCGACGCCGACAGAGGCCAGCCAATTACTGCGCATAAATCCAAACCCCACCCCCACGTCCAATCTCTCGCAGCAATCCATTTAAGAATATTTTTTTTTTCTGCTCTCTTGAATTTTTTTTTTTTTTCTCTCCAGCCAACCTCCTTTCTTTCTTTGTCGTTAGAACCCACGCTTTGCAAGGTGACCCTTCGCCGCTAGCAGTCGAAGAGACATCTGCAAGTCTCCCTTTGGAGGACTTCTTTGCGTTGTCAGACCAGCTGCGGCGATGATCGACCTGGAAGCGGGCAGTGCTATTGCCACTGCCTCAGGGCTGGAGGATATGACAGCCCTCAAAGCAGCGACTGAGGCTGTTGAGGCTGTCGAGGCTCCGACCGATGTACCTTCCCATCGATCGCATGATCCGGCCAAGAGCTTGAAGCGGAGCGATCCCTTCCAGTTCGGCAGCCGCTATCTGGAGGCCGGAGACGACGTTTTCGAGTTTAATGCCTGGGACCACGTTGAGACTGACGATGCGTACAAGGTGTATACTGAGGAGCAGTTGGAGAAGCAGCGTCAGTCTCCCGTGTCCGATTTTGACAAGAGTAAGTTTTGTCTCGTCCTCTTGCACCGTCTTTTTACTCGGTATTATGATGATACCCATTCCAATGCATAGTTCATCTGAATTCTCTGATGAAAAACTTACCTTCAATATTCTTTCGCTCCCATCTGATATACCATCTATCCTTCTTCTTTAATTCCACACTATGTACCTTGTATGCATCACTAACACATGCATAAAGACAGGTTCAACTCAAATCCAGCCATGTGGTGGAACAAATTCTATAAAAACAACACGTCCAATTTCTTCAAAGACCGCAAGTGGCTGCAGCAGGAGTTTCCCATATTGGCAGATGTAACCAAAGAGGACTCTGGCCCAACGCTCATCTTGGAGGTTGGTGCGGGAGCGGGTAATACTGCTTTCCCAGTGCTGGCCAACAATAAGAATCCCCACCTGAAAATCCATGCCTGCGATTTTTCTAAACAAGCCGTAGAAGTCATGCGCAATCACGACGCCTATGATACCAAACACATCCAAGCCGACGTCTGGGATGTTTCTGGAGAGAGCCTCCCGCCTGACGTTGAAGAAGGAACTGTAGACGTGGCCATAATGATTTTCGTATTTTCTGCCTTGTCTCCCCGCGAATGGGCACAGGCAGTGCGGAACATTTATAAAGCTCTGAAGCCTGGAGGTCTGGTCTGCTTCCGGGACTATGGAAGAGGTGATCTAGCCCAGGTACGCTTTCGAAAAGGACGATACCTGGAAGAAAATTTTTACATCCGTGGAGACGGCACCCGTGTGTATTTCTTTGACAGGGATGAACTCGCAAACATCTGGTCTGGACCGGACGCTACTGAAAAGTCGGACGAGGCTGACGTGCCACGATTTACGATTGAGAAGCTCGGCGTTGATAGACGGCTGCTCGTTAATAGAGCTGAGAAGATCAAGATGTATCGCTGCTGGTTGCAGGGGCGGTTTAGAAAGGAATAGAACTCTAGACTTGACGCAAGCGCTTGCTCTTCCTACATCCCGATGCCAAAGCCTATCGTGATGGGGCTCTCACACTCTCATTTTCTCTTAATAGAGTAAAGTCTCTTGGATCATAGCTCGCTGATCTTGGCCAAACCCAATGGAGTCAAGGTAGCCCTCTAAGCTTCCGTATTTGGCTTTGATGTGAAATTCAATCGAGGAAATCATGTCGTTTGCGGTACCCGCCCACTCATCCGTCAGGCCAATCTCATGGATTTCTACAAGCATCTGAGGCCGGCTGGGCACAAGAGCAGCGTCAGTCAGAAAGTAGTCGTGCTCTATGGCCGCTCTAGGGATCTTCAGTATCATCAGTACCAAAGCACATATGAGCCCTAAAATGCCCTTGTTAGACAATCGGCCTTGAGGCTGAGGGGCAAGGAGAGCTCAACTTACCAGTACGATCTTTTCCCTGTGTACAATGTACGACGGAGGGAAGCGACTGAGGAGTAGTATATAACGAGAGGGCTTCTCGTATCTCAGAGCCACAGTAATCGAGCGTGTCAAGGCCAAGGCCGACAAGCCCACGGGGCAGCATGACTTGATGGCTAAGTACCCTAACGGCGTCTATGCGGTATCCGAGGACGAAGAAAAAGATGACCTTGCTGTAAAGGGTGAAAAGGTTGACATCAGTCGACGCCCGAGAGAATACGGGCATTGAGGTCGTGAAAAAAAAAAGGAGAGTGGGGGAGGATGAAAGCTTAAATACTCACAAGAAATCCCACCATGATAGCAAGCCTAATAGATGTCTCTCGAATGATTTGCCGTTGATTTTGATTCCGTGATAGTTTAAACCTTGTATCTGGAGAGACGAGGCGGAAGAGTGGCCGGATTCAAGCTGGTGCTTCTTGATTTGTTTGAGAATCTCTGTTCTATTCGACGTGAATGAGCCTAGGGGTTTAAAGCAGCCGTATTTGTTTGACGTAACAATTCAGCTTACTTTGTCCTCAAATCAATGACAGTCTTCATCTCAAGCTCATCTCGGATGAAGTTCTTGTCCGCAGCGGTGGCATCGTCTAATCAAAATTTTAGGGCGAGTAAGTGGCTGATGAAGATTGATTCGTTCAGACTGAGTGAGATTCGAGGCTAATTAAACGTCTCTTACCTAGCCTTCCGGAGCGGTAAAAGAGGCCCTCGCGAATGCGTCTGCCGGGTTGTTAGTTGATGGACTGCCTACATCCGTATGAGATGCTGCGGGTTTGTTGACCTCTCTCCTAGAAACTGGTTGACGGTTTTGCCAACGTCTCTAAAGTTGGGTACTTGCTGTAATTGAGTTTCTTGCTCCATGTTCTCTTGAACAAATTTTCTTAAATAAGAGATGTAAGACGTGCGACAGTGGCGTCTCCAATGATTTTAATTGGCGTGAAGTATTGTCTGTAGATACGACAATAGACAGAAAAGGTGAAAGTGTTGTTTACTGTGGGTTTCTCCTGTCAGCGACGCTAAGATGAGCGGACCAGTAGCTTAGCCGGGCGAGCAGGCACAGAACAGAAAAGGATTAATACGCCTCAAAACAATCATTACTACACACGCTGTTATTTTCCTATAAGAGTTGATGTTTATTGCAATATATACTGAGTATACCTAGGTTTTTACTACCTTGTGGTTCATATTCGAATTTTGTATGTTTGTCCTCATTTTACGGTCTTTTGTCTTTTTTTCTCTTCCTACATCATCTACCTACCCTAAGCAATTTGCGTCAAAGTAGGGAGTGTGTATAAGTTGACATCTTTCTGTATGATATCAAGGATGAAGACGTGTGTTATAATTGATATTTTCTTAATCAAACCTTCTAACGGACCCGTGTAGGATACCATCCACAGACAACATCGATTGGTAACAATAAGTAAGTACCCGAAGTAAGTCGCTGTGGCTGGCTTATTGGCGCTGAGAGTCAATTGCCATCTAAACAATAAACTTCATTGCATGAGATGAATACGAGATGAAGGCTTTTCTATACTAAGCATAGTTGGCATAATCATTCTTCTAGCAAGCCTACTTGGGCAAAAGCCAAGAATGACAGCACGACCACGGAGTGAGGTTAACAAAGCCTCGAAAGGAACAGCATTATCGGCCCCAGACTAGGTAGCTTATGGTGATGACAGATTCTAGGCGCAAGCGAGAAAAAGCCAATGCGCGCATCGAGGATCTGTACTAGGTATCTGTTTACGGGGAGACTGAGGCATCGAGGCTGAACAAGTGCTGCGCCGGTTATGCATCGCGTCCATCTAATGCTCTGTACTCTGTAGTTCTGACAATGCTAGCGTGCTTGCTCGTGCTAGGGCCAGGCCTTGCGATCTCAAGGTTACGTCACTGTTGCTCAGCCCCCGCTGGTATTCTTGATAATAGAGAGGCTATGGGGAATTAGCGCAGTCTGTCTCAGTTGGTGATGGAGCACGAATGTTGGTTCAATTGCGGTGGGAGAGAGGAGAAGAATTTGGCAGGCAGACATGCAGAGGCAGGCTGGCGACGGAGCTTCTGGAGCTCTGCTGTGGTGACCTTGATGCTAATACGAGGCTCAGCCAGGCATCACCAGCACGGCTGGGGTTGACCAGAACTCGTGTCTCGCTCGCTTAAAACGGCTTCTCGAATGTTGCTTGTCTTGACAGAACTTGCTTAGTCCCAAGCAGCACAATACATGATATAAAACCTGCCAATCCATTACACGTACTCGCAATAGACTCGACCATCCAGCACGGGAGGTCCTTGTCTGTCACGGCCTGCTAAGGCACGTTCCCGTCCCAGCTCGTTCCACAAGGGGGGGCTGATCGACAAGAGCTGCTGCTGCCGACCGGGGGCTCAAAGTGAAATTGAGTGTCAATGGCAGCTGGTTGTGGCAGCAAGACGGGCAATCCCAATTAATAGTTGGAGCATCACTAACCACTACTTACCTAGGCCTAGCAGCGGACGAATTGGTGTCTCGACCTGAAGCTGCGGACGTGCCGGCCCAGAAAAATTGCAAAAGAAGCTGCATAGCGTCATGCACCAAGATCTAGCCGGGCTGTCATGACGTCAGCCCTGTCGCGGTGACATGTGGGAGGCGTCTCTGATGGTTTCTTCTCATTCGTTTTGCGTGTGTCGCCGTTACGAGACAAGCAGCCCGTCAAGCTTCAAGGGCTCCAGCAATTGAGGCTACTGCCAAAAGTCTACTTGTATCCAATGCCAGGGATCCATTCATGGGTTAGAGTCTCACTATCCTGCTAATAGACGGGGAGCTTCACCTGTTGCTGCCAAAAGCTCGACCGCGATCCGCTCTAGTGCCTGCGCCGCCGATGCTGCCGTTCCAGCTTGTATCGCTCTGGTGATTTACATAAAAAGCTGCCCAAGCCATCCATTCCGCCCGCCTTCTAGTACCTGGCACTCATTATCCATTCATTCACTCATTCATTCAGGCATCATTTTTCGCCTCGTCCTGCCCTCCATCTCCACAGTCTTTTTGCCCTCGCCGTTCTGTAGCTCCTCCTGCGTACCACTGCGGACCAGATCCTACGATCCGCCAATCCAATAATCCGCCAAGCAGACAGACGACGAATTGAGAAAGCAGACAGACAACCGAGCAGGTCCCCTTTGGATGCCTTTGGATGCCCTTCGGATCCCCTTTGGATACTTGCGGGTTTCCTGATCCGACGACGCATCTGCATCGCATCTGCATCTGCACCTGCACCAACAAGACAGGTGATGAGCGTCGAGCTCCCAGAGCTGCTGTAGCCGGTTTAGCCTCGACGATCGTCCAGCTGCTCGCACTGACCAGCGCTCCTCGTCTTTGGCCACCACGTCGTATCGCGCCCGTGAGCGCAGCGTCACTTGACCAGCAAGGCTGCAGCATCCTTTTTTCGGCCTGGCGGCGACTCGCTACCCGCCGCTTCTGGGCTTCCTCCTCGTATCTGATCTCGACTCTCCCCACCTAGACGGGGGTCAAGAAAGATGATGCAGGCAGCGACAGCTGCAGCTGCGGAAGCTGGGGCAGGGCCGCGCCCATCCGTGGCAAAACCGCCGGCGCGACATAATTCATGTATGTATGCTGAACGAGTGACTGAGGAAGCAAGAGTGACATTTGCAAAGAGAAGAAGGAAAAAGAGAAGAAGAAAATATGATCGACCCCGTTCCCCCTCCTTCTTCGTTGCCACCATTCCCGTTCGTTTGTTGCTGTTCTGCCTGCAATGTATAACTATTTCCTTCACTTGCATCTTCCCGCATTGCCTGCCTTGCCTTTTCGTTGCCTTCCATTCCTTGCCCTGCCTCGCCTGCCGTAAGATTTTATTTTTGTCACACTTCCTCGTATTTGCACCGCTGGCTATTACTGTCCCGTAGATAAGCGGTTTCTTTATTCATGGCTGGCTAGAGCTCGATATTGCATACACACACATTCACTCACACCTTTGTCACTGAATCTGTCTGTCCCCCATACTCCTTGCTTACTATCAATCATAGTGTCCGCCAGCGGCAGGCTCAAGTACGCCGATCCTCGTAGCCTCCCAAGTTATCCATCCTCCGGTCTGAGCCCGGGTGGCGCAGCTGCCAGTGCAGCGGCATCTCTTGGCTGGTTTAGCCACAAGCCCATCGAAACGTGGAAGCCAGATAAAACGTCATCAGCCTCCGCCGCCGCTGTCCTCGCCAAAGACTACAAGGTACACCCAGCCTGGGAGCCTGTCATGGACGGAACTGGGGCCAAAGCTGCGGTGCTGGCGGTTGGATCTGCCAGCACTGCGTATAGGCACTCGAGCGTCAAGAAGTCTCGCCACGATTCATGGGGCAACACAGCTGCGGCGTCGGCCTTCACCACGAGTGCGAACCGTCCAGTTTCTCCAGAGCCAACAACACTGACCGCATCCCATGGAAGCTCTGCCGCAACCCAAGCATTTCAAGCAAATCTACTCCAATCGGCAAAAGTGGCCAGCTTACCGCCCCCTTCACCAAGGGAGAAGCCTCTGGCGGCTGCCAAGGGAGCCATGTCGCCCTCCAGACTCGGAGTTCCTGCCTCAAGGGCACGTTCGTACTCTACCCCTCCGGTGCCATCTTATGCAGATGCCAAGAGGGCTTCCGTGAGTGCCTTGAACGGGGCATCTATAGCTCACCAAGCTGCCATGAATAAGCCGCCAGAAATTGAGGACACCGGTGCTATCCCAGTTACTACCATGACTCGGAACATGTTTACGTCGCACCCACCCGTAAAGCTTGAGGTCGATGAGCAAACAACAAACGAAAGGATCCATCAATCTGCAGTGGAGATGGCCAAGAAAATGTATCAGCAACAGCAGCTGAACCGAGTCGACGATTCTGAAGACGGGACCGAAGGCGACGCTGGCCCATCTGCGAACCGCTTTGTTAACTTACAGGATGCTGCATATAGGCAGGCGCAAGAACGTCTTGCTAAGCTTCAAGATGAGCATGAAAAGAATCGACAATATCACGATTACTATACCTCAGAAAAACCCCTGCGTCGCCGTTTTACCATCATGGACAGAATACGACGTCGATCCGCCAGTGAAAGTGATGTGGAGGATCGCACACGGTCGGACTTGGTTCACCAGCAAATGTCTTTATTCACTTCCCAGCTCGAACAAGTCGATGAAGAGAAGCGGGAAAGGGATCGAGAAGCTCTCTTGATTGCTGCTCGACGCAATGTCAAAGCCAGCCTCCAAGGGATGGACGAGCAGCACTATTTTGAGACTGGAAAGGTCAACCCGACGATATTAGGCGACTGGCAAGTTCGAGCTCAACAGGCGGCCCAGCTTCGGCATGATACGCGGACGGACGACGGTGGCAGAGTGGACATTGGAGGCGGAATGTTTATGGATGCTGACGAGATCGACGCCATTGCCGCCAGGAGAGTACGCCCTGTGCTAGATGACATTCATGAAAAGGCCGAGGCAGAACGGGAGCGGCTAGCGTCACTCAAATTCGAAGACGAAGCAAAGAAGGCAGAGGCAGAAAGGGAAAGGGACCGCGAGCGCGAACTAAAGGAAATCCAAAAGAGGGCCAGAGGTAAGCTTGATTTGATTTCATCACATTCTGCCTTACCATACAGATCAAAGATGTATACTAACCGTGACTAAATAGAGGAGGATAAGCAACAAGAAAAGGCCAGAAGGCAGCAAGAGAAGATTGAAGAAAAGCAGAGGAGAGAGGATGAGAAGGCGGCCAAAGCCGAACAGAAGAGGCTAGCCAAGGAGGACAAGAAGAAACCGAAGCCACAGACTATTGTTACCGATCCCCAAATTCAGGAAAGCCATCCTGAAACCCAAGAAAGCCCCCGTGAGATCCAGGATGTCCACGGCGAAGACCCAGAGAGCCGTCATGAGATTCAAGATGTCCACCACGAAGACAACGAAGAACAGGAACAGGAACAAGAGGCTGAGACACAAAGCAGGCGAGAAGTTGTTACACCCGAGCGTACAATAACCCCAACGCAAGAGATGGCTGCTGCTACTGCTACAGTTGCTCCTTCATCTCCTCCTACCGCTACTACCGCTGTCGCTGCTCCTGCGCCTATTAGTGCCGCTACCGATAACGCCGAAACCTCACGAAGAAAGTCATCTTCTGAAGCACCCACTTCACCAACAGCGCGAGTCAAGGGCTGGATCAAGAATCGCTTTTCGCGAGGCAAGTCCATGAGCGAGCACGGTGAAAAGAAGAAGAGCTTCATTGGCGGCGCTGCGCTCAGAGGCTCGGCAGCTGGCGGTAGTACGGCCAGCTTGGGGAACCGCTCTTCGAGCATACGTGATGTCACTCTGGCGGGAAGGACCGGTGAAGAGACACCGGTGAATCACACTGCTGAGATTGCGCGTGAGGCCACGCCTGACATTGCTCTCGAGGCTCCACCTGAGATTCTGCCCGAGACTGTACATGACACCGTACACGAGACTGCGCCTGAGAGTGTAGGTAGAGATTCTCGTGGCGTAAGCCCAGTCAGTGCACGCAGCGGAATGGGCAGTAGCGGGAAGGGCAGCGGGAGGAGCAATGATATCGAAAGGTTTGAGACACCAGCAGCCATAAGAGACCCGGCGCCGCGCCACAGCAACAGCCCTGCGCGAGATTCCCGGTTCAGAGAAATGATGGACCATTAAATTGGGCTGGGAGGGGAGTCTTTTGCTACATTTTTTTTGCAAGTTGTGGGGAAAAGAGTCGTTTTATTCTCTTGCAGGTTATGGGAAAGAGGATTTTGTCTCATGCTCTTGCAAATAAATGCAAGCTAATACCATGGCGCACAAAGGAGGGTTTAATCTTTTCCGTTTGTACAGTTATATGATCATGATGTTGGCGAACTTTTCTTGCCGAGCTGCAACTCTGTCTTTTCTTTATACCTCGCTTTGTTCTTTTCTAGTCGAATAGTGCTCCTAATAATCCGTGCTTATACCAAAAAAGGACCATCACGGGTGAGATATAATGTGTCCGGCGTTGGAAAGAGGCTTATAGTTGCCTTTAAATCATACTTGTACTGTCATCTATGGTGTAAAAATACAAATTATCTCATTACTGAAGAACAATAGTCTTGTGCATAATTAATCATCCAATGGCCCCGTTCGTGATCATGGTATTTCCAAACAATGGATCAAAAAATCCATGACAAAATCCGCCCAACGCCTTATAAATGCCTCTTTGAGCCGTTTCCTTTTCTCTTCTCTTCATAATAATACATCGACTCCCTTATTACATTCGTACAGTTGGTCTGCTTTCTTTTTCATTTTATGATTAATTAGAAGTTGTATCGAGTAACACCCTCCTCGTGGCCGTTCTGGTACTGGCCCGTCTGGACGCTGCTATTGCCGTCTTGGCTGTGCGATGATTCCATGTCATGCTTGAGACTCTTGACGAAGCGCATGGTGTGATCTTTTGTGCGCACGGCGGGCAGCAAGTCAATGACAAAGGAAAGGATGTAGAAGGTGAAGATGAAGGCAATGATCCATTCGAAGACAGCGGCCACGTTTTCGTTGTTGCTCCAGTTGGTAGACACGAAGACGATGGCGAAGACGAACTCGACGATGACGAATGCGATCTTGACCCAGAACGAGATGCGGAGGACCTTGTGATGGCGGTTATCTTTTATAGTATGTTAGCAACAATATTCATAAAACTGCATATTTTTCTCTTGTTGGAAATGACTTCAACGTACATAGACCTAGCACATAGTATTCGGCGCAGATGAAAATGGCAGAGATGATGTATCCAGCAATAAACAGCAGCAGGAACACGTCGTGAGCTCGGTGATGGTGGTGAGTGTCGAAAATGGACAGCAAAATCAGTCCACACGTGCCGACGATGGCAAAAAGGATGCTCAAAATCGCAAATATCTTTTCTTTCCCGGTCGTGTTGGGCACGAGGCGTCCGTTGTGACGCAGCAACCGCTCTGCGGCAAAAGACAGATCGAGGAAGGCGGTTGTGACGGCTGATCCGGCGATGAAGAGAGGCTTGAGCTTGGACGCGCCAATGTCGCTGATGAACGCAATGTTGTCGCCCTTATCCATATAAGAGTAATGCTCGCTGTTCGTATCGACAACCCAGTAGAGGAGGAGGCCCAGAAGCATGCCACACCAGACGAGACTGGAGATGACTGGGAGTATCTGGATGATTATAACATGGTTAGTTGGGAACTGTGACTTATTGGATACTGAATGTGCATCCAGCCATCTTTGCTATACAAACTTACCCAGTATGAGACGAAGCCTCTCACAGCCATTGTGGGATAGTGGGCGGCTGAAGTGGCTGAATGGCTGAGTAAAGTTGTCTCTTATAAATACAGTTCGGATGTCGAGGAAGAGGAGAGAGAATATCTACAAAGATGTAGAGGTAGATATTCGAGAGTTGGAAGAAGAGTGGTAGAGAGGGAGGGAGAGGGAGGGAAGGGTATCACAGAATATCAACAGTAGACGAGAAGACAAGATGGAAGAAGAAAAAAAGAGAAGATCGGGAGACACGAAGGAGATAAAGGGACGACGACAAGGAAATAATGGGCAATGATGTAAAAAAAGTATGACAAGGAAAGATCGGAGAGAGACGCAGCTAGAATTACGCGGAAAGCGGATCGCTCTGCTTTGCCAAGCGAAAGGGTGTATGCATGCAGGTATTATTCCATGTCCATTACTGTACACAAAGATGGTGACCGTCACAGCCCAATTTTACCCATTTATTTGCTTGATTCCCACGAGGACTGCCCCGTTTGCGTTAAACTCTCCTGGGCAACAAGCAGTGCAAATCAGCGTTAATCATCATCCCTTTGTTTTACTGCTCTCTTCTCAATTTCCAAAAGGCACGCAATTTGGTACAATCACCAACAACACGCAACACTTGTGCCGGGCGATTTGGCATCTTGGCATCGATGACGTAGCGCTATGACGGCAGATGGGGACGTGATCAGAGGCTTTCAGAGGCTTGTTTGCGAAAAAAGTGGCTTCGCGCTTGCCGGCTTTTGGCAGGCGGGGTTACCGATCCGGGACTCCGGCGCCCCGAGGAATTTTTTCTTTCTTTGTTTGGGCTTCTTTTCCGCATGGATTTTAAATTGGCTCCTTCCGCACGGAGAATATGTTAGGTCCGAGCGGGCGCGAGCCAAGAGAGTGTTAATTAGTCATGATGACTTGGTGGGCGGTGGCTTGGAGCGTTTGAAAGTGATGGAACTGGTGACAACCCACTGCTTGCGTGTTGTGTAAGCAGAAAGGACTGAGGAGTAACGTGGGTTTACGTGTCGCTGTGGCTTTGGCATCTTGTGCGGTTGAGGTAACTTGAGTTGAAGCGATGAGTCTGAGCCGCCCAAGTCAGGTGAAGTAGGTAGTTGTCGTATCGAGTTATCTCTATTCGTAACATCATCGCTTTTTTGGTGGAGAGTTGCTGGTGGATACGGGCTAATCTTGACGGCCGAGTTAAAGTTGAAACGCCAAGCTCTAAATGCTGTAAACCAATTAAGTGCACCTTTGAGTCGTACCGGCATTTGTTTCGTGGCCTTGTGTGACTATTGTATTGCTTTATTTGGTTGGAAGCTTCCAATTTGATCCTCTCAAGACTTTAGGTTAAGCTAGAGTATGCTTTATCCTCAGAAGCCATGATTTAGATAAGCTTAATCACAATCAGTTAGTACATGCGACAATGATGAATATTATTTTTTCTATGAACGAATGGGTGTAAGGTAGAGGGACGGGAACTTTCTGGAGTGCCAGAATGTTTGAACCATAAGCAAGATGATATAGGCAACCTGGAACCTTTCAATAGTCAAACATGGCCTATTCCAGTAGAGGTAGTTTTCAAATGTTCAACTTCAACTTGTTCCCCCCGGCCTAATAGTGCCTGAGTATGCATTTTAACTAATGTTCGTGAGTTCTAATATATAGGTAGCATATGAGTTTCGCATTCTTTTTACAAACCGCAAATTCACTAATTGTAATAGGTACGTAGATATATGGCAACTTGGAAAATATCCCCAGTGGTGCTTACAGGCTGCAGTAGTACCTACCTAGTTAAAGCAATGAATGACTTTAAACATTTACAGTTACTGCTGGGAAAAGAAATAAGAGTCTACCACGAAAAAAGAAACGCCTTACAAAAGGAGTTGGCAATGTCGCACAAACATAGACATCTGGCGGATAAATTGAACTGTGAGCTGTACCCTATTTACCGCCAAAGATTAGTATTTGTGTGCTGATCATCACGGATTTCCCACCTGTCTTACAGGGCATAGCGGAATCCTTCGCTCCAGTCGTGAGGCGCTTTATGCTGTAGCTGCAAGGCTGAATACCTAGGTACCTAGCACTCATCGCGCCTGCCCCCATGTACACAAAATCTACAAGCTGCCAATATCCAATTCTGGGTACCTCATCTCCTGTCGCCTCGTTTTGTAATATTGCCATCCACAGAAGAAAATGCCAACAACACCATGGCCATTTCCGTTCTCCTCGTCTCGACAGTGATATTTGCGGCAATCCTGTCATTTGGCCTGGCGCTGCTTATTCCTCGTCCGCACATGAATCTTCATAGACAAGTGCATATACCCCGCAAAAGTCCACGGAAATACCTGACCATCAGGATCTCCAACATCCCTCGCGATGTGACTAGAGATCAGTTCCGTGGCATTTTAAGAAGCCTATCCAAAACTACCTCAGACTTCACCTCCAACAATATACTGGCATGGTCTTTCACACCTGCTGCCATCGCTGGTCTTTCAGAGCGCTTTTGCGTAGCCACCGTTACATTTCACGTAGCTCCAGCGCTCAGCGATCTGGAAGTGTCTTTGAAGCGCAAACTCGGCGAGGGAGCTACTCGCTTGCTTGTCGACGAAGATTTCTTCGGACTCACACCTCTGGCCGCTCCCCTACAAAACCCAGCAGTAGAGTGAGTCACCCTGAGCTGCATAGTGGTGATAGAGTTGACCTTTTTCTAGTATAATTGCAGTGACCGGGCTGTCTGGGCATGGTTTTGGCTCTTGGAAGGCGAGAGGCAGGCCAGATATGTGGCTTCGCGATTTCCTTCCGCCCTCAGTTCCAAATGCGCGCATCATGATATACGGCTACGACACCAAATTACCAGGAAGTCAGTCGGAAGCATCTATTCTTGAACTATCTAAAAAACTACTCGAATCAGTCAAAACGTCTAGGTCTGGAGATTCTGTAAGTTTGGTAACCATGAGGATTCTAGGGGTTACTTAAACTGACACAGAACAGAAACACCGGCCCCTTTTATTTATTGGACACAGTCTCGGAGGTCTCGTCTTAAAGCAGGTATGACAAAACTTGCTGTTTTATCAACCACAGTCTTCATGTGTGGTTTTATAAACATACCCTGAAAACGGTATTCAAATCGCTAATCATGATACCCAGGCTCTTGTTCAAGCGTGTGATGGCAGTGACGATGACAAAGCCATTTTCATGTCGTGTTTTGCGCTTATGCTATTCGGTGTTCCTAATAGAGGCCTTGAAACTTCAAGCCTTATGGCTATGGTCAAAGGACAACCAAATGAAGCATTAATAAGAGATCTTTCAGAGTCGTCACGTTTCTTAAGTCTACTACAGAGCATGTTTTACGAGCGATTCACAATCGACAGCTCACGCATCATTTGTGTTTATGAAACACAAATGACACCCACAGTTGAAGTAGGCATTCTGGTCTCGTATCGCTCCATATCTAGATATCATCTAACACTGCACAGTGGTCTGTGAAAACAGCGTCATGGGAAAGGACTGGGCAAAAGGTTATGATGGTACCGCATACTTCTGCAACGCATGTCAGTAAGAACGAAAAAGCATATGACCATCTTCCTATTGATGCAGATCACTCCGATATTGTCAAATTCCATGACCCATCCAACCAAGATTACGCTATTATAGAAGCAAGGATCAGGCAATTAACAGATCAAGCCCTCCCGATTGTTAAATCGCGGTTTCTCAGTCACCAAAAAAGTAGGCGCCCTTGAATGCAAGAGTCAGCTTGAGAACACGCGCATATGCTAAACTCTTCACAGAGCTATCAGCTTTGGAATCTCAGTATATCAACACCCTCAACTCTCCAACCTATGACTGGTTTAGACATGGCAAGGTTGATGACCCGGCACCTGGGACACTTCGTTGGTTCTTACGCGAAAAGCAATTTCTTTCTTGGAAAGATAGCAACGAGTCCTCTATTCTGTGGATCAGAGGATCAGCAGGCCAAGGGAAAACAGTTTTGGCCAAGTTTCTCCTGGATCACTTGGAGCGCGCCACCTCTGACTCTGGTTCTAGACCTACGGTCATCTATTTCTTCTTCTACGACCAGGATCAAAATCTCCGAACCGTGGATGCCGCACTAAGATCGCTCATCAAACAACTCATTCTGCATCGCCGCGGACTTGCTTTCCAGGCGATTTCCGAAAAGTTTGACATCGAGTCGCCTGTTATACCAGAGTACATATTGTGGAGGGTTTTAGAAGAACTGCTACGTGCACCTATTTTTGGCACTATATACTGTGTATTTGACGCGCTGGACGAGTGTCGGGACGACTCACCGACCCCTAGATTGCCAGACTTCTTTTCAAAGCTCGTTAAATCATCATGTATGAGCAAACAAACTGACCTCGTCATCAAGGCACTCATGATTAGCCGCCCGAAAGTAGAGCTGAGCCGCGTGCTGGAACAACGCCCGTTCATACATTTAAAAGCCAATCCTCAAGATCTGGAAGCGTTTATTCGGTCTCAGATTGACAAAATTGGATTGAGTGACGATCTTCATGGTAATGCGATTAAGCTGCTGACGAGCCGGGCCGGGCAGACTTTCATCTGGATATCTATTGTTCTGAAGAAGATCAAAGCTGTAACTTCACCGCTATCGGAAGTGGATATGGAGAAAATCATCACTCAGAGTCCTTCAGACTTGACAGCTCTATACGAAGATATCATGACACAAGTCATGCGAAGCGAGAATTTAATACAGCAGAAACTTCTTGCTTGGGTTGTTTACGGCCAACAAGCTTTGACTTTGCCCGAGCTGCAGGAAGCTCTATCCGTTCAGTCCGATTCTAGTAGCGCAGAATCCGCGAAGAAACATATGATACGACTTACAGAGTACGTGGTCACCAGTGTCGCGATCCTGGAAATTAGTCTTGGGAGAGTCTATTTGATACATCAATCCGCAAAAGACTTTCTCCTCGTGAGCGGGCATCTGGCTGCTGCCGAGTTCTGCCGCATTCTTCGCCCTTCTGCATATCTGGGAAGGATCTGCATGGTATATCTGTGTTTTTCAGAGTTCAAGAGCGGGCCTTGTCGTGACCGTGCCGAGCTGGACCAGAGGATCCGACAGTACCCCTTTCTTCGCTACGCTGCGCGAAATTGGCACCGTCATATCCAGGCTGAGGACGATATCAGCGGCTTCGCCAGTATCATCCGTCAAGTAACAGAACCCAAGTCCCCCACACTCCAGACGTGGGGGGAGGTTGCTGGCATACTGGATCTCGACAAAGCAGAGACTGTATGGGATATTGCGACAAGAGCTCACATCCCGTGGCTGCCTGAATTGTCTGAATTTCGTGCCAGAGGCACCATTGTCGACCAAAGCAGAGTTAAACTAGCGGCCCATAGCGGCCTTGCGGGTTCCGATGCTTTGAGTGCCCTCGTGAGACGCGGCAACGTTCAATTTACCAACGAAGCCGGCCAAGCAATTGCTCGCTACTTTGACCAAGGAATGATGCAATCGTTTTTGGAAAGCAGTAGGCGTGTCATTGTAACACCATCTCTCATGAGAGCAGCCGCAGCTAATGAGAGGTATGGTGCCTCGGTGATACGCTTATTATTGAAGAGCCTTGATGAGTTTGTGATTACAGATGACTTTGTGATGATGCTGGAAAAAAACCATAACTGCAGACATGACATCATGGAATTCCTCTTACACGAGAATGTGAAGATTTCCAATGATGCGCTGGCCAATTTAGTGAGAATCTTTGGTGCAAAAATCATCAAGTTCGTGCAGAGTTCACAGTGGGACGATACTTTGATCACAGAAGCTGTCGTTATAGCTGCGGCTGATTGTAAAGACGGAGAAGAAGCAATGACTCTGTTACTTGAGCAGCGTGAGAAGGATATTGAGATCACAGAGGAAGTTCTCAGAACAGTCGCCGCAAGTCGTGAAAGTCAGAGTTCAGCTGTGATGAGACTACTGATGAAGCGAGTGAACAAAGCTGAAATCACTGAGAAAATCATCATAGCTGCCGCCCATAATTGGAAGACGGGCATGGAGAAACTGTCTCTTTTACTTGAAGAGCGCAAAGAGAACATCCAGATCACCGACGATATTTTTCGAGCCGCGGTAGGGAATTACAGCGATAGCAAAGCTATGACCTTGCTTCTTCTTGAGAGCAATGACAACGAGATTGAAGTCACAGAAGACATGATTATAGATTCGGCGAGTGGTTCTGACACCAGCAGGGCGGTAATGGCATTGCTCTTTGAGAAATCTGATAATAAGCTTCAAATTACAGACGGTGTCCTTGAAGCTGTGGTAAGGTATACTGGGAATGGTGGAGCACTCATAGCATGGCTTTTTGAAAAGCATGGGGATAAGGTCCATCTTACAGAACCTGTCACAATGGCCGTCGCATCTTCTTGGGACGCGGATGTAGCAATGGAGCTGCTTTTTGAGTATCGTGAGAGTGAAATTAAATTTACAGAAAACTTGATCAAATCTGTGGCAAAAAGCTATCGCGGTAGCACAAAGGCGATGGCTGAACTCCTTGATACGCATGGAAACGAAATCGAGATTACAGAGGATATCCTTGAAGCTGTAGCAGAGAATGACGGCAGTGGACTTGCAACGATGAGGCTTCTTCTTGATCGACGGCCAAAAGAGGTCAAAATAACAGAGAAGGTGATGGAAGCTGCTGCAGGCAACCGGGTCAGCTCAGAGCTGGTACCGCTGCTTTTAAAGGAGCGCGGGGATGAGATTCAAATCACCGAAAATATAGCAAAGGCTGCGGCGGCGAACGCGTACGGTCGCTCGGCCATGGCGCTGCTCCTTGAGAAGCGCGGGAGTGAGTTCCAAATCACAGAAGAGGTGATCAAAGCAGCTGCAAGGAACATGCACAGCGATGTCTTGACACTCCTTCTTGAGAAGTATGGAAGCCGGATCAAGATTACAGAAGAAGTCATCAAGGCCGCTGCAGGGGGTTACTGCAAGGAGGCGGTCGGACTCGTTCTCGAGAAATGCGACAATGAGGTCAAAATTACAGAGGATATCATCAAAGCTGCTGTTGCAGGCTCGGATGATTGCACTTTGGTCATGGCGGTACTTTTCGAAAAATATGGAAGCAAGATTGAGATCACAGAGGATGTCATTATAAATGCTGCTCGTAACGATTGCAACGCTGCACCAATCTTGACGCTTCTTCTTCGCAAAAACAATGCCAAAATCACAGAGCGCATCACTAAAGCTGTGGCGAAAAATTCCACTTGCGGGAGAGCAATGATGATTTGGCTTTTAGACAAGTACGGGAGCGAGATTGAAATCACAGAGGGTGTGGTTAAAGCCGCAGCTGAAAACAGGGAAAACAGCAGAGCAGTTTTGGCTCTTCTTTTCGAAAAATGCAGAGGAGAGATCAAAGTCACAGAGAAAATCATAAAGGCTGCCGCTCGCAATAGCAGGGCGGCTTTGCTATTCTTGCTGGAGAAGTTTGGGAACGAGATCCAGATCACAGAGAATATCGTAAAGGCGGCCGCAAAAAATGCAGGGAGCGGTAGAGCAGTTATGCTGCTGCTTTTCCAGACATTTGGAGAAATGATTAGGATTTCAGAAGATGTGGTTTTAGCTGCGGTCAGATGTAGGGGAGGCAGCAGGTCAGTCATGCAATTGCTCTTCAAAGAGCGCGGAACCGACATTAAGATTACCGAGCGAATCATGATAGCCGCCGTGAAGAGTACCAGAGGAATTGCAGCGCTTCTCTTGGAGGAGCGTGGACACGAGATCGAAATAACAGAGGACATACTGATAGCTGCTGCAGGGAATGTGGAACACGGCGAAGAGTTGATGGATCTACTTCTTGATAAGCGACTCAGCGACGTTTCAGCCTTGATACGGGACTCGGTATGTCTTGCAGCCGCTGCATCTGGGCAGCACAACGTCCTCAAGCTCTTATGCAATCGCCATGGGTTTCTCCCTCTCCGTAAAGAGTGGACTGATATTGCGGCCTTGTTCAACGCTGCCAAGGATGGAGACGTGGCAGCCGTCAAGAGGCTTCTGAAAGAGGGAGTAGAGCCCGATGTGAAGAATGCCGACATTGCACTCGTAACTCCGTTATGGGCTGCTGCTTGTTATGGTCACACGGCCATTGTGGAGCTGCTCACGCAACGGAAAGATGTCAACGTCAACGTCTTGTCGGACGCAGGCGAATCGCCGATATACCGGCCAGCTGCGCAAGGAGAAGAGGCCATTGTCAAGTTGCTGCTGGCTGCTGGCGCAAAAGTCGATTTTGTGGATGAGGACGGCAAGACACCGGCTTCTGTGGCGAGAAAGAACGGACATGGGAGGATAGCTGACATGTTGGAGCGAGTGAGCTCCGAGAGAAGTGAATTCGGTAGCGTTGATACCATCTGAGAGGTTTGGCTGAGCCTACGCAAGATTGTTTACCATGTAATTGAGTCCATATACCTTGTATAAGCGAATATGTATGCACCAGTAAAAGAAGGCCAATGGTGTCGAGTTGTCTGCCGCACATGAGAAAATTCTTGCTGCTGTACTTTCTTCTCGGCAATCTCTTTCGCTTTTGCCAACAAAGACTCAAGTCGACTCTGTCGCATTTCTTAACGTTGCCCCCGGCTCAATTGTGGCACCGGTACATCTGCCATCGTCCCTGGCTTCACCATGAAACCTTTTCTTTGCCTTCTTCGTGATTCTTGTTTTTTTGACATAACAGCGGATAATTATCATCACAAGGATCCAAAAGCGGTGACAGCTCATGTCAATATCTTCTCCGCTTCACTCAACATGCTCGTTGCCGAGATAGTGGCGATGCACAATGGAAAAGAAAGGGGTGCAGAAACAGGCACCGGAGAACATGACGAAACATGGTGCTCAAATTGTTACTTTTCGCCGCCAAAGCCGCGATAAGAGCATAAGTTTTCCTGATATTGAGCGGAAAGCACGTACTAAGCATGCATGCTGCCGATTTGTTGATGCTTTGGCTGTGGTTAAGCGACGGGAAACAGCCTTATCTCGCATTATTCAACTATGCAGCACCAGAACCTCGCTGCGGTGTAACAGTATCGGAGAATGTATATCAATGCTCAACAAGGCTGAGGCTGCCTGCCGGCTGATGTCATTTTTCTTGCTGCCCAAAGTCGACAAAAAGCGTCCAAAAGTGCATTTTTCTATTGCGATGAGTTTTCTTCCTTCTTCACCCATCTTTGGCAATTGGCCAGCCTCTACTTGCCTACAAGCCATTAGTAGCTCCCCTGACTTGTTTCATAGAGCCATTCATACTCTATTCGCAGCCTACTGTATCATGTCGACATCCACAGATTCCAAAATTCACGAGGGGGCACATGTTGTGACCAAACCGAACCCCGACGTTGTTGGCATCAACAGCGATGGACCTGCAGTATCCTCTGCTCATGTGCTGCTTCGCGAGGCTTCCAAATTTTGGACCATACCCCCTTATATGACGTTCGCCAATAAGAAGTCTGGTCCTGAATCTCGACAAGTGCTCTTTCAATCCTTCAAAAATATGGACAAAGAGGGAGTGGCCTTGGTGCCCTATAAAAATGGATTTGTCAACGGAATCATCCGCGCTTTCCAACAAGACCTTCATCTCGTGCTACGAGCCGACGACATGTGGCTCGCAATCATGACCCAGTTTAGCTCTTACGTGAACGGACATTCTGAAGAGATGAGGGAAATGTTTGTCTCTCACAAAGGCAAGAAGGAACTTGTTGTTGATGTGCGGCCCCAAAGCATCGCAACTATAGACTTTCAACATATGGCATCACTTTTCGCCGGCTTGATTCAAGAGAATGTGGTTGATCCCGGTCTCAAACAATGGATGTTGCCAGACTTTTCTACGACAACTGCTGGTGATGTTGGAGTGGCCGCAATGGTCATGATGGCAACTATGCAAGCGTACTTTGAGTATAATTTAAGAGGAGGCTGTGGGTTTCCAAGCGTAACGCTGCTTGGCGAGAGAGCAGACTGGGTGCATCTTGTCCAAAAAGTAGAGAAGCTGGCCACATATGGCGGGGAACTCGCAGCGTGGAGTCAGCTTCTCATCAAGATAGCGGAGAAAATGGTCGAAACCTTTGATCAGCCGGATTCGCAGTCTATCAAGGATTTTTGGATGAGGGCAGTGCACACAGAGGGAGCAAATAGCTCGCGTAGAGTCGAGACACTTTCTGGATGGCTCACAGCCTTCTGCTATTGGAATGAAAAGGGTACCAAGACCAATCAACGCGGAGACAAAGAGAAAGTCATGTCCTCTGGAGAGGAAATTGACAACTGGAGACTTGTGGTTGATGGCGTCGCTTTCCCTATAATAGCTGCTCGTGATGTTCCTCGGGCCACGGCTGAAGTGCCAGTTACGGTCTTGGATTACGGAACTCATACCCGTTACGATACGACAGTAATCGCGGGCTTTGTGGGAGTGGAATCGACGGCGAGTAAAAAAGGAGAGCCAAATGACACCGTTCAGCCACGAGCCGGCTATTGGGTGCTAATCGATGAGGCTAGGCCAATGCCATAAAATCTCGAAGATTAATGCAGCAACTCTGGTGTATTGGGCCTGGGGGAGGTATGATGAAAGATGTTACGCTGCTTGCTTATAATGAAAGGTATCAATTTGCTTTATTGTGGTGGATGAGTGCGAGTATTTTTGGTGATGGTGGATAGTGAGACTGAAAAATAATTAAACAGTTGTTGCTTCCGTGTTAAAATAAAAAGCCCCTAGCTATAAGTTTATGATGGCTGTAGAAGTTCATAATTTCCTCAACGGTTGTATAGAGTTATACTATTTATGGACTAAAGTTTGTATGTGTATATCTTGCAATTGAGTGATTGGTCTTTGCATGTATAACATAGTTTATTAAGTGTTTGGTATACTCACATATTGTATTAACTGAATGATCATATATTCATATATGTCTACGTGCCATATCCTAACCTGGCTTCTCTTCGATTATTTGACTTTGTCTAATTACCCCATATTGTTAGATAATTTTGATTGCTGCCGTTAATAGATAAGCCTGCTACCATCGGAAATGGTAAGCAATCTTCTTCCCATCTTTTCTGCCCCCAATTTGATAAAGATGTTATGTGAGTGTTCTTGCAGCCATTATATACGAGAAATATATGACTAGGTCAGAAGAAGAATTAAGACAGGCTCTACTTTGGGCATGGCTTCAAGCGGATTGCGGAGTAAATAAACAAGGAGATAGCGCACAGAGCAAGTAGCGAAAGTTTATTAGTGCTGATGGCTTCTCTGACAAGCCATGGGCGTTAAAGCAAGGGCTCTATAGACACTGATCTTGTGGCAACTATTGACCGACCATCAATTATGAATAGAATAGCGGACCGCTAGACACAGCTGCTTTTGCAGGTAAAGAACCCCATATCTTGACACGCACTCTCTACCAATAAAAAATAGAGGATTTTGTCCATGGAAATTCGCAATATTAGTCCTTGATCTTACCATTAGAGGCAAAAGTACTGGGAATCTGAAGCTAAGTTGTCCAACTAATTGCTTACATGCGTCTTACAGCATCACCAACGGCTTATTTCAAGGGACAGGCAGGCTATATTTAATATCTTTCAACGCCCATCTTTCACTCCTCCACAATCCATTACTTCAAGTACTTCCACTACATGCCGACGCCAGTATCATTCTCATATGGGGAAATAAGCATATCTGAATCACTCGGGGCAAAACACCAGGTGGGGCAATGGCTCAGGAGGCCAAACAGCCAACAAAAGTTGTCATCATTGGCGCAGGTTGAAACAATTCACTCGTAAAGTATTAAAACAATACCTCTCACTAACGGGCACTAGGATGGGCTGGTCTGGCTGCTGCGAAGACGTATGAGAACTTTATACATTCCATAACAATATATCATGGACACTCACCACCTTTTGCTAATTCGGCTTAGATATCTACAAGTAAACCCTACGATATCTTTAATCATCATCGACTCGGAAGCCACAGTAGGCGGCGTGTGGTCCAAAGCAAGATGTTATCCGGGCTTCATAGCAGATGGCCCCGTCGGCCTATTTGACTTTAGTGATCTACCAATGTCCGGCGTCATCGGGCTCAAAAACTGGGATGAGCTGCCTGGCATCAAAGTCCATGAATACCTGCACGAATATGCCCGGAAATATCATCTGCTCGAGCAATGTAAATTTTCCTGCCGAGTCACAAATGTTCACCGAGCAACACCAGAGGGAGGATGGGCTTTGGACACGCAAACCACCAGCGACGACGGCAAGCAGATATCTGAGTCACTCACATGCGATAAACTGATTGTCGCAACGGGGCTGTATTCGAATCCCAAATGTCCAGATTTAATGACGTCCGAGTTCAAGGGGCCAGTGATGCATACCAAAGACATTGGACAGCAATACGACGCCCTCCTTGGCACAAACGTCGAAAGCGTTGCTATATATGGCGGAGGTAAATCAGCCATTGATGCCTTGAACCTTTGCATTGAAGCAGGGAAGAAAGTCCACTGGATCATCAGCGACAAAGGCAGCGGCCCCAACGTCTTATTCAATACTCGGCTAAAGGGGGGATTTCACGTTGGCCAGTTTGTTGGAAGATGGAAAGACATGTTTTCTGCCAGCATCTTCAGCGTCGACACGTTCTTTGGGCGATTCTTTTACAGTGGGAAGAACAGGCTGGGGACGTGGTTCATTGACAAGTTCTGGTCCTTTGCGACCAAGAAGATGCGGACAAGTGGGCTGTACGCCGGCATGACGGATGCAAATAGAGAAAAGTTGTTGCCTGAAGACGAAAGGTGAGTGTTGATCCTTCTTCACGAGGACATGTATCAACATCTAACATGTTGTAGTGCTTTATTTTCGGCTGCTGGAGGCGCCGCTCTTCATAGCTGTCCCAAGTTCCTCCCAGAACTAAGCAAACCCGACGGTCTTATCATGGTTCACCGAGCCCGCATTACTTCTGCTCAAGATCAAATGCTGCATCTTTCTAATGGCGAGACTGTCAACTGTCAAGCTTTGGTGTATGGCACGGGTTGGTCAGGTGAAGACATGCTCTTTGAGCCGTCCCTCGGACTCTCTCTAGGCTTGCCAAAGCCCGTGGCACTGGAAGATCAAATCTCGAAAGATTATTGGCAGAAGCTTCATACGAAAGCAGATGTGGATGTGCTATCACTTCTACCGATCCTGAAAGACTCGCCGGGACTCCGGAGCACACCTACTCTCACACCATATCGCTTACACCGATACATGCTGCCTTCGTCTTTGGCCGCACAAAATGACCGATCTCTCGTATTTCTAGGATATCTGATCAGTTTTCAGACGCATATTCTCAGTGAAGTCTCCGCTCTATGGGCAATCTGCTGGCTTGATAACCTCGTCGATTTAAACATCTCAAACAAGGAGGACATAGACTATGAGATTGCAAAGGTAAATGCGTGGTCGCTTCGGAAGAACTTGACTTTGGAACCGAGGCCCGGTAGTGGAATTCAGCATTTTATTGATCTGTTGATGAAGGATATGGGACTAAAGGCAAAGCGAAAGGGAAGACTTGGAATCCGAGATACGTTTGTCCCTTACAAATCCCAAGATTACCTAGGAATTGTGGATGAGATTATACAAAAGTCGAAAGGACACATACGATAATACATACCAATTTACTACACAAGTCGCAAGGTGTTTGTTTGCCTGCCTTATATTCCACATATATTGACGAACCTATTTCTTCTCTTCGTGCATTCCGAAACCTCCCTCGAATTGCAGAAATCTCAACCCCAGCGTTGTGATGATTTGATCATTCCATTCATCCTTGCCTGGTACGACAAGATATATATTAGATCAAGACATTTGTATAGGAGATATGTCCATTATGCGGGGCCGTCGGTATGTGGGGGATACGCGGAAGTGAAACCATCTTTAACCGTCAGAGATCTACTTTAAGAGCCACTTCAATATGCTATAGCCGATTCCTGGACAAGTTTATTTATCCAGAGAGAATCCCATTCGTGCGGCAAACGTCATCCCGATTTTGTAAAGTGCTGCTCGTATGACTCTTTCACGTGCTTCCTGTATCTGAGCCTTTCTCCCATCTTCAGTGTTAAATAACCCTTTACTTTGCCTTTTTCTTGGCGAAATAGCAATTACCCCGGATTAAAGTCTCAAATACCTCCACTGGTCATTGCAAGGATAAGCGAGATCTTCTCCTACAATTGACAAACCGCACAAATTACGCATGTGATTGGTGCGTTTATACCAGATTGTATGTGGTATATTGCGACATATCGAAGTCTAGATCAGCACTCGCAATTGTTCCCCGATAACCTGCGATTGGTACCAGATTCCGGTTGGCGATTTATCTTGATATCCATTGAGTCTCCATCCAAACTATACAGTATACAAGTGAGGAAGTAGAGGTTCTTTATACCGACGTCTGCTCTGTTCACAAGCTTCCTAGGCGGTTGGCTTCCAACTCAAAGAACATGATACTCCTTACATTCTGAAATTGTTCTCAGGTACTCTCTCAATTGGTTCGCTCGTTGAACAACTGTCTCTTCGTCATCGCCCATACGCGGTATATACTTTGTTCAGGTCTTTCACGCGGCGTACCTGCTTTGGCTCAAAGGGCACAATTATACACAGTCTTGTATAATCTATCCTGCGCATATATGAACTTGTACAAAATAGCCGTCGGATTCAGATTAATCGCAATTTACAAATGCTCAAAAGCTCTACAAGCTTTAGCACACGCTCAGAATAGTTCTTGCATTCATAACCAAGATTGTCCGATGGATGCCCCTTGTATTAACATCTCTTGCATCATTAAGCGGTCCGGTTTTGACATCAATGTGTCAATTAGGCAGATGTTTCTTCTTGCGCACCTATAGCATGCACAGACTTCACGGTAGATGGCAATATTAGGCTATATAATAGGTAGGCCATCCCAATACTTGAGAGTTGTCTGAAAAAACAGCAGTATCTTAAAGCGTGTTTGTTCATACTTCCCATCTATACTGAACATGGGCTCCTTTAAAGCCATTATCGCGGCATCTCTAGCTGTCCTGGGGCAGTTCGCTGCGGCTACTCCAGCAAAAGTCCAATCCAAGCGAGCTGGTATTTCCTCCATCGTCAAAGGAACGCCGGTAGGCTTTGCGTCTTCAGTCACAGGCGGTGGCACTGTCACTCCAGTATACCCAACTACAATTGCGCAGTTAAAGGGTTACCTCACCTCAACCAGCCCGCAGAATATCGTCATCTCCGGTACCTTCAACTTTGCTGGTTCTGAGGGTACAGTGACTCTTCCAGCATGTAACGCATATTCTTGTACGCCGTCCAATGGTGGACAGGCATTGCTGAACACGCTGAATGGATGCGGATCGTTATCAACGTATAATGTTACTCTCGATAGCGCTGCGTATAACGCCATCAACGTTCAGTCGGACAAGACGCTTGTTGGCATAAACGGTGCAACTCTCAATGGCAAAGGCTTACGCCTTTCTGGCGTTTCCAACGTCATTATTCAAAACGTTGCCATCACCAATCTAAACCCGCAGTATGTCTGGGGCGGCGATGCCATTAGTCTCAGCAATACGAACAATATCTGGATTGACCATGTAAAGGTAAGAACAGAAGTCTTATAAATAGTGCATACCTGACAAGATGAGTTTTTGTTTCCAGACTTCCAATCTCGGCCGTCAACATTATAGCTTCGGTACCGGCTCCAACAATGCAGTCACCATCTCCAACAGCTTCATCAATGGCCAGACATCTTACTCAGCTAGCTGTGATGGTCACTCGTATTGGGGCCTTGAACTAGTTGGAAGTGGCGACCAAATCACTTTTTACAGTCTGTCAACGTTTATCTATTCAAAATACTACAAGTTGTCGCTAACAGGTGTCCTTCACAGAAAACTATGTCTACTATACATCAGGACGCACCCCTGCTTTGTCCGGCAACACTCTCTTCCATGCAGTCAACAACGTCTGGTCCTCAAACTCCGGACATGCAATTGAGGGTACTTCGAACGGCATGGGCTTGTATGAGGGCAACTACTTTGCCAACGTTCCGACAGTTGTTGCTTCAGGATTTGTAGGGCGTCTCTTTAGTTCACAGTCATCGGCTGTGTCTCAGTGCGCACAGTATCTGGGACGCAACTGTGTGTCGAATTCCTTGTCAAACTCGGGTCCTTTCACCAATAGCGACACAAGCTTCCTTTACCTGTTCCAAGGCAAGACCAATATTGTTTCTGCCGCTTCTGCTTCGTTAATTCAGTCAACTGTCCCTTCATCAGCGGGCAATACGCTGTAATCGCACTTGATATCGGTGAGCGCTATCCATGTTTTAGCCTTGCCCAAGTTGTGATACTTGAAGAGATTGCTCTGGGAAGAGTAAATGGAACTCTGTCAGAAGAGAGAACTATTTGTCTAACTGGAAGAACTACAAGTAAGGTTTAAGATAAATGCCTGGAGGACACAAATATACATGATACATGTTGTTGAATGCCGCAACTACACAAGAACCTATCTACGCTATCCAGAATGAACAATAAATGAAACTTTAACAAGCTAATAACCATTTATCTAAACTCGCCTGCCCTAAGCAATACGATGTAGAATATCTTTCCCCCCTAACCAGCGATCAACATTCTCAGCCGTCTCAGCATACCACGCGTTCATCAGCCCTTCATCAACATATCCCATGTGTGGCGTAGTAATCAAACGTGAGCGTCCTCCTTGGCCCCAATAGTTTGCTCTCCTCCACGGGCTATACAAGGGCAGCGGCTCAATCTCAAATACATCCAAAGCAGCACCACGAATAGCCCCTTGCTCCAACGTTTCGAGCAGAGCTGCTTGGTCGATTAGTGGTCCTCGAGACGTATTGACCAGAATTGCGGAACTCTTCATCTGCTCCAGCTCTTTGATGCCAATAATATGTCGCGAGCGAGCGCTCAGCACATAATGCAGGCTGATGACATCGGCGCCGCGGAAGAGCTCCTCTTTGCTCACAACTCGAAATATTCCAGAAGGCAAACCAGCTTCGGCTGCAGTACGGTCGGCCTTTTCTTGAGTCAAGTTCTCACTCCAGCACACCACATTCATACCCCAGGCAAGATGGCCAATACGAGCAACAGCAGCGCCCAATCGCCCAAGCCCAATAATTCCCAGCGTTTTCCCCGTCAGACTCATGGCTAAGTCGCTCTGCCATCCAGAGCCAGTTTTCAACGCTGCATCATCAGCGGCAACATTGCGAGCGAGAGCCATGAGGAGGGCCCATGTGTGCTGCGTAGTTGGGTGTGCACCGCCCTTCTTGATATTTGGCTGCGAAGCAATACCAGTGACTCCATCTGTTCGACCAAGGCCGGGCGCAGCAACGACGGTGATTCCCAGCTCTCGAGCAGCAGCAAGATCAAACATTTCAAACTGCGTGCCAGTGGCCAACAAGAGCTTCAAGTTGGGCAAACTACGCAAGAGTGAGCCGGGAAACGCAGTTCGTTCGCGAATCGTTGAGATGGCCTCAAAAGGCTTCAGTCTATCAACTAGGCAAGCAGTCTCTGCCTCGTTGATGGGATTGATGGTGTCTTTAAATGTAGTGATTTGCAGCCTGGTAGACGGAATGTGCGCAAAGTGAGGCTTGGATGTGCTGAGGTAGTCATCAATAATTGCAAGTGAGGGAAGTTTTGACACCTTTGTAAAGGCCTGTCTAGCAGCAGACGGCATCATTTTTTTAGTCTTCTTTGTGATGCGAAATCAAGGCAAGTTCAAAGTGTAAGATGGTTTATAAAATAGACTTGTATGTCAAGAGAAAAGATTTGTAGTGGGAAGTCAGTATTGACGAAACAGAGATATGTGTTGCCGGTCGCAAGCTTTCGGTCGCAAGTATGTATAGCTTTCCTCTTAAGTCAGTGATAGCATATCTCTATCGCGATATGTCTATGTTACTGCTTAGTATTCGATTGCATGACGATCAGAGTGAAGAGAATACAGCTCACTTTCCATGTATTGTTGGCTGAATGAGAGATGATGCTGAGATTGCTATTGCATACAAAGGTAAAAGAACGATTCTCATCTTTATGACAAAAGCGCTGGCTCGGCTCGGCTCGTATTGGTCGCATATTAATACGCGTGGGCTGATTGGCAAAGCAACGTGCATACTAGTCTGTTTATATCCCGATCCGCAACACCACGATTCTGATGTTTATGCGCAAATCATACCCAAACCATTAAATACGACAACTATTATGACCAAGTTTACAGGATCATTAAAACATTTCGGCGTAGTTGCTCGGGCTTACGCTTTGTTTGTTCGGATCCGCTCGGAGTTCCGTACGGAGTTCCGGTATGCCTCGCCAACTATTAAATTGCGATAGTTGGTAACAAACATTACACTTTACCAGCTGTATTCATCTGGCATAATTATGGGCTAGTCAAACTCGGACAACTTCTCATTCTCTCTTCATACTATATACAAGGCGTATTAAAGTATGTATCCGACAGAGAAGAGCGCCATCTTCGATGAAGACGCATGTAAACTACTCTGACTCTATATTATTGTATAAGCATGATGAGATTCTTACTGAAGGCATTCAATCGTATGATTAAACAGGAGATGATGAGCCATATTTCTCTTTGCAGCGTTGCGTCAGCTGAGGTTTAAAGACAAAAGAAAGAGGAGATTGGTTTCTGCTTGTTTTGGACGATATTAAAGTACTATCAGACTTGGAGTACAGAATTACATGAAAATAATAGATATAAATTTTGGCAATAACCGTGCAAAAATACAAGAGATGGCTTTTTGGCTCTCTCAAAGACTTAAGACTTAATCTTATTCTGGATCCATAAGTAGCTTTACATGGAGACGGAAATAAGTTATATTACTTCACATCAGTCCAAATAAAGTTAAAATAGCTTTATAATCATTATTGCTGTCACACACGAAATCTTGTTAGTAATGGCAAGGCTCAGCTGCGCATTCTTTCATGAATGTCTCTTGCGTGTACCAGATCCATCACCCTGTCCTAAACATGCCGGTACATTCAGGCTATATAGCCATAACCCACCAATGAGCAAATTGCACAATGTTGGAGCTGTAGAGAGCAGCTATACAGAATGGGTGTATCCTTGCCGAGAATTTTTCCTATTGGGTAAAATCCCACTCATTTCACACCCAGATCTTGTATAGTCAATTAAAGCGGCTCTTGCTCGCAAGTGGCCCATGAAGCCAATGTTCAGGCGTGTGTTCTTACTAATTGTTGCATAATTAACCTGGCAATTTAATTTCCGTACTTCAATAGAGACACGGTCTTTCTTCATTCTTCATTTCCAGCTATGATCATGTCAAAGACACGCTTGGCCCACTAATACGTCTTGAGTAAAACATTCGATCATATTTTACCCGTGCCCCTCGTCTAGATCGAATTTAGCAACTCTATGAGCTCACAACTCAAGTACTCCGCAACTCTGTGGGGTTTCGGCTGTGGTGCTCCGGCAGATGCCACCCTTTATTATGGCTTCAGTGTGGGGAGTAGCAACAATATGGGGAAGCATGTAACCATAATGAACTAGTACTTTGGACATTGCATATCAGGCCTACGACAAATGTGTATTTTCCATCTTTCAAGTTGGCAACGAAACAGACTTGGAGTCATCTGGGTTGCACAATCCAAGCCGAGTAACTAAAAAGAAAGAAAGAAATGTTATAATCTACTGGCCGTTCAGCCTGTTTATCCATTGGTACTATCGCAGCTGCAGCTACACAATCTGCAGATCCATTCGTCCACCCCCTCAGTCTCTAATGCAGCCAGGATCTTCAGTCCAATTTCTGGGGTTTGCCCTTTCTTGTACTTTAGGCTAAAGGCATTTCCCTGGCCGACAACGCCAAGACTGAGAAGCTTGACCTATACTTGAAATAGATGTGTTGACAGCTAGAATCTCATTGATTACTCCAACAGGTGGAAGCGGTGTATCTACATATAAAACGACAACAGCCATTGAGTTCCTACGATGCCTTAGCGGACAGCTGATACGGCCAAGTCTTGAGCACAAGGAGACAGCCATGATATTACAAAGTCTTGTACTTTTGTTACTCACGGCCATTGCGCCCGTCTTTGCCGAGACCGGCATTGACGCATGGCTGCGATATGCTCCTCTTTCAAGCTCTGTTACAAGAGGCCATCTTAATTCTTTCCCAAACCACATTGTCGCCCTCAACGCCACCAAAGATGGGCCTCTATCAAGTGCTGCATCAGAGCTACAAAAGGGTATCAAAGGCATTCTAGGTCTCAACTTGGGTGTCAGCTCAAGCCAAAAGAGCTGCTCTGCCCAAAAGACCATTGTTGTTTCTACTCTCGATTCTTACAAATCAGCTTGCGGCAAGCTTCCCCCAAAGTTGGATCTAATACAAGATGGATACTGGCTCAGCACAAAGGGTGAATCAGTACAAATCATCGGCCAGAATGAGAGGGGCGCACTTTACGGTGCCTTTCAGTATTTGTCCTTGCTCGGGCAGGGTAACTTTTCCCAAGTTGCCTTTGCTTCCAATCCCAGCGCACCAATCCGATGGTCCAACCAATGGGACAATCTCAATGCAGGAACAGCAGCCCATGGCAGCATCGAAAGAGGCTACGGCGGTGTTTCCATCTTCTTTGAGAATGGCTATGTCAAGAAGGATCTTTCTCGAGTTCCACTCTACGGCCGTTTGTTGGCTTCTGTTGGCCTGAACGGCATCGTCATCAACAACGTCAATGCTGATGCAACACTTCTCAACGAGACAAACTTGGAGGGCGTCAAGCGAATTGCTGATTTGTTCCGGCCGTGGGGCGTCCAGGTCGGAATCTCACTCAACTTTGCCTCGCCTCAGGTCCTCGGAGAACTGGACACGTTTGATCCCCTGGACGAGACTGTCATCAAATGGTGGACAGACAAATCCAACAGGATTTATGAACTTGTGCCTGATTTTGCGGGCTACCTGGTCAAGGCCAACTCAGAGGGCCAGCCCGGGCCGTTGACATACAATCGTACCCTATCTCAAGGTGCCAATCTCTTTGCAAAGGCTATTGAGCCACATGGCGGCATTGTCGTGTTTCGGGCCTTTGTCTATGACCAGCTCAATGAGACTGATTGGAAGGCCGATCGAGCCAATGCCGCAGTTGAATTCTTCAAAGATCTGGATGGCCAGTTCGACAGCAACGTCCTGGTCCAGATCAAGTTCGGTCCTATAGATTTCCAAGTCAGAGAGCCCCCCTCTCCTCTTTTCGTCAATATACCCAAAACACCCGTGTCAATAGAGCTTGAAGTCACTCAAGAGTATCTTGGCCAGCAGTGCCATCTAGTCTATCTCCCGCCTTTGTGGCAGACTATCCTGGGTTTCGATATGCGAGCCAATGGCCGGCAGTCTTACATTCGCGATATTGTCACAGGCAAGACATTCAATCACAAACTCAGCGGCTATGCTGGAGTTATCAACATTGGAATGAATGATACATGGATCGGTAGCCACTTGGCGATGTCCAACATGTTTGCTTTTGGCCGGCTAGCCTGGAACCCTCAGGCAGACTCTCAAGACATAGTTGAGGAATGGACCCGTCTAACGTTTGGTCTCAACCGGGATGTCGTTTCAGCTATTGTGAGCATGTCCATGAAGTCATGGCCGGCGTATGAGGACTACAGCGGCAACCTGGGTATCCAGACCCTTACCGATATCTTATACACTCACTATGGCGCAAATCCGGCCTCTCAGGACAACAATGGCTGGGGACAGTGGACGCGAGCCGACAGCAAAACTATTGGCATGGACCGCACAGTATCGAATGGTACAGGAAATGCTGGCCAGTACGCCAAAGATGTAGCACATATGTTTGAGTATACTCAAACTACGCCAGACGATCTGATGCTATGGTTCCACCACGTACCTTATACCTTCAAGCTACACTCTGGCAAGACGGTCATTCAACATTTCTACGATGCTCATTATGCTGGATCTGCAACGGCACAAACTTTCCCCACCACTTGGAAGTCGCTTGAGGGTCAAATAGACGCCGAAAGATACAAAGAGGTCTTGTACAGACTGACATATCAAGCTGGCCACTCTTTGGTATGGCGTGACGCCATCAGCGAGTTCTACCGCAACCTTTCGAGCATTCCAGATCAACTGAATCGTGTTCGAAACCACCCCCACCGTATTGAAGCCGAAGCGATGGACCTCTCAGACTTCACGATAGTCGATGTTGATCCTACAGAATGCGCATCCAAGTACAAAGCAATTGCGACGAATGGAACCGGCACAGCCACTACAAAGTTGAACGTCCCAAGCGGAAAGTACAATGTTGCAGTCAACTATTACGATGTCATGGGTGGCATCGCCAACTACGAGGTGCTGCTTAATGGCAAATCCGTCGGAACTTGGAAAGGCGATTCGGAAAACTATCTTGGCCATGACTACAGCTCATTCCTTGACTGTCACTCGGCAATTCGTATCACGTTTGAGGGTGTCAAGATTAAAAAGGGAGATACGCTGACTATCAAGGGAACTGGGAATGCTTTGGAGCAAGCGGCGATAGATTACGTCTCCATTTTGCCACAGGGTGTGGTAGATTAGAAAGTGAACAGGCATCAAGAAAGGAATAATATAGGTGTCATCTATTTCATGCGGAGATCTTTATAGTAATGTTAGTATAGTTTTATAGACTGACTTGTGGGGACATCTTCTCTATTAGACAATAATGAAATCCTCCCAGTCATCGTCACTATCCCATGCACTTTTCACCATCCGCCCAACCCCTATTCTTTCAACTACACTCTTCCCATCCAAGGAATCATACAATAGTTGTGAAGAAAGAGTTTCGGTAACCTGAGCCGTAAGCTGGACGCGATAACGCGCTAGTTCTTCGCCTTCAATCCTCCTTATCATCATCACATCATATACTTGGAAAGGATTCATTTTCTTGGCTGCCACAGGTGCCATCTCCTGATGATTGAATCCATAGCTCTCCGACAGAATAATGAACTCGTGGTCTTGTGCCATTTTGGCATGATATTGCACAGGTAAGAGAATGGTTCCCAGCCATGGCCGATCACCTGTACTTGGTGACGGCAAAGAAAGCCCGAAGCGGCCACGCCGTTCAATTGGATAGTCGTCCTGGTTAAAGGTTGAACTTAGCATCAGAGTGGTTAGTCGAAAGCGTGCAATTCGTGTACGCAGACTCAGTCCAAGCGGAGGCAGCATCGTATTGGATTCTCCCGACTTGCCAAACGAGGAGATAAAAGGGACAGGGTGGTATCGGTGAATATCAGTGCCCCTAATGTAGCAAGTCCCATCTTCCGCCGTGGAAACTTTTGACCAACCAGGAGACAAACTGTTTGTTGCTATTGGAGAGAAATACTCGAGCTCTTTCAATCCTACCAAAGCCAGCTTCGAGAAAGGCTTGACACGCTCTGCACGGTTTTCGATCCCAAGCATGTCGTTGAACGCATTCCAATCTTCATAACCCACTGGCCCAGTCCAGCCTGTCCACGACCAACTCGGGAAGAGCGGCAGACAGGTTTTAGGATCCTTCGGTACGCGTTTGAGCTTGTTTCGCGGCTGCCAGAGTAGAGCCATGTATATGATAGCCTCTGGCAGGCCATGAATGAAGTTGAGACCAAACTCTCTTTGCAGAACATCTAGCACTCCACTGACCCCCAATAGCCGATCGCTGGCATAAGACATATCGCGACCGGTATACTCTTCGACAAGCCGGCAATACTCGCGTAGATATGAGGTGTTTGCTATATGAACAGTTGGAATGCCCCTCTCTTTGACACTCCCAGGAGCCATCCAGCTTCGATTCAGTGAAATATCCATCATGGGCGCACAACGCTTTAAATGCCGTGTCTCAGCGTAGTAGTCCTCGCCCCAGACGGCCATTGAACACTGGAAGCTCACAGACCCGTCGGGGAAAGAGAAGAGACACCGTTTCGAAAGAAGACGCTCCTGGTATGTCCAGCCTCTGGTGTTCCAGGTCGTTGCCGCCGCGCTACGATAGGCGTCTGGATGTAGCGCAACCAGCGTGAGATGATCCGAGATTTGGGCTGTATGCTGTTTACGAGATCGGGTTCCAGGCTGTAAACCAGGGATCCCTGCGTCGGCATGCGAACCAGCTGCGGCGACAATGGTGAGACTCGCACGGCTATAGATGCAGTCCATCATGCGAAGCTGCTGCACTTTATCCTCCGCAGAGTCTTGAATGATGCATAGAGAGTCAACCCAGATGTATCGAAAGCCGAGCTCTTTTGCTAGGACCATGGCATCGCGGATCGACTTTGGAAAGGATGACACCGGCAGTCCCCCTGGCTGCATCAGCATGTCGATGTTGTCTCGTATCGTCTTGAATACAGCGGCGGGTCCCCATACATAGCTCAATGCCGCATAAGACAGAGGACAAGCTGTTTCAACCAACCTGTAGTCGTCCAAAGATATCATGCGAATGAACGGCACCCCAAAGTCAGACGTATTCCACGGCGCGGCATCGATGCACTCGCTGCCATGCCATTGCTCGCAGCTCTGGACCCAGGTCTTGACCACTTCCAAGTCGAAGTGGCCATTGTTGATCTTTCGTCCTAGAAATAGATTGTCGCTTTCATCAAGATGATCCGCCAAAGGAACCAGGTCAAACGGTTCAAACAAGTCTTCCCAGCCAATAACCTCTGGAGCAATCCGCAGCCGAAGCGTTCCCACTTTGCCGTCGCTGTTATTGAGCACTCCGTCCCATATCCAGCAAGCAATTATTTCTGTATTCTTGCGCTCCAGCGTGGAATTTGAGGGGTCTTGCTCAACAACTTTTGCAATCAGGCCGCATACACGACACAAGCTCTTGCGAGAAAGGATGTAATCGAGATTGCCAAAATGCCAGTCGCGATGAGGAGTTGTTGAATCTGTGTGATATGGGTAAGGACCAAAAGACGCTTTTTGTAGATGAGCAACAGTGGTAGCATGACGAGGACAGAATGGCTGGCTTGGATCTTCGTCAGGAAGTGGGATATCAGAAGAGTCAGCGTAACTCCATCGCAATTTGCGAGTAGGGTCGCTGGAAGGATCATCGGCTGACGGTTCGCCTGCTATAGGCATATTGAAGTAAAAGAACAGAGGCTTCTTTCGATGGTATTTGGAAATATAGTACTATTATAGCTTCAATTTTTGTTCAGTCTCCATAGTAAAAGCAGCTTGATATACTAACGAGCACTCATTGCCAAGTTTCATTGAGACTGTACCCCGCTTGATATCTGCCCTTTACAAGTCTCCCGTGATAGACAGACAGGGGGGACTGCTTATACCAATAAGTGCGGTACAACGACACTGAAAATAGTGGAGATGAGACTGTGATCAAATTCGCTGAAAATATATTTTGATAGCGTTGATGAAACCAGATAGATAGAGATCCCACTATAGGTTTTCATATAAAAGACAGAAATTAGAACGATGATGTAGACAGGACCAAACGTCGCCGAGATTCGCCTTTAGCCAGCCGTTTTAGACATGGCGTGTTAGCACTCGTTATATCATCAAGTTAAACGCATTGTTACAAAGAATACACAAAAGACTTCAAGATAAAACTTTGTAGAGCGGCAATCATCGCGATACAAAAGTCTACGTGTTGAGGTCTTGAGAGGACTTCTAATACCGCCTATTTCACGTGAGAATCTAGGTATCTACCTATGTACTCGGTGGCTACAGTGCCGATAAGATAAGAGGTGATTGTAGCGATAGCAGTAGCTCCTTCAACTACATTCATCATTTCTTCTTCAACACCAGCTCTCATACACGCTGTCCAACTGCCCTCTCCAGCAATTGGCTGACTTTCCCCCTCCTCTCTCATCAAACATCACAAAACTTGGTCGTATCCTCACCGCTTCGGCTCGCTCGCCAAGCAGCGCCCGCCGCCAACCATGGCGCTCTCTCCCGTCGTCACAACCACTTCTTCCTCCGCCCAGAACCAAAACGCCGACAACTTCCAAACATTACGAGCCGTCTCCTCACCTCTCAAGGCCCTCACTTCCGGCTCAGGCCAGACTTCGTCCAATGGCACCCCCAAACCCGCCCTCGCGCCCGCGCCGCCAACCGGCCAGACGCTCGCTCCGACGCTCGATCTCGCCGAGCAGATGAACGAAGAGGAAAAGCGCAAATACGTCAAAGGCAAGAAGCTTGGTGAAGGTACCTACGCCGTCGTTTTCCTCGGCCACCTGCGCTCCAGCCCGGCAACCCGCGTCGCCATCAAGAAGATCAAGGTCCAGAAGGAATACACAGAGGGCATGGCCCCCGACGCGGTCCGCGAGCTGAAGCACCTGCAGGAGCTCCAGCACCCAAACATCATCTCGCTCCTCTCCGTCTTCTCCTCAAAGGACCAGAACCTCAACCTGGTGCTCGAGTACCTGCCTCTCGGCGATCTCGAAATGCTCATCCGCGACACCGACAACGTCCGCTACGGTGCCGCCGACATCAAAGCCTGGATGGGCATGCTCACCCGCGCCGTGTGGTTCTGCCACGAGAACTTTGTCCTGCATCGCGATATCAAGCCCAACAACTTGCTCATCGCCGCCGACGGTGAAGTCAAGCTTGCCGATTTCGGTCTTGCGCGAAGCTTCGCCGACCCTCATCGCCACATGACATCCAACGTCATCACCCGCTGGTACCGTCCCCCCGAATTGCTCTTCGGTGCCCGGCACTACAGCGGCGCAGTAGACGTCTGGTCTGTCGGAACCGTCTTCGCGGAGCTCATCCTGCGTGCCCCCTACATGCCCGGCAACAACGAGCTCGACCAGATCAAGATGATTTGCGAATCCATCGGCACCCCCACAGAAGACAACTGGCCCGGCGTCACCAGACTCCCAGAGTACACCGTGCCAGGCCAGCACCCCACGCGAGGAAGGGACTGGTACGAGATGCGCTTCGGCATCGTCGGCACCGACGGCGTCGACCTACTCATGAAAACGCTGTCTCTGAACCCTCAGAAGCGCATCACCGCGCGGGAGATGCTGCAGCACCGCTGGTGGCACTCCGAGCCCAAGCCCACGCGCAAGGATGACCTGCCGCGCAAAGACGAGAGCGCCGGAGAAGACAAGATGGGAATGGATCTGAAGCGCCGACCTGGAATGGTGGCGGACGAGGATAGAGGCGCCAAAGTAGCCCGCAAATTGGACTTTGGACAGCGGTAGAACAAGAAGGATTGGTTGCTTGAAGTGTTGGGAGTTTGCCATTTCTCTTTTTCATTTTTTTTGCGCTAGGAAAAGCGTTTGATAATTGAATTTTTGCACATATACCACATCAATGAAGCGGAGTTTAGTCTTCATGATAAATTCAGAGGCCAATAGATTACGGCCAGCAAATATGTATATAAATAATTTTTTCCAACTTCATCACTCTTTCATCCTCCTTGTCCAACACCGCTATGTAACGTGATGTATATATAAATTCTATCCATTTTTATGCAATCTAAACACAATCATGATCCAATTGTGACTTTGAAACCACCCAATCACTATCGAGTGTTTTTTTTCTTCATGTCTCACATAAATTCATCAGCTCATCACTCCCATGTCTCTATCCAACAGAACAAATCTTATCCCCCCCCCCTTCTTCTGTCCGCGTCCTTCTCACATTACCACACAGTCCATTCCGTACATTGCTCTCTCCACACTCCTCCTCACCTGGTACCAGTCCGCTCTGCGCTGCGCATACTCGTACACCTCTTCTGCACGGAACACGCCACTAAACCGATCACCGTCCGCAATGACCGTGGCCATTTCCTTGGCGTGGCTCGGGTCAATGAGATAGATCTGGCTCAGCTCGCGCAGCGCAGTGAAATATGGCAGCACTTCTTGGTTTCGGAGCGATCTCACATAATCGGAGAAGAGGTTCATATCGGAAATGAGCTTGATAGCGCCATCTGTGCTGATGCGCTGTCGCTTAAGGTGTTTGCATATAGCCGTAAAGAGCCGCTGGCCAACTTCGCCGTTGAAAACGTCCAGCATCGACTTCTCCGTTGTACCCACCAGCATGTTAGTGTGGGATCGAACAAGATCGACGATGCGGCGGGCTGTGGGCGTTGGTCCAATGTCCAGCTCTGCCATGGAGCCGATAGTTGCTCGGTTGGACTGCCGGTTATTCATATCGTCTGTTGGCACGCGGGGAGTAGGGTTGTAGTCTGTAGGCTGCTGCAAGGTTCCCTGGAGGTATTCTACCTCGTCCATGAGCACGTCAATACCCTTGTTGAGGCCTGCTGCAACACTTTCGTCAAGCATCTGCTCGAATTTCTTCTTGGCCAAGCCAGCAGGATCCAAAAAGTCGTTCTTGTCCGCAATCTTAGGGGTTGCGAGCTGTTGCTCGTAAAAGACGTCAATCATCTGTGAAATGAGGTCTCCAACGTTGACTAGCTCAATAAACATGACGAGCGGCGCCACCCCTTTTTGATCGTGGTCGCTCACGTCTCTCGGATTATAATGAGAAAGATGGTCAACAGCCATGTCGAATCCAAATTTGACGTGCCTCTGCCCCAGTATCCGAACGAGTGCAATGAAGATGTTAGCACATTGCTCGCGGGCTTCTCCTCCGGCCTGTCCACCCAGGGGAATCAACACTGCGGCACGACCTAGACTGCTCTTGGCCTTGTGTACCAAATCTAGAGCTACCTCGATGCTGAAGAGCGATTTGATACCTTCCAGTTTCGATGCCATGATGGCTGCTTTAGCTGCAAGTTCATCGGTTGGAGCTTTAGCACCTGGCATTGGGCTGCTTCGTCCCTGGACTTCATTGCCCAGGCCCGGCGTCTGAGGTCGAGACGACTGTGGAGTTAACACCGCAGAACCATTTGCAGTAACTGCGGGAGAAGGTGTCGGTTTCGTTGTCGCAAATGGAGAGCCTATTGGAAATGTCGGGAGAACAGTGACGGGCATCATAATGACTTTCTTGAACGAGCTCAGAAAATCGTTCTTCTCCGCCGAGCGATTAATGTTGGAATAATAAAACGACTCCAAGGACGAATCTTGCTCAGAAAGCTTCTTCTCCCATTGCGCAACCTCAACTTCCGCCTGTTTGGTGAAGAAGTCCAGCTCCTCCTGTAAGTATAAGTCGAGATGAGGTTCAAAGACTTTCAGCGTCAACTGCTTAGCGCGGTCTCCCAAATCTTCCCCAGGTCCTTTGGGAGGTGTCAGTGACTGGAAGAACCTCAGTGTCTGTTCGAATATGCCGGAAACGGCCTTGAGGTAGGAAGAAATGCTGCGCTCGTGTGCCTCATCGAATAAGGGAGTTGTGTATTCGGCGACAATGTCCTCTGCTATCTTTTCAGCGAGGCTCCAGAAGACGGTGGCAGGCTCGGGAAATATTCGTTCCAGGACACTGGCTTGTTCATTGACCTTGGCGAGCAAGATCTCAAAGAAGCGTCGCGATGGCTCCAGCACTACATCGTCCGTGAATGCTTGATTCAAACAGTCCATAGGATTATGCACCACCTCGCGGTCGCTAAACAGAGGGTGTTTCTGTACAAAGAGGTCGATACCAGTCTTGGCACCGTTGAGAGTATGCAAAACATGTGCATATCGATGCATCCTCCCATCGACATCCCAAAATTCGTAGCCCTGCTCAAACTCGCGCAAAACGGCGGCCTCAAAGATGTTGATCATTGATGTCAACTTTGAATCTCTATGGCCCCATCCCTCAGACCAGTCGCTCGCTGCGAATCGGTGCAAGTTGGCCAGCATCTGGGCCTGCTGTTCAGGATCAACAAACGCCTTGAATACGATTGGATCCGTATGCGTCTTCGCCGTGACAAGGTCAAAGTAGAACGGTGCCAAAGCTTTGTAGACTTTTCCGTATTCCTGCCTTGCGCCTCCTCTGACGCTCTTCACATGCTTGAATACATCGAGGTACGACGCAGGATCCTCAGCAGCATCGCTTGGCCCTATTTTCATAGTCTCGAATCCGTCTCGTAGCTCCGAGGCAGCTCGCTGTCGACGCTGTTGCTCGACCGTGGCGTCGAACATTGTGGTTGACGAGATTGTGTTCCGTTTGCCGGCAGCATCAGCAGATTGGCCAGCCGCCGCAGCAGCAGCAGCAGCCTCTCGCCTACGCCGAACTGCATCCTCAAACCTCTGCCTCGCCTCTCGTTCGTCCCAGCACCCCATACTCTTTAGCCGGGATACCCATCGAGTATCATCGTATACCATCTCTTGGAATCGGCGGGAAGCGCGAGCGCAGCGCATCTGATCGGCCACGGGCAAGTAGTTGAGGATGGTCACCATGATTTCTACCCACAAACAGTCCAGTTAGCCGCCATTGAACTTGCATAGAATCACCCCCCAAGGAGAGTGACAAGGAATCTGCACGTCAGGCTTTACCTGCTGGAAGCCTCGCTCGTACGTCGAGCATCTCGGTGGCTTTCAGGGCTCCCAAGATGCTGCCCCGAGCCCGAGGGCCACCACCTCCAGACCTATACATAGCGGCGACGGTGCACAGGCGATGAGGCCTGCGCTATTCGTAAAATAGGCGGTACGTAAGACACCATTGGCGGTCTCTATGTGGAATCGGGCAGTGTGCGACGCATCGTCGTCGCAACGCTGGCTGCGAAAGTGGCTGTTTAGAGTTGAAGCTGTTTAGACGCAGATACAGGAGAGTGTAAGTAAGTGTGTCGTATTTCAGTAGTGTCGCAGGTGGGGGGTTGGCGTCGGTTTCTCACCGAGCTTTCGCGAGAGGTATCTTTGCACATGTTTTACTACCAGAAGTACTTGCTTCTCCAACCCAACTATGCTTGGGTCGCGGGTCAAGTTCCGAAACGGTCTGTAAGAATCGAGTGACTGTCATCCTCATATTTTTATGTGTCTTGAAGATTCAGTGCATTTACAGTCTTGCTCATCTATCATCTATGGATTTTTCGACTCCGCGGCAATACAAACACTACAAATACCGGACGTTGGATGAAACAGCAAATGGCCAACCCCGATCCTTCTGCATCACACCACTGGTATGAACAAAGATAATAGTGAGAGAATGAGGAATAATAATAATAATAATAAAAAAAAAAAAAAAAAAAAAAAAAAAAGATCAACAATGTGGTGAGGCTCATAATGTAAACACCATGCTTCGCGATGCATCACGCACTCCGCAGCACTTCTGAAATGCCCCATCCTAAACCTTTATATATGAGAAAATATGCGTATGAAAAACAATCAGTGCCAGCACGCTGGATATCATCGCCAAACCTCGCCCTTCTCTACTCCAGGAATGTGAACAAATGAGTGTGGAGAACATTCATAGCTCTCGTGGCGTCAGAACCGTCAATGACACACGATATGTTGATCTCGCTTGCACCTAGATGAAGAAAATGTGTTAGTCGTTGACGGGTCGCAAAATATCTCAGACCAAAAAGGAGAAAAACTCGTGCATGCTTACCTTGTGAGATCATCTCCAAGTTGACATTGTGCTCTCCGAGTGTCGAGAACATGCGCCCAGCGATACCAACCATGTTCTTCATGTCAGCACCCACCAAGCTCAGAATGGCCATGCCCGTCAACACGCTGACGTCTCCACACTCTTCCAGGTCCCGCGTGGCCGTCTCAAATGCGTCCGCTCGAATGCCGTCCGCATGGATGGCCAAGGAAACATGTACCTCACTTGTAGAAATGAGATCAACTGAGATGGACTGCTTGTCAAGGATGGAAAAGACTCGTGCAAAGAAGCCATGTGAAATAGACCTCTTATTCGAGTGGACGTTGATGACACTGATCTGGTCCTTGATAGTCACAGCCGTGGGCCGCTTCGGGTTCTTGAATAGAGGTGCATCCGAAGGTCGTGATCGGTGAAGCTGCTGTCCCGCGGACAAGACCCGGTCTGGAATCACCACTGTGCCGTTTCCACGAGGATTTTTGACATTCTTAATACGGATAGGGATAGGTGGGTTCGCCCGGATGACTTGGTCCATGGTAAGGTGGTGGATGACCTCGGAGCCGTAAAACGTCAATTCAGCGGCCTCTGAGGGCGTGATGGATGTCAGCAGTCGGGCCGTGGGCACCTTTGACGGATCCGCGGTGAAGATGCCATCGACCTCTTTCCAAATCTGCAGTTCGTCGGCTTTCAATCCCACAGCGCACAAGGCAGCGCAAAGATCAGTGTATCCGCGGCCAATGTCTCCGTCAAGCAAGCTGCCGGGAACATTGCCAAAAAATCCCGTAATAACTGGAACTCGGTTCTCACATGCAGCGAGCTTCTTCATAAACGCATTGATAGTCACAGAGTAGAATGCCGCGTCCAGAGAGGGACTAGGGGTGTCGTTGTGCAAGACATCTGATAAGTCAACATATTCAGCGTCGACTCCCTAATTAAGGGGCAAAAGTGTCAGCGAGATCACAACAGGCCATGTAGGAAAATCCTTGGAGCGCAACGTACCGAGTCTTTTAGCAAGGTTGCCATAAACAGGCAGCTGAGCTTCTCGCCGAAGCTAACGACGCGGTCTTTTGATCTTGAGTTGATTTCAAGGTTGAATCTCCTAGTAGCCATGATATACTCAATCAACTCCTGGCATTCTGACTTGAGCTTCGCAGCGAGCTCCTCTCTTAACTGCGGGTCCTTGACAAAGGTTTTTGAAGCAGCCACATGGTCGTTGCAGACATCTTGGATAAGCGCCGTAGCTTGCTCAATCAGCTCCTGCTGCTCTTCCGCGGAGCTGATGGGCGTAGCAATGTCCTTGAGCTTGGTGAAAACAGCCAAGAGCCTAGATTGAGAGCAATTAGATGGGAATCTGTTTGGAATCGCAGGGAGTGACTCCTCGATGCACAGGGTAGTGCGGGAACCTCTCTTACCGGCTGGTAGTGCCCTCGGCTTTCTTGCCCGTGCTACGAGCAGAGCACACAACCGCAACTCGATGCCGTGAAAGATTTGCTCTGTAGCAATGCGCAATCTGTCAGTTCATGTGCCTTTGAGTGGCTCAACGTCTATGGTAGGTATTATGATGCGCCCAACCTACCTGACAATATCACGAGCAATCTGCGATGACACATGTCAGCAAGTTTCTCTCGACAGCGTCTCAAGCAGCGAAAGCCTCTCTCCATCTTCACACAAGAGAGAGAGAGAGAGAGATAGAAAAAAAAAAAATCAACACTCACCTTGTCTGGGAATTTTCCTACACTCGTACCACCAAACTTCTGCACCACCCAGCCCAGGTCGGACGAATTGTCAAATGTCGCGCTGACCATGGTGACGATGACGCCCGTTTCTGGGACTCACACGAGTAAGGCAAAGCGATCTCGGAATCTGAAGATGAAATCCACTAAGGGGAATTTCGAGGTCCACCGGGTGACGTTTGGATGCCTTTGCCTATGCAAAATGAAATTGAAAAAAGAACAAGACAAAAAAAAAAGTAAGTATACAATGCCAAAATGAAATGCAGCGTCTGAAGATAATTCTTATGCTGGAGTGAGTAAGAGGAAAAAAAAAAAGAAAAAAAGAAAGCCACAGTTTAAGTAGCATCCAATCGCAGATAAGGTGTGGGAGGAAAACGGACGGCTCAGCCCAAGCCCAGTCATAGCCAGGATTTCGCAACCGACTGAGGGATCCAGCATCGGCGTAGAGGGGCGTCTGGCCTCCGAATGCACAAAGGCCTCCGAATGGATAAAGGCCTGGCCGGTGGAGTCGCGAGTGGAGTGGGCCGAGGAACGGCGAAGAAGAGGCTCCACAATCGTTTTCATCCCATTTGCTTGATCCGTGTTCCTGTTGTTCCTGTACTGTGGCGAGGGAATTTCGATTTCAAGTTCAAGCAGACATAAACCATTAGTTGGTTGGTTTACTTGTGCGAATAGAGAGGCCCAGGCACGCATCTATCTCATGCTCCTTTTTTATCGCTAGATCTTAGATACAGCAGAGAGATTTGGTAGTACATGTGGCAGTAGCTATACAATGAAAGCACAGTTCAATGTCTTCCGTCTCACCCTGTCAATAACGTGGCGGCTTACTGGTAATGCTCCGTAAGTGGCCATCAGCATACAAGTATATTGGCTAGTGCTAGCAGGGGACCGGTAGGGAGGTAATATATACCTATTTTGTAGTAGTATTAGGTGAGTACCTAGGTATTCCAGTTCTTATAAAAGCGATTAAAATGCTCATTATATATCGACCTATATGGCATATACATTATGGCTGATGTAGCATGAGGAAATATACATGTAAAATCTCAAGCTCATTATATGTATATTTGTACATCTACTACCATGGATTGGAGGTTCATACAGTGTCTAGACCCTTGCTGAAACACCCTGGTTGGTATGCATGCATTGTTGACCTACCTGAGTTACTGAGGTAGCATTCGGAGACAGAGATCAGCAGTAGGAGTATCGCAAGTACATTGCCTCTTAACCTCATCTCTAAACGTGTAAGCCGAATTCATCCAGTTTGCAGCCGATAGCAGCAAGGTAATTAATGCCTAATTAATTTCGTCAAGTGCACTCGTAGGTAGTCATACCAAGACATAATCCTCGTTTCAATACCTTGTCTCATAGCACAGAAATCTGAGCAACGCAACACACAAGACTCTGTTCAAACCAACTACAAATATCATGATATCAGTGAGAAATATCTGCAATAGAAACCCATACACTCCATCCCGAAGAACCACGTGATGAATACATCATACACCTTATCCAGTGATTGCCAACACCCATCTATCCCAACGCGCCCTTTGCCATGGCCCTCCCACATAAAAAGCATATAACCCGCGGGAGACGACATTACTTCGCCCCCAAGGCCTTTGGAAAAGTATATAGCAAGAAAAAGAGAACCTCATTCCCACAGCCGGAAACCATCCGCGTGGGAGCCTTTGAAGTACAAGCCCAGGTATCGTATCCTCATCCATTCATCCGATCATTCGATCATCATAGTAATTAATCCATCTCCTGCTGTAACAAGCTTTGACTGAACTGATCCCGGCGTCAGCTTGGAAGCGTTTGACAGCTTTATTATCATATTTCTGCCTCCCTTCATCTTCGTTAAAAGTCACGCGCCGTCAGCAGCTAGACGGCACTATAAACCAGCGCCTGTGGCCAGCTCCAGCCCTTGGTTTTCTGTCCCTGCAAAGGTGAACTTATCCATGGGAAAATCTTCCTCGGGGGTTCGAATGCCTATGCCACTATCATCATGGGAATCGGTAGCCATCGGAGCTGGGTTTGTGTTGCTCGGTGGGGGAAATGGTGCCCGCCCGGGCTGAGTGTGTGATATGTGGGCCAGATTGGTGTCGTCACTCCCGCTGCTGTACCGAGAGGCTTGCTTGCTCGCGGGCTTGCTGGATGCCTGAGATTGAGGCTCCTCTGGTGATATGGGTGTCTTAGCGCCCTGCTTCAGGAATCCACCTTGCTCGGCCAAAAAGCAGGTCATTTCATCCACCCACGTCTTTGTCACCCACCAAGACCCAAAGCTCTTACCCTGTGCCAGTGTGAGATCTCTCATGACGGCGGTTCCAACTCTTTCAACGCACCACACAATATCTGCATGAGATGCGTAAGGGAATTTCTCGGGCAGGCCCTGGAGGAAATTGACCCATCTGTCTAGGACGTTCTGGCCTGACGTGTCACTGCCGCCATCACTATCCGGCTGCCGACCGCTGCGGGAGGCTACATCTCCATAAATCGTCAGACATTCCACCTCCCAGGGGACATTTGCTGGGTCAAGCAAGTCTCTAATCTCTGTCACAAGCAGGTTTACTACGTCGTCCATTCCACGCGTTGGTACGCATTCAGCAATCTTGCGGGCGCGAATCATGGTGATCCAGTCAATATACATTTGATCACGATTGGCTGGGTTCGAGAGCATGTTGGCGGCGGCATGCGCAGTCAGGTTGACTCGCAGTGCACGGTCCAACAGACCTGCAAAAATGGCTGCTGGTGACTCTTTAGCCGCAATAACATGCTGGGGTTGGCCCTGGAACGAGTCTCGAATGTGAGGAACCAGCCTCTCGGAAATGCTGCGAAGGGTATCAAGAACGGGCTTGGGAACGACTTGAAGCGTCAAGCCAGAGACAATCCGCATCATTCGTTGATACAAGGCAATGTCGCACCCTTCAATCCATGGAGCCAGAGCAGGGTTACTAAAGAGCTTTTGGACTGGCATAGTGAGTGTGCCCTGGAAGGATGTGTAGAGGTGGAAAAACGTCTTTTCTCTGCAGTATCGGATACACTCCACCAAGGACGTGCAGTGTGATCGATATAATGCAGATAATGATTTGGCCGCGTCAGGGTCAGTTCCATGAGGGAGATAGGATTCGATCGGAGGCAAAGCAATTGGTTCAGATTGCTCAAAAGCGGTTTCGTCCAAAGGCGGGAATGCTAGCTCCAGGTACGTCTTATTAGATGTAGAGTTGACATTGTCAAAGTTGCTAAGGTCTGGTTGGTTGTAAACGCTATGAGATCTGCTCGAGGATCTGGTAGGCGGTATTTGGATTTGGGGCTGGGTGGCTCTTTGAGGTGAAGGCAAAGCCTCACTGGTGACGCTGTTTCCCTGCTGTGTTGGGGCGCTGGCAAAGAGTCAGCAATAGAACACTTCGCACTTTTTCCCTCGAGGCAAATCCTCGTTTCCTATTAGAACTCACCTAAAAGTTTGAGGAAGGCCCTTGGTTTCTGAGACTGCTCGCGGCGGTTGCGGTTGAGGTTCCTGCACTTCTGGCTGATCCTCGACGAGAGAGAAATTGACGTAGTGATATTTTGATTCGCCTCGAACGCCAAGACGACGGGTCTTGAGGCCAGGGAAAAGAACTCTTACTAGCTTTCCAAAGCTGGCTGGGTTCAATACCGTGATCCTCTCAGTAGCACATCGCGAAGCGTAGTTGGCATAGACCCGGCCGCGAGGGACAGAGCCTTTTCCCTTGGAGCAGACTGAATTGATCCTGGAGGTGTAGAAAGGGTAAGAATTAGCAACACGTTACAATAATCATCAAATACCGGATGGCGCATACCATAACATGGCGAAAACCTGGCGGGTGCGTTCTGAATTAGGGCCCCGCTCATTTCCATGTAGCTCGCGTGCCACCTCTTGCAGGTTGCGATGGCGGTTTGCATTGAAAAGATGCCGCATTTCCAGTTCGTTGTTTGCGCTAGATCTGGTGCCTGCCTTCATGGTGCCAGCAGCTCCGTTCATGGAGTCGCCGTCCTCGTTTTCCTCGCGATCGAGCATCTGGCTGTCGCCTTCGGCGAAGCTCGCGCCCGCGTTGTACTGTTCGGCAGGCAGGGGGTGCCTCGCTATTGAGTGGTGCTGCTGGTATTGCATGTGATGGCTCATGGGAGCACTCATGGGTCCGTCCATGGAGAAGTCGTGGCCCGCTGATTGCATGTGGGTTGCCGCCTGCAGGATCATGTCTTCAGGGGACATTTGCGGTGTAGCGGCCATGTCTTTCGGATGGCTGTGGTGCTCGCTCGGAATCCACTGGCCGGCATAGAGCCCAGACGCCTCTGCGAAAGCCGTCTGGTCCAGATTGGGCTGGGTAGCGGCGCTGTGAATCGATGTTGTCGAGGCACGAGAGAGAGGGCGCTTCCGAGCCTTGGCGGCAGCGCGTGTCGCTGAAGTGTCTGCGAGAAGAGGCAAATGGTTAGTTTGGCAGGGTCAAGAGATATCACAAGTGGCAGAGCAATTGCTGCCGCTGGTCGAGGCCCACCTGGCTCCATAGTGAGAGTTGCCGATGTAGAGTTTGCGAGGCTGAAGTTTGACGACCAAAAGCTACCAGACAACAAACATGGGCTGTGGCGGGAGACACGAGCAGGCCGGATCCCGCCGCGACCAGACGCGAGCAAGGAAAACAAGTGCAGAAATTCGACCGTTGAGAAGAGCTGAAGCGAGCGACTTGCACAGGACCAGCTCGAGCAATTATCCCGATGCGCGCGCCTGGTGGTTGGTGCCGGGTCGTCTTTGCCTGCGGCTGTTGTTGTGGTTTGATTTTCTGTTGCGAGGCCAACGAGAGGAGAAAAGCAGACGGACAGACGCAGGAGACCCCAACTGGGCAAGAAAACCCAACTAGGCAAAAACTATAAACAAACTTTGGGGCAGAATAACAAACTGTGCTGGCGTTAGGTAAGCAGGCTTGCGCACTAATTAGGTGGAATTCCAGCTCCCGGCGGACGATTCGAGCAAGCGGGGCAGCAGCAATAACAACAATAATAACAACAAAAGGACGCTGTGCCATGCAAAGGGTAGGAGGAGCCGAACTGCCAACACTCTGGGCTGTCTTTGAATATCCTTCATACAGCCGCTTTGTTCTTATTTGATCAGGTGGTGCTCGTTCTCAATATCATATTGAATACTGGGTAGACGACGGTTAAACTTTCCCCATCTTCAGACGAGAGGCATGCCGTCTTTGCGCCAGGTTAGACCCATGCATGGTTTGGCTGTTTAGTCCCTCTCTCTCTCTATTTTTACTTTACTCAAGTCGACACATGGCACTTTAACTCTAAAGCGTCCTACATGGCGCTCGCAGCGTGGGCAGCATCTGTTATGTGCTATGAACCTCTATGCAGCTTGCCCATCCGCAGCCCGGCGTATTTACTTGTAGGTTAGGTCGATGGACGACGTAGTAGGCAATATCACATGCGCATGCAGCCGCTGGCCCCGACAACTTTTGGTCGGATGCTCCCTGGCGGCTCATCGAGACTGGCCCAGAGCCCCTTGCTGCTGACGTCTAGCATCTCTCTAGTACCTGTTCAAGCAAGGTACCGACTCAGGTAGCGCGGAGTAGCCTGCCTTGTCTCGAGTACCTCCCGCCGGCACTGAATGACGACAAGATGCCAATGCTGTGTGATCCGCCGCGCGGTATTGGTACTCATTATACGCTATCCGCTCCCATCTGGGTACCTGCTAGGCACACTCGGCATATGCTCCGCAGAGAGCTCCATCCTGCTGCGTTATCTCTTCCAATGTCTTCCATTGGCAGTCGGAAGCTGCCCAGCCCGTATTTCTCAGGTGTGCGTCCTGTCCTCCACCAGGACACAGAGAGAGACCTGAAGGGGCACCGCAGTGTTCCCGACCCTTCCAGAGCTGTGCTAGAGCTTCATGTACCTCGTCCAGGGCTTCTACCCCTCCGTCAGCTGATGTCTGGTTGGCTGCGCAGGTAGCTTGCCGGATCCCACGACCTTGGCCCTAACACAGGCAAGGCGACCCGGTTTCAGTTCGGCGTAGATCGACTCAGCACACGTCAGTCGCTGGCCCCATTCCCCAAGACCATAGTGCCAACCTGTTACTTCCACAAGCCCCAAGCCACTGACGCTGATCAAAGCTTCTTAAGCTGGGCTCGATTCACAACCTCTTTATAACATCATCGCTCCCTTCTCTCCTCCATCTACAGCATCTTGCTTCTGTAAACTTCTTCCCCTAGCCTTCTGCCCTGCTTGCAGCACCCCTCCAGCGCCACCATCTACCAACCACTGCCTTTTTTCTTCTGCGGGGACCTTTTGCTGTCGTCGCGAGCTTCACATCACCACGCCGACCGCTGCGCAAATTTGAGCATCTAGCTTTATCCCAAGACAAAATGGCGTCTGCCCAGGCAAAGGCTCAGGACTACCTGAGCGTCATTGACAAGGAGGTTCGTCTGCAGCGCCGCCATGGCTTGGCCGTCTCTTCAATCGAGCTCTTCCGTGCTGACATACGCATAGCTCTCCAAATACCCCGCCCTTAACAACCTCGAGAAGCAGATTGGTGTTCCCAAGGCCTATGCCGTCATCGGTGTTGCCGCTCTCTACTTCTTCTTGATCATCTTCAACATTGGTGGCCAGCTCCTCACAAACTTTGCCGGTTTCGTGGTCCCTTGCTACTACTCTCTGGGCGCCCTGTTCTCCCAATCCAAGGAGGACGATACCCAGTGGCTGACGGTGAGTTTCAATTTGCCTGTCCCTGCGCGCTGCCGCAGCGCTGCACCGGCCGAGAATCACAAAGACTAATTTGCATTGTCTTTAGTACTGGGTTGTTTTTGCCTTCTTCACCGTCGCTGAGGGCTTCTTCAGCATCGTTTACTGGTTCCCCTTCTACTTTGTCTTCAAGTTTATCTTCCTGCTGTGGCTGGCTCTCCCTACCTTCCGGTAAGTTTTCCTCTAGAATGCTTCCTAGTAGAGAACAAACAAGGTCTAATTGTAACCCACAGTGGCGCTGAGATCGTTTTCCGATCCTTCATTGTCCCTACCCTCGGCCGATACTTCCAGGGCCCCGGCACTTCTGCTGGTCTCCGCTCCAAGACTGACGCCTTTGACAAGACTCAGTAAATTATGCCGGCTTGAGCAGCTGCTTTGGTCGCAAATCCGAACCACTTGTCCAAGTCCAGGACCAGGCGCTGCAAACTAGAAAATGCAAACTCATCAAGATTGAAACAATCGACTATTGAGGATAAAACGGGGACAGGGCGGGATTCTCGGCACATGCCAGATTTCCGGAGAGGGACTAGGGTATTCGGGGGAACAAAGAGCATGGAAACCAGAATTTTGATAACGCATGCTTGTCTTAGAAGGTGTCATGACTTGGAAGCTGTAGGGCGCAATGACAGATTGGGTTGAAAGAGAATGCGCATGTGATAATGAAAGGCTCTTTTTACTTGTTTACCTATAAAGTATCCTTGCATCGAACGATGAGATTCTAGGAATCGCGCATGTGAATGACAGAGCGACGAGCCAATGTCGCTACTAATCGCATGTGATGTCTCTGATGTCATTTAGCTGTGCCAATCGCCTGGGATGGCAACTTTACTGAGCATCCTTTATGCTTTCTAGAACAGCCAGCATTTCGCAGGCGCGCCATCGATGGACGCTCCTCGTGTCGATGACCGAGAATGGAGGGTCCGAGCTACCGGGTTACGTGGCGGTGCAGACGGAGCTGCGCCTCTCCCTCCCTGAACCGCTAAGTGGCCCCCCTGCGCCATGATAGCGGCCACCCGCCAGATAACCGGCATCTTGTATGTACTCCGTATTATTGTGAAACAGCCATCTGACAAACAGCAGCCCTGACGATCCAAGGACGTCAAACTGGCAGCTGGGGACCCAAACGATTCTCATCCTCGTTTCCAACTTTTGACCCCTATGTGCATTCGATTATAGACGCTACCCTAGAGATTCACCATGAAATCACATGGCTACGGGGCGACGACATATCAAAGCTAGGACATGCCGCACGATTAGACGATATACTCGCAAACGGCCGACGAGACTACAACTACGAACAAGACGGCGGACGCGCAAGCGCCTGTGATGCAACTGAGTCCGCTGGGATCGCGACTTGCGGCCTCGCTCGCAGGGCTGCTTGTTGTTTTGATCTTGTATATCCTTCTCTTCGCACCCAGCGCAGCGTTTGCGCTGGAGCTTGTGGCGCCCTCTGTATCCGACCTGACGGGGCCAGTAGAGCTTCTGCAGCTGGGCGCTGAGTCGCAATACGACTATGAGCCCGAGTTTGCTCTGTTTGATCGGGGGATTCTGGGACGAGCGCCTGCGGATGCGACACCCCTGGTGAACAATGTGCCGATCCCGATGAACCTTCAGCCAGGCGCATCTGCCTGTTATGTGGTGAACAAGAATGTCATCCTCAGCGGCCATCCGAGCACAGGGTCCTCGAGCTCCAAATCGGAATTGAAGAGAGATGCAGACTCACACAGGCGTCGCGACGACGATGACGAAGACGACGACGACGACAACAAGACACCAAGTGGTAACCAAGGCAGTGGTGGTTCTCAAAGGGTGCTCTACCTGTCGGCAAATACCTGCCTTCAACCACAGAGCGCTTCGAATCGGACATCAGTACCTCCGCAGCTTCATATCTACATATCTACTTCCAGCAAGGATGGGTGTCCTGATGTGACCAAACCTCCCGCTGGAGTTCAATCAAAGGGTTTTGTGGAAGGCGCTGTCATGTACGGTTTGAATGCAACGGACGACGTGTATGTGACGATTGCGGCTCCAAACGTCACGAAGGATTTCCAGGGCATTTACAATTTTGAGATTGCGGCATCGGTTGATGACTACTATTATCAATATAATGATGCGGACGGGCAGCTACTGTGGATGGACAGCGACGCAACATCAGCCCTGCTGCAGACGGCGCCATTGACAAGCAACGTGAATCAGATTCCATCCATTATGGGGGCCGGCCCACAGTATGAAATGTACGTTCAAGGGGACAAGGCGCCGATTCTCAACGGGCTTATGCGCTCAGCCTGCGGGCTGAATAATGCCGCCCAAATCGCGTCAAAAAGACTGGACAATGGACAGATGAACAATAATGAATTGGTCCGAAGCAAATTATACGACAAGGGCCCGGGTGGTTGGCCAAGACAGCAATTCTATTTTGAAGGACTCAATTCCAGCTCGTCTTACTCTGGTATCTTGTTGATACCGGGAAATAAAACAACCGGTTCGAAGAGACAAAGCTCGGGTGTGGTTGGGGGCGGTGGCACAGTCTTTCCGCCTACTTCCTTTGACACTTCAAGAGGTATGCTCTCCTTTCCCCTATCTTGATGAAGATGGAAATGGTTGATATTCTAACTTACTTGAAAAGGGACAAACTGCAATCTAATCACTGATCTTGACTTTTGTGACGACGTGCAATGGGCAGCTCCCGGCAATACCAAGTATAACAACACGGAGCTGGGCAATCTCTACGATAACTTTGCGAAAACGATGTATGGCAATTTCCAAAATGCCATGATGCAAATTCCATGCGAAGCGCCGTCTACGCAGCGGTACTCGCTGGCAGCCAACTGTAGCAACTGCACGGTTGCGTATAAACAGTGGCTTTGTGCTGTGGCTATACCCCGTTGTGAGGATTTCTCGACTGTGAACAACTACACAATTCCTCGAAACGTGGCTCAAGCCTTTCCTAACGGCACCTTCCTCCCAGACGAGCTGAGGCAGCAGCTCATGCAGACACCGGCTTTCAACTCGTCTCGGAATGCCTTTATAGATGAAGTGATTGCGCCAGGCCCTTACAAAGAGATCTTGCCTTGTGCCGACCTTTGTTATGGGGTCGTCCAGGGTTGCCCGGCGGCCATGGGTTTTGGATGTCCACTGGCGCATCATGGAATTGGATTCAACCTGAGCTACGGTTTACGCGATCCTGACGGCAAAGCAGTGACTTGCAATTATCCAGGAGAGCCTAGAACTATTGTTAGTGCAGCAAAGGCAATTACGCCTAGTATGATGCTCCTCGTGAGTTTTGTTGTTCTCGGCTCAGGTTTGTTACTATGATGGAACGATCATTGAATAAAGATAGAGATGGAGGTGTATAGACAGACGCATAAGAAACAGCGAGAGCGAAAGAGAAAGGAAAGTCATGCTATATGCAAGGCGTTTATGGTTAGCGTTTGTGGCTTTGAAGGGCTGGCTTGATTTGATTTCTCCGAAAAAGAAAGCGGCGCATGGCGTTTTACAGGCTGAGTAATTTACATATATTATGGATAGAGGAGCTGACGACAAAGGCCAAAGTTTGAAGGTTCAATTGTTCCTTTTGAATAGATGTTGGAACATTGGTTAAGGAGTTGATTATACATTTAAAATTGGCATGGCATCGAGGTATAGAGCGGAATACAAGTATTTGTATGCATGGATAAAGCTGTTTGCGTGTGTTTGATTGTATTGATAATGCCTTTTATGCGTGCTCCTTCCACTCCCTTTGCTTTTCTAAGTCATTCAACATAATGTCTCAGTCATCATACAAAACTCTCCATCGACAAATAGTGTATACGAGTTGTGAAATTGCTCGTGTTCGTTACAAAGTGTTTTAAATTGGCCAACCTTTCCTCCACAGCTGGCATGATTTGACCTCCATAGAAAGATATCCTTCTTTTGTATGTCTCTTATTTCCCCTCTTTCGTCTTTTGGTATTCGTTGACGGTTGTTTCGAGCGCAGTAATCGTTGCTATAACATGCAAGTCCTTCTATTAGCACCATTTTCCCGAAAACACGCTGTTTCCACCAGAAGAAGCTTCCAGTCTCTTCTTCATTCATCTATCCGCTCTCTTCCCTGGTGCTGCTTGGCGTACCGTCAGTTTCTTCGCGATGCTCATCGGCTTCGAGTTTCAGCCACGTCCAGTATGCGACCTGGTATGTGAAGACGGCGAGGACGAGGACCTTGCCTATAGGGCGGGTGAAGGTTTTGTAGAATTGAGCCTGGAATTTCGTTCAAAGATTGCAGTTAGTAACGGAACAATGCAGAGCAATTGAGGGTAAGCTTTTGTTCTTTTCATACTGCTGAGCCAGATTGCTTAGTGGCATAGCTTCTCGCACCCGTCCAAGAGGCTGGAGCTGCTCTATGCGAAACTCGGATCGCGGACGGGCATCTCTGGCGCAAGACCCTCAGCGCCGAAGACGGATTCATGGCTCAATTTCAATTTCACTCTCGTAAAAACTCGGATCGCTGCTGTATTCTCAATGGTTTGGGCGTCTCCAATTCATTAGACCCGCTGGTTCTGTCGCTCATTGGGCGCTGCAGCGCATGCCATCTCCAGATAACGCAGAATGCATTTTTTAGCATCGATCACGAGCTGCACATTCTTTAGCATGATCCGTCAAGGTGCATCCGCACACACTGATCGGCATCGCTGTGGCGGTGCAAACTGCCCTACAGCCGCAGCAGCTTCCAGCGCTCCCATGTGGCGGCGGCGCATTCTCTTCCCCCGCGTTTCTCCAAAGGACACCTCTTTTTAGGTCCAGCAGAGAGGCAGCAGCGCTTTTGCGCTAGAAGCAAGTCTGGCACAACCATTGCCCGTTCTACGGATACAGCAAGCCGCGCTGCGACAACGGTACGATGGGATGTACCCGGTACCTTGCCGTCAACGCGGTTTGCCGTGCCCACCAGACCCCTGCGCCCTGTAGCAGGTACCCGCCTTGAGATTAGATACTAGTCGGCCACCTACGGCAACCCTGTCCGCGGCTATTTTCCCTTGACGACACATGTCCTGTCCAGAAATCCCTGGACATTCAGCGTTCTCTTTTGCCTTGACTGGTTTCTTTTACTCTCGGCTTTGCTACATATACCCTTTTCTTTTCTTTTACTTTCCACGCTCCTTCACTAATTCATTCGCGCCAATCTGTCCTAAACTTATTGGAACAAGAAGAATAAACCGTTCCGCATACTTGACACGATACCCTGAAAAACATTCGCCGCCCTCCGTCCCCCTTCCAATTTAAGTCTTGTATAAGAATCGCATCACTCCCGTCCAAGCTTCTGGAACCACAATCTGTACAGCTAGCTTCCATATTATACTCTCACGACTTCGACCACCTTCAATAACAACAAATCACACTTACACACAATCGCAATGGTAAGTCCCGAATGACTTCTAAAGAAGCTTTCATGTCGCAAAAGGCCACTATGTCTAACGCGCTCCTCTTTGCGCCCAGGCCCAAACCCTCGAGCAGCGACGGCGCAACGCCAAGTTCGTCAAGGACCAGGAAGCCCGCAGAGGCAAGTCCGAGGAGCAGATCAAGAAGCGCACCAAGGAAGCTGCCAAGTCGCCCATTTCCATGTTCTGGCTCGGTATGTCCCTCCTTCAATTCGATGCGAAACACTTTGTCCAACTGGATTTCGTTCTCGCGCTGACTAATTACTTGTTTTCTCTTCCTAGTCATCCTCGGTTTCGTCATCTTTGGCGGACTTGTGTTCGAAGCCTTGTCGCGCTTCTTTGGCCTGTAATTCAACATTGGCCGTAGTCGAATTCGAGTCGAGACAGAACACAAAGAATCAAAAACGAAAGAAAAAAATATGTTTGAAAATACGCTAGAACAGAGCAAATGGGCTGGCCTTTCGGACAGCAGAAAGAGAGAGAGAGAGATAGTGGAAGTCGGAGAGAGGAGAGACTGAGCGCGAGAGGCGAGGATCCTTGGCGAACCAAAGAGGCCATCAGTGTCATGCTCATCGCAGGCGCTGCTGTAACATTGACATTTCACCCGCGTATCCTGCCCTTCTTGCAGCATTCATTTTCCTAGAGTTTTTATATCATGGGGATCTACGGCGCATTGGCATTGTACATCCAGTATTTAGGCGCTTTGATAAGCGAGAGAAACAAGCAAAAGACAAATTCAATTCCATTTGGTATCTCCTGTGAGCTCTGTCAAACGCCACGTTACCTTGATCCGTTTGAAGCCAACGCGATCAACTGATGCAAATATATCGAGCAAAACAAAACGACAAATATGGTACACGGCAGATATGGTACGAGCGACCGATAAGCAGCCTTTGCCAGGGCATCATCGCTCAAAGCATGCGGCAGCCCTACGCACCCAAACCACGGCGTTTCTGGCCGCTTTCCTTCAGCTGCATACCGGCCTCGTACTGGCGCTGGATGGCTGCCTCAGCCTTGACTGAGTCATTCTTGCTAGTGGCGATGCCTGGCTTCGCAATGCTGGCGCCGGCCTTCTTTCCTCCGAGGAGTCTGAGAAACTTGTCTTGGCGTGCGGATCCTCCTTCAAGGCCTTCGACATTGATCTCCTCCTGCTTCCCCTTCTTGGTGGCCGGCTCTTCGGCCGCATCATCCTGTCGCTTTCTTTTGCCATTAGTCTCCTCGGACTGCGACTTCGAATGCTTCTTCTTCTTCTTTGGTTTCTCTTCGGCATCACTGGCGGCCTGAGTGGAGGCAGCTGCTTCCACCTTGGCCGTCTCGACGTCGCCGCTCTTTCCCTTCTTCTTCTTATCCTTCTTCTTCTCGCCCTTGGTCTCCTCAGCCTCCTGCTCCTTGGTCTCCTGTTCCTTGGCCTTATTGTCGTCTTGACCATTCAATGCATCGGCGGGATGATCCATATCACTGATGAGACTTGCAAGGAGCTTGGTATCACCATTCTCGGCCGTTTTCTGCACGCAAAATCAGCTCTCTCTTAGCATGCTCGAGAAATCAATAAAAGACATTGGAAGGGACTGCCTCACCTCGAGAGCTTCAGTAATTTGCTTGTACATCTTGGTAACCTCTTCAGCTTGCTTCAACAACTTCTGAGCTTCTGCCTCAAAAACCTTGGACTTCTCCAAGCACTCATCGCGCTTCTTCTCTGCCAGCAGACGCTGTGCCTCTAAGGCAGGGTTCTTGTCTGCCTTTTTAGCCTTTTTGGCTTTGGCAGACTTTTCTCCTCCGTCTCCAGCTTCTTTCTCCAGAGAGTCTGCCAATTTCTTGGCCTTGCGCTCAGCTTTGCGAGCCTTCTTCTCGAGTTTGCGCTCTAGGAAAAGATATGAGGAAGAGTTCATGAAGGCATTTTATATGTGAGGGGTGATGATATGGAAGAAGAGCTGCGATATGTAGCTGCCCGTAAAATCAATGGCCTTACCTCGGTCGGCCTGCGCCTGTGCATCAGTCTCTGATTTACCCATGATGACACTGGGATTCGAGAGAACTGCGACAAAATTCGAGCAGAGGGTTGCCGAATGACAGATAATTATTGTAGCAAAGGCCCAGTTGCGAGATGACGCGAAAATCCTCGTCAGTTAGATTGAAGCTTTTGAGAAGTAAAGTGCTGGGCGCGAGCTCGCAGCTGGAATTATAACTGCTGCGATCGAAAAAAATAATGGGCTTTCTGCCGGGCGGTGGGAAGCTCCCCACAATTAGTGCAAGGTACAGCGGGAAGATTGCCGAGTGGCGGAAGGTGGGGTGAGCAGGAACTGAAGGGCTGTGGCACCTGCCAGGCGGATAGCGCTGCGGAAGGCTCCGAAATGCTCTACTGGGTGACGGTACAAATAAATATGGGTGTGGACTTTTTTCTTGGATTCTTCAGTCGTTGAGACTTGGTCGTTTGTGATGGACAGGGGCACCGAGTTGCGAATTATTTAGAATACAGGGAGACAATGTGTAATTTCCGCAGAATTTAGACAGATTCAAACCCACGTGTTAACCATAAGTAACTGAGTACTAGTGGGCTCTAAAGTCAGTTTCGATCATCAACTATGCACTTAGTAAAAAGACGGATATCACTGCTGTTGCGACAAGAATCTACAGCAGCAGATCTCCCGCCCTTCGAAGGCTGCTTAAGATGGCTTAGCTGGCGATCTTCGGTATTTATCTCCACTAACAGCTATTCTATGCTAGAAGGGTCATGAAGAAGCTCGGGCATTTTTTGGGACAAGAACCCCTCGAGTCTCCTGTATACATTCACTACTTGGAGATGGTACCCCGTAGAAAGAAGAAGACGGAATCGCAAAGAGTTTCTACTTGTCCTTTGGAATTACAACTACCTAGGCTAGCATCAGTATTTTGTGGCGCATATTATGCACAGCTGGGATCCTGCATACAAGCCCTAGGCGAGGCTTAGATGATCGGCCAGCCCGCTTGGACAGGTCTAGATCAACAGCCACAAAAATCCCCTGTCCTTAATCGAAGCCGCTGGAAGCCGTATTGAGCGCGAATTTCTGACTTTAGGCCCCTGACATTAGGGCACAGATATTGCTGTGGCTCTGTCTGAAGTGACGTCCAGCTTCAGCTCAAGGCAACCCTCCTGATACCTACTATTGTCTAGCACCGCATTAGAATAGCATATTCTGCATCGTATTTGTCTACCTACATAGACTACCCCTTGAAAAGCTGAACAGCGAACTCTTTAACTCATCTATTAGTCCAGGGTGCAAGATGTACTGACCCTGGATGCCGTTTCTGGAACCAATCCCTGCGCCTACGCTTCAACACAGAAGGGGGAAAAGTGGTATATACATGGTGTCTTGATCATACCTAAGAACAAAAATCGACACCGGGGAATCTGAAGTAAGAGCATATAGAACATCTGAAGTTGGGAAAAAAGGGCCACAATATCATAACGTGGGAAAAGCTTGACCAATAAAGCAAGCATCGTAAATATATGGATTGTCCTCCAGATAAACATCGTTGGCACCGCTGCTACTATAAGTAACAGATTGGCGCATATCAGAGTTGAGAGATGACGTATAATTCGGAGAGGTGAAGCCATCACCTTGGTGCATGCCTCGGCGGCTGGCTTTTCGACTTTCGGCTTCGTGTCCTCGAGCCACGAAGAGACTCATATTCATGCTGCCCCAAGGTAGCCCTGATGGCTCTGGCTCTATGTCGATGTCGTTTGAACAAGGAATACGGTAGCTGTTGCCAGCATGTTCCTTGTCTTTAGCCTCGCGCTCCGCCCTTTCTTTCTGCTCTCTGGCTTTTGACCCTATTTATTGTCAGCGAGAAGGTCAGAAAAAGCTAGTACCACACGCCGGAGAGTTTGGTTGGAGGAACATACGGAACTTGCGCTGTGCGACGCGATTTTGTATCCGTCTCCTCTCGTCTGGATCTGCCACATCAGACCACTCTGTGTCTTGTACACCAGCTTTGCCTCTTTTGATTGGTGAAGTGCAATTGCCGCTTTTGTCGGATAAGACGTCGGAACTATGCGAGATACTTTCCGATCTTTGAGCTGCAGGCATAGTGACAGAGCGATGTTACCAACGCTGAGATTCTTTCGGGACTTTGGTGTAGAAGAATGCTTGAGTTGCTGAGTCCCAAAGAAGATTTTGCGTGTTTTGAGTCAGCCGGCTTGTATAAGTGAAGTATAATCCGCGGTGAGAGGTGTATTTTGCTCTCAGAAGTACCGGGACTTGAACAAATGACCATCAAGTCAGAACTCAAACAGGCGTATAATAAAGCACGTGCGAATGAGATATACTGCTCAATACGTAGAGTAGAATAGTTTGTGCTTGGACACATGCATGTTGGTGAGAAGGGATGAGTGGCGTGAAAAAAGAGTATAGGGAGGTATAGTAGTCCCAAATCATAACATGCCTGGTGTCGGGACTTGTCAAGGGGTTATAGGCGATTGCAAGTCGCTGGATGGGGGGCTGCCCGAACTGGCACGGCGAGGCGGCTCTGCACCTATGTGCCGTGAAACTGAGCTTGGCCTGTGAGGCATTGCCCCAGGACTGGCTCCAGAACTGGTCCCGGCCTGGATCCCAGCACAGGCGCCGGTCCTCGAGTAGCGACAGCCGTGAATGGATCCATTCACGTCGAGTGATCTGCAGCACTCTATTCTCAGGGCTCCACCGGCGCGGATTCCAGGGTCCCGGCGGGTAGAGGCAAACCACCAGCGTGCGTGGCGCACAGTCCCCAGAACGCAGGATGCGCGTGTGGAGGGCGTGAGATTGGCATGGCAGTACCTGGTGACGTCGGGTCTTTTGGCGTTACGAGTTTACGAGGCCGAATCCGCACGGCCGATGTCCGGCGGCAATGGCCGAGAAGGAAGTCCGTCCCAATTTGGGTCAAGACACAGCGGTGTTGTGGAAAAGCAGGGCTGATATGCTGGCACCCGTAGGCTAAAGCCACCTAGGGCTCGTATGACAAGCCAGGCAGGATTGCATCTGTCCGGGACGGCAGCAGTATGGTGGCAGCCACTTTCAAGGCAGACGGCATTGTAAGAGGTCGGGAGGCTGATCCTTTGGGGATTGTCGGCAGGGGATGCCATTAGTTGATACGACGGAGCAAATAAGGACCATCTGCGTTTATTGTCCGGCACATGGCACCGCTTCTCTAGGATTGGAAACCTTGGCAAGATATCTCATGGTGTATAGTAGATGTTTACGACGAGATATGCTCATGGTGGCGTCGAAGAGTGAGTTTCGATTACCGCAAAAGCCGCATCTAGTGATGAACAGCCGCACAAAATTACCTTTCCAAAAGCCCATCCACAAAGTACATCCTGTAGACTACTTTGGATGGGAATACTCTTGTACAGTAGTTGGCATATACGCGTAGCGTACCTGGTCGTGTTTCACCCCCCATTTATACGGGGCAACGCTAGAGCTGAATATGGCATAAATCCTTGCAAATAGGGTCAAGGATAAAGCTTAGCCTGACCGGAGAGCCAATCGCAATATTGTATGCAAGCTTTCTTTTATGGGACGACAATGCTTAAAAGACAGCTTACCGAGAGCACTTCAGGCTAGCAACGGTTATAGGGAGAGGCAGTTTTCGCTCAGCAGTGGCATCAGCGTGACATTTCAGAATCATGCATGAAGCAGGCCTCTGGCATTTCAACAACATCCTTCTTGTTCCAAGGGTGAGAAAAGCAAGGAGCAATTATTAAGTACAAAGTACAAGAAAATGACACAGCCACTAACATTCTTTCTGCCTCATTTTGCGCATATGCCCACTTTCCCTTAAACAATGCTAGATGGGACAGCTAAGGCAGCTAACATGATTAGCTGGGCAACTCGACGAATGAGCTGAAGCTGGACTGCTCGCCAAGAGCCAATTGCAGACCAGAGTCTGCCTATAGGAGGGGTTATTTATAGGTGAATCAAGCCCTAGAAAGCAGGAGCAACCTGCTTGTACCACTGGCGGCGGTGCTTTTGATACCGAGACGAAGTAGGTACCGAGTATAGTCATGGAAGTGCTGAGGAACAAGGTAGCACGTGTAGATGATTTCCATTTCTGCATGGCCTTTCTTAATTCTCATTTTCCAATCTTCAAGCTTCTCCACCACCACCACCACCATCACCGCCACTTCTCTTGTCACCTTCGCATCCTGGCTCTTCCTCAAGCTGAGCCTCAGCAATTAACACACACACACAAAAGGCGGTATCCGTTTCGAGCCACGGCTATCCTACCCGTTGTGCCAGGCTAATAGCTGACACTGTACCGCTAGCAACACTTCAGGTGTGACTCTTCACAACGGCCAAACGGCTTTTTGGGGGCCAAAGAGCAGGGCTAGGAGCGCCAATGGCAGACAGCTTTGCAAAAGGTCCACAAATATGCCTCCCACTCATTCAGCCCGACCTACTGACTTCCAAACTACTCTGTCTAAACCGAGATATACGACGACGAGCTAAGCGGCGCATCCCTTCCCGCTTTGCGTCAGCGCGGTCCTTGCCAAATATTGCGTCTCCGTGGCTGTCGCATCTCACGGCAGTAGAATACCGACCTTGGGTAGGTACCGAGGTGCTTCTTTTTCGCTCGCTCTACTTGCACGCTGTGCATAGAGGTGAGAAATAGACGCGAGACACAGAGGATCAAGTGTAGCAATTCGCAAGTCGAACTCTACCGCATCTCACAGTCATGTCTCTGCAATGATCAAGGAGAAAGAAAAGGTAATAGATAGAGGAAAAGGTTTCCTGATCTCTTGTCTCACTGCACGAACTATTCGCGATGTGAATACCGAACTCGACCAAATGTGCTGCACATGATTCCACCAATAGGACAAGAAACCATCCGTATTGGTCAGACCAGTTTTTCAGCTTCTCAGTCTAGAAGTGTAGTAGGGTTACTTCGTCTCTAACCGCACAGCGAAGAGGTGATTGATACCACAACCACGAGCCCTTCACACCATTACCAGGCACCGCTATGACCATGCATAACCGCAGCTTTGTCTTGGCCGTCGTATTAGGATCTCGTGCATATTCAAGGCTGGACTGGACTTTCGGGCAAGTCCAAGCCTCGTTAAGCTGTTTTCACCACGGAGTGTCTATTCTACCCACAAATCGAGATGAAAGTGATGGCACTGAATATCTGTTTGCCAATTGAATCTTGGTCGAATCTATTTGGATGACTACAGCATCATAATTGAAAAGCTCGAAAATGTTTCCAGCTGCTACTCTAACAATGATGCAGCAACTGGCGTTGGCAGAAAGATCTACTAATGACTGGACCTTGCTGCCTGAATTGTTTTCCCAGGAAAACACCACTCAACCCTCCTTGACCACCCTATTCAGAACCATGCGTTATTATTCTCACTCTCACGGTATATACATGTGCACAACGATTCGAACTACTACTAGTAGCGGCACATATTGCAAATGCGATGCTACGACACGTCACACGCATTTTCTCTTCACCCCTGTGCGCCATGTGTTCCCGTCCTTTGAGCTAAAGCGCGGATGGCATTTTGCATAGTCCGTAGGGCTGCCAAGAGCACCTCGGCTCGGATGGGCAGTAAAATTAGGACAAGTATCGGCCCATATAAAAGGGTTCGGCAATCTAGGCTAAACCGTGACGAGTATCCAGGGCGAGGGATTGAGGCTCAATCAACTGCTTTGCCAATTCTTGGATCTCACAGGATTCATCATCTTTGACTTACATGTTGAGCTCTGCATATCTTCGAAAGCTTCTGCCCCCACCTAAGAGACATGCCTGATAAGAACAAAGAGAGAAGGTCGAAGATGTAAATGCTTGGCGTGGGCTCGTATCTTGACCGGATAAACAAGTTCTCACGGAAAACCCCTGCAGATAAAGACACTGAATGATCCTTCTCGAACTGCATTCTCCCTTTGGCTGTCTCTTTCTGGGCTGAACTTTGGACTGTCATATGTGTGTTTCTTTTTTAGCGGTTTTGAATCCCACCTTTATGATTATCAACTGAACGGAGACTTCTCTCGCTATCATATTCTCTTACCACCCTCAGAGTATCAAGACTGAGAATATCATTTACGTAATAAAACAGTATAGCTCATATTTTCCTATGAGTATCATGGGTATTAGAGCTGTATCAAGAAGCACGGCACTAATGGTCTCTGAGACTATAAGCATCTTAGTTCAGATGTGTATATCCATGATTATCATTAACATCAGCTATCGTCAGTATTTCTCTTTTTCTCAAGCTATTCTGGTACTATATCCCTCATGAAATCCCTATATATTTGACTAATACAAATGACGTGAATTAACTACATGCCTTCAATTGCAACGATTTCTCAACAACATCCACCCAGCGACCACGACCGAGAATCAAGGACTCTCCATCTCAGCCAACTCGGCCAACGGCGGTGACATCGATACCGGTCTTGCCATCACAGTCCCGTGAATGCTCTGCCCCATCTCCTGGGGTTTGGGCGGTGCCCAGAACCCTGGCACGCTGTTATGCGCTGCCATATACGGCTCCTGCGGGACTGAAGTAGATGCCATGCTTGTATGTGGATTTGTGCTGTAATGTGTGTGAGCAGGATAGGTAGGAGAGCCATAGCCACCAGATGACACGGGCACAGGCACGATCTGAGGTCTCTTCGATTGGCGGCGGTAGTACAGTATCAAGCCGAGGGCCAGGAGCAAAACGGCTGCGCCGCCGATTGCGATGCCTGCTATTGCTCCATTAGACAGGACGACAGAATTGGAGTTGGAACTTGCGCTTTCCGCCGTGGTCGTAGAGGAAGTTGTAGCCGTCGCTGAGGTTTGCGTTGCCAATGTCGGAGCTATCGTAGTTGTCACGACGGTAACATTGTTCGTCCCACCCGGCGAAAGGTCCTTGTACGCATCGCAGTCGGGCTGAGGCTGTGCAAGCGGACACTCATCTGCGGAGCAAATGGAATAGAGCTGGCCATTGACAGGAGGCGCGCACCGCACGTTGTACCTTGCGTTCATAAAAGTATCCAGCGTCTGTGCGTCGTCGTCTGAGAAGCCAAAGTATTTACTGGCCACGGTGAGTTGCTCGATGAAGTATCCAATGTCCGTCTGGTTCAGGTTCATGAATTTGTGGACGTAGGCGGCGGAGAGAGGACCGCCGCTGTCAGCCGTTCGTGGGAATTTCGGTGCGAAGCTGCAGCCGTAGATGAAGCCAAATGCCGTGAACCAATGGGTGAATAGACGGCTGATTTGAGAAAGGTCAGTGGCGAATAAGGGGATGATAGCTGATGGAAGTGATCTAGGGGGTAGGGAGACACACTATTGATTCGTCGAATTATTTATATTGACAGAATTTGTTGAACCGTTCAGGAACGATAACAATGGACCGGTAGCACCCCCGTCTAACCAGTTGATTCCCACCGGCTGATTGTTCAGATTCGTTGTCGCTTCTATTTTGGTATCATGGTCAGCCCAGACGGACATGCGTATGAAATACTCCGCAAGTAGGAAACTTCTTACTTGAACCATCAAACCAAGGCCGAAGATATACATCTAACCCCTTGAAGCGCGCTTTGTTGAAAATGCCGGAGCTATCGTCTGGGGGATTCGGAAGGCCAGCACCCCCAGCGTAGGCAAGAGTGACGATGCTCTGTACGAGAAGCAGCTGGGTGGTACTATTATTCTCGCCATACCGCTGAGTGGCATAGTAGTCGCAGATTGACTCGTTACCGGATCGCTGGGCCAGAGTTAGGCGCCCTGCAGCTAAGAGCGAGACAGCCGCGGCAACTTGTTTCCACATTTCGTACACTCGTAGTACTGGAAGATTGTCTCACGGGATTTGAAACCGATGGGCAGAAACAACGAGGATTTAAGATTGAGATGGCCACAGCCTAGAGAGTGCGGAGAAAGTAACGACAATCAGCATTATAAGGGCGACTCATGACATTGGACACGGTAATCTGGGCCTGGCCAGACGGCCAATTCTAGCAGGCCGGGCAGCGAGGCCAACCAGGATGCCTGTGCCAAGACGAGAATACTCGCACAACGTGGCGGACGTGCATATGGTGGCACGCGAGGCCTTGGGCTATTTGCTTGGTGACCGAGCTATGGCGTTGGCTGTCAGCCTAATGTTTGCTTCCTCCTGCATGGTGTTCCTCAGCTTTGGAGGCGGTGGTGAAGATGACAAGGTTGGCTGACCAGGGTGGCCTCCTATGGCTCCCGAACGACATCATTATTGAGCTTGAATCTGGATGATGAACGATTTGCTGTTGACACTGCACCCATTTCTCGTCTTGATGCCTGATAGTTGCACCAGCACTTGGACTTGGAGTAGCCGGGCATGTTGGCGTCTGGCAGCGTTGATTGGGCAAACCGCTTCAAGCCATCCTGCAGTCCAAATGCTGATACCTAGTACTACTGCTAGCTGACAGCAGGCATGACTTGTCTAGACGCCAGCCTCTTTTGCGGCTGAGGGCGCTTGCCGGCAGTCGAGAGCTGCGAAATGCAAGGGGCTTCAATGGTTCAAATGTCACTATCAATACTTCGGTTAGTAGCGTGCATAGGCTGATGCGGGCGAGCAATAAGCGAGCTTGACTTACTCAGTCATAATTCAGCCAACAAACAGTTGAGTCGGTGTGAAGCAAAAGCTGAATGGCCTATTCTTCGGTGATTTGATATGTTGTGGTAACAATTGGTATTTGCCAAGCGATCCTATTTTATGCTTAAAACACTTAGCTTGGCCGGAATTAAATGGCCACCTAGTAACTGTAGACAGCCGGATGCAGACACCTGACTCTGCATGAATTATTTCGACACACCAACGTCCATCGGTTTGAATCATCATAATCGTACGAATTGCTGATAGTTCTACATCCTCTTCCCTGACTGTAGATGGTTCAGGCAATTAAACGCGTCGCAGTTCACCACCACACCCTGGTGTATAATATCAGCGAATAATGAGATAGAGGCATTCCAACCGCTGGAACTCGGATAAGAACAGTTTGTTACATGATTTTCATAATATACAATGCGCCAGCCATCACAGTCCTTCCAGACACACTCCTTTTACAAGCCAGCCAATGCTTCCGCCTCACGCTCAGCCCTTCGCTCCACCGACCGTCTCTTGAATCGAATCTCTGCCCTTCTTCTCTCACCACCGTCAATCTTGCGACCTTGGCGGTGTTCCCACATGCCCTCCGTGGCCTTGACAGTTGCGCCAGCCTGCTGCGGCAGCGGTATCGCATATGGACCTGCTATTGACCTGGTTCCCCTGACTGTGTAGCCATTGGGCCGTGGCAGGACTTCTGAGTCTCCAATAACAGCTTCTTCCTCTTGAGGCACGTTGACTACATATTTTGCGTCGCTGATGACGGACGCTGGCGGGGTAGCGACTTTCAGCAGAGCCTGGCCGTCTTTGACATACTTGAAGTCTCCGCCCGGTCCCAATGCTCCATTGCGATATCTCTGCATCCATTGCAAAAGGTATTTTCGGTTGCGAGGCGGCTCGATGCCCAGCTCTTTCAGTTGTGGGGAGGTAAGAGAGAAGAGAGACTCCCACGACGGGAATTTGGATGCGTGCTTGTTCAGGCCGCGGCCAATGAGTGTAAGAAAAGTCTGAACGTCGGGGACGAAAGGCCGCGGCTGTGGGACCTTCGGGGCTGGTCTCGTCTTATGGAGCCATCGTGTCTGGCTTGCGCCGAGGAAGTTGGTGCTGCGAAGGAATCGCAAGGGTGATGTCGATGGTGAGAGGCCGGACTTCATCGTGACTGTTGCGCGGAAACCCTAGTATTAGTCGTCAGTGACGTCTCTCGGATGGATGAATTGATGGCCAGGTAGAGTAAGCATTACCAAATGTTTTAACTGCAGTAATATTGGCTGCGAACGAGATTGAAGCCAGCGACCTTCCTCAAGTCCAACTCGTTCGATCCTGTGATTTGCGAACTTTACTAACACGGCCAATTCGATTTTGAAGATATTAGCTAAGCAAGGCTGCATGAAAATAAATGGGGCAATGTCGAAGCTCCTTTATCGGTGCCTCTTCATTGGCCCGGCTTAATTATCCAATTGATAACGCCTTGCATCAACGGGTATTTAGAGTGACGGGTCGCATCATTGCTTCTTCACGCTTCCGATCCATCATGGCGACGAGTGCGTCCGCCAGATTTGACGGCGGGCCATCTCCAAACCATCCAAGATAGCCAAAAGTACACGCACAAAACGCAACTCGCCCAACATGGCTCCCTGGAAGCCGGTGCACATGCCCTTGGCGGCATCACCTACCGCATTCAAAATAGGACCCCATGGTGAGATCGTTCATGCCACATGGGACTCTGCACAGACTAGTGAAAGCTGACTTTTAGCCTTCAAGGTGTACTACCGAATGCATTTTTAGAGTTTTTCGACTCTTTGTCGACCCCAAGTTCTTCTGAGAGCACGACAGACAGTTCCCGTAACCTTAAGCCACCTCCATCGAAGCGTCGCAAAGTAGATCGTGAACCAAACGACGGCATCAGTATCGCAAACGCCACAATATCATTCTCGCGCCGATGTGAAAATACCCGTAGCTCAGACTCCAGCAGTGATCACCACGGCATTGAGCCCTTGCTCATTTTCGATCTCCATAATGATCGTCTATCAATGACAGCTCGAACGAGCAGTGGTCTCGGGCCCTTTGAAGCCGATATAAAGCTACAACGAAAAGAAATAGATGGCAATGTGGAAACTATACTTGAAGTTGGAAAATCTAGTCTGAAGAAAGCCACCCCCGGTGCTATTTGGACGGCTGTTGATATTTCAATCAAACAACGCCAGGGGTTGGCCTCGTTGACAATCTCTTTTCATCTTTATTGGAACGAAACACCAAATCCGTATGCATACTTGAGGCGGACTAATGAGCGACGATACAGCGAGAAGTTGATTCACACCTTCTTCCCGCCTCATGAGAGCGCTCCCAGCGAGATCTCGTGGTCACCGATGGATTTCTACAATGCAGCGCACGTCCCGTCAAAAGATGATACTGATTCCCTCTCTATTGATGTTTCTGGCCTAACCGCCACTCTCTATCCTTACCAAAGGCGAACACTACAATGGCTGTTGCGCCGAGAAGGTGTGAAATGGACTGGCCAAGACGCAACTGTCCAAGACGCAACTGTCCAATTTTTGTCAGAAGATGAGCAAAGACAAGATCTAGATCTTTTTCGAACTGTGCAAGATGCCAACGGCAGCAAGGTATATCTAAGTGATGTGTTTCAAACAATTACCCGAGATCCCACGCCGTACCATGAAGCTAGCAAATTTGTCAAAGGTGGCATTCTCGCGGAAGAAATGGGGCTAGGAAAGACTCTGGAAATGATTAGTCTTATTCTTTTGCATCGGCGCCGAGCGGAATTCTCTCCGGAACCTCTACCAGGCCAAGAGCACCTTGTTCCCAGCGGCGCAACTTTTATTGTGACTCCAAAATCATTGCAACTGCAGTGGATATCCGAACTATCCCGCCATGCCCCTGGACTACGTGTGAAGCATTACACAGGGTGTCGAGGTGTTGATAAGGATGGTGAAGTGCGGCTTGTAGCCGAGCTGGCTGGATACGATGTGGTGGTGACAACCTACAGCGTACTCTCCGCCGAGCTTCACTTTGCTATCAGCCCCCCTGAACGGTCGCGGAGGCACGAGCGAGCATATAGCCGGATTCTTTCTCCGCTTGTCCAAATACTGTGGTGGAGAGTGTGCCTAGACGAAGCCCAGATGATTGAAAGCGGCGTCAGCCAGGCGGCTGCACTGGCCAGAGTAATCCCTCGAGTAAATGCCTGGGGCGTCACCGGAACACCAGTCAAAGACGATGTCAAAGATTTGCTTGGCTTACTCTCCTTCTTGAGATATGAGCCATATTGCTCTACACCACAGATCTGGCAGGCACTTACTGCCTGCCACAAGCCATTGTTTCAACAGCTCTTCAAGTCAATATCTATTCGACATACGAAAGCTTCTGTAAGGGATGAGATAGCTCTGCCTCCACAGAGACGATACGTTATAAGCATGCCTTTTACCGCGGTAGAAGAGCAGCATTACCAGTCGTTATACAAAGAAATGGCGGAAGCTTGCAAACTCAGCACAGATGGCGATGCTCTTGTTGAGAAGTGGAACCAAGAAGACTACGAAGATGTTATGAGGCTGTGGCTCAATAGACTAAGACAAACTGCTCTTCACCCAGAGATTGGTGTCTATGGACGCCGAGTATTGGGAGGCAAGGAGCGTCCCATGAGAACGGTGGAGGAAGTATTAACTGCCATGTTGGAGCAGGGTGAGATCGCCATAAGAATTGATGAGCGAGCATATCTTTCGAGCAAGTTGGTACTGGGCCAACTATTTGAAAACAGCCCTCGGGTAAGGGAAGCTCGGGAAATCTGGGAAGAGGTGCAAGGCGAGTCCGCCAAATTGGTAGCCGATGCCCAAGTGGCACTCAAAGATGCTCTTCGGGAGAAAGGACACGATGCGGACGAAACTTTGGAGAGGGTGCAAGATGCAGGGGACTCGGACATTGAACTGGAATACGAAGCAGAGGAAGACGTCGGCAGTAAAGGGAAACTTGGCGAGCTGCAGAACCGGCTGAGAACTAGCCTGGAGCTGCACCACAAGGCCATTTTCTTCTGCGCCAACGCATATTTTCAAATTAGGGATAATCCGGAGTTGACGCCGCCGGATTCCGAGGAATTCCAACACCTCAAAAAGCTCGAGGACGATGGTTATGAGAGCGCCAAGTTGGTTCGAAGGAAGATACTTGGGCAAGGTCAGCGCAAGGCAATGCGGCTCCTGAATAAAATCGCCTCAGAAGCCAAAGAGCAGTCTTTTGTTGAGATACCGGAGCTTGCTGTGGATAGCGAGCGCGGAATAGAGAGTGGGGGTATTATTGATAACCTTCAGATTCTTTATGAGGATCTCAACGAACAAGCAAACTTGATTGACGAATGGAGAGAACAAATTATCCAGCTCCTTTTACGGCCGCTTGTTGATGAAGAGGATACTACAGAGACCACTGGAGAAGAGCTCATGGATGCTGCAAAAATCCAGGACGAGCTGATGGTTTATGTCCAAGTCCTTCGGGCCGTTGTCGCTGATCGCCAGTTTGTCGTTTCGGGCCAATCAAATGGACTGCTAAAGCATGAGATAGAGATGGCGGTCAGGATGGCGAACGAAGGCGAAGGACCTGCTCCAGAGAGGCTCCTCGACCTGGCGGAAAAAATGACTGAGGCGAAGCCTAGAAGAGTCAATATGTCTATGCGCGCTGCTATCAGCGACCTCCGCAGCTTGTTATCTAGGCTCACTCGAGATCCGAATCCCAGCCAGAGAGAACGTCTCGAGTCTAAGATTGCGTCTGACTTGATGAAGACAACTCAGACACTGCTTGGTGAACAAAACAAGGCAGTGGTGGCTTTGGAAGCGGAGGTGGAAATCTTCAAACGGGCTATGAACGCTCGATTAGACTACTATCGACAGCTGCAGGCCGTCTCGGACGATGTAATGCCCCTTGAAACTCCCAAGACTGAAGAGGCCATTGAAAAAGCAAGGAAAACTACCAATGACCTTCACAGAAAGCTGTTGGCCAACGAAGCCAAGCACCGATACTGTAAGTTTTGATGCATTTCTCATCGATTTGAGACTTGTTGTGTCTGTGCTAATTACATTACCGTTAGTGCTGAGCTTAAAGGAGACCGGGTCCAAATCTAACGAGCCTCGAATGTGCGTCATTTGCCAAATGCCATTCTCGAGCGGCGTATTGACCGTGTGTGGTCATCAATTCTGCAAGGAGTGTATCATGATGTGGTTCAAGGCTCACCGAAACTGTCCTGTTTGTAAGAGGGCGCTCAAGGCGGACAATTTACACGATATCATTATCAAACCTCAGCAGCTCCAGGTCCATGGAGAGGAAGCGGGCGTACCAAAAGCAAGCTCCAACGATGATGGCCCACAGCGCCGTCGGGACTCTTCAAAGCAAACTGTGCTCTATTCAGAGTTTGATAACAGAGAGCTTGAGCGGATGAAGAATATTGAGCTGGATGGCCCTTCGTTTACAACAAAGGTTGACACTCTTGTTCGGCACCTTATGTGGCTACGCGAGTCTGATCCAGGCGCAAAGTCTATTGTATTTTCACAGTGAGTCTTCCTGTTATGCTTTTGTATACCGCTACATCAATTATCAGAATGTGCTTGAACTAACGGCGTGTCCCATTGTTTTAGATACAAGGACTTTTTGCACATTCTACGCAACGCCTTTAACCGCTTCCGTATTGGATACGCATCAATTGACGATCCTGACGGAATCAAGCGATTCAAAGAAGACCCAGCCATAGAGTGCTTTCTTCTCCACGCAAGAGCTCACTCCAGTGGCCTGAATCTCGTCAATGCAAGCCACGTCTTTTTATGCGAGCCCCTACTCAACACCGCCCTCGAACTACAGGCAATTGCCCGCGTGGACCGAATCGGACAGCAACACGAGACGACGGTATGGCTCTATATCGTATCCGGGACAGTGGAGGAGTCGATTTACAACCTTTCCGTCAGACGGCGCATGGAGCACATGGGCAGGAACCTCAAGGGGAAATCCAAATCCAAGGAGTCGACGCCAGAATTGCTGGACGCGAATATCGAGGAGGCCAATACGCTGGAGCTGGAGCAGGCTGCTTTGTCGAAGCTCATGAGTAAGGATAGATCTGCGGGCGAGATGGTAGATCGGAGCGATTTATGGGAGTGTCTGTTTGGACATTCGAGTGGCAAAGATGGAAAAGGCAAATGAGTTTTCATCCACCTAAACGGAGTCCTTCTGGACCTGCGATACGAATAATGAATGGTTTATATATATATATGATGGATACACGAATGTACACTACAAATTGAGACAATGTTTTATGAAATAAAAGATGAAGTGTACTCAATGTCATTATCATTTTTTCTCTTTGATATTATTATACATGGCTTCATTCTAAAAACTTTCTCTTTTTCTTCTTTTTGGTATCTCCAAACCCATGGGAATCACCCCATGATCTCGACAACCTCCTAAGTCGGCATTTGCTGACTCTTTTTTGGAAAATAAGATTTTGCTAAACGCCAATGTTGCTACACATTACCATTTCCCCCCAAAAAAATGAGAGTTATACAGGAAGAAGAGTAGTCAATAGAAAATGTAGAAAAGAGGAAGAGCAGAAGAAGAGTAAAAAGCCAGAGTGAAAAGGGGGAATTAAATCCTCTTCTCATCGCCTCATCTCTAGTAGCAAATATATTTCATATTTACTCGACAACCTTCTTCTTGCTGCTGGCGCTAGACTTTACGCGCTTGGCGACAGGGCGGTTGATGTGGTGGTCGGGGATCCAGCTCTCGTCGTACGACTTGCCGGCGGACTCGGAGCCGGAGAGGGCATCGGCGGGGTCGACGGGCTTCTGGACGGGCTTCTTGGGGGCGCGCGTCTTCTTGGCCTGGGGGAACAGGGCCTCGATCCAGGTCTTGTAGACGAAGAAGAGGGTGCCTCCGAAGGCGGCAGTGAGGACAAGGTAGAGGAAGATGCTGTTTGTTTATTAGCCATGGAATTATAACTGGTAGAAGAAGAGAGAGTTGCGTACATTTGGGGGTCGAGGAAGCTGGTGGGAGCCTCGACAATGGCGGTGCTGCCCTCATACGCAGGCACCTGGAAGACGACGCCCTTTGCATTGGTGAAGACGGCGAGCAGATGCAGGCGCACGTCCTGCGGGTTCATGTCGAGCACAAACGAGTACGGAAACGACTTTGTCTCGCCGGGCTCAATCTCCAGGCTGTACTGCACGACGGTCAGGTTGCGCACAATGCCCTGGTAGGCGGGCACGTCGTCGGCGAGCTCCTCGGGCGACCACAGCGCGCCGTTGGCGAAGAGGAACTGGATGGGCCCGTCCTCGTGGTTGGTGACCTCGACGAGGGCCGTCGTGGTGCGGCCATTGACCAGCTTGAGGCCGAGGATGTCGGAGTCGGGGAACGAGGTTCTGATGTCGGCGTTGAGGGTGGCGGCTTCAGCAGCCTCGGCAACAGGCTCCTAGAATTGCGCAGCAGCGTTAGTTTTGAAAGGCCTATTCTGGTGTTTATTTCCTTCTCCAAGGTAATTTCACTATCACGAGGGTTTCCACCGAGATTCCAGAATCGCACGCACCTCTTGAGCAACTGCGCCAAAGACCTGCAAGGCCAGAAAAGCGAGGAGAGACGACTTGAACAGCATGACGGGCAGACGACGAAAGACGCGAACCAAAAGCTCGGCTCGGCCAATTGATGAAACCAAAAGAGAAACGGGGGAGGTGAATTGAGAGGAAAGGAATAAAGAGAAGAGAAGGAAGAAAAAGAAAAGAGACGGGCGGTTTGGAGAACGTTGGAGCTGTATGGCGCCCCCCCCCGGTTTAGAACATGTGGCCACAGCACCAGCTTTCGTGGAGTGGGGGGACCCACGCTTACATAAACATTGAAACTCGCGCCATTGTTGGGACCTGGGACCGGAAAGAAGGGGCCTTGTCCGAATTGGGAATTTCTGTGTTCCACGCATGGAACATTGGAAGCTCGACGTGATGATATTGGGATCCATTGTGGAATGCCATCTACCAAGAGGAGAAGAGTATGCCACGGATGAGACACATTTTCACAGCCACATGTAATATCAGACAATGCGCACTTCCAAATTCCTTCTATTAATACCCGAATACCCAGCATAATCATCAAATTCCGCCTGTTGGTATACCTAAAATACGCACTGAAGCACCGCATACAGGAGCTTCTTCTAAATATGGGACCCATGATAATAGATAATAACAGACCCCCTCAACATGTGCGCCCGTCCGTCTGATAGCCAAATACTAAGCCCATTCACTACCCATAGTTAAACAATGACTAGGCTCGTCCCTTTTCACGGCCCTCCGAGATCCATTCCGCCCCAACCATCAAACACATCCATATCGGTGTCGTCGAGGCTGCCAAATAGATCTGCCTCCGCCGAAGCATCCAGCCCGCCGTTGCTGCCCGGTCCTCCCAGGCCCAAGTCAGACGAAATGCCGCCAAGGCCCATATCCAGGCTGCCAACACCATCCATTGACATGGTGCCATCGCCCGAAACGCCAGCAGCGACAACAATGGAATCTTCTAGGTTTGTCGCATCCCCTGCCAAGTCCAACTGCATATCGGCCGCCTGCAGCATCGGCGGTGGCGGCAGCACCATCTGCGCCTCAACTCTCCTGTGAAGGCGAACAACAATCTCCGCCAGCTCAGCATCCTTCTTCTGCAGCTTCCTGTAATCCTCGGCCTCCATTTTCAAGACTTCCCGGAGGGTCAGCGGGCGCTGCAGCATCGGGAGCATGTTTCCTGTTTCATCCAAAAGACCACTGGTCGGTGGCAGCTCGTTGCTGACATTGGGAGCACAGACCAGTGCCGTGGCCACATCGTAGACAAGGCTCCCGTTGCCGGCCAGAGTTTGGTGCCGGATCTCCTCCAGGATGACGCGCAGAAGCCTGCTAGCGCCCACAATCTTGAGCGTTGCAATTACCTGTCGATGCGTGTATGAGGTTGGCATAGCTGTCTCGTCAGTATGCACGCACCACTGAACAAGCCCCTGGATCAGGTGCTTGGCAGCCCCAGAGAGACCGCTGCTGGAACTGGTTGCCCACAACTCCAGCTCTTGGTGCTCGGCTGCCCCCGTTCGCCTTGAAAAGGGCAAACTGTCTTTTAGAACCCTCAGCAGTGGCTCAATGTCTTGATTCTTGGGATCTTGCCGTTGGTAAGATCGCAGCGAGTGCTCTAGGGGTTTCGCAACAATACCCTTTACAGAAGCAAGCATGGTGGTGGCTTCGCCGGAAATGGAGGTGGGCAGAAGTATGAGCTGCAAGATTTTGATAATAGACTTTTGCTCTTTTTGCTCGACCCAGAGATAATCAGACAAGAACCGAATCGCAGGTATGAGAGACGGCAGGAGAAACGTATCTATCAAATCTATTGTAGGTAAGCTTAATGAAACAGTAAGACCATGACAACTAGTCAAAAAAAAAAAAAAAACTTACACTCCACGCCCGACCTGAGGGCATCGTCGGTCAGGAAGCCCTGGGTATATGCAATGACAATATTTTGAAAGAGCGTCGCAGTGAGGAGATAGAAATCTGCAGGAGGGCAGGATGACATCAAGTCATCTCCGAGACCGCCGGCATCGCTGTCGAAAAGGCCGTGGATCCATCCGCCGAGGTGTCCATTTTCTTGTTCAGATAGCTCGTCCAGCTCTCGGCCAATGTGAGCTCGGCCAATGATTTTGGCAACGTTTGAGTCTGGGGAAATGATGCCAATGTCTGCTGGAGTTAGGCTATACCGATAGGCAAAAGCCAGCACCAAAAGCAGAATGGCTCCGAATTCTTCATAGACAGGTTGATACTCTCCTTGGTCTTCCTCGTATCGCCAGCTGTCCAATAGCTGGCATATAGGCTCCAAGATGGTTGGTAGCTTCTCAAACAAGAGCAGGATGTCTAGAGACTGAGGCTTCTGCACCAATTGGCTGCACAGGATTTTCAGCGACATTGTGTCCTTGCTGTGGCAAAGTTGCCGCAGTAGCTATCTCTTCTTGTCAGCACGTGGAATATACCTCTTGGTGGATGGGACACAAGGACAAACAAACCTCTACAAGGGCCTGACACACGGCTCCAACATTGCCATCCATCTTATCCATGTCGCGAATGAGGGCTTGTATCTTGTCTGGGTCTGATAGGCAGCTCTGGACCAGCTTTTCTTTGGAATACTTTTCCTGGGAAGGTTCGTATGACATGGAGCTCTCTCCCAAGATGCGCTCCACATGCTCTCGTTCAATCAGTCCATGGAGGGCACAAGCCGAGCAGAAATCCTCTCTGACACTCTCCGTGTACGGATTGTTGTTGCGTGATTCGTCAAACATGAGCGACGCCGTAGGGAACACGCTTGTGTCGACATGCGGAAGCGCCTGGGTAATGCAAAACTCGGCGGAAGGCGTTGAAAAGCCAGGGGGGCATAGTTGAGCGAGTATCAGGGGCACCTTGTTTATCAAGAAGGATCGTAGTAGCTGTGCATCTCTGGGGCCCTCGTTTCTGAAGACGGCATTTGCAAGCAGGTCAAAGGACGCCAAAATCAGATCAACAGCGCTTTGTTGAACGTCTCCCTATGATTGGGTGAGTGAAGCGGCTCTATTTAGTATAGGAAGGGGGGTGGGAGGGGGGGGGGGTTGGAAATACCTGATATCTGTTGTTTAAATATGAAAATAAGGCGTGGTCATCAATCAATGGTCGGCCAACAAGCTAATAACGCAGGGTCAGTATGCAAGATGATGTCGAAAAAAGGTTTGGGGTTGCATAAAGCATACCGAAGCACCAAGATATATGTATAATCCTGCACGTGTGTTGGTTATTGGTACCTCTGGGATAACCAAGTTGTCTACGCCGACTGTTGAATCTAGAATATCGTCCATGACAGCATTGGCGGCTTGCTTGCTCTTATCCACCGGGTCCAATGGCGCCAAAACTTCGGTCCTAAACAATTCAAGCTTGTTGATGAACTGCTGGAATTGTGGCAGCTGTGGCGATTGCTGTATAACCTGTACGAAGGACGCAAGGCTATCTGAAAACACTTTTCGAGCCCCTAATCACAGCGACAAAGGAGAAACACAATGGTTAGTATGTGAGAATGTCGCAGGAGAGCAAAGATGTATAACAATTCGCGGTAACATCATACCTTTGGCAGAGGGTTGGCTAATGACCTTGACAAAAGCGGCATTGTCCACCAGCCGAAGCACCAGAGGGACAAGAGCACCCCAAGCAGTCTCCATCTCATGACGGACCTGAGGATCTTGCAAGCTGCCGCCCAGCATGTCCGCAGTCATGGAATTGGACGCCGTAGTAAACAGTACCATCCACTTAGAGCTGATATGGATGAGCTCCAATGCCGTGCGCGAGTCTCTAAAAGCGGTTCCTTCGACGAGAAGCTTGATGACGTGATAAAACATGACCTCCTCGAGCCAGGACGAGCTCTTCCACCTGAGGGAGGACGCCGGCTGGGCATCTTGTCTGGCGGCTCCCTCTCCATTGGCCCCGTCTCCATCATGTTGTGCCTGCTCTGGTACCAGCGCATGAAGCGAAGAGTACCTATATAGCGATCGGAGTATGGACACTGCGTCGGTGTATCGTAGCTTGGTGAGGATGGAGATGTAGGGAGGGATTCGCGGGTCGGGGCTGACGCAGTTGGACTTGATGGGCCGTATGAAGAAGTCGGCGATGATCTCGGGGGGCAGCCGGTGCCTGGACTGGACAAGCTGGACATAGTCCTCAAAGGTGCTCGCGTCGAGGCGCTTGGTCAGGCATTTGGAGACGAAGCTGGACCAGTACTTGATGGACTCGCGAAGGGCCTCGCTGATGGGGATGCGCCCCTCCATGGCTCGCCGCGCTCTTGGCGATGGGGTATAGGATCGATGTATGGTAGACTATGGGGATTCGAGAATAACGAGTTGTTGGGTATAGATGTATAGATGCGTCGCTGAGTTTTGAAGAGCAAGATACAAAGGCAGGTGGTGTCGAGGGACGGAGTCGACACGAGCCAAAAAGGAACGAGGCTATCACGGGCTGGTTGATGCCATTGAAGTACGACGTCGAGTTTCGCGCACAGCCATAGAGTTCATTCAGGAGGAGCGCCCTGTGGAAGAACCAACTGCCAAAGCGCTCGACCGGTCCCCTCCACTGGGCTTGCGCGAGGCTGCGAGTCAAAGTTGAAGCTTCGCGGTATCGCGAGCTACTCCAAAGGTTTGGGTTGCAGTAGCAGCATCAGCCACGGGTGGGTAAATGTACAAGCACGGAACGCTCCGTAAATACAGGCACATGGAAAGCCGCGGCGGGTCTTGGCGGCTATTGTTCCGCGCCGTTTCGGGTGGGGCTCGACCACGTTTGATTCTTTTTACATGCAGACGCGAATATATGGAGTAGATGAGATGGATTCACATGCTTAGAATATGGGTCGTTTCGGTTGAAGAAGGTGATGATGAGTGATTAAATATTTAATTGTGAATGCTGAATTTCCAACTGTCAATGAATCACTTGTAGCACATACTCTCTCTTATACATCATCCCACCAAGTAGCGAGAGTGCATCATGCAGCTTCTGCAACCTACACCTTTACGCTGCTAGTCAATTCAATTAAAAAACACAAAAACGAGAATAAAATATAGTCAATGGATATTTCTTATCTGCCATTTCAAACTATTGCTTTGTCACATGAGCAGAAAGCGCTGAGCATCCAACAAATCCACCGCTTCAAGGCAAACACTAATAATAGGCACCTAGGCAACTTTTCAATTTGGATATCATCTTTTAACAAAGAAAATTACAAACAAAGAGTGGATATCTTGTTATTAAAAAGGAAAGAGAAAGAGAAAAAGAAGAATAAAGGAAATGCAAAACAGAGAGTGTCAACTCTCAATGGCAACCACACAGCCTGACGCATCCTCATTAGCAGCACCCACGTCTTCCACAACCACCATTCTCTTCACTTTTCAAAATTCGTCAGCATAGACTTCTTGCCCGCCGCAATCAGATGGGCATAGTCCGTGCCCAGGTATCGGCCCTTGGCGTAGTAGATGAGGTAGCTAAACAGCTTGAACGAGCCCATCTGGCCAGTGGCACGGCTTCTCCCCAGCGTCACGGCGGAAATCTCCGTCGTGTTGGGGCTGTACGCGGGCATCGCGCCGCCCTTGAAGTAGATGGGCAGCGCCTTGACGAGGTGGATCGTCTGCGCGCTTGCAGTGCCGGCCTTGCTGGCCTCGAGGTTGCCCACGTCGCCGAGCACAAAGATGTTGTCGTGGCCCTCTGCCAGGAGAGCCTTGGTCTGCTTGATGTATCCCCTGTTGTCCAAGAGATTGGCCGGCACAAACGACGTGTTGGGCACAAGGCCGGTGGACGGGATGTACGCCTGCGCCGTGAGCGTCTTGGTGGTGCCGTCGGCGCTGGTCAGGGTCAAGATGGTGTCGTTGCCCGACTGCTCGACGGCAGAGACGGTCGTGTTGGGCACCAGCTTGACCTTGAGCTTCTCCAGCTCGTTCTTGGCCGCCTTGCGCACGCTGTCCATGGTGGGCGGCGTCAGCGGCAGCTTGTCGTTGTACACGAGATAGACGTCCTTCTTGCCGGCCTTTGCGTATTCAAAGCCCAGCTCGCCCGCCGTCTCGGTGCCGGTTGCGCCAGCGCCGACGACGACGATGGTCTTGGCGGCCTCAATCTGCTGCTGCAGCTCGTGCAGGCGCTGCTTGGTCTGCTCGGTCGAGCCCATGACCTTCCAGGGCATGTCGGGCGACGAGCTGCCGGTGGCCACGACGAGCGTGTGGTAGTTGACGGTGCGGCTGCCGCCCTCGCTGGGCGCGATGGTGACGGTGTTGCTGGCCGGGTCCATGGCGCTGGCGGTGCCGAGGACGAACTCAAACTGGGCCTCGGGGTACTCGTTGAAAAAGGGCCGGAGGTCGATCATGGCCTTGTCGTCGGCCAGCTGGCCCGGCACAATGACTCGGGGCATGGCAATGGGCCAGTGGAAGTGCGTGTTGGGCGCAACGACAATCATCTTGTAGTCCTTGTCCTTGAGAACGACGTTGCGCATGGTCTGGCGGATGAGAGGCGCGGCGGCAACGCCAACGCCGAGCACAACAATGTTCTTCATTTTTTGGAGAAATGTTTTTTTACAACACTCTGCTGCTTCTTCTTTGCGGACGAGGTTTATCGTGAGAGAGGGACTATCCAAATGTGTAAAAGTTGGTGGTTCAAAGGAAGAGGGTGGGCAAGGGGTATATATATACATGTACATGCATATACATGTCCACGAGGGCTGTAAGTGGGCTGGAGCAAAAGGAGGGCCACGGTTGGAATAAGGCTCCGGCAGGGAAATAGTGTATCCTACAAGGTCGAATTAATTGCTCCGCAACTCCTCAACGGAGGCATGTACATGTCGGCTGTGCGTAGGGCTATGGCGCCACTTACACACGTATCGTTGGGCGGCCATCCATGCAACAGCGTTTGATGTTGGCAGCTGAAGGAACCAAGGCCACGTCCATCTACACGTAATCGGAACATCGCATCCTTCCAGATGTGCGATTCCCCGTCTGGCAGATCAATCGTACATAGGTGCTAGTACTATCAAGCAGGAAGGATCACTGCTTACTATCCAACTTACAAACATGAATTACATGCCAGGACCTGGATAATACAGCCTGTCCAACTGATTCTTCAAACGCGCGCGCTACATCTGCTGCTGACCCAGCGCTAGCAAAACGAGGCCCGCAATGGATATTGGCATTGATGGAAATCTGATCTGCCCAATGCTACAGTGATGGAGCACCGGCATAAGCTTCATGTCATCTACCGGCGTATCGTATCTAGCAGCGGGACAGGACCAAACCAGCTCGGGCCGAGAAAGCATGAGGCTTGTGCCATTGCCGCCCAGTTTCCCGTCAGCCACTGCTTTTGTATCTACATCTTGTCAAAACCTTACAAATACATTGATGCACTGGATATTCCTTCTATATTCCTCGATCCTCTCCCATTCCTCTCATCAGCTCCCGCCAGATGGCGCTGCAGCAATCCAGATAGAAAACACAGACGGGGCAGCGCGCGGAGATCAGAGGCAGGGATCGAGGCTCTGCACCAATCAGCGTCGTTAGCGCCGGCTTCCCGCTCGAGACGCCCTGCGGAGTTTAGAGATTCGAGATGAATGATTTCTCATTACAGCAGACGCGATGGTTGCTATAAAACATCAAGTTTTGCTTGTTAGCTACAGAATTGGCGCAGCTCGATGGAAAATCTTTGATTACAAGTGATATTATTAAGCGTAGGCGCTTGCGGAGTTGAGATGCTGTCGTTTTTTTTTTTTTTTTACACGTTTTATTGTAAGAGGATACATGTAGTATTCGGCTTCGATGCGGCCCCACGCCAGCAGAGAACCTCAGCCGCTCGAGATTGCAGACATGATTTTTTCTCGATTATTAAATTGGACTTTTTTTTCTCTCTCCTATTATCAATACAATGACTAATTTAGGGATGCATATTTGCCGCTGACAAAGCGGCGTTTGTGGCATATTGATATCTTCAGTCATCATGCTTGCTCATTTTCTTGCTTTCACTCTCCCGCATTCACTCCTTGTTCACATTCATTTTACACCAGTTTTGTTCAATCAATTACAATTTGAAGGACTGAGAATCCAGGGGCATCATCACACCATTGTTACGGTAAATATGAGTCTCCTATTCTGGGCCTTGCGAGTGTTGCCAAACTCGGACCGCACTCTTCATAATCGGTACTCACCTTTCGCCCTCAGTAAAACAATAATAACAATACAAGATACTACAGACGCTGCTGGAAGATCAACAGTCTACCACAGAGCATCTTCAGAGGCAAGCATCTCTCAGTACATACAACTGGACGAGAGAAACTTGTTGCTCGTTTCCTTCATCACGCCAGAGGCCTTGCTAGAGATGCCACGCTCCAGAGATCAGTGTCTCTCGTAGTCATTCCACCTGCTACAGGCTACTGGAAATGGCGCACATCATGCCTTGATTTTATGATTCTTGACTCTGTGTGACGATCAACGGGTCAATCTCATTAGCCTCATACCACCGCTCTCCCATGTTACACATGACACTCCCCTAGTAAAGACCAAGGAAATGTAGCAAAAAAAGAGGAGGGAGAAATGAAAGACAACAAGCAGTGCAGGGTCAAAAAAATGCCAACCTTCAGTCGACATTCTATCCAATCTAAGCACGGCTCGTCCCAACCACCAGCCCCGTCACGACCCCTTTACCGTCCAGTCCAACAGCAAACGATGGGCTTCAATCCCTGAAATCAAGTCCGCCCTCAAAGCGTTTTCCTTCCTCCTCCCGTGTAAAGGAAACCCGTTCGAACCATCTAACGAACTCCCAGAAAAAAAAAAGCCGAAAAGGAAAACCTGCGCGGGCCGCCACAAACGGCGATGGATCGAGCCGTCCGTAGCCCCGGCAATCATGGCGTTGGCTAAATAAGCATTCATATCTTTCGAGGCACACACAAAAAAACGCCAAAAGCAACCTAGACGGGCATTTTTAGTTGGTATTTCTACTACTGCTGCCCTCTTTTTCTTTTTTTTTTTCCCCTTTTCTTGTTCAGATGGAGAGGATCTATGTGAGTTAATATTGCACTCCCACCCTACAGAGCATGGCTTTCTTGGCTTCATGATGACATTAGTTTTTTTTTTTTTTTTTTCCTTTCCACCAATTTTTGGGCCAAAAACGACATAATCAGGACAAAAGTCTCTCCCAAAGTTGCTTCCAATCTTGCCAAGTCTACTTTTGACAGCGAGATATCGTGTACAACGCCAGTCTCAGTCCCAGCACACCGCATAGTCTGGGAGTACAAGATGGTATAACATCAAATATACTCGAAAACACACCCCCCTCCATCTTTGATGCCCAAATTGAGATTGTGACTGTGCATCCCTTGAGATAGATAGCCCCAAAAGGCTGCCAACAGGCATTTCACATGTGACATCTCCCTACGCGCCGGGTCGTGGGAGGATATCAGCTCATAGGCTCTCATCGGGCCCTGGCTCCCGCCCTCCATCTTACAGGAATATCCAGTTACAGTCTATTTGTCACGATGGGTACAGATGCCACTCCAGCTACAATTACACAAACATTTTTTCTTGCTTTTTTTGCTCTTTCGAGCGCCGAAGTGGGAACAAGACAATGCAGTGGCATCTCTTTCTTCGTCTAGTGAACAGAGTATGGATGCCTATATCTCGTCATATGCCAAGCCCACGCATCTGGATCTGATGCGCCAGCCCCAACCCAGACTCCTGTCTCAACTCCCTGTCTTTCAGCTCAAGGGTCAAAACGACCAATCGTCGGGCCGAAGGTCATGAATATGAAGATGGGCGTGAGATATGAGAGATCAAAATATGATATGTGACCAGGAAATGAAGAGCTTGTCCGTACATGGCACCGTATACCTGGCTGCGGTCCCGAATAGTCGGAGCTTGTCTCGCCCAGCTCGGGCATCAGATGCTACCATCACTAGTAGTATTCCTGTCTCTCATCTCCCTTGGCCCAAAGGCAAAAAGACAAGGCGGACCAACAAGGGAGGGGATCAGAAAGACAGACAGCTCTGTTTGCCTCCCTGGTTTTTCCCCGATGTGTGACGAAATGATGCTACTACCGACATGCTGGAATTGGAGGGAGGATGAGCTCGTGGGACACAATGCGAGGGCTGGACACTTGTTCCCCCACGCGATGGCAGCCTCAGGAGAGGGAGGCTTTCTGCCGTCTATATTCTCAGCTCAGCCATCTTCTCAACTCAAAGGAGCATGAGCAGTAGAGAGAGTAGAGCAGCAGCAAACATGCATATTGTGCAAGATGCCTTCTTGCTTGGGCTTGTGCTCATAAAACTTGGCCAGTCAACCATGCCATACGCATGCCAACGAAACTGCTTCCACTCCCACTGCTACCAGGTATTACTCATGCTTCCCACCTCGTAATCACGAGGCCATGTTGTTTCTTTTTCGCTGCTGCTGCGTGTCTCTCCCCGTGCCTTGGCGTCTGGGTAGCCTCCCCGGTCTGCATTGCAGTCAGTGCCAGTCTGTATTTGCGTAGACGCATGCAAGTAACATGGAAAAGAAACGCAAAAACTTGCTAGTGCTGCTTTGATTCGTCTGTTGGGTCCAGCGTCCGGGTTTCTCATTTCTCGCTTCTCACGCCCACACCCCCCTTTGACCCGAAATACTGGTTTGATCGCCAGACGCGTTCCTCTGTGCTGCTGCAAGCTGTGTAAGTGTCGTGCTGTGCTGTGCTGAGCTGTGCTGTGCTGTACTTTTTTTGCATGTACATGTACATGCTGCAGGGCAGTGGCTGGAAATGCACCAGCGTTGGTCGTACCGCTACCGCCGAGTTACCCGCATCTCTGCCTCTGCCTCCTGCGATCCCCCTGTGATGCCACTGTGATGCCAGGGCCAAGCCATCGCCCAGCTTCGGACGGTATCCGATCTGTACTCATACCCGCTCGGGAGGTACACATCTCCCACACGCCCGAGTACAAGTACAACCACAGCCTCGATCAGCCCGAGATCCAGCTGCAGCACCCGCTAGCACGGGATATATGGACACAAGCAACATGAGCTTTGCGTCAACTCGACTTGGGCCTGAATCAAGCATGTCGCACCGGGCCCCAAAACAAAAACACCGCCGGTGGGGACCCGATGGGCCTGATTCGTGCGCGGATCGATCACTTGTCAGTCTCTTGACTCTCTGGCTTTCTCGGGATCCTCACCAACCAAGCAGCTGGACTCGCCCTCCCCACATCCTCATGCAGCCGCCCATCTTGGTTGCAGGTTGCAGGTCGCAGGTACCCAGCCATGGCCGTCCAGCGCAACCAGCTGCTGGTTTCAGGTACTAGCCTGCCTGCGCCGGCATCCAGTGCAGCTGCAGCCTCGCGGGGTCCAGCGAGGTCGCCGTCGCTACCTGCCCGTATCCACCGTAAGCCCCGTAGAGTCCCTACTGTAACCCTTCTCTGCTGCTATTCTGCTATTCTGCATCGCTGTTGTTTCGATACCGGTCGGATGAATGCGCAACTCCAGGCACGAGTCCCTGTCCTTTGGGTTCAGCGCAGATCTAGCAAATCCTAGGCTGCGTTTCCCCACCCCGAAAATTGTCCAGGACCCCTGCTTGGCGTCCGTTTTTTTTCTCGCTCGCTGTGGCTCTTGGTCGTTTCTCTGGGCTGCTTTTTGCTTAGCTCGCAAGATTCAGACTAAGCCTGCTAAGCACACGCCCCCCCTCTATTATCTTCGATGGACGAGGGTCGAGGGTTTGATTCCGCTCACTTTAGATTCTTGGCGGTTGACCAGGGGAAATTGCCCGGGTGCTGGACTTTGGGCTTCTGTGCTTTCAAACAGCTCTGATCTTCCGTCTCTTGTCTGTTCCAATATAAAAGATTCGCGCTCCCTTCCGCGAGCTAAGGGCATTGGTCTCTGCCAGATTGATCCGATCTATCGACACCTACCTCCTCCATCTTGCATCATTGCCGAAATAGACTCTGCTTCTTTCCACTCTGGTCCCTTCTACTCTTCGGCCCACGTCGACAACTTCTTTGTATAATAATCAGCATCTTCTTTTTCGACCAACGACTTACACACTCTTGACTCTTTGCCCGCTCTGCCCTCTATCAAAAGCCCATTCTTGGCCTATCCCATCCGTCCTCCACACTGGCTTCCACTTGTGTACGCCAAAGGCCAACGAGAAGCACATACAACACACCCTCACACCTTCACATCTTCACAAACATGTCAGACACCGCTGGCCCCGTCGTCCAGAGGGAGGTGGACTTCATCCCGATCGAGGATCTGCTCGCCATGAGTCCCAAGGACATCTCCCAGGTGGCCATGACGGGCAAATACCCCCAGCGAAGAGGCCCCTGGTCCCCCGACGAGAGCTTCCGCCTCGTGACGCTCATCAACAAGACGGGCGCCCAGAACTGGGTCACCGTCGCCTCCTTCATGGGCTCCCGCAACGCCAAGCAGTGCCGCGAGCGCTACCACCAGAACCTCGACCCGTCGCTGCGGCACGACCCCATCACCGAGGACGAGGCCGCCAAGATCATGGACCTGTACCACCGCTACGGCTCGGCCTGGGCCCGCATCGCCGAGCAGCTGCCCGGCCGCAGCGACAACGCCATCAAGAACTACGTCAACGGCCTCGTCAACAAGACCCGGCGGGCCGAGGGCCGGCTGGCGGGCCAGCACCCGCGGCTTCGCACCGCTGCCAGACGACGAAGCTCTGCCGCAGCCGTTCTTGCTGCTGCTTCGCTGTCGACGCCGTCATCGGGCACTACAGCGGTGGAATCGCCCACCTTCTCCGACATGGCAGAGTCGGACAGCGGAAACAACTACTCGCTCTCTTCCTCCTGGGGACAGTTCCCAGCCGGCTCCGGACTGCAAACCTCTCAAAGAACATCTTCCGAGTGGTACCGTCCTCTCAGCCAGTCACCGGAACTGGCGCACTCCCATATCCACCATCCTGCTCCCCACAGCCGTGGAACTTTCAGAGTGTCTCCCTATGGCCAGACACAGCCTCACCAGAACGGCTACGCTCAGCAGCACGAGGGCTGGCGACCCATGTCCCGCTCCTCAGAGCCCTCGTCCACTCGACGCCTCAGCACAGATCTCGCCAGATTCTCTCTCTCTTCGCGCAGATCGTCGCGAGACTCCAACATGTTTACTCCATCGCCGACCCTCAGCGCCACTTTGCCACAGGGCCACCGAGCTGATCCCAGAATGGCCATTGGGAACCTGTTGGGTTAAGGGGCCTTGTCGACAGTATAACATGTCTCCTATTCATTTCTTTTTACTTCTCCGTCATCTCTTTTCCGTATCTCCTTGTATTCTGTCATGTCTTTTACTACTATTTCCTTTTACTATGCCTCTCCTCGAGACTGGCTCACAAACATTTTGACCAAGGCGAGCATGCTCTCTGCCTTTAGCATAGCAATCTTTTTTTTTTTTTTTTTTTTTTTTTTTGCTTTTACAGGAAATCATGTATATCACCAAGGAGAAAAGGCGCTTATGGCAACATTCATCACTCCCTGCCGTCCTCGAGAAAACTCGGAGGAGGGGGCGATGAAGGAAAGGGAAAAAAGTGCGTTTTATTGGGATTTTCAGCTTGCGTGGCTTTATATCAATACCCTCAAATAGCTTCTGAGAGAAGTCTATCCGTCCGTTTTTTTTTCTCTTCTTTTTTTTTTTTCTTTGCTGTTTCTGACCTTGTTCTGTTTTGTTCTGTTTCGTTTCATTTGTTTCTGGCTCGAGTGTATGAGCCTTACATGGCCATTTTTGAGCAGCAGAAAAGGGGGGGCTGCTGCTCACAAAGCAAAATTTCATAATGATCGTAAATCGCAGGGGAAAAGTCCCCAGTTTCATTTGTACCAAATAGATTTACATCGGCCAATAACAAGATGTGACTTGAGACTTTTTTTTTCTCTCTTTTCAAATTTTCCATGACAATAGGCTCCAATATTCCTCTATTTTTTTTTTTTCCAAAATACAAATACCTAAATGGCAGCCTCTCAGCGCGCCCGCCTCCTTAGTGTGTGGATCGATAGATAGTTACCTCATAGATGGGTGTGCGTTCCTTTGAAAACGCCGGCTTTTAGACTGGCAATTTCCGCTCTAGCTCAGCTACACAGGACAGAGTTTGCCCCGGGGCATCTTGTCGACAAACCGTCCAATACACGTATTATATAATCGCTTCATAAATAATGCAATTCGTCATTACTACTATCCAATTCACGGCTTGTTTGTGTTTGTTGCTGCTGCGCAAAAGCCGAGTTCCCTCTCTCTTGTCTAGACTTTCATCAGCCCCCCCCCCCCCCCCCCCCATCGGCAAACGCAAGAAAAGAGGAACAAATCTGAGTAATACAGCCAAACAGCCCTCACCCTTGTCGGTACACCTCGCCGAAGCTGCGATCGAGAACCAGGTTTCCCTTTGTGACGATCTAAGTCTGAGAGAGCCATCGGAGCGAGTCAACGGTCTTTGCGGGCCCCCTGCGTGGATGATGTAGCTGCTGCAGCTACTTCCTACAGTAGAAACGAAGGCTGCAGGTTTTACTTCTTCCCACACACCCCCCCAGGTAAGCCATGGGAAAAGAAGGAAAAGGATACCCTGTCATCATCTGTATCGTCATTTTTTTTTTCTCGTTCCTCATCTCGCAGTGGTCCCCCCAGTTAGGTAGGGTGGGAATGAGAAGAGAGAGATGGGGGGGGGCAGGGGAGCCACTCTTTCTGACCGTTGAGATGGCCCTAGGAAGAATTCACACAAGTCCAGTGCGGTGGATGGCGAGCAATATTGGCCCATTCATCATAGCGGCTCCTCCCACCCGATGCATACAGTATACTCGTCTGTACAGCCATTACATACGCGGCTGGCCAGCGTCCCTGTGATATGCAACGGCTAGTGGGCAACCAAAATGCTACTCTATACGCCCCTTCGCTCTTCTCGCTCCTTCACTCCCTCACACTCCCCCCCTTGTTCGGGTTTACGGTGGGAACATTTGCCTTGAGATAATTTGGTGTTTTTCTTGGGTAAAGAAAAAAAAAAAAAAAAAGCATGGTAGCACAAACAGGTATGGAAATGTACTTTGTAGTGTGCATGTGGGCTACGCTACCGAGTTCAGTTGGTCGGTGGTCAAAAAAAAAAAAAAAAAAAAAAGGGCGAAGGGGGCACGCAGCGATCTGGCACGGCTACCATTGCGAGGCTTTTCGGGTCTGAGCTAGTGGTATATGTTGGTATCAGATGGAAAAGAAAGAAAAAAAAGAGAGACATGTAAAAATTTCAGCGCTTCTATTCGTCGACAATACGAGCAGTCGAGAAGGCAAAAAAAAAAAAAAAAAAAAAAAAAAAAAAAAGAAAGAAAGAAAAAACATGCTCTTTCGCTTGCTTTTCCTTTCCAGAGCAAACAGCGAGTGGGGGCCGACACCAGGCATTCTCTCTTCTCCCCTCCCCCTGTACATTCCTCCTCAGAAAGCAGCGTCGCAGTGGTATACGTTCTTGGGCATTATGACATAGCACTTCACGTCTAGACTCCTTTTCCGGTTTTCTGTCTATCCTCGGCAAAGAGAGAGAAAGAGAGAAAAAAGAGCGGGCCATGGCCGACGATTGGGTCCGTTGGCGTGCTCGGCACCTGCAAGCTGGCCCAGAAAGGCGTGCGACGGCCATCAAAACAGAAAAAGGGCCTCATTTATCTTGTTTCCCGCCAGCCCCCTAAACTACCGGTATAGCGGGGAGGATTATAGCCCAGGCGGGCCTTTTCATCAAACGGTTTTTTTCTTTCTTGTTCCCCTTCTTGCCTTGTTCCGTCGTTGATGAATTTTTTATTTTATTTTATTTTATTTTTTAAGCTAGGGAAATCTCTATCGCTTTTTGCATCGCATCGCATCGCATCGCATAACATCGTATCGCCATCGTGGTTTAGCGTAGCCAGCACCCGCAGTAAACAGGGATCCAAGTACTCCTACTAGTGGTATGCATGAAAATGGTACAAGTAAAAGACCTCCATAGACACAAGAGACGGATAAGGCACCTCGCTCAAAGGGGTTCTTACAAGACATCCACGTCAACAACCATCAGGCAGAAAAGAAGCAAAAATGAAAAACCAAGACAGTGGAAAAGTGCTGCAGTGTAATGAGCCCGAGCAGCAATTACTCAAATCGGCCCCCAAACGCCGCCATATCGGGAGGGGGAGCCCACAGCAGAGCGACAAAGAAGAAAACCAAGCAAAAAGTGAGGGTCCCAAGACTGTTTTTTACGTATACCCCCGCCGAAAAGGGGTGTCAACGCAGTAAAGCCCGAAGCTGTTCGGACGCATGTCCCGAAGCCTTGCGCTCAGCCCTTGACAGATCCGCTGCCGAAGGTGGGGGCGCACTGGCAGGGGGCCGCACGTGATTGGCCGCGGCGGAGCGCACGGGGCAACGGCGTCGAGATTCCCGGTCTTCCTTGCAAGAGAGAAAAAAAAACAGCTTCGAGGTACCTCTGCGATACTGGCGCCTAGGGCCCAATGCAGCTAGAGTGTCTCAGTACCGTTCAGGTAGAGTGTCTCAGTACCGTTCAGGTAGAGCGAGCATGGGGCATGGACGATGACCGCGATTCGAACCCCAGAGATCTGCCTAGTGCCACCACCACCACCGCCTCCCACTACTGTAGCTAAGCTGTATAAGCCACCTCTCCTCTTTTCATCTTTCACGCTGGTGCTACTAACCGTTCTGCTTTTATTTCTCACCTTTTTTTTTTCCCGCGCAGCCTGCAGAAGAACCCGACCAGGCATTTCCAATCCGGAAATATCTTTTCCATCTCCCCCTCCCATCCCCCCAAAAATTGCCCGGTCCGTCCGCCACAATTTCCTAACCGTTTTCCTTCAAAATCGGTCAACGTCTAGAGAGTCCCTTGTCGTCATAGTAGCAGCATCATTATCCAAAGGCAGCAATTTCAGAAATCCAATGATTCATCTAGACTAAACACGCCCCCCCCTTTTTCTTGTATTTCAATTTTCAGCGATTGAGGCTCGCCCGTCGGTAATCCCCCATCAAAACAGTGGTCGTAATCCTCGATGGGTCCAGCTGAGCTTCGCACCCCCCTGCCACCCGCTGCCACTTCAACGTTGCTTACCAGCGGTAGGTACCTGCTGTACTTGGACCTCCGTCAAATGAAAATGCTCGCATCAAAACAAAACAGACACAATCAAACCTTAATAACCATAAAACTGACCCGAAATTTCCCTGTCGCAACTCCCATCCCATGCTACCGTTTTACGTCTTGGCCCCGTGCTTTAATCTGGCCTCTGCGTTGTGATAATCCTTGCTGCCGCGGCTTCTATCATGTCTTCCACGGCCTCCGTGTTTCAAGCGTCTCCGCAGCGCCCCGAAATCTTCGTATAGCAACGCCGGTAGCCTATACGGAGTACGTGTATGTAGGTACGGTAAAATAGTCCAGTTTTAGTGCCGACCTCAGCTCTCTTCCTCCCGCCACTCCTTTCCGTTTTCTGTCGTCTTAGTTTGGCAGGTCGATGGGCAGGATTTCTCGGAAAGCTGGCATCCGAACGGAATGCATGTGCGGGAGTAACGTGCGCAACCTACACTACCCTATTAACCTTGGGCTTCCACCCCCAAAAAAAAGAAACCAACCAACAACAATAACAGGGGTGGTGGGGAATAAAACGAAACGAAACGAAAAAAAAAAAAAAAAAACGCTCTCAGGCGATCCAAAGGAGGATTAAGTTTCCATCCCGTTTGCTTGCCCCTCTGACATGCTGCACGTCCCAATTGCTCCCTAGCTCTAACACCACCAACGTCATTCCACCTGTTTGCCGTGCAGTCCCAGCCAGCACTGGCGATTTGTGCCCATAGCTCTGGGGCGCGGGAAACGACGCCCAGCTTGTCACGACGAACAGCCAACAGGACGCTCAACCAACCAGCTTTTGTGAGGTGCATGTATACAGCCAAGTGGGCTCAGCTCAGCTCAGCTCAGCTCTGCATTGTACAGCACAGTACAGCACACATAGCAAAGCACAGTTCATCATCAATCATCGCATGTGCTTCCCCGAGCATGGAGTCTCATTAGCAGCACTAAATGAAAGGGCTGGCGGTCCCCCATCAATCTATACCGGTATCCTGCGGAACCAGCCGTCCTCCCAGGTTCTTTTGTCTGCCGGAAAGCCACCCGACGCAAAAATACCTGGAGTACTACTAGCTGCAGTGGCTTGATACGGATACAGACTGCGGCGCGGTACCCAGCAAAAAAGCCCCGGGCATCCAGCGTTAGTGGTTTGCGGTATAGTGAAACGAGACCGCCTTCTTATACGCTATTACTATTAAAAACTAATCGCAACCTCCACCCAAATCTCGCGGGTCTCGCTTTTATGCCTTTTCGCGAACCTGCTGTCCTGCGTCTTACTTTTTCCTCTCTTGTTTTCCCTTGCTCGTGCGTTGCACTTTTCAGGGGATCCCAGGAGCCTGGAACGACCGGACCGTGGCCAACACATTCGCGTATATGCGAGTAACTCCCAGTTTAGAACTGAGCACAGGTCGATTCATGATCCTCCAAACATACCCTGCAGTACATAGTATGCTCCTTACTTGCGCTAGTCCCATCTGGCCAGCAGCATCGCAACATTCTTTCGCTTATCTAATCTCTCCGAGTTGAAACCTTTTTTTCCCCTTCGGAAGCCGGTATATTCGATCGCTGGCTGTCGCTTGCCAAAACCGAAAAAAAAGCCACACCAGCCACACCCGCGCTTCTTTTTTTCCTTCTCTGCTAACGCTGTATGGTATCACCCATCGCCATCACCCCCCAATATATATCAATCTGACATATGACAATCTTAATTTTGTGCACGCCAAGATCCTACAGCAAGCGCCATCGCCATCTGGTCTTAACCGTTCTCTTAACCCCTGAACTAACTACGGTTCTAGCTATGAAAAATTGGCCAGTTGGTTAGAGCTCTAGTATGGTGACGGGTGAAAAGGCAAGTTATTGCGAGACTAGAATCCAGCTTGTGGCAGCCAAAAGAAAAGACCTCGCCTCCCCCCCCGAGACTGCTTAAAACAAAAGCATGCTGGCATATTTTCCCAGATCGGTTTAAAATTGTAGATAAACACACGTCCATCATTCTTCCCGTCCCCGCCCCATCTTGGCCAAGCTTTTTCTTCTACGCCCCAGTAGTAGGTATTTTCCCTTCTTTCTGTTCCATTCGCTTAACCGGTTATACATGAGCATTGGTCGTGGGTCTTCCCTGCGGCCGAGAATTTCTCCTTCCTATCTAGTATCGCTGTTGAATGCCTGGGTATAACGCGACTCGGAATTAGTCCGATGCTTATTGCTATATAATACCTAGCAAATGGGTACATTAAAGACCCCTATACAGGACGTATAGCGTAATTGAAACTTATTGCTCATCTCACCCGCTCACCTTACCGTCAACATGGTAAGGCATAGGCCTACTTCCAAACGAGGAGAGAACAGGAGTGGTAAGACAGAGAGACGCCATATTCCATCTTTCCATTTTGCGTTTCGCGTTTTCAAAAGTTTCATTTCTATATGTGTTCCGTGGTTCTAGGAATGAAAGAAGAGGACAACAGATCTTAGTGTTACATGAATATATAGAGGCACATGTATAGTATTGTTACAATGTCGAAAGACTTGCTCTTCAAGTCCTCTCAACATGGCCCGACCTGGCCACACTGTTCGCAAACAAGTCGCGGCATCTCACCTTGCTCTCCAATCTCGCGCACAGCAGGAAAGCACCACTCAATTTCCGGTGCAGACTATACGTCTCTTCCGGCGGCGGAGCCAATCGCTCGTGAAGCATGACCGGGATGAGTGCCTTCACTCGCTCTGTGATGGTCTGGTCCTTGAAGTCGTAAACTTCTGGGGCTGAGTCTAGGAACGGCTCCGCCAGCGTAAGCACAGATTGGATGTGAGCGTCCAGCATCGTCCTGCTCTCGTGGCCTGTCAGGTAGCCCAAACCCTCCGAATACTTCTTCACGCCCTCTCGATCAGACCGCGATGCAGACTCGAGCAGCCGCACGTACTGCGAGATGAATTCTTCCGGAAACTCCCGAGAAGCGCCAAAGTCGAGGAGCTCAAGCTTGTTAGTTGCGGCGTTGTAGAGAAAGTTGGTCCAATTGGGGTCCGTCTGCATAAACTTGAACTCTGTAATCTCCCGTAAGCAGAGCCGAAGAATCTGCGTACCGATCCAATCACGCTGCTCCTGAGTAAACGAGTGAACCCTTGTTACACCAATGCCGTCGAGAAAGTCCATGGTCAGGACTTGTTTGCCAGAAGCTTCTGGGTACACGTCCGGGGCTTCGAAAACGTCTTCTTCGCCTTGGAGGAGCTGCTTGTAGCGCTTGGCACATTCCGCCTCGCGTAGATAGTCGCATTCCCATCCCAGCTCCAACCTAGCATTGTCAATAGTCTTGTTTAAATAGAGGCCCTTGGGGAGTAGTTTGGTGGCTGTGAGCAAGATGCCAAGATTATCCAGATCAGAGTTGATGGAATCTGCCACGCCAGGAAACTGAATCTTGACCGCCACTCGCTTTCCGTTTGATTTGAGGACGGCTTTGTGTACTTGGCCTATTGACGCGGCGGCAATTGGCTTTTCCTCAAATTCGCTGAATAGGTCTCGCCACTCAGACCCAAGATTGCTAGCTAGAACCCGGTCCCGCTGCCATGCCGGCATGTAGTCAGCTCGGTCCTGAACCCGTTGGAGCACTTCCTGGAGAGGGGCCGGCAGCATTTTCGAATCCTGGAAGCTCATCATTTGGCCTAGCTTCAACGCAGCGCCCCTCATGCGAGATAGTTTTGCAACCAATCTCTCCATGTTCCCGCCGCTGAGCAGCACGGATCCTTCACCACCGCCTCCAAAGGCCCTGCTCATGCTCTCTGTTACGGCTCCGCCCAGCATTCCGGCTGCGAGGCCGCCATAGTTTAGTATTCGACTAAATCGGGTGGCCGGTACTTTTGATTCTCGTAGTTGATAAGTGTGCACGTCTGCGTGTGGAATTTCAGGAAGAACTGATGCTTTCACAGTTTCAACCATTTCCTGATCCATCTTGCTAGCGTCTAAACGCTCCTTTTCGATAGAAACGGACTCCGTCACGGGCTGCGGTTCAGGTGGCGTACTATTTGACCCTGATACTGCAGAATCTAAAGAGTCTGGTTGCTGTACATCCGGCTGCTGAGACTTGCGCTCAGTATCTTCAATATTGCTATTCTTGGCTTCAGGAGCGGCTGCAGGCGTAGAAACTGAAGCATCAATAGACTCAACGGGAGGAGGAGGAGATGGCGGCCAATGTCGCAGGGGATGCTCCTTCGCGGCACCATCAGAAGCAGCCTTTGTCTGGCTCTCTGCTGTCCTTCTCTGCTTGCGCAGTGAATCCAAGATCTGAGAGCCTCGTGTAGTATGGAAGATGTTGACATCAACGCCTTCCGGTGCGCCCAATTCCGTATTGAGCTCATCCTTGGTTGGTGGAGGGGCAGACGCCTGCTGTAGCCTTTGCCGAACAAAATCGCTGTCTGGTATTGAAGCCTTGAAAATCGATTGCTCGCGGGGCTTGAAGTCCGCAGGCTGTGGCCCTTCAGGAGCCGCTGTAGATGGTGCCGCAGGCTGTGAGTTCTTCCTGCCAGCAGCCTCAGTAGCATTCACAAACTCGTTATTCGTGGCCTCACTGCCACTATCCGACTCCTTTTTCTTCTCCGGCGCTTCTGCCGTCCGCACTGACTCCGCAGCAGCAGCAGCAGCAGCAGCAGCAGAATCCCGATTCCTCAGTATCGCCCCAACACTCGATGTCCTGCTATAGACATCGAGCTGCCGGCCGCGAAGAGCAACATGCTTGGATGCGACAGACCGGGAGGCGCTGAGCACTGCCGCCAGGTCAATCGCAAAATCCACAAAACCCATGTGGAACTGAGCAGCCGCAAATCACCGGGCACGCGTAAAAAAGAGCCAAGAGCTGTTGTATGAAACTGTGAGCTTCAAGCTTCCCATGTGAAAAAGGCAGCTAAGTTTTAGCAGTCGTCAAAATATGCAGTTAAGCGGGGCAGATGCGAGATGCGGGATGTGTATGTCACTGGCAGCTATAGCAGCACCTTCTGAGAAAACTTCATTCTACAGGCAATTATGAGCGTTCTGAATTGTGTTCTAAATTAAACTAATGGATATACAAGTCATATTGATAGTGTATATATATCTCCAAATGTGTACCAAGGCATGGTTTCCTGCGAATTTCCCTGTCCAATAAAACTCCACGCTAATAATATGGGCTCAAAAAAGGGCCTGATTGATATAAAAGAACTGCGCCTTCAAACGTTACATCATTCTTTTCCCAAATTCTTTTCCCAAGAGAATAAGCATATCCAATGCGTAGTCGCATCTCTTCCAAACAAGAATCTCGCTTCCAAACAATGATATGTCTTCTCCAAGCTGGAAGAATAAGGTGTGCATCATGTTGACTTGGGTGGCACTCTGCTGACGCTCTTCAAGAACGAGGTTTTCGGCTTCCTGGGGGTTGCCTGTCCAAAGGAATCTACCGCTCTCCCTCTCATCGGCGTCGCCATCTTGTTCCATAGCCTCTGGGCAGCCGGTGTCAGCCCTCCCGATAATCTCGGGCCGCTAGTGAATCTCGGCGTCTCCATCTTGGCAGCTTTTCCCGTGAATCCGTTTCGTTGAGAATCGCTTTTGGATTTGGATATTCGATCCACCATTTGTTCATGAAGAACCTCTCGCTTCCTCTGGTCTTGTATCTTAAAGGGGTTGTTTGCGTCTCCAGGCCCAAGATTGATCGGTGCTGGAAGGCGTGCAGATGCAGCTTCATTATCGTCGTCTTCATCATCCACAAAGGCGTAGCCATTCACGCGAGGAGTTTCACCACCTCCGATAATACTGGAGTCGGCGTCGTGTCGTCGCGGCCTGCCTGCAATCGCATCACGAACCGACGACATGGTTGGTGACGGGGGCCGCTGTGGCATATGCGGTTGCGGCATCCGCGTGTTCTCATAGCTGATCGACCTTGGCGCCATGCGAGACAGCTCCTCCGTGCTTTCAGCAACGGTTTTGACGCCATCTTCTAGGCCTTCTGGCTGGAACATTAGGCCATTCCGAGGGGCGACTTTCCAAGAATCTGGCTGCGCAAGTCGTTCATCGTTGTCTTTAATAGCCAACCGGTCTCTCTTGAACCCGTCATCGACAAGACTTCGCGTCTGTTCCAGTCTATCTGTGACCTCTTTCTGTTTGATCATCTGCTTAGAAGGAAGCTTGTTGCCGCGCCAAAGCCAGGCGTACTTATCAGCCTTCTTCTGGTTTTGCTTGTCGATCAACTTGTAGAAGCTTTCATTATCCTCGCTGGTGTAGGTGGCCTGGAATTTGGATAGGCTTAGATTAAAGTCCGGCCGCTGCTTGACTTGTGCAACGCTTGTTGCCACAGAGGCTGGCGTGTCGCCCACAAAGCTGGTAGGAGTCCTGCTGCCGTTTGTGGCATTGAGTGATGGCGCTGAGGTTGATTTTCGTCCAGGCGTCATGACGTGGCGAAGCCTCTGGCTGGCGCTTGATATCCAGGCAGCGTCTTTCGATTCCATGGCGTCCAGGTACTCCTGCTGGATCTGCGTCTCCAATAGGCCCGGGAAGAAGTCTCTTGCGATGATCTGAGAGAGCGCCTCGGTGTAAGTGTCCTCATCCAGCACCTTCCTGGGTCTTTTGATCTTCTTTGCGCGAGGCGGAGGCGGCATCAGATCTGTGTCGGTCCTCTTGCGCACCAGGGCGTTCGAGGACCCGGCCGCGGAATCCATCGCCGGCCGTGAAACGAGTAGAATCTGCGACTCTGTCTGCTGTTTTCTAGACGTGTCTGTGCCTTTAAAACTTCCTCTCTCTTTTTCCTTTGATGTAATCAGTCGGGGGTCTCCTTGCTTTGATAATGCAAGAGTTGAAACCAGTCCAAAGCGAGTGGTCCAAATCACGGGCAGAGCCGCTTTGTACTAGGCCGTTGGAAGAAGTACTCCGGGCTGCTACCGGCGCAGTAGCAGGGCTCGATGTCACTCGCCCCACTCGCCACCACCTCTATGTACTTGAGGCTGCATTGTTGCATCTATCCGAGGCCAATGTCCAGACGCTGCCAAAGCCACAGCCTTAGCCTTAGGGCTGCCGCGCCTGGGAACACGCCGTTAGCAGGCGCTGGAGATATCCACAGGGCACATGGCAGCGGCAAAAGCACAGGCTTGCAGGGGAGACGAGCCTATAAAACTAGCCTGCTTTTCTCCTCATCTGGACTCCATCTCTTCTAGCCCAATCCAGCGGTTTCGGCAATCCACTTCTGTTTTATCGGATTCTCTTTTAGGTGGTTTTGGGCACTATTGCGAAAAGTCCAACCCGTTCGTTTTGTCTCGGATCTTTCTCTACCTGAAGGCGCTGTGATTGACGTTGGCCGGCCGAAGAGAAGGAGCTGACTGGCATTTTATACACGACATCTGTCGCAAATTCCCCGACTCTCAGCCCTGCGAACCTCCCCCACCAAAGCCTAGCGCACGCGATATCATATAATCCCGGCATAATATATTTCTTGTCTCTCTGCGTGCTTCAGTCCCAGGCATCCCGCTTCACAATGTCGCAATCAGCCGTCGACCTCAAGAACCAGGGAAACAAGGCGTTCGCCGCTGGAGATTGGCCTACGGCGATCAGCTTCTATGACAAGGCCATCGAGGCAGACCCTACCGAGCCCACATTCTTTACCAACAGAGCCCAGGTGCGTGACAACCCATCTTGGCCCGCTCTCTGGAACTACATGGCTAACTGGCTGCGATCTTACCTTGTAGGCATATATCAAGACTGAAGCATACGGATATGCCATCGCCGACGCCACCAAGGCGATCGAGCTCAACCCGAAGCTGATCAAGGTACAAGCCCGCGAATACCACATGTGAAAAGAGCTGGGAGGCTAAGAACAATGGTCTTTCGACATCTAGGCATATTTCCGCCGAGGCCTCGCCCGTACTGCGATTTTAAAACCAAAGGACGCCATCGAGGACTTTAAAGAGTGCGTCCGGCTAGATCCCACCAACAAGGATGCGCGACTCAAGCTGGAGGAGTGCAAGAAGATTGTGCGCCAATTAGCCTTCTTCGCCGCCATTGAAATTGGAGATGAGCCCTCGGCTGCTGAAGGGCTTGATTTGGAGTCCATGGCCCTTGAGGAGGGCTACGACGGAGTGGCGCTAGGAAATGAGATGACACAAGAATTCATCGATGACATGATCGAGAGATTCAAGACCGGCAAGCTCCTTGCCAAGAAATACGTCTATCAGATCCTTATTGCCGTCAAGAAAATCGTATATGATGAGGCCACCATGGTGGAGACGGAAGTTCCCGAGGGCGTCGAACTCACCGTTTGTGGTGATACCCACGGTAGGCAAGATTTGGTCAGTTTTACTGTTTAGAGATGCTGACATTTGTCGAATTCAGGCCAGTACTTTGATCTTATGGAGCTGTTCCGACGAAACGGCCACCCGTCAGATAAGCATTGGTACTTGTTCAACGGCGACTTTGTCGACAGAGGATCATGGTCCACCGAAATTGCTCTATTACTCTACGCCTACAAGTGGCTGCGGCCCAAGAACTTCTTCTTGAACAGAGGAAACCACGAGACAGATGATATGAACAAGGTATACGGCTTTGAAGGCGAGTGCAAAGCCAAGTACAATGAGAGGTAAGCATCTCCCTGTCATGACTGAATCCTGAGAAGAAAAAGTATGCTGACAATCTTGCGCACAGAATTTTCAGGTTATTTTCCGAAAGTTTCTCTGCATTGGCCCTGGCGACACTAATTGGATCCAAATATCTGGTTCTCCACGGTGGTCTGTTCTCTGATGACAAGGTCACATTAGATGACATTCGAAAGCTGAACCGACACTCGCAACGCCAACCCGGCCAAGCGGGTTTGATGATGGAGATGTTGTGGACTGATCCTCAGGAGGAGCCTGGCCGGGGGCCCAGCAAGCGAGGAGTGGGCATGCAATTCGGACCAGACGTCACCAAGAGATTTTGCGAGAACAACGGCTTGGAAGCTGTTATTCGAAGTCACGAAGTGCGCATGGATGGCTACGAAGTACAACACGATGGCAAATGCATCACTGGTGCGTCATTTCCTTTTGACTGATTATGTTTGTTCATGTAACGGTAAAGCTAACAGTTGTACTTTTTAGTCTTCTCTGCTCCGAGATACTGTGACTCAACGGAGAACAGGGGCGCTTACATCAACATCGGACCTGATTATAAGCTCCGGTATGAACAGTTTGATGCAGTACCACACCCGAACATTCGGCCGATGGTGAGTTTCCCCCATCCTTCTCTCTCTCTCTTCCCCCCCTCTCTCTCGTTCTTGCAATTATCGCAATTGAGTCTAACATGATCCGCAGGCATATGCCCAAAACTCTCTCATGTCATCTCTAATGTAAAGCCTCTGGATTGCAGGCAAGGCGGAGGAAGGGTGTATATGAACTAGAGGCATATATACACTCCTGCTTCTGGGTATCCAACAGACTATTAAAAACAGTAAAAAGTAAAATGAAGAATACGGCCAGGTAGCGAGGCGGCACTTAGATATACCCTTTGCGGTTAGGTATTTTAGGTTATGCAGCACCAATGCCTCAGTTATTATTCCACAGTTGGTCTTGTCCATCGCTTCCGGCCATCATACCGAGCCAGTCGGAGCACTGTTTGATACGTAAAAGGCGCTTGACGCTTCCATCGCTCGTACCTTTCCAGGCAGTAAGCGCGGCAGCAAACGGGCCAAGGCCATCTCGAGGTACCCGGATCCAGCACCCAGACTCTTCGACTTTTAGTATATCGAGAGAGATTGCAGAACCCGTTATGCCGAGAAATTGGGTCAAAGCCGCTGTGCAATAGGATTTGACTTGAAGATTATCCAGTTCAACGCTCGCATCAGGGGGGTCCGTCAAGAGCTCTAGATGGATGTATGAGAATGATGGTGATTTTATGGTGCATGTGAGGAGCTCGTGAGATTTTTTCAGCCTTGGTTTCTCGATTATTGATCTCTCGGCATCTTGGCTCTTGAAGTCTTCCATATTTTGTGGCGATTAGAGGGAAGAAAATATAGCATTTATAGAGTTTAAAGAGTTGGCTGAATTAATCTGAAGGGTGAAAATCTAGGTTGCGTTTGTTGCATGTTTTTTGGGATAGGTGCATGATTTTGTAGTGCTAGCTTAGGCGCAGCTCTCGAACGTTAGCTGCAGCGCCTTCGACAACAGGGCTGGATATGATATAAAGCACTTGCTATAAATTGCGTATAATTAGGGCGATTTGTCGAATGAGACAGTATATCTTTTCTCAGAATTTCATTTAAATACCTAGGCATTGGCGTTCGAGAACATGACGCTCACTTCTAACCAAGGGTCTCCATGCCCCGGAAGCAATTCCGCACTAGCGCTCCTCGAACGCCTTTCCCTTTCCGCCAAACCAACTCCCATCATCCATCCTCTCAGCCTCGCCAATTCAAGACTCTTTCACCAACCTTCCATTCGCCATCCATCCATCGCCACAGCCATGACCAGCTTCGTCACCCCCGGCCAGCAGCGCTACATGCGGGCCTGCATGGTCTGCTCAATCGTCATGACATACAGCGTAAGCGTTTCCCACAAGGCCCTGACCAACAAACGGGAGTTCAACTTCCACGCTTTCTTTTAGCTGCTTGGCTAACCCAAAGGCCGCGCCCGCCTGCGAATAGCGCTTCCGCGACGAAGGATGTCCCAACTGCGAAGAATTCCTGCACCTCATCGGCTCGCAGGACCAGATCGAGAGCTGCACGTCGCAAGTCTTTGAGGGCCTGATAACGCTGGCCAATCCCGCCAGGTCATGGGTCGCCAAGTGGCAGCGTTTGGACGGCTATGTGCCGGGCGTGTACGCGATCAAGGTTTCGGGCCAGCTCCCCGACGAGATTCGGTCGTCACTGGAGGATGAGTATAGGATACAATACATTCCGTACGTCCATTTCCATCACGGCATACGACGACACCACATGACACGACACGATACTCTTTCAGTAGAGAGGGTGGGAAAGAGAGAGCGAGATGGCTAACTTGATGATTTTAGGAGAGATGGCACGCAGACCGAAGCCGATGCTTAAGCGAGCGAAGATGGATATTTACAGCATAATTTGGCTTACAACAAAGGAAAGGCGAATACGGCGTTTTGGTAATAGAAATGAGTTTGGAAAACCAAGATATAATATCCAAATTGTTGTTTCAGTCATTATGGTATCTATGATAATGCTACACGCAAGCAAAAAATATATCCGTTGCCATGTACAATATATAATCGCTCTATCAAACGTAAAGGGAGAAAAAAACGCCGTCCAATATTCGCCATAAGCGAAATGCACCATGCCCGTTATTAATGATTTCTTTGCTTTTTGCCACTAGGCATCCCAAAACCGACCGAACCGCTTGGCCTTTTCCTTTCCATTTCCTCTTTCATAATCCTCTCGGCTTCGCTCATCTTCTTGGGCTGCTGTATTAGAGATGCCTTCTTCGACCCTGAAGCTAACGCGTTCTTCTTTGCTAGGGCAAACACGTTTTTTGTCTGTGGCTTGTCACCAAGCTTTAATGATATTCCGCCGAAACCCCCTTTGCTCGCGACTGGCTTTGGCTGTTCGTTTGGGGCATCGGAATCTGCTTGCTCGCCCTTGTCGGCTTCTTTTGATCCCTCTGGCTTCTCCTCTGTAGGTTTCCGGGCCTCTTCCGGCTTTGGTTTCGCACCAAACGACAGTTTGATTTTCTCTCCATCCTGCCTTTTGAGTTCCCTACCCTCTTGTTCCTCTTCTGCTTCTCCATCGCGTTTGGCGGCGGCTTGCTCGGCTCGTTTGATTTGTTCCCGAATCATGCGCTGCTCGATTTCTTCGTCCCCTTGGTCCTGGGCTTCTTTCCTTCTCAAAGCCTCCGATCGCCGTAGGGCGTCAGGGGAGTTGTCGATCCAGCTGATGTGAAATCCCTTCTCGTTCTCTTCCACCCGACACATTCCCTCTCTCCCCAGATGTTTGGCAAACTCGGTCAGCGACGGCCATTTCGTCGCGTTCATGTGAATGTGTTCCTTATTGGCAATGTATTCTTGGTAAAACTGGTTAATCTGCACCTGTTTCTCTCCGTGGCCCGTCTTCAACAGCTGCAGGAAATCCTTGAGGAACTCGTCGCTGTACTGGTTGATGTACTTTTTCGGATCCTCGCCGACGACGAGCATTTGGCGCACATGGCCTTCGGACTGGGTATGCATCTTGAATCCATTGGCGTCGCGGCACTGCTTTTCGCAGACTTGGCAGTACCATCTTAGACGCTGGAGACCCTTTGACTTGAGCCTGTTGCTCAAGTGTTTGGTCGAGCCAACCTCGGCTTTGGGCATATTGGAATCTTGGCGAGGAGCCTACTGCACTCGATGAATTGGAAGTCCGAGTCGTAATCGGCTGCTTGAGCTCTTCGCGTTTCGTTAATGTGATTCGACTGCAAGAAGACCAAAAAGTCATGGAAGGGTGTGATGAGTGACGGTAGTTATCGCTAGCGCTCAGCCTTGCAGGGAAATAGAAAGCTAAATCTTATCGCCCCATTATGAATCTGTTGCCGAGAATTTGCCGACTATATTACCTCAGCCTCATGACGGTCAACAATAATTCTAATGATGCGAGCTAGCGCTAGCAGCATCTACATCAACTCAACGCCTCTCAAGATTCTTCACACTTGCCACTCTATTCCTCTCTTTAACATCTTCTTTGGCAACTAGAACTGTTCAAAAAGCCACGGCAATCTCTCTGATTCTATTTCACAATGTCTGAGCGTAAAGTCCTTCAGGTATGTACTCAATCATTGTGGCAAGCATCCATCAAATCATCATAGGCTGACCTTTCGAAAGAAATACTACCCCCCAGACTTCGATCCCAATGACATCAGTCGCCGTCGAGGGCCCAAAGCCGCCGGGCCGCGAATTCAAACCGTCCGACTCATGGCTCCTTTCTCCATGAAGTGTTTGAGCTGTGGTGAATACATCTACAAGGGTCGCAAATTCAACTCTCGCAAAGAGATTCGACCAGACGAAAAATATCTAGGCATTCAGATCCTCTTCTTCCATATCAAATGCACAAGATGTAGCGCCGAAATCACGTTCCGAACCGATCCTCGAAACACAGACTATGCGATGGTTAAAGGCGCCATGCGATCATTCGAACCCTGGAGAAATCGAGAATTAGCTGAGGAGTCGGTAGAGGAAAGGCTGGATAGGCTAGAGCGAGAGGAAGCGGACGCTGCCGGAGAGGAAGAGAAGAATGCCATGGAGGATCTTGAAGCGAAGAACGCCGATGCTAGACGCGAAATGGCAGCAGCGGATGCCCTCGATGAAATAAGGCAAAGAAACGCAAGGATACATCGATCTGAAAAGGAAGGGACCGACTTTGCGGACACTATCGTTCGTTCTGAAGACGAGGAGCGGGAACGGCAAGAGAGAGAGGACGACGAAGCCGCCAAGGCGGCTTTTGCGGCAGCTAAACGATTAGGCAACTCTACTCTTGATAGCATAGGCGAGGCGGAAGAGACGGCTGTTGAAGTCGCTGAACCTCCCACCCTAACCAATGGCGACAACACGGCAGAGAAGGCAGCATCGCCATTAGAGGCGAGCACGGCAAAAACCTCAATGCCCGCCCCGTCACAGCCGCCATCTTTCAAGAGAGTGGTGAAGAAAAAGAAAGACCATGCCGCATTGCTTGGTATAAAAAAGAAGCCTTCTCTAGTATAAGGACCAAAAGGGCTTGTTTGAAGTGTAAGGGGTTACGGTGCTCATTGTGTGTTTTGGAAATAATGGCTTATGGAAATTTTATTACATGTTAATGTTGATTTACTTTACGACGATATGAATATGGGCGATATCAATACCAATAAGAAAGAATTACATCTAATCGTTGCTTTTTACTTGCATCATATTACTTTTTATGTCCAACATACACTGTCATATGGTGTGAATACTAGATAGACTAGAATTGTGTTGTAAATTTGAGTAAACATTTCAAGGATATTGGGACCCAAATTAATCCCAACATGCTTCAGCTGCTATTATCATGTACATAGGCCATATAGCCTGGCAGCTCTTCTTGCCCCCCTTATATATACACGGAGTCAAACCCTCCAAAAGAAACCCTGCCTATTAGACCTGTTGTAAATCCTCCCAGCGCCATGCGTGTATCATGTAGTCGTAAAAAACAGAAAATGCTATAAACAAAACGGGCGACAGGAACAGTGAGTGGCTCAGGTCGGCTCGTCATCGAAATGACGCGAATGGTGCTTTTTGCTGTGATTGTTGTAGTACAAGTCGTGTTCGGTAGTCGTGTTCGGTTATACGGCTTGCTAGTATGCCAATCTTTGTTGCGAATGAATATCCAAGTCGAGTGGCTTTGAGGCTAGATGCTGTGGCACGCATCTCGCTTCCAGGACACTCGCTTGAAGGCGAGACTCTAGATCGGGGGAGCGGTGCCGTTGGTCATGGATGTGGCGCCGACAGAGGCTCGCGATGAGGTGCTGGAGCCTGAGGAAGACAGGGCACCAAAGGCTTGCATCTGACGTTTTGTGTGGTCGTGGATGAAGCGGGAGTAGCTGGAGATGCTCTGTGGCGGAGAAGGTGTGGGGAGGGAGACGGTGAAGTCTTGTCGGCCGGGCATCATGAGGGATGGTTTGCGGGTTGTGTTGTGGTGATGTTGTAGTTGTGCTTTTTCCAGCAGACGATGATTTGATGGTTTGATGGTTTGATAGCGGTTTTGCTTCTTTGTGAAAGAGAAGAGAGTAGAGAGTTAAATGTCGTCGATAATAGAATGTGTTGCTGGCTGAATGGCGTTATTGCACAGAGTTGCGAGATAAGGCTGAATAATCACACGATGTTGTTGCTTGCTGACTATAGAATGGAACGAGGCAGAGGTGCGGATCTCGGGGTCTTTTATAAATCTCGGGACTAGCATCAGGGCCCTCCAGCCAAGCTTTCTCTTCCCCCTCACTCGAGCCATCCAACATCTGATCCATCCGATACTGGGACACCACTGCGGCACATGCAAGCAAGCACGCATAGCGCTGCTAGTCATTCCAGCATTCTAGGGCTAAGCAGCAGGGCCTAAGGCGACGAGGGGGTTGCTGATCGTCTCCAGGCCGTGACGCTCACAGCCAGCTTTTTCCGCGTGGGTTCTTCCAACTCTCTTCCAACGACGACGCTGCATAGCACGAAACACGCACATACAACGACGCCCACACGGTACTTGCGGTGCTCCCTCCAACTCGCCAATCCAGACGCCGAAGCAGCTGACGGGGGTGGCATCTTGTCCGCCCCAAACAGCGAGCTGATCGGCATCTGAGCAAATCGGCCAGCGGTAGCGCAGGTGGAAATGGCGTAAGTCGACCAGGCCTGTTCCCTGCTCGATCCTCCTCGCCGCACGTCTCTCCTCTTTGGCCACCACCAAAGACGTTGATAGTCGCCCTGGAAGCCGCTTCGGTATTAGAGCCGCTCCACCCCTTACACCCACTCTTCTGCACGAGCTTCGACACCCTCGTTTCTTAGCGGCTGGGGCTGCTGTTTCGTTCAGGGTCCTTGAGGGGCAGCAAGGTCTGTGGATGTCGTTTGGGTTATGGATGCGCAGAAGACGAGTGCTGAGTGCTTTTCAAAGCCGGAAATGGGGGGCCCAGAAAATACGGAGATCGCCCCCTTTGCTCACAGCCTGGAGAAGCTTCTCTTCCCAAGGGGTTTATTTCCCGGTACAAGACTCTGCAGTTCGGAATCGTCATGCTCGTCACTTGGATGTCATACCGACCCTCATTGCCCGCCTTGAAGGCCTCTCTGGCTGGGACTTGGAGGAAGCTGGACTGCGCAGGCTGTGATACCGTCTGCCAGGAATTCGAATTACGGGGCTACCGTTTACTTCTTGCTGCTGGCCTGGGTATGATGACTTTGCTGCTGCGTCTCTATGACTATTACGACGTTGTGCTGTGGAGGTCATACAATACGTAATGGCACACTACCTGCTCTGTTCCAAGTCGGAACGCGCCCGCAATGGCCTTCAGCAAACGAATGGGTACCTTCGACCGTTTGAGGAGGCTGAACCATCCGAGACCCTTCTCTTGTCGTAGCAGCTCAACGGCCATGCAGCAATCGACCAAGCTCGCAGCAATTTGTCTTCATTATTCAGCATCCGTCAATGCTAGAAACTGGGGCTTCCGGATTTCCTCATTTCCTCATTGGCTATTGTTGTTGAAAAATTGCACACTTAGCGCAGCTGGTGTCTACTCCCGCAGATCTCGTTAAGAACGATGATAGACATTTTGGGCCAGAACATCGACCCGCGGGGTCGCCAAATGAGGATGCTTCATGTTGATTGTTTCTACGGATCAAGATCCGGGCAGAAACGATCCGAGCTAACCCTCCCCAATGCATCAAAGCTCGAAGGCCAAGTGCCTGAGTCGTGCCACTTGGTGTTTATCCATTGCCCTTGGCTTTACGAGATGCACGCGTATTTCAAAGCTTCATCAAACTCAATTACTGCCCGTACATTGAGATTGAGCCACGAGTCGAGATCAAGCGGCGCCTCTAGAGCCCGCTTAATTCTTAAAAAACAGTTTATTCCTCGCCATTTCGAAACGACGGCCGAAGCCTCTACCCGCCTGTCCTGTCCTTGTCCGACTTGCCCTCTCCATTCGCCGTCCACCATGCCAGCCTGGATGAAGTCACAAAAGCTGGAGGAGGGAAACGGTACAGCCAATGCCTTGGTGACGACGGTGGTTGTACTGTAGGGCTGGCTGGTATGGACATTGCCATTAGCGGACATGTCGCCAAAAACAGGGTCTGGATGAATGATCGGCACACAAAATACTAGCGGACGCCTGCAGCAACGCGGCCAGATTCGCGCATTTGGTGGCTGCTCATATTGCGATGAGGTGTGCACATATTTGACCGTCCCGTGATGTCACACGATACCCACCATGAAAACGGTGGCGGCAGTCCAGTTTCCAAAACGCTGCAGGATACGGCGACGTTTTCGCCTCTTCCGTCACGAGGCCCACATAACAGTGTCGACGGCCTAACAGCATCGAGATGGCACGACCATATCAAACGTTGCTCATTATATCATGATACTGTGGGCCTGGAGGCAAGGCAGAACAGATTGATTGTATTTGCCTCTGATGGACAGCATGCCCAGACAACAGCCAGATGGCGCTGTCTCTGCCGGACGGAGTGAGGAAGCGATAGGTGGTGAGCATTTTGTCATTGGCTCCACCGCAACCTGGCTCAAGGTTCCTGCGTCACACGCCTGGGATCGACATCCACGCAACCAGGGCTTCGAAAGGCTTCTCTCTGCCAAGCGAACCAAGCTTTTTTCATCATCACATCCGTCATTTCACCGAGTTGGACGGAGCCACCACCCCATGTTTTACCTCTTGAGGCTACGTTCTTACAGAAGTTGCACGGCACCATCCGTGAGTTTGAATTTTACTTCTGCCTGCTATACCTACGCGTATTGGGCAGAGCCAACCAGAGTTGCTCGATCCGCAAAGTCCATGGTTGTTCGCCCAGATCGTGTGTGGCATATCCACCAGCCTGGTCTTTCTACACCTTGCTATTCCACACCCCACCCCTGACCGTTCGCTTCCATTTCGCTGTGATAGAGTATAGTGAGATCGATCGAGTGGCCACTCACTGGCCTGAAATGTTGCACTCTGCTAGTTGCAATCATGGTCAAACTTGGCTTCAGCCAGAGCCGCACCTTATTCAACCCCCTGTCAATATTTGGAAAGCGGGAATGATTTCATCACTCTTGAGTGTCAATTATACAACGATATCGAGAGCAGCAGAATTGTGATCATTTCTCATATTCAGCCATCTTCAAGTCTGGGAAATTAGCTTGTCTTGAACTTTCTGTGCAGCGACAAAAGAGGCAACATTCCTAGAAGAACGGTATTACGTAGCGATATAAAGTGGAGAGCGATGGACGCAACATGCTGCCATTCACGTCATATCGCCTCAATTGGGGTATGGCGCTGCGTGGCCAAGATACCTTCTCGCCGCCATGCAAGAGAATCAATCTACTTCGCAGCTACGCATGGTTTGTGTGTATGAGAGCCTTTTCAGAACATGGACGCATTCTAAGAGGACAAAGTCTCCAGTACGATGATGAAAATGGCGTCGAGACCCTGACACACGAGACTATCCGCCGCACCAGGGGTGTTTGGAATCACGACAGGTGTCAGATCCTTATCTTGTGACGACGAGGCAACTCAATGACTGTTGCTCAGAGATATTACAGTGGTACAACAGGTTTCTGCTGTTTGCTTCTGATTCTCAATATCTTAAAACGAAGAAGCGGCAATCGCCAGGGCGTTAGCTTCAGCTTCGATTTCGGACTGAAGACAGTAGACCGGATATGGGTTGAATCATATGCAAGCTACGGCATACTTTGACTTACTAACATGTTCACCGGTGTGATGGTAGGAAGTGCAATGGTAAAAGGAAATAGGGGTTGTTTAGCAGTCAACTTCAAGGCACCACACCCTGGGGGCACTGGTAGAGTTTGTCGAGTTTGCCGTCGCCGCGATGATCAATGACCTCACAGGATGGGGACATGATATGCCTCGAGCCGCCCCCAAGCGTTGAAATGCTCAGGGTCAGCCAGTGACGCATCTGATTATCTGACACTGGGTAGAGGAGATCTGCGATCCAAGGCGAATTTGGCTGCCACTTTATCCAAACTTAATTCTGGGTATGGGGGCGATGTCGAATTAGGGATGGTGCCTTCTACCGTTCCTGTCGGGTCAATTCATTGCAGCTTCACGTCACTGAAGGCGCACAACCCGTTCACGATGAGACCGAAGCAAAGAGACGCCAAGAAGATCTCTATGAGCATATCTTGTGCGTCATCTCACGCCTGCAGAACTGCAAATAGAGACAGGGGTTAACATACTACTCTCTACTATTGTCATGACTTCATTACGAGGTGTATTTGGGGGTGAGAGGCGAACAGCGCTCCAGCTCTCTAATGACGTCTCGACCTCCTTTCCAGCGAAATCAGTTCCTTCTTCTCCTTGGACGACACCTTCTTTCTCTTCCGCTCAATAGCCTTATCGACCTGACCCTTATTCATGTCGGCATATCTATTCATAAGCAGCTGCTTCTTCTGCTCGCTCTTGCGCAGATAAAAAGGCTGCTTGCCCTGCGCAACAAGTTCCTTCTCCTTCTTCCGGTGCTCCTGAAGCAGCTTAACCTCGTCCTCCTTCTTCTGGCGGGCCTTCTTCTTGGACTCCATAGACAGCAGCTGTCGCTTCAAGTCTTCCTTTGCCGTGACGTCCTTGGTCTTCTTGATCTGCGCCCGCAGGTCTGCCATCTCGCTCTCGCGGTACTCTTCTAGGAAAGCGTAGTTTTTGGCAACCTTTGCCTCGTCTAGTCTGCCCGTCAGGGCTTCGAACCGCGGATCGCGGGCCTTTCGGCGCGGATCGGTGAGGATTTCGCGACGCCTGCTGACGGGCTTCTTGGAGCTCATTTCCTGCGGCGCATGCTTGGAGCTTCGCTTCGATGCATCCTCTCGTCTTGATGACGGTTTCTTCTGTTCTCGTCTTAACGGCTCTTTTGATTTAGCGTTTGTTGGAGCGTCGTCTGACTCGCCATCGGCCTTGTTTTTCTTTTTCTTCGAAGGTAGGCTGGCTGCCGCGCGAGATAATGCGCCGAAAGATATGGACGAGAAGTCGACCTTTGATTCTTCCTCTTCAGGTTCTTCGGACTATTTTGGAATAAAAAGCATCAATACCAGTAGACATGTAGGCACGGAAATGTGTAAAAATTATTTGTCCAGGTAGGAACAGCACATACCTCTGAGCCAGACTCTTGTTCATCCGAGCCTCCATCTTCATCACCACTGTCATCTCCCTCTTCTGACACCTCTTCTCCTAAATCTTCTTCGCTGGCACTCAATTCTGGATCCCATTCTTCCTCTCTTCGCGCGCGTACTCGCCTCTCCAATCCTAATGAGGTGGATTTCCTTTTGGAAGACATGTTTGCGTCAATGTAATGTATAGCACTCTGTAGCTTCTGCCGGAAAGCTGCGATTGTATTGCGAACCAAGTAATTTTTCTGGAGCAGGCGATAAGCAACATTTTAATCTTATCGATATCTACCCCTGTTTACGCCAGCCATTTAGCGGACGATTTTTATGCAAGTAACCCACAAAAACTTCAGCGGGGCACTAGCGATTGCAGATTCAACGCCAAAACCCGAATCGTTCTAGAAGAGAAAAAGGGCATCTCGGACATCCCGCATCGAATAAAAAAAAAAGTATCCGTTTGCAACAAACTCCACGGGCCTTTTGATGCGGCCGCGCAGGATACTCACACAGCTTAGCTGGCTCACCCGCGCTGTGCTATTCCAGACTCGAATACAGCAGCACTCTACCCAACGATTCAACCCTTGGTCTCGCAATCTCTCTTCGCGCGCATCGTCTTGGAAGGCAAAGACATCCAAGTCCCAGGCGGCGGCCCATACCACGCTGCTGCAGCCGCCCATTTTGATTCCTTCGACGGCACACCTTTACACGCCACCGAAGCGCGGCAAGATGATGCCTCAGAGCGTGCAGATCCCGGGGCTGACCCTGATTAACAATCTGGCACCCCATGCCATAGCGCCAACATCAGAAGGCGGCTTCATCAGCGCTGGGTCGGGTCCCAGATCGCAAGGAGCTGCTGCGACGACGACGACGCAAAACCCACCTCTGAGGAAAAAAGAGAACAAAAAGGCAAAGGCGAGAAGATTGTTGGCAGAAGCAGAAGCGCAAGCGCAAGCACCAGCACAAGCAGCCGTGAATCGCAATGGATATGCGCATCCGCCAAACCAGTACGTACAAATCAGCTTTCTTACCTGAGCTCTCGCTCTCTTCCATGCCTCTCCATGGATCAAATCGAGGACTGACAAGTATATCTACAGTGATAACAGGCCCTACAATCCCAATGGCTTCAATCACAACAGCCAAAACAATAACAACTTCATCAACACCAACCACACCATCATGCGAACCCCTCCAACCGGCCCTCGCACCTTCACCAAAGACTCCCCTCGAGACCCCCGCGTCGCCCCAAGCAAAGCCTCCGGCGGCATCCCAAATCCCACACCTCGCTACCTCGCCCAGTCCCAAACGCCCTCATCCTCCCTCCGCCAGCCCCGCCGCATCTTCGTCATCATGGACCTCAACGGCACGCTCCTCTACCGCCCCAACAAGCGCAACCCCTTCAACTTCATCCAGCGGCCCCACGCGCGCGAGTTTCTCGACTACTGCATCGACACCTTCCACGTCGCCATCTGGTCCTCGGCCCGGCCCGAAAACGTCGACAAGATGGTCGCGCAGCTGCTCTCCCCCGCCCAGCGCGCAAAGTGCGTCGTCATCTGGGCCCGCGACCAGCTCAGCCTCTCGCCTGCCGACTACTCCGCCCGCGTCCAGGTCTACAAGCGCCTGACAGCCATCTGGAACGACCCGCGCGTGCTCGCCTCCCACCCGGCTGCGGCCCACGGCCAGCGCTGGGACCAGACAAACACCGTGCTGGTCGACGACTCGATCGAAAAGGGCCGCAGCGAGCCGTACAACATCCTCCAGCTGCCCGAGTTTGAGGGCCTCCACACCGAGCCGCTGGATGTACTTCCGCAAGTTCACGACTATCTCAATACGCTCTGCTATCAGGCCAACATAAGCAGCTACATACGAGACCGTCCTTTCAAGGTTGACCCAAACTATACATTGACGCCACCACAAGATTTTCATATGGGATAGAGACTTCCATATGGGATAGACATCTCCATATGGGACAGATATCTCCATGTGGGATAGAAAGAGATATACGACTAGCTCATCGCATGCCACACCAAATACACAGCGTACACTTTGCTGAAGTCTGGTTGGGCTTCACGTCTTTTAGATAGATAGATTCAGACACGCTCTGAGAATTTTTCTTACCGCTGATTAGAACGGCGAGTAGACAGAGTCTTTTTAGGCTTTGATTTTTTTTTTTTTTAGATACCCCTCATATCTTGTTTTATTCTATTTTCCCTACACACATGCACATTTAATTGAAGAAAAGAAAATAGAAAGAGGAAAGGGGCTGGCACAAGAGTAGCACTGGTATTTTACGGTTTTGAATTTTTAGTCCTGCGCGGTACTGAGCCGCTGCTTTCTTAAAGGACTACGTAGGTATTCGTAAACACACATCCCAAATCATCATTCATTCCCACCAAAATTCTGGTATTTTTTTCCCTACCCATAACCCGTTAACATTTCATTCCTCTCCATCGCCGCTGTCAGCGCTGGTCGTTTATTTGAAGACCTTGCCGTCAGCGTGGGGGTACTCCTTGCCGTTGACGGTGACGGGCTTGTCCCAGGACCACTGAGCCTCAACGTAGGCACGGTCCTCAGGCTTGGAGGGGTCGAGCTTGATGAACTCGTAGCTCTCATAGTCGGGAGCGACGTCGAAGACAGGAACGTACTCCTGGCCTCGGATAACGAAAGCACCCTCGATAACGGAGTCGTTGTTGGCACCGTAGACGGAGGCGCAGCCGAAGAGGTACTTGCGAGAGCCCTCCAGACGGTTGTTGAAGCCGCCAATGAGGTTGTTGGACATGAAAGTCAGGGTAAGCTCATCGTTGTACTTGTAGGCAACCTTCCACAGGGAGTACTCGTCGAACTTGACGTTCTCCCAGAACCACTTGAGGGCATCGGGAGTCTCGCTGTTGGAGTACTGGCGCTTCCACTCATCGAGAGGAAGAGAAGCCTTGGGCAGAGACTCAAGGGGGTGCTTGGCCTTGGGGGCAGCAGCCTCCTCCTCGGGCTCGGCAGCCTTGGGGGCAGCAGCGGGCTTAGGGGCGGCCTTGGCGGCCTCAGGCTTCTTGGGGGCGACGTTGGTCAGGGCAGGGGTATCGAGGAAGGGGAGCTTCTCGGCAACAGCAGAGTAGATGGGCTGGTTGACGATGGTCTCGTACCAACGAGTGACAGCGGGGTGCTGCTGGCGCCACTGCTTGTCGAAGAAGTTCTGGAAGCCGCGGTACAGGAGACCAGCGCTGAAGAGATCAGCGAGGGTGATGCGCTCGCCGACGAGGTAGGTGTGGTGGGTGAGGTGCTCCTCAGCAGCGTCAATGGCGGCACCAGCCTCCTTGGCGGTGTCATCGACAGTCTTCTTGTTGTAGGGCTTGGTGCCGTTCAGGAGGGCAGTCCAAGCACCGAGCTTAGGGGCGACCTCGGTGTTGAAGAATGACATCCATCGCAGGATGGAAGCGTAGCTATTCAAGTTGTTAGGACTGAGTTGAGAGCCATGGTAAGCGGGGAAATGAGTCACTTACTCCTGCTTGGTCTTGCCGAGAAGGGTGGTCTTCTCGTTCTGGGAGGTGACTGTATCATCAAGTTAGCTCGAGTGCCACACATTTTTGACCCTAGAGGTAGAAATTGATGATAAAGGGGATAGAAATGTGTAAGATCAGAAGTTGTCGTTATCAACACAAAGAAAAGTTATAATTTATACAGTTCTTTCAGACAGGGATAACTATAAATATGTTCATCATATGGAAGTGGCTGGCCATATGAGGGCCAGCCAGGTGCGGCAAAAAAAAAAAGCAAGAGGAGGGAAATTGCTGCCTATATTGATCGATATACGTACCGTAGATGGCGATGGCAATGCACTCGCTCAGGGCGAAGCCATCCTCGCCAACAAAGGCAGGGTACTTGCCCAGAGGGTGAGCCTTCTTGTGCTCGGCAGAAGCCTTGCCAGCCTCAACAAGGGAGATGTTGAGGTCGAGACCGTTGGCCTTGGCGACAGCCTTGATGGCGGTGGCACGGGGTTGGTCCTGCAGGACGACAAGAGTGAGCAGCCTGTCACAAGAGAAGACGTTATTCGGATGAGGATGAGAGACTAACGGCGGTGGTGAAGAGAGTTCCGAAAGCCATTTTGACTGATGCTTGACTGGAAAGTTGAAGCTTGAAGAGAGGAAGAGAAGAGGGATGGGGCGACGAAGGAATTTTTTTTTTTAATGAGGGGATGTAGCTCTGCCCCGCGCGGTGGCTGGCGCTGCGGCGGCTACAGGGGCTGCTGTGGCTGGTGCTATGTAACGCTGTGCGTTATCTTCACGTGATTGCATTGGATTTTCGCTGCCACAGTCGAGTGCTGCCATCGACAGTCGAGGTTATCGAACTCGAGGTATCACGACGTGGGAGGACCAGATCGGACGCTGTTTGGATCTACTCAACCCGGCGACGTGAAGCAATGGCGTCAATTGCAAGCGGCCTGCGGCATGCGAGGTGCGCAAGTTCGATTGCGGCGGCACCATGGCGATCATCAATCGTTCCTCGATCAAGCTTCCAGCTTGCAATTCGCTCCATAACCAACGACGCCCAAAAGCCCTCCGGTGCCGACCTCGAAGCCTCTTCCGCTGCTGAATCGGTCTTGATTCCGTATCAGGGCGTGACCCACGCGCGAGTCCTGCCGGCTACTCCGTCATATTTTTCGCGGGAACCTCTCTTCAACGACTTATACATTGGCATCTCCAAACTGCTCACCAAATACAACCACCTACCCACAGTTACCCCCAGCGAGGCGCCGCAGATGCCATGGACGAAGCTGGAGGAGATGCGAGCACAGATGGGAGAGCCCATCAAGTCTTCACATTACGCAAAAGTCATGCGGGTGGCCAAGCGCCTGAACCTCATTGAGCCCAGCCTACGGCCGGCCGAGGTTACGGTTGCGCTGTCGGAGTTTACTAGAGACATCAACCCGTTCTTGAACATGCCGAACCCGATCCAGATCGACAAGTTCGGGCGGGCCGTCGGTGTTGGCAAGAGAAAGGAGTCGACTGCCCGCGCATTCGTTGTGGAGGGTACCGGGGAGGTTCTAGTAAACGGCAAGACACTGAGCGAGGCCTTTGGTCGCGTGCACGACCGTGAAAGCGCAGTCTGGGCTCTCACTGCCACTGAGAGGCTGGACAAATACAACGTCTGGGCCTTGGTCGAGGGAGGCGGTACAACGGGACAGGCCGAGGCCATCACCCTGGCCGTCGCAAAGGCGCTGGTTGCTCACGAGCCAGCATTGAAAACTGCTCTAAGAAAAGGTATGTCATCTGAACTCTCTTTGCTATTTTTGCACCCTGCGTCGGGCATCAATGAGGAAGGCTAACGTTGTATCCGCTCAGCCGGTTGCATCACACGCGACCCCAGGACGGTGGAGAGGAAGAAGCATGGACATGTCAAGGCCCGAAAGATGCCTGCTTGGGTCAAACGATAGAAGCTACACGGACCCAAGTTTTTCTTTTTACGGCGTTTGAAAGCTCGCGTAGGCGAGATTACGCAGGATACTTGCGTAAGAACAAGCCTGAAGGAACGGCTTACCTAGGCATGTTGACAGCGTTACTGTACCATCTACAAAAAAAATGTATTTATAGAACCCTAGACGTTGCTTCTTGGGGCAATTTGGGTTATCTTACATCTTACCCATGCTTGAAGTAGCATATCATAATGAAGTATGACCGGAACAAGCACTGTGCGATGGAGCTGCTCGAAACATTTGAAGGTATCCAAGTGTCACTGATTAAACCCATTCCGTATACGGATATAACATTCAATAGATCATCTTGATCAAATAGCTCAGCTCTCATTCAGCTAGCTCGCTTCTATGCTAATAAAGGAGAGCTGAAAGTAAAAAGAAAAGAAAAGGGTGTATAGTGCGGGCATCAGTACCGCGTTTACGTATCGTATCACTCGTAAGCGAAGGCTCGGCGAATTGACATATCAGCCGCCGCTCACTCAGCTGCACATTGATATTATTAGCAAATGACGACTGCACAACAAAGATTTGATGTTGTCAGTGTTTTGATTTTTTTCGGGTTACTTTTCTGCTCGGTATTTTTTTTTTCGGCTTCGTTCCCTGACATTGGTCCCTTGTCATGGCCGGCCGGGGGGATTCCAAGATGCTGGTAAGGATGGCAAGCTGGAAGTGTTACCCGTGCCAAAAGAGGAAATCGGCGACGTCCGGCAATCTATTTCGTTTTCATCCTGAACCATGTAATTTATCCTGATCCATGTAAGTCGTCCCTGGGATTGCGAGGCTGGCAAGCGGTTCCTGCGACATGGGGCTCTGCATTAAACAATACCGGAGCTTTGTGAATATCCAGCACGCGTTCCGCAAGGCTCTCTTTTTCCCGCATGTACCTGTAGTCTTTGTTGATAAGCTATACTTTGAGGGATGGTGGTCTACGTGCATGTTGCATCATGCGTGCTGGGGCGTGCTATAAAGGGGCGGGAAATTGGGAGAGAGTTCCTAGTACGAGATATTGAACAGGGATCTCACAACGCACCTTGGACTGACCAGGCTACGTGCTCGCCTCGTTTCTGTAAGTGGCAATGATCAAGCCAATCTGCCGGGTTCGGCCCTTGGCCGAGCAAGATCAGCTCAATACAATATAATCTCGGCTCAGGTTCGCTACATTTGCCATTCTCGGGACATCATGTCCATTTGCTGGAGCTTTGGTGACGGCCAGCTCTGTTCTTAGCCACTAATGACGTAGAATCACACCCCAATATTGGCAGATGCGGCTGAGGCTGCGCGAAGCCTGCTGTGCCAAGTATATTGGTGCCCTTCCAGGGTAGTTGGCAGAAGGGAGGTCAGGCGTCCAATAAGGTCGTATAATTTACCTAAGGGTGACGCGGGAGGAATTGGTTTTTGCCAATAGCAAGAAAGCATGTCACATTGAGTACTTATGCCAGCATGTACCGGTCACCAGGCAAGTTACATCCGCCCAAGCGAAAAGCGCCAACAGTGATTCTCGTGAGTAGCGTAGTCCACTACTAGCAACATTATCATGTCATGAATGGTTCAGTGAGCTCGCCTCACTCTACACCCCGCCCTTTTACTTCGCTAAGAATCGAGTCGAAGTGGGATAGGGCGGCAAGCAGTGCTATTGGCAGTTGACATGGTCGATGATCGGCGCTTGTTTTGGTCGCCCTGTCAGTATCTCTTCTGCGGCAAGCCATGTCGTAAACCCGGCTGAGGCCAGGCCTGACTTATCAAAGTCGAAACTCTAGACGCAGGGGAGCGGCTTGATGTGTACTATACGGAGCATAGACGGCTGGGGTAAAACACGACCAGGTTCTTGACTAGCACCAGAGCTGCCCGTTCCCCACAGAGCAGCTGAATGTCGGGCATTAGCCTGACGTGCCAGGCTTGCCCACATATGCGAGCTCTCTTCCGTTCTTCATCCCAACAGCCACCAGGGCACATGCCTGTACGGGTATGTAGGCTAGATGGCGGCACCAGATCCGCGGATAGTCTTTATTTACGGTACGTCAAACGGCGTACGGAGGCTAGATGGAATCATTAGCCTGTGCTACTTGGCAGATGCATATGTTCCGCCAGGCTGGCTGCGCCTTGCAAATACTTGCCTGGTGGAATAGTAATGCCCACCACTAGTACTGTCACTCCTTTACACTCTCCGGATGTAACCCCGTAGTGGCGCTCCGTATTAGCAGCACTACTATGTAGCAGTGGCAGTGGCAGTAGCAGAAGCAGCAGTGACGCTCCATAGCAGAGGTAACATCCCTCCAGGATTGGATAGGCATAAAAAGAAGACGTAGCCGTTTCAGACGGCAGATGCGGGCCTGTGAGACATCAGGCCACTCCTCCGGACTCCTCCGACCAGGAATAGCAGCGGCTCCAGTCCGTAATTCATGCGTCCACGGACGGCAGGCGCCTCGTCCTCACGATATCTCGTTTTTTGGTGCCTTTTGATTAGTAGTAAATCCCAAGTACCGTTGCTATTATTAACCGAAACAGGTGCTGCTGCTGACGAATGTTGTGGCGGTTGTACATAGATTGAGGTTGAGGAGATATCGATGCCCTGCTCATTTCCGTTAGCGGGCTTGCCCAATAGTTTCGTGCCTGTGTAAAGTGTACTGTACGACCTGTCTTCCAAATCGCCAGATCTGCCTCAGCACTGACTCTTCTGAAAGACGCTACTTGTTTTTTTCAGCAGCACATGGATCACGGCTATTAAGAAAAAAATTATTCTTAGGTGCCACGCTACGCAAAGCCGCGCCATCTCCACACGCGCTTTCGACCCTCTCAGTGGCTGCTTGTCGATGGAGTCGCTGTGGAGGACTGAGACCTTTGGCCTTTAGCACGGCCCTAGCGAGGTGCATTTTGCCTGTATTTGCTTGCTGCGAGCCCGCAGATTGGCTGCCCTGGACCTGCGTGCAGCATGCGCTATCCAGCTAAAAAGCACGTTACTGTGGACTTTGATGCACGCTGCACATGGCCTCCCGCAGGGCCTCCACTCTGCGATCGAAGGTGCGTCTGTCCCCTGTAAGATGGCGAGTGGAATGGCTGAGGTTGAAAAGAAGCAAAGGAAAAGAGAAACGGAAGAAAGAAAGAGAGTAGAGAGTAGAGAGTAGAGAATAGACGGTGAATGATGCCATAAATCCGGGCCCAAACCAGAGTCAGATAAGCTGCCTTACCTATCTCTATACCGAATGCAAACGCCAAGTTTAAGCACCCCTGGCTCCTGCCTTGGAACACCAGCGGAAAGTGCGCTCTAAATCCTGACGTTTGAGGCCCGTAAGAGTACTGCGCAAATACACTGCGTCAAGTGGTATTGACACTGCTAGCACATGTACTGCTTGAGTACCCAGGGAGTACCTTCAAGTATTTGTGTTTCCGCTTGAGCTTGAGCTTGTGCTTGTTGCCCAATTCCAAATATGGAGGTGCACGTCAGGCACAAATCCATCTTCTACGCTGTTGGGGGCCGTTTTCTTCAACTTCAACTCCTTCACCCTCCCTCCTCTTGTCGCCCATTCGACCCAGCTCTAGGCCCAGCTTCGTCCACAGCGCTCGCCCAACTGTCAAAGCCCCTGCAGGTGGCTTGGCTTGTCCGACGGGCGTGTCGATTTTCGGGGGTGTGTGCCTTCACCAAGCGGTCCAGACTAGAGCAGCCGAGTTCAACATCCCTTTTGCTTCGTCCAGCTGGGGTCCTAGTGGGTGGCACGCGTGAAACAGATCAGGTATCTTGTCCTGTGATTTGCCCTTGCGTTCGGTATCTTTCGACCGTGGCTGAGACACACAGGTGCCCTCGCCAAAAAGGAAACAGAAAATGGACCATTCCTCATTTCGAGCGCATTGTGCATCGCGCCCAGTTGGGACGACCCGGGTTGTCGGGACGCTGTTTGGCGGACTGGGATCTTCTGCGACAACCCTAATGCCTGACCACTGGACGGGGGGTTTCCCCGTTGACTGACAGGCTGCGGTTTTGATCGATGGACGGCCGGAACAGCCTGTTGGAAAACAATTTTCGTGTGGGCATTGAAACTTCGGTCATCCCCGTGTAGTGGACTAATTGTGCAAACAGGCCATTCGCTGCCAAGCTGCTGGGGCCTGACTAGCCACGGCAAAACAGCCGGCACACAAGCGCCGTCATACAGAGGCTTTTGCTAACTACAGTCTGGTCTGACTGGCACAATGAGCAGTTTCCGCGGCTTACCACCGAGTCCCATTCCACTTAAAGAGAGAAGCGATGAAATTACACGTAGTCTATTGGGGAAACATCGGCTGGAAAACACAGAAGAGGAAGAAAAAAAAAATCCCTGTTTGATGTGGGTTACGCGTCATTATTCCGCGATATTTTGCTGCAGATGATCCAGTTTCTTATCCAAGGGCAGCAAGACGGCCGGGAGTCTCAAACGCTCTCATTCATGCAAATGCCCTCTATGGTTTCTCCTACACGTCTGTGGCGCGTTTCTGATTTTCACCCTGCTTGCAATGCGCCTTCATTCGCAATATGGTAGAGCGGCTACCTGTACATTGAAGTAACCAAAGTGTTACATTGGCCAGCATTTTCCCCTGGCAATTGACCTCTCAACGCACGCAAGTGGACGAAGGATACCCATTCCAGCTGTGGCTTGCGTTACAAAGCAGCAGCCTCTACATGGGCACGCGAGATGCGTTCCAACAGACGGCGCTTTATGCCCAAAGGACTGGAATGAAGCCTCGTTGACAGAACTTCTGTTAGCCAAAGGCGAGAAACCGGCTCATGGTGCCAAGCCCAATCCATCGCCGTGCCCACCTACTAAGTCAAGATGCGAATCCACTTTGTTTCGTGTCTGTGGTCTTTGGCGGAGAACAACGACTTCTTTGTGTCCGCCCTAACCAGGACTGATTTTTCACATGTGCCTCTGCCCAATTGCGAGCCTTGAAGCAAGAGCTTCACGCTTGTTGGCCTGCGTTTTCCTCAGGTACAA